ACTCTTGGCTTGCGATATGTGGTTGTTACATACACGTTCTCGTCGCGTGGGTTGGTTTGAGAAGGGTGGGGTCGTCGCTTGTGCTATGTTTTCCTGGCGGCTAGGTTGTTTTTTTTTTTTTTTTTTCTTTCCCCCCCCCCCCCCCCCCCCCGGAGAATCAATCAGTCTCTTGGGGCGAGAGACCAAACTTCACAACAGCTGTGTTTGCAGCTAATGTGTTTGGACAATGAGAGTGGTATCCTTTGATGACGATCCTGGACGAAAAGGGATACTCTCTCCAGCGGACCCTTCTGGCACACGCAACCGAGTTGGCCACAGACAGCCCTTTGCGCTTCTGGTTAAATGCCCAGAAGATTTCGATCCTGCCCGATGAGGAAGAGCAAAAGCGGATGGACTATATCCACGGACGGTTCCCGCTGGATGACTCGCAAGCAACGGCCGTGGAGATGTCGGCGTTCGATGTCTTTTCTGGGGTTCACTTGATCAAAGGCCCACCTGGCAATTGCAAGAATCGTACCACCGTGGTAATCCTCTTGATGTTAACCAGTCAGAATCTTCCGGTCATGATCTGTGCAGACTCAGACCAAGACGTCCATACCCTCTTGATCGCCTATCAGGACGTCCTTTGCAGAGATGAAAGGCTTCAGGGTTGACGTGGGATCTACTGCCGGTTCCGGACCCTGGAGAAGAGGCATACAAATTTGCCCACTCCGGATACATCCTCTCGGGACGCAATGCCCCAACGGCACTCCCAACGGCACCGGACATTGCTGAACAACAGTAATTGCCGGATTCTCTTTGTTTGTGGACCTCTCGCGGCGCGAGCACTTCTGTTTGCTTTGAAAGGAAAACAATTTTCCCTTGAGTTGAGAGGTTTTCGCTACCCTCACTATATCGAGTCAAGCAAATCTGCTCAGGTCTCTCCCATACTATCGGAGGGCATCTCTGCGCCGGGCAAGCCAGGCCACACCAATCGAGAGGAGAACTAACAAGCCACCTGCATCTGAAAAGGATATCGTGGTTAGGAGATCAATCAATGCAGCAGTCCACCAGTTCCTCTCTTGCGACCAAACTCATCCCCTTCTGGCTTATGCCGCCCCAAGGAACACAAGGCCAAGAGCCACGCCTCGCCACCACCTGATCATCTAACGTGAAACCCGCAGTCCACCCTTCACTTCTTGCTCACACTGACTCGGATTATTTTCGACCTAATTCGTTTATTCTCCGGCCTACACCCCCCGAAGCCGCATCTTGCGGGTGACATTATAGCAGCGCTCCCATCTGGTGTCACAACTCATACATTCAGCCGCTTGGAACATGCTCCATTCGAAGCAGAGAAGATCGCAGCAAGTCTTGCAAAAGGCAGTGAATAGAATGGCAACTGTCAGACGAGGGAAGTCAGGACCTAGGCATACGATCGCTGGGCCTTGGTTGGTTGGTTTGCTTCGCTCGGAAAACGGCTCAATCCCCGTGCGACAAAGGCCTTGACAGATGCCATGTCCTTGACGTTCATCTATTCGTGGGGCGACATTCTTTCCGGACGAAGGGTGACAGAATAGACACAGAACATGCTGCGCGACGCACAAGCTGCCCAAACTACGGGAATAATGTTGCTACTGTGGCTGGTTTAGACAAGGTTGGAGCTAAGGTCGTCTCAAGACGTCGGAGAGCCGATCATGACCACTGCGATCTCACGGTTTACGTCCGACCTAGATCTACGATGAGGCTAGTGGTATGAAGTGACGAAACGATCGTCGTACCCGGTGGACCTCCCACAAAAGCCCCGGTACCAAGGTAGACCATCTGCCTATGGACATTCCACATTTATTCTCATTAGTTCATTTCTCTTCTCATTCATGTTTATCAAGTCGTCGCCGAGGACGGCCACTTTTTCTCTGCGTGGGGGACCTGTCACGTCGGCCCCAGTCAGTACCTAGGTATAGGTAGGAGCCCGCGGGCTCGAGAATAGAAACAACTTTCTCCTCTCTCGCTTAGGTGCCGTGGATGCTTCTGGACGACAACCGGTTGTCTAGTTCCTAGCCAAGGAGTCTTAGTATCCATGTCGATAACACCGGAGCTCTGGCATTAGCGACGAATCCCGCATTCCACTCCCGGATCAAACATATGGCTATTCGCTATAACAGTATGAGAGATCTCATCAAAAACGGAAAGATTCTGCTACGGCAGACGCCCTCAGCAGATATGTTGGCCGACGGTCTAACAAAGCCCCTCGCAAAGAACAAATTCTTGGGCTGGATAACTCAACTAGGCCTGACAAAACAGGAAACTGAGCCCGTTTCATGAAGACACTGAAAATTGAATATTTGAAGATGGGGGTAGTTTTTTGTCAGCAAGAACCTATGCCCAGGTGCCCACACCCGGCGTCGTCTAGACCAGTTCGCCAGGCATACCAGATTACCTACGATGAACATAAAGACGGAGCAAGATTCATAAAGGCTAAGAAGAAGAAGAAAGGGGCGAAACACTCTTCATTGGTCGCGCAAGAGAGAAAGGAAGGGAAAAGAAAGCAAGATCAGAACTATGTACAGAAGGGAAGTCATATGACTTCCAACAAAGATACACTTTGGAATGGACAGTCCCTGTTTGCACGGACACCTCAATCCCTGTCGCGGACATCAAAGCCGGCGTGCGGCTACCCGACCAGCTTGTCTGGAAGGTAAAAATGACTACACACCCCGTCCGACAGCAGGTGGATCTATGCATGGGGGTTGTTGGACCATTATCATGTGATATGGATCCTATGTACATACATACCTACCTAGGTAGGTAGGTAGATCTCAGTTTTTGCTTTCCTTTTCTCTTTCCTATCTTTGCGCAATCCAACCTTTGGCTTTCGCCAGTTCCTTTCCTTGCTAGTAGCCCCTTTGAAATAAAGTAATCAGATCGGTTAACCTTGGAACCTTTGCTATCCGATAAGCTGGGGAACTGCACAGGTGGGCTGCTAATTCGAATACTGGTTATACGGCCCGTAATACCTGGCTCTCGAGCTAAGGCCCGGGCGATCGTCGAAGCTTTGACCAAGATGGGTCGTTGCGAGGGCCGTACCTAGGTAAGTTGCCCCCACGGCCCGGGGCCCGGGGCCCGCGCTAGGCCGGGATGCCGCTGCGGCGATACGTGCAGCATTAGCGCGCAACCAGGATGGATTAGACCAGTGGGAAGATGCTGTCACGACAACGGACCATGGCATTTTAGCCAGTCAATTGGCATATTTAATTTCACATTCGTTTCGGACTTGAGTCTTAATCTCCGTGCGTTAAAGCCGATTTTGAACATGCATCCATGCATGTAGCCAAGCGCGGTCTCTCCTTTGTGTTCCATATGTACTCTCTACCCCTGTCGTACTCCAGTACACTAAACCCTGAATAGCAGTAGACTGTGTCTGCCTGTTGTCCCTGACGCATATCTGAAAATTAGGAATTGCATATATAATCGCGTAAAACCTTCTATCGGGTTAGGCTCTCAGGGTTACCGCGTTTATGATGTAAACACTCTCTTTGTCTCGTAGTTACCGGAGTTTAGGACTCGCACTATACGCTGACGACCCCTCATGTATGCAAGTCCACGCAGCACTGGATGACATCAAACCATACTTACAGGGCTTCCAAGGCTCGGTATATAGATACCCTCCTCCCCTCTGACCAGCCGCACACTTTCCCGGCCGATCTCAATACCATCTTTTGACAACAATTCATCCATCCATCATGGCTACTCCCTCCCGGATCTGGCTTATCACTGGCACCTCGTCTGGACTTGGCCTAGAGCTAGCTAAAGTCGCCGCCAAGCGTGGGGACCGCGTGTTAGCCGCCACACGGAGTCCGCATAAACTAGCAGAGCTCGAGTCAACCAACCCTAACATCAAGGCCGTCTACCTGGACCATAACGAGTCCCCAACCCAGATCCAGGCAGCGGTCAAGACGATCCTAGCCGTCTATGGCACAGTCGACATTGTTGTCAACAATGCCGCCTACGTGCAGACAGGCATCCTTGAAGAGGCCACTCCAGAAGAGACTCAACGCCAGTTCCAGGCTAATACCTTTGGCCCTCTGAACCTGTACCGTGCCCTCCTGCCACATCTTCGCGCTAAAAGGTCTGGTACTCTGGTTACTATTGGCTCCATGGCCGCCTGGTACCCTATGCCTGGCTGCAATCTCTACAACGCCTCCAAGGCCGCTCTGCGCTGGCTCGCACTTGGGCTGGCGGGTGAAGTCTCCCAGTTCGGTATCCGCCACTGTTTAGTTGAACCGGGCTTCTTCCGCACCGAGTTGCTGAATCCATCAGCAAACCTTACTCTGACTGCGAAGTCTTCGCGTCTGTCGGCTTACCAGGAAGTAAATGACACAACCGACTCCAACTTCGCTGCCTTTAACGGCGCCCAGCTGGGTAACCCCGTGAAGGGTGCGCAAGTTATCTACGATGTGACAACCTCCACGGGAGTCGCCGAGGGGAAATCCTTGCCTACTCTCTTGCCTTTGGGAAGTGATGCCAGCGAGGAGATTAGCAAGGCCGCATCTGAGACATTGGCAGCGATTGAGGAATGGCGGGCGATCAGTGCTTTGACGGACTTCCCCAAAGGTTCGTAATTATGTACTTAGCGTCAGGGCCTTCTGAGGGCAAAGGTGCTTGCCTGTCTGTCGCTGCTGTCTGAGATACCTAGGTAGCGACCAAGCTCTTGTCCGATATGTAGGCAAGACGATCAAAGAAAGTTGGTTCGATCAAACATTGGACGTTCATCACCTTGTCTGTAGACAGTAGATGGTAGGAATGGGAGAGAATTCGCCAGACACTAACCTTGGAATACATCCGTGGATAAGGCTCCGGGACCCCGGGGCCCCCGGAGCCCTAGAGCCCTAGAGGCGCCGGCAGAGTACTTACCGAGATTCCCCCCGGGGCTCCAGGGGCGTTACCACCTGGGTACTAGATACCAGTAAGCCACCATGTAACAATTAGACCAAGAACTAAATACTACACCCATGAATGCCTGGGCAGTGTTTACGATCTTGCATCCGAGGGAATGCTGCATTCATGGATTTATACCTACTAGGTAGGTACGGAAATATATTGGACAGATTAAACGCGAAAGCTCTCTTCAACCAACCAAGAAGGAGTGATATATCCTCTCGAAAAGACTGGGGTAGATGCCATCGCTGGCATTGAGATGCAATTACTGTGAGCCTGGGTATCTCTGATATAGTGATCTTTCACAACGATGGCTGCTCGAGGAAAGGCCTTCTCAAGAAGGTTGCCAGGTTGGCGGAGGTCGCCATAATATACCAGGAATTGCTGTTTCCCGAGTCTCGGACACATATCTTAAGACCTTCCGAGGTTTCGATGAATTCTCTGATCCTATTCCAGTGCACCTCACTCGGGTCAGATCTAGGGGGCGGAGATTGCGAAAGGCACACCGTGGCACGGTGGCTATCTTGCATGATTCAGTCAAGAAACCCCCACCTTATCAATTGATATCATCTTCGGTTACTCGAGGACGAAATGCTACCATATAGCCTAGTAACTCTCGGCTCGGGCCATTGGCAATTCCCGAAAGAAGCAAGCTTTATGGGGCAAGCCGAAGTGCTGCAACCAATCTCAGCACTCGCAGCGGAACAATTTCTAAACAGCCATCGCCACTGGGCATAACTGGAGACAATATGGAGTCGCCAAGCACACTCCCCGCAAAACCCCAGCTATTGAAATGTTGGGGAAATGGGGGGATGGGGAATGGGTGGTCTCGAAAGCTACTAGGACACATTTCTACTGGATGATTGAGCTTGCCTATAAAGCGAGCCTCGCCCAGGAGTGGGAATGGCAATTGCACCTGCGCCTGCAAGCTCACGCTCACCATGTATCGGGGACCAGCTTTATACCTGGCCCAGGTAGTCCTGGTGGTCTTCCCATCCTTCTTCCTGTTTGGATACAACCAAGTCAATGTCGGGGGGTTGCTCTCCTTCGCGAGTTGGACGGAAGCATTCCCTCAAATCGATACCACCAATACAACAGCTAGTACCAGGTCCCATAATTCGGTCATCCAAGGGGTGTATGTGTCTTCTCTCACTCTTGGGGGACTGGCAGGCTCGTTATCATGCTCTTTCATAGGTGATGTACTCGGTCGGCGCAAGACCGTCTTTCTCGGTGGTATTTTCACTTTGATTGGTGAAATTATCTCATGCACTGCATTTCAACTTCCTCAGCTGTTGGTCGGACGGATTATCATTGGGATTGGGGTGGGAATACTGTTCGCCATGGTTCCCATCTGGCAGGCTGAATGCTCGAAGCCCACAAACCGAGGAAAACACGTTGTCATCGACGGTATCTTCATAAGCAGTGGCTATGCAGTCAGTTACTGGATCAATTTCGGCTTCTCTCATATGGAACAGCACTCGGCTTCATGGCGGATACCTGTTGCCATCCCGACTGTCTTATCCATCGTTCTGATTTTATCGGTCTTCCTGTTCCCTGAATCCCCTCGCTGGCTTGTGCGTATTGGTGAACGGACCAAGGCAGCCGAGCAGCTTGCCCGCATCAGGGATACTGGCGTCGATGCGGATGAAGTGCAACGCGAAGTCACTTCCATCGAATTCTCACTCGAAGAAACCGCCCAGACGGCCGCCTCGTTCAAGGATATTTTCACCATGAAGGATGGAAAGCTTTTTTATCGCTTTATGCTATGTCTCGGTCTGCAATTTTGGATCCAAATGACTGGTGCCAATGTAATCAGCACCTACTCGACCACCATCTTCCGCGAGAACCTGGGCCTGTCGAGCCCTTTGTCCCGCGTACTTGGCGCAAGCGCCTTGACGTGGAAATTCCTGGCTTCGTTCGTTTCATTCTTCACTATCGACCGCTTTGGTCGAAGGAAGCTTTTCTTGTTCTGTGGGGTCGGGGTCACGCTTTGCATGACATGCATGGCCATTACATCCAGCTTTCCGAGTGGAAATCATGGCGCCTCAGTGGCTGATGCTTTCTTTCTTTTCTTGTTCAACTTTTTCTTCCCCATTGGGCTCTTGGGGCCAAGCTTCCTTTACTGCACTGAGGTCGCGCCGATCCGGCTTCGGGTAGCCATGACTTCTATATCCACCGCGAATCACTGGCTTTGGTATGCTTGTCGATCGACCTCAGTTTCCTCGGGAATACTAACCGTCATAGGAACTTCGTGGTACAGATGGTCACCCCAGTCGCACTGACAAATATCGGGTATCAGTACTATATCGTGTATGCCGTCCTTGGCCTGACCTTTGTGGGCTCGGTTTACTTCCTATACCCGGAAACCATGGGACAGAGCCTGGAGCAGTTGGATGACTTGTTCCAGCACGACATGTCTATCTTTGAGACCGTTCGGATGGCCAAGAAGCTATCCCAGATGCCCCCCACTGCAACCCCGGTGGAGCTTAAAGAACGAGTGGAGCAGGTGGAGTACTCTGAGCAGTCGGTGTGACCTGGCGGAGCTGGGGAGATGAGCGAAGGGAGGATGCTGGATCTCCTGGAATTTCCATATTTTGTGCAGCTTGCAGTATCAAAAGGGATATTGTGATACAACGTCGCACTATTAAACCGTCTTTCAAGGGTTGCCTCACCTTATGCATACCGCACGGACATATTGTCGATTAAAGGCACAGCATAGCTCTAGAACATACGAGTGTAGAACTAGGCACTATTGGATTCGCGTCAAGATGGCCAATCTTGCATGATCATGAGAGGCCGAGTCCGGCGTCATGACCTCAACGGTGTCAGGGTCAGGTGCGGAAAAATGAGCCGTGATAGTTAAGCCCAGAGGTCAGAGCTCTCGAGTCTCGTCATTGGGAATACTCAGTTGCCACTGTAATGGGCATTTTGGGCGGCAAACCCGGTTAGAGAAGCTCAGGCAAAAAGACCCAAGTGCAGTCATTTTTCAGAACGTTGTTCCACCGCGGAAAGCGGTGATTGCAGTTCGATAAGCCTAACCTCCATTTCAGCCCACTTCACCTCACCCTTGGCTCATCTGGGGATCTGTCTACAGAGCTCCCTACTTATCACCTTGAGATCTGCTCACCTGGTTCTTCCAGAGCCGGGAGATTGGGCAGATCTAGAGACTGTCGAACTGGCTCACAATCCTCCTCCCTTTATCGCTCCCGACCACCCTGATCCTCCTTTCCCCGAGTTAGCTCCGGCAGGCAATCCCGCCTCCGACTTCACTCCATCCGAACTGCCGTCATCTCGTGCGAACCGCCGCCGCCGCACTTCCAGTCCCGATAGACATCCTGCATTACCGTCGTCAGCGGGATCAGCACGTGCACCCCCAGATTACCCCAGCCATTTGGGCCGACCGGACGGCCGACCTTCCTCCCCCAAGCGCAGGCGCCTGGTAATCATGCGTCCCGATGGTATTACTGCGGAAACTGGCTTCCCCGAAGCTTCGAATGGATCGTATCCTTCAGGAACGAGCAAGACCGCGTTAAACGGACAGTCCGCTGCCAACGGGAACTCCCACACCAACGGCTCCAAACCACCCCACTCCTCCACCTACTATGGCCACAATCGAGAGGAGGTGACACGGATCCTGATCCAGAGTCTACATGAACTGGGGTATACGTCGTCCGCGGAGCGATTAAGCTCGGAAAGTGGCTTTGAGCTGGAGACTTCGGGTGTCGCAACGTTTCGGAGTGCTGTGCTAGGTGGTAGATGGGTAGAGGCTGAGAGGATCCTAATTCAGTCATTCCGCAATGCTGGTTCTCAACCGGACCAGGATCCTCCGCCAGAGGAGACACTGGTATTGGCAGCCGACGCCGATAGGAACGCAATGCTGTTCCATCTACGACAACAGAAGTTCCTGGAGCTATTAGAAGAGCGGGATCTCGCGGCCGCTCTCGGGGTGCTCCGACAGGAGCTGACGCCGTTGAACTTCGATGTTGAGCGTCTTCACGCCCTCTCAAGGTATGCGAATCGACCGCGTCGAAGCCGTGCAGCTTACTGATCCTTGTATAGCCTTCTAATGTGCCCGACTGAGCTATTGCATGATCAGGCGGGGTGGGAAGGGCCTGTCAGTTCATCCCGCGAACGCCTTCTTGGCAAGCTGTCAGGTAAGGCATCGGTTCCAGAACCGACATGGTAACACATAGTTGCTAATCCAGCTGCAGAGTCGATTTCCCCGTCTGTGATGATCCCCCAACACCGTCTCGCAATCCTGCTGGACCATGTAAAGTCAACCCAGATCAACAACTGTTTATATCACAACACTGCCGAGTCGCCGTCTCTTTACTCAGACCACATGTGCGACCGAAATGACTTCCCTCTGGAAGTCAATGTGGACTTGAATCATCATTCCGATGAAGTGTGGTACTGCGAATTCTCGCATGATGGCTCGAAGCTGGTCACTGCTGGCAAGGACCACAACGTGCTGATCTACGATACGACGGATTTCAGTGTTCTTCACCAGCTTACAGATCACGAAAAGGGCGTGGCGTTCGCCAGTTGGAGCCCGGATGACACCAAATTGATTACCTGTTCACAAGATAACAAAGCACGAGTATGGAGTGTTGAAGTAAGCAGCCCCAATTTGCAATCCTATGAGGCGAGACAACATGCTAATCTGATGGTATAGAGTGGACGCTGCCTGCTTTCTGTCAACCACCACCGCCAACCAGTAACGGCAGCCGCTTGGGCAGCCGATGGTGAAAGTTTCGTAATAGGTTCCCTTGATGCCGAATCCCAGCTCCGCCATTGGAGTATAGGTGGCCAAGCCATACATGCGTGGAAAGGCGGGTATCGTGTACAAGACTGCGCCATCAGCGCGGATGGACGACGCCTTGTTGCCGCCGACACGGAGGCCAAAATCCACGTCTACAATCTCCTCACACACGAGGAAGATTACTGTCTCCCACTCCCTAGCAAACCGACCTCCGTTGCTATCAGCCAAGATTCTCGCCATGTCCTTATAAACCTGGCCGAAGGTGAAATCCAGCTAGTCGACATGGAAACAACCTCTGTTGTGCGCCGCTTCAAGGGGCAAAAACAAGGCGAATTTGTCATCCGTAGCACGTTTGGAGGAGCGGCTGAGAATTTCATCGTGAGCGGCAGCGAGGGTAAGTCATTTCCATCATGGATGTATGGCCAAATGACTAACAACTCTCAGACTCCAAGGTGTACATTTGGCACAAGGAGAACGGAAATCTCGTCGAGACTCTAGAGGGCCACATTGCAGGCTGTGTGAACTCAATATCATGGAACCCGACCAACCCGGGAATGTTCGCATCAGCAGGCGACGACAACACAGTCAGAATGTGAGTATTCTTCTCCCTCTCGTAATTCACATCGCTAACATCAAGCAGCTGGTCAAGAAATTGTAACAGGCCCCGTCCAGGTCCCGCGCCCCGAAGCCGAGTCCCTTCCAACGGAGTAACGCAAACTAGCGCCTTGAGAACCACTACTTTCGGTTTCTGATTATGTATTGCAGAGAATGCCCATTGTGACCCTACCTAGGTCCTTTATTTCACCTTCATTCTGGTTTCCTTCGCCTCGTATTTTGGGAACACATCCGGAGCTTTGGATTGGGTTATAAACATGTCCCGCTGTCCCTTTTCTTCTCTCTTCTCTCGCGTCTTTCCTTGTCGCATCACTGAGAAAATCTCCCTTTTCTGCATATAAGTCGTACGGATATCGTTTGTTCTCTCTGGCTTTTGGAATTCGCTGTCGGTCGTTGACTTTGTCTGCCGGAACCCACAGATTGTGACCAGACACTGACTCGTATCAACTGACCAGAGTGATAATTGGGTTTGAGGAGTACATACGGGCGTGATATTATCTTCAGTTGCAGGCTATGTCTGTTTCAGGGAGTCGTCTTGGTTTAGTTTTTGCTCTGCTAATGATATTCCGACTTCCAAGGCTCGCCTTCAAACACCGTCTATGGACTATGATCATGCATGTCTACGACTACCATCAAACTGTGCAGACTAGCAATGGTTTCGTGGCCTTGTGTTGTCGCTGGAATACGGCCTTTTTCATATCGACTCGGCGGGATGTAGTGCTAAGCCCTCGGGCCTTTACGTACGTGCCAGGTGAAAAACAAGGACCAGTGAACATGTAAAAGTGACTGATTCCGTGATTCATGATCCCTATTTGCGAAAACTAAAACGAAACGCCTAACTCGAGAAGATCCTGCTACTTAGATCGACGACCTGGGGAAAAAAGCAAAATCATAAAACATCCCCTGGGATGTACAAACGGATGACATTTTTGAGCTGTTGTTTGCGTGGTTAGCGAGCCATAACCTTTTAGTCTGACGGGATCTCACTTACTGAAATATGTAGGTATCCCTTTCCTCCACGCTAGAGCTAGCCTCGTATTCTCGATGTTTGACCCATCGCCATATTAAGAGTCATCTTCAATAAGACGCGCAGTACGGGCGAAACTGGACACATCGAAGTGGTGACGGACCGCAGTTATGTGGAAGAAATGTTGCGCACAGAAAACTTGATATAGCGATTATGAAAGAAGATCGGCAACTGGAATAAAATGTTAGTACCGAGAAGAGCAGAACAGGGTATTTTTGAATTGCTTACCGTTCATTGGCATCTCATCGATTTGAGTTGAGTAGTACAGCTCAATGTCACGAAGAATGCGAACATCGTCGCTGGTGACGAAGTTGATAGCCACACCCTTGCGGCCGAAACGACCGCTACGACCAATACGGTGAATGTAGTTCTCACGGTTGGTGGGAAGGTCGTAGTTGATGACCAGAGACACCTGTTGCACATCGATACCACGGGCCCAGACATCAGTAGAAATCAGAACACGAGAGCTACCCTGGCGGAAGTCTTGCATAATGCTATCACGCTCCTTCTGGGGCATCTCGCCGTGCATACTGGACACAGTGAAGTTGGCCTCACGCATCTTATCAGTAAGCCAGTCGACCTTGCGGCGAGTGTTGCAGAAAATGACGGCTTGTGTGATGGTAAGAGTATCGTAAAGATCGCAGAGTGTGTCAAACTTCCACTCCTCCTTCTCGACAGCAATGAAATATTGCTTGATACCCTCCAGGGTCAACTCGTCACGCTTAACCAAAACGCGAACGGGATCAGTCATGAACTTGGTTGTCATGTCCAGGACATCGTATGGGAGAGTGGCAGAGACCACGACCACCTGCGTCGCGGGGGGCAGATAGCGGTAAACGTCGTAGATCTGCTCGCGGAAACCGCGGTTCAACAGCTCGTCGGCTTCATCGAGAACAAGCATCTTAATGTGGCGGGTGCGCAGGTTGCGACGACGGATCATATCAGCAACACGACCGGGGGTTCCTGACACAACGTGCTGGCCGTAGTCGAGCTTGCGGATATCCTCGCCAATGTTGGTTCCTCCAATGCAGGCGTGGCATTGAACATTCATGTAGTCACCGAGGGCCATGACGACGGATTGAATCTGTGTAGCGAGTTCACGAGTGGGGGACAGGACGAGAGCTATCATGATCAGGTGTTAGCATGAATACGTCGAGGTAGGACGAAATCATTATTACCCTGAGTCTCCCGAACAACTGTGTCAATAATCTGCAATGTACTGATTGCGAATGTAGCGGTTTTACCAGTACCGGACTGGGCTTGGGCGATGGTATCGCGACCTTTGCAGATTTGCACAATGGCACGCGATTGCACAGCTGAGGGTGATTCATATCCGTAGGCGTAGACTCCGCGAAGCAGACTCTCCTTCAGGTGCATGTCCTCGAAGGTCGGGGCCACCGTGACCTCCTTGGAGGTGTTGAACTCCATGCGCTCTGCATGCTGTTAGTATGGCTTCACTTTGCTGGATGTTGGGTTCATACCCTCGGCGCGTCTGTCGATTCCGTCCGCCATGGTGTCAAGTTTGTTATTTCTGCAACTGGAATAAGAAAAACCGAGGATTCACGAATAGTGAAAGCCTTGAAGTCAGTGAGGTCAACGGCTTAACTTTTCGCGGTGGAAGTGGTCAGGGTCACGTGACCCTCCCGCAAGCTGCAGCTGCCAATCGCGGACCTCATTTTGCGACCATCCCGATACTTTGTCGACTTTATTTGCGCGCAGTTTGAAAGTGCCCAGTCATAACCAGCACTTCAAAGATGTTGCTCGAAGATCAGAGATTTATCCACGAGGATCTGGAGCGCCTCGAGCAGGCTATCGCTGATCGCGTGGCGGAGGAACCGCGAAATGTGAGAACTGCACCACCCAATTGCTGGTTCCATTTTTAACATATTTCAATTCACAGATCCGCGATCGGCTCGCTCGCGACCATGAAGTTGCTCAATTCCTAGAACGGATCGAAGAGCAATCAAAGCGACTCCTGGAAATCTACAAGGATGCCGATGGGCTGCGGGAGAAAGAAGTGCAGTCAATCGCGACTGGCGAGCAGTTCGACGAGTTTTACAAGCAGCTCGGTGAAATCAAAGAACATCACAAGCGTTACCCGAACGAACCTGTCGAAAATCTTGAACAGGCATACAAGCGCCATCACCCAGGCGAAGGAGAGCACCACATCAGTGAGATCGATAAGATGTTTACTGGTGAGGAAGGATTCGGACAATACCTGGACCTCACAGCTTTGCATGAACAGTACCTGAACCTTCCTGGCGTCAAGCGTGTGGCATATGTCCAATATCTCGACGTGTTCGACTCTTTCACACCCCCAGCCATGTCTATCAAGCGAAAAGACAAGGTTTCCGATCGTTACTTTAGCTACGTTGGTGAGCTCGCAAGCTATCTCGAAGGGTTCGTCAAGAAGGTTCGCCCTCTGGAGGACACTGACAAACTTTTTGCCACCTGCAACGATGAATTTGAACAGCAGTGGGCAGCCAAGCAAGTTCCCGGTTGGACAGAAGAAACAAGCAAGAGTGGAACCTCTGGTCCGAAAACCGAAGGAACTGGCGAGGGTACTTGGTGTCCAGACTGCGAGAAAGAATTCAAAAACGACAACGTTTATCGCAACCACTTGACGGGCAAGAAACACATTCGTGCCGCTGAGGCTCGAAAGACAACTGGCACATCCGGCGAGAAGCCATCCGCAGTCTCGGCCCATCACCTAAAGGAGCGTGAGGTTGCACGCCGAGAGCATGTCGTTCGGAGCTTGACGGCCGTCCTCAAGGGAGAGCGCCAGGCCTCAAGAATCAACGTCGAACGCCGACAGGGTATGACAGAGCGTGAGCGTCAACAGGAGCTGGATGCTCTGATGGCAGGCCCGGAGAACCTTGGCCCCGAGGGTCCAGCCGGTGAAGAGTCGGAGGATGAGGATGAAGAGAAGATCTACAACCCGCTCAAGCTACCCCTCGCCTGGGACGGAAAGCCAATTCCCTATTGGCTGTACAAACTCCACGGATTGGGTGTTGAATACAACTGTGAGATCTGTGGTAACTACACGTACATGGGCCGCCGAGCATTCGACAAGCATTTCTCTGAATCAATGCACATCTACGGGTTGAAATGTCTCGGTATCACAACGAACACCAGCCTTTTCCGCGAGATCACAAGTATCACCCAAGCCATGGCGCTTTGGGAGCAACTTGAGAAGGACCGAAAGAAGGATCGTGATACTCGTGAGAATGTCGTTCAGATGGAGGACGCAGAGGGTAATGTCATGCCCGAACGGATCTACTTGGACCTGCAAAAGCAAGGTATTCTCTGAGGTGCCATGCTATATACAAAAGGGCAGGAGTTTGGCGAACATGGAGCTAAAGTGTACTATCAACAATCAAGCATTTCCAGCGATCTCAATCGATAGATATTTCCAAGTGATGCCTCGCACTCGTATCCGGCCCGGGGCCCCTGGGGTCTTTAAGTGGTCACGTGCCTACGTGTAATCTGGCGCGCCCAACTCATGATTTTCGCGTTTCCCGAATTGGATTTCAGACCAAAGCACTGAAGGCCCTCAGCGTCGTTTTTCTGGTGGAATCACCAGTACCCTCGCTCACAATGAGCCATGGGGTTCACTTACGCACTCCTTTGCGATCTCCTCGAAAACTTGGAGAATGGCAGGAGATCCAGTGTGTCCACCGCAGCCCGGAAGGCCATTCCGGACATTCAACCAGTTGCTCAGTGGTTCGCCCGACATGAACGTGTTATTCAAGATTCTGGAACCGACAGAGTCGCCTTGCTTTCATGCATATTTCCCGAGAAGCGAACCGATCGAGTGTATTGGCTAGGAGCAAACTTACTATCCAAGGTCATCGGTCGATGTCTCGGACTAGGATCATCGCGACTCAAAGAACTCAATTTATGGCAAACTGCTGGAAATGGAGATCTTGGAAAATGCGTCGAGAACGTGATGCGCCAAGCCGAGAACTATGTACAACCCGGGCAGGAACTGTCAGTGGAAGAGGTTGACCGCGCCATGGAGACGATTGCCTCGCGATGTCGCTTCTCCGGCCCTCAGGTTCGACGAAACCGCTCGGCAGTAGATTGCGACTCAGTTTTGTCCTCGCTGTATCGTCGGTCCAGCAGCCGTGATGCCAAGTGGCTCACTCGCATGATCCTGAAAAGCTATGCTCCTGTCGTTTTTCCCGAACAATATACACTGAAGAAGTTTCACTTTCTCCTGCCACATCTTTTCCTACTGCAAAATTCCTTTGACGGAGCGCTGGCAATGCTTGCTTCCGAGCCTATCAATCATTTCCCACCCAACCCCGATCCAAAATCAGCCAAGGGCCTGAGCTCAATTGCAATGCAACATTTGCGGCCTCGAGTTGGTATTAAGGTTGGGCGTCCCGACTACTACAAAGCCCGGAGTATCAAACATTGTCACCAAATGGTCAATGGTCGGCGCATGAGCATCGAACGGAAATACGACGGTGAATATTGTCAGATACACGTCGATATGTCCAACAAATGTGCTCCTATCCAAATATTTTCAAAGAGCGGAAAGGACTCGACTGCAGATAGAGACAAAGTCTTGCCTGTGATAGAAGAAGCCCTAGGCCTAGGACGCCCCGAGTGCAAATTTACCGGACGATGTATCCTTGAAGGGGAGCTGCTTGTATGGAACGACGAAGATGGTGAGATCATGGACTTCAACAGACTTCGAAGACTACTCCCCAGGTCAGGTGTTTTGTTGGGCGTTGAACACGATTCTCCGTAAATACCCCTTGCCCTGACCCAGATGTCGCTGGCGCTAACTCTTATAGGCCACAACCTTTTGAGCGCTTGATGATTATGTTTTTCGACATCCTCATGCTTGACAACGATGTTTGCCTATCTAAGCCTCACCGGGAGAGACGGTTGCTTCTTCAGAAGGTGGTGCGGAGAATACCCGGCCGATCTGACCTCGCGCACCAAGAAGTGCTGGACTTTAGCCGAGAGGGCAGCTATCATCGCCTCGAAAGGAGCTTTGAGAAGGCAATCACCCAACGTTGGGAGGGATATGTCCTCAAGGCTTCTGATGAACCCTATTTTCCAATATATTCCACCGGCGTTGATCAAATGTTTGGCCGATGGATCAAGCTGAAGAAAGATTATATTCCTGGACTCGGAGACACCGTTGATTTTGCTATCATTGGTGGGACTTACAACTCGCGGGATGTGCAAAACCTATCGCAAATCAGAAAGTTAAAGTGGACTCACTTTTTTGTCGGTTGTCTTATGAACAAAGAAGAGTTTCATGAAGATGGTTCCCTTCCACATTTTCGGGTCATTGATGTGATTGGTCGACACAGCATGAGTTGGCAAAACATGCAGCTCCTTAATCAATTCGGCGAGTTTTACGAGTGTTCACCTGACGAGTTCGAAGGGTTCGCCGTGGAGTACGGACATAGTGGCCTTCCCAAAGCAACCACCTGGTTCAAGCATCCCTTCGTGGTCGAGATGCTAGGCAGTGGGTTCGAAAAGCCACCCAGTGGTAGATACTTTACGCTCCGGTTTCCGCGAATTCTGAAGGTTCACTTGGATAGGCCGATGGAAGACACCGCTTCCTTTCGAGAGCTGCAGATACTCGCCGAAGAAGCTCGAGCTTTGCCTCTGGATGAAGTGGAAGAGCTCAGGGACCGAACCGAATGGTCCAAACGTCTGAACATTGAGTGCCAGCTTACCCAATCCAATGAAATGGTATCGGACCCAGAAGCTACGTGCTCAGACACTGACTCTGAGCCAGGGTCACCAGTGACTCAAATACCTTTTGCGCCAACGGCCTCGGAAGATAGTTATATGGAAGCACGTCCACTAATGGACTGTTACATTGGTGGAATCTCCTCGGAAAGAACCACTGATCAGTCACAAGAAAAACAGACGAGTGTGCCCTTAATTTATACTGACGTGGTTGCACTGCCCGTTGAGCCTGAGAATCCAGTTTGCTATCAAAGTGTGCTAGCCAGTAACATCAACTTGGCGTCTCATCAAGCTTCCAACCAGAGCGATGAGAAAAGGGCATCTCAAAATGCAGAGCAATGCTTACCCACAAATTTGCTTCGGGCACCATCGCAATCGGCAGCTCCTGGTCGACCAGCTCCAGTTCACTCGACCAGCATTTCTGGTCCGTCCACTTGTATCTCTCAGAATTCACAACAAAGGGAAACACTGGGATCAGGAGTTAAGCCTTCGTTCCCTTCACTGAAGAGAAAGGGGTCTCCACAATCACCCTTGACAACTATTCCTCTGTGGACTACCGAGACATCATTCGGGAGCTTTGCAGCTCTAGAAACCGATCAGAAACACTCTCAGGATCTAAAACTCAACACTTTGCAAGACTTTGTCCAACAATTGTGTTCAAATCAAACGGCATTCGCACTCCAACAATCGAATCCATATGCCGCATCCCAAGGCATGAAATTTGGCATAATAATATTCAATCCCGGGGTGACTGCACTGGGCGAAGAAATGCGCCGACTCGTGGCAGCTCTTTCCAAATTTGCCCAAAATGGCATGCGTTCAGCAGCTTCCGTCGGAAAAGTCTTCTTCTTGGCCTCTAGCATCCTGGCACAGGACCTCAGTCCCGAGGACGGTCGCTTTTGTTTGCGTGAGACATGGGAAGCCATTGGATCTGACCATTACTACGGATGTGTCGGCTGGGATCTCCGTGGACGATTTGACAATCTCGTTACCACTAAAGCCAATCATCTTCCGGTCTCGAAAACAACTATTCCAGATGGCCAGCAGTCGGAGCTGCGCACAGAGCCCTGGATTAAAATCTCATTTGAAGACTCGGAGATTGCTACGTTGGGTGAATATATTTCCATGGAACCACCCATTCATGCCCGAGATATCTGATACCCCTTGCTCTTCCAAGTTGAAGACGATTCTACTTTTAAATACCTACTTGGTAGTACCACATTTACAATTCTGTTCTATTCCCGTTGGACCCCATGTCCGACTAGGGAGGTCCTTGTGGTGTCAGGAATCATTGAAAAATCGTGGCTAGTATTTATGAACACCACTAAAGCGCCTCGCTATGATAAATCAATAGGCCATCCTCCCATCCGAAGTCTCAGACTAGGCCGCATCTTCTCTTCTCGCTCGCACATCTCTCATTAATGCCTTAGCCTCCTCCACTTCTATCCCGTCTTGGCAAAGCTCGCCAGCCAGCTGATCAGCACGGTCCAGATCACCGTTCCGTGACGCATACTGTGCCAACCACAAACGTGCTTTGGATGTAGTAGCTGTAACGCCAGTGCCATTCCATGACTCGCTGACAAGAGAGTCATCATTCTGCGCGGCAAATGATTCCTTGGCGCGACGAGGCTTGCGTTTGTGACGGTGTCGGCGTGGTCGATCTGGGTCCTCATCACCCGAATGCTCAATCTCAGCATCGCTTGGGCTGGAGTGCTCAGAATCAGACGAAGACTCTGCGTCGGAGTTCTCATTCACCGGAGCGCCAGACTCCTGTTGAAGAGTGAGTTCCATGTATGCGGCGGCCTCTTCTTCGTCGCCCAGCCGCTCGTGTAGGGTTGCAATCTGGTGCAGAGTTTCTGGATCGAGTATTTTACGAGATACGGAGCCCGGGCTTGCGCCGCCATGGCTGCTTTCATCTGGTTGAAGTGAACCGGCAACCAGGGCACGCTTGAGAGCCTGGATACTCTGTTCCACACGACCCATTTTCGCATAGCATGAGCCGACTGCTTGCCACATTTTCGGATCGTAAGGACGCAGTGCTGCAGCTCGTTGGTAGTAAAACAATGCGTAAAAGGACATGTCCAGGACTTCATAGGCTTGTCCGAGACCATACCAAGCACGGTAGTCCTTGCGATTGACATCGACGGCTCGGCGGTATGACTCGATGGCAGTATGGGTGTTTTTCATTTCAATGTACTCATGACCCATCAGAGTCCATGCCGACAAGAAGTTTCGGTCGAGAGTGAGGGCGCGGCGGAAATACATGACTGCCTTTTCATGTTCTGATTTCAGCGAATAGTAATTTCCAACAACGCAACAGGTCTCGGGGCGGAATTTGTCAGTGGCAGTTGCAACTTGGGCAACAAATGCAAGCTGGGGTCGATGGTCCATGACATAGAGGATGTTGGAGTAATGATCAAGACTGTCAAGACGATGAGGCGAGGTAGTTAGGATGTCTTCAAAAATGTGAGAGGCTTCTTCGAAGTCTTTATACTGTCAGTGAATGTTGCAAATAGACATATCAGGTAATGGTGGAGGTACCTTTGGAGTGATATAACAGTAGTGCATGCTGTGTCTTTAGGAATGCACTCTCGGGGAACATTGTTTGTAGCTCCGATAATGAACGATATGTATCTTCCGTCGCCTGGTATAGTTCCTGGCTGCAGTAGACATAGAACACCAAGCTCATCACGTTTTGGGGTAAAAGCTCCAAGATTTGCCTCAACTGCCGCTTTTCGTTAATGGAAAAATCATTCGAAACGAGGGATAATACACTTACATCTTCTGTGCTACCCAAGAGGTCGTTCAACTCTTGCCATGCGCCCCAATGATATGGGTTTTGGTGCACAGAGCGGACGAGCCACTTTTTCGCCAATTCCTCGTTTCTCCCTTTCAGCAAAACCACGGCATAGAGATATTCAAGCCAGCCCTGCCCTTGGTCATCTAGTCCCTTTGCGGTTCGATCGGACAGCCATCCATCCAACCCTCGTGCAAGTCCAGATAATTCCCGATTAACTGCCATGCCGCCATCTGCTGGGCCGAGTACCATCTCGGTCTCTTCATCCTTGCGCTTTTCTCCGGCCAGGTATTTGGCATAAAGAGCGAGAAAGAGTGATTTCTGACTTAGTTTGGGGTATGGATTTTGGGTTTGAGGCTTGGATATCTTGGAGGCTTGGAATGGGGAGGCAGCATCCTTGCCCTTCTTTGAGGTGCGTGACGTTTTGGATTTGGAGTTCGGCGAAGAAACTGATAGAGGAACTGGGGGCGTGCTCGGAGGAAGAAACACGGCTGCACACCGGTCGTATTCACGGGTATCGAAGTACGACTTGGCGAGCAAGTATTTGTACGATTCTTGTTTCTCGAGGGCGGATTCGGCCGGGTCACGGATCTGGATATAAGGATTGGCAGGCGGGATAGGCGAATCTGTCATGTCCATTGGAGACTCGAGATCAGTGTCGTCATGGTCCAAAGGTCGTAGCGAATCGAGCATCTCGGCTGCCCTGGTATCACGATCAATGTCAGTTGGAAAGCTTATCAAAGAAGTTCAAAGCATACCATTTTGACGACTGATATAGGCACCGTTCGGAGCACTTAATGGCAGCGCTTTCCAGCTGGTACATCAGCTCGCGAATGCCATCGTCTGAAGGTTCTTCCATGATGGTGTTCTTTTGTCGTGATGCGGCGCAGTAGATATGCTTGAGGGACCAGTCTCCACGGCGCGCTGCAGAAATGGATCTATTTAAAAGCTAGTGTTCGCGCCGAATCTCATTCTTCGCTCGCGCCGATCAAAGCTTCGCCCAATGCGACTTGACTCCGAGTTCGAAATGTGCTTGTAAACAAAGGACTTTTGGCTACCCCGGCGTGGATTGGAGGGCGCGTGAGGGGTCGTGACCTGGAATTGGACTGGGGCGACTGTATCGAGTTTATCGTTTAATTCCCACGAGCTGAACACGCACGACAGTGGGCTTTCAGCATGAAGGAACAATGTAGCTCTGTTGCGGGAGGAACCCAAGACAAACACAGCAAACAGTGGAGTGACAGTATATCTACATGCCCCACCGCCCTTTTCTCTACTCCGAGTCCGAGCTCGTTCAACATCGACTGTTGTCCAAGACTCTTTACTAATTGAATAATTATGTCATTTTATATTCTGTAAATTTTGAAATAATCAGAGCGACCCCCTTTACCAATCAATCTACAGTACATTCCAAATAGCGGTATTGTGAGCGCCAAGCGCATTTGCCTAAGTCGCCCTACGCCCTTCCGTACACGGCAAACCGATCAAACATCCCTCCGCGGGGAAATGGCCTCCTGGATTTTGGTGTTTTTGTCCTCCCATTGTCCTTATTGACGTTCCACAACGCAGCAATCATGACTTCCACCAAGCGCGCTGACTTCGAGGCCGTCTTTCCTTCCTTGGCCCAGGATATCCTGGCCCATGCGAAGCGGTACAACCTTCCCCAGAATGCCCTTGAGTGGCTCGAGAAGGTAGGATGCCCTGTCAATCATTTGTCTATGCCAATTGCTAATATTAAATCCACAGGCCATCAATGTCAACGTTCCCGGTGGCAAGCTCAACCGTGGCCTCTCGGTCCCCGATACCGGTGTTGCTCTCCTCCAAAAGCCCCTGACCGAGGAGCAATTTGAGCACCTCAGCATCCTGGGATGGATGACCGAATTGCTCCAGGCATTCTTTTTGGTCAGCGATGACATTATGGACAGCTCTATCACCCGCCGCGGCCAGCCCTGCTGGTACCGCCAGGACGGTGTTGGTCTGATCGCCATTAACGACGCCTTCATGCTGGAGTCAGGCATTTACCTGATTCTCAAGCAGCGCTTCCGCTCTCACCCTGCTTACATCGATCTCGTTGAGCTCTTCCATGAGACTACCTGGCAGACCGAGCTCGGTCAGCTCTGTGACCTCATCACCGCCCCCGAAGACAACGTCGACCTCAACAACTTCTCCATGGAGAAGTACATGTTCATTGTCACCTACAAGACTGCCTACTACAGCTTCTACCTCCCCGTTGCTCTCGCCCTTATCTACCTGCAGGTCGCAACTGAGGAGAACCTCAAGCAGGCTCACGATATCCTCATCCCTCTCGGTCAATACTTCCAGATCCAGGACGACTACCTTGACAACTTCGGTGACCCCGCCTTCATTGGAAAGATCGGTACCGATATCCAGGACAACAAGTGCTCTTGGCTCGTTAACCAGGCCATCCAGCGCTGCACTCCTGAGCAGCGTGCACTCCTCGATGCTTCTTACGGTCGTAAGGACGCGGCCGAGGAGGCCAAGGTCAAGGCCCTCTACAACGAGCTTGACCTGGAGAACGTTTACAAGCAGTACGAAGAGAAGGTCGTCGGTGAGCTGCGTGAGAAGATCGCTGCTGTGGACGAGTCTAAGGGCCTGAAGAAGGAGGTGTTTGAGTCGTTCCTCGGAAAGATCTACAAGCGCACTAAATAGAGAGTCCGCTCCGTGGACCCAGGATACCCCTCGCTTAATTGACGCGAGAAAGCATAATACTTCCGTTCGACGATGTCTATGTACAGAAAATCGAGATTTCAAGGGATTATTCACCCATTCCCACTTCATCAAACTAAGTCCGTTGAATACAATGTACTTTTATTCTGGCAGGTAACATACATGATCAGAGCTCACAGTCGCAGGAAAAACAGCCTCCATTATCGTGAAGCGAAAATTCTATATTTACAAATGAGGGGCATTGAGCGCCATCAAACAGATCAGGCCCGATATCAAACCGGCGCAAGGAAGGGTCAGGACCCAGCCACCAAAGATGAAGGCTAATTGCCTCCAGTTAACAGCACCGAGATCATAGTTCATCAGCGCCACACCCATAGCGGCTCCTGTCAAGCATTGTGTCGTGGAAACAGGCAATGCAAGTCGTGAAGCCAGGAGCACGGTGATCGCAGCGCCGAGCTCAACACTGAATCCACGCGTGGGTGACATTTGAGTGATCTTGTTACCCAATGCACGAACGATGTGGTATCCATAAAACCAAAAGCCCAGACCAAGCAACAAACCTGCAATGACAAGGAACCAAATAGGTGTCGGGGCCTCAGTCTCGACAACTCCAGCACGATAGGTACTGTACACAGCAGCCCAAGGCCCAACGGCGTTGGCCACGTCGTTGGATCCGTGGGCAATCGACATCATCATCGCAGATACAACCTGGCAATATGTCCACAGGTGCTCGACTCGGTCGTCATAACGGTGTGCGCGAGCATGAATGGCTCGCAATTCGGGAGAGTCATGTGTGATCACATCGCGCGTTACGCCCTGAAGCAAGACCCATTTCAGGTACCCGTATATCTTTCGAGGGTTCGTCCAGGACAGATCTCGAACTGGGTCTATGAAACGTTCAACTGGCTCGAGGTGCTTCTTGCGCGGTTTGATGTTTGGTGACGAGCTGGCCGAATCCAGCTTCTTCTCTTCGTCGTCACCCACATGCTCTGACTTGGTCTGGGCGGTGATTTCGGGCGTCGGCATCACCGAGTCCGCGTTTGCGATGGTTTTGTGCTTTTCCTCGTCTTTCTGCACGGCGCGCACTTCGCCGAAGGCATCTTCATAGTAGCTGGTCACCGCGGTGTCGCCCTTTCCTGGGAAGTACAAAGGCGGGTTCTCTCTCAGCAGGAGAGGGCCGAGTGGGATGTGGTAGAACTTGATGCGGGGGTCATTGTGAATGAGACGACGCTTGAAGTAAGGCATGAAGAACACATAAGCGACGAGGAGACAGCCGAAGAATACTCCAACGATAATACCGGCGGCTTTGCCGGCACCGAATTCTTCCAAGGATGGAGCCGTGGGGGCTTCAACCACGATGAACAGTGCGAGAATGGCTCCTGTCAAGGCGAGATAAACAGGGATCAATCGCATTGCCCACTTAAAAGAATCCTTCCTCTCGAGCACACTGTACTTGAGCGTGCCGAAAATCACGGCTGAGAAACCGGCTGCCACGAGAGGGGCGATACCCCAAGATGCGGCGACCTGAGAAACACTTCCTTTGGACCAGCCCCAGGAAATAGAAGCTTGAGAAGCAAAGCCAACTCCAACCAGGGCACCGACAATAGTCTGCGTGGTTGAGACAGGCCAGCCCATCTTGGTGGCAAACATCAACCAAGTTGCACTGCCAATTTCCGCACAACCCATGACCAGCATGAGAGCACCAGGCTTGCCTTCGTATCGGTCGATGTTGATGATTCCATTCTTGATTGTGTCCGTAACTCGGGCGCCCATGGCTACTGCGCCAATGAACTCTGTGAAAATTGCCAAGACACCGGCCGTGGCCATGTTGAGTGTCCTGGCGGCGACAGAGGTCGCATAGGCGTTGGCGACATCGTTCGCTCCGTTACCGAAAGCACTGAAGACGAAGGCGATCGTGGTAAGGGCCAGAATCCAGTCGTACTTGGCTGTGACGGCGGGCACCATGTTGGCGAATGGGTCTTAGCCACTGAGCGGCTGATAATGGAAGTTGAAAGAAGATTTTCGCTTGCTACCTTCTATCATGCAGGTTCGCTGCTGCACTTATACAAACCACGAGTCATGCCATGGCTATCGCCAAGTGCGGCTGGTAAGAGAACCCTATCATGACCTTGGCCTGGTCCAGATTCCACCACACACTACGACATCTCTCGACCCGTCATAGAGATACCAGCGAAAGCGTGGCCTCGATGAACGTCTCTTATTGGTTCAGCACTGAGCGAATTCATCCGACACGCGAGGTAGAGCGGGAGTTGGCGCCAAGCTTGACGAGCGGATGCCAAGAGCGGACAAAGCTCGCTTTCGGATGATGACTGAATCGAGGTGGACGGTTTCAACCAGTTACGATGGTCATTTTGGCACGTTCCTGGATGAAGAGACACGATTGCACGTTTAATAGAGCTTAAAATGGGGTTTGTACGAGTGCCGAGAATCTTGGAAGGCTCGGCGGCTCGGCGGAGAAAGCACTGCCTTCGCTTGGCAGCTCGTGGTCGGTGGCAAGTTGGAAAACTTTGCAATATTCGAGAGCAATATATCTTGTTCTGCGAACTGATGTCCCATGTTGGAGTGGGCTGACTGCCCAGCATCCAATTGACTTTCTTTCCACCCTGGCAAATGAGTCTCAAAGCTCCTGTCCAAGATTCCAAGGCAACCCTCTGGCAGCCGAACCATGTTCTTGATTGCGATGCAAGTTGATATCCATTGGTCTTTTCATGTGTGACTTTTCTGCCCATTAATTCGGGCCCTTTGAGACCGCCACTCATCTTCGGCCTGTCAAACTCAAGTCCTCAAGCCCTGCCCTCTTCCCCGAGGCCCCGGAGAATGCTTCGGCAACCAATTACTCATCTAACCGACGGCACTGATCAGCTTGGAGGGGTGCCACAAGTCCACCCTCCATGTCGCTTGTAGCGCTGGGGAGTATTTTGTATTTTGGTGGCCAAAACTACCTAAACAGGCAGTAGGTAAGATGTAGGTATGTTAGATCACCAGGCATCCTAGACTGGCCCCCATGACCTTCTGGCCGCCCTGAAGCCTTCCAAGGTTGATGAATAGATGCGGCATGACTATACAGAGCTCTTGAAGATAGAGCATTCCAGATTGCGCCTAAGGGATAATTGCCTCGTTTATCTTAACCTGCATGGCTATCATTGCTTTATGTAGGCTGCTCCATACGAAGACATCCGAGCACATCATCCGCATGATTTTGATCGTGTTCACATATTTCCTAAAAAATAATTATTTCTAACGGGTTTCTTGGGGGATGATCGTCGTTCTTTCGACCTTGGAAGTTCCCGATGTTTCGGGTCGTGAGCGCGTGTTGAGCTAGAGATTTATATCTCTGCCCCGTAGGTAAGATTTGGTGGATATTCAGTATTTAAGAGAACAACCGAAAAGACAAATCGAGGAAATAGATATTTGTTACTGGAAATCTCATCGCTGCGCCTGGGCGAATGTTTACCGACGCCCGTTGAACTGTTATAATTTTCATAACCGTTAACATGCAACGACCGATTTTCGATATTAAAAAGACTTGTTAGCTTTCAACAGGGAGAACAGAGCTGTCAGCTTCCTGTGGCTATTTTACAGGAACTTTGGAAATATTGCTAACATCCATGGATGGATGCAAGTTAAAACTTCGCTCGGAAATATATAATTTGAGACCCCAGGGACAACGTTCCTTGATCGACCACAAGACCTACGACCTAGGTAGGTAAAGGCTCCAATTCATACCAAAATATATTCATATGACGCTCAAAGCCTGAGTTTCTATACCAAAATACATCCAATAACATCAAGTCCCAAATTTTGTGTTTTTCTACACATTATGCTAGCCCGGGTAGAGCTGACGTGGACAACAATAGCATGCATGCTCCAGCGTACCTCAAAGGGCCAAATGCAACGACAATTTCAAGGTTTGCGAGCGTAAATGTTTGAAATTTGTAGCATTATATCTTTGACGGCGAAATAAACTCCAAGGAACAATATGCGGAGGAAAATGTTGTATCCAAAGTGCTTCAGTTGAGATCTCCCAGGGGCGTCGTGGCCCGGATCCACCAGAACACCCGTCACGAAGAATTCCACGCACCAGTTGACGCCTTCCAGAATCAGATAAGCTCGAGTGCAGAGACACGTAGATAAAACAACCCAGAGCCCACTGGACACGATGGAGATTCATGAATCATCTTAGAACATGCTACGCGAGACATTCATACTTGCATTGCTTGCAGGTGCAAATGCAGACTTGCAGCCTTTCTACCAGTCTGCGGGGTATGACATGAGTCAATATGGCGCCTGGCCATTGCAATCGTATCTCTCTTCGAGAATCTCGGGCCCTATACTCAACTACTGGAACCGCAGCCAGGCCTGCGAAGATGGATCCTACACATTGATCGCGCCGCGGGGAGATTCGGTCAGACATACCGGACCAATGATCCTCGATGAAAGTGGGAATCTTGTTTGGTTCAGGGAGTACCCAACTACATATAATCTCAACATAAAATCATTCCGCGGGGAGGACTATCTGACATTCTGGGCCGGAAACGATGGCATTGGAGGACATGGCGATGGGACATACTATATGGTAAGTGGATACTGTTCATCTATGATTCCATCGTCTGACAATATCAGCTGAACTCTCAATATGAAGAAGTATACAAAATCCGTGCTGTGAATGACCTTCCAGCGGACATGCACGAGTTTCAAATCACGCGCGATGACACCGCTCTGTTCGTCTGGTATGACAAACAGCCTGCGGATCTGCAGATTGTCGGCGGATCAGAAGATGGCTGGATCTATGATGGCGGATTTCAAGAGGTGGATGTGGAAACCAATGAGCTTCTCTTCCAGTGGCGAGCGTCGGATCACTTCAAATTCACAGATGGCTACCGGGGACCAGAGGAAAGGGGCAACTCCAAAGACGTCCCATGGGACTTCTTCCACATCAATAGCGTTGACAAAGACTTTCGCGGGAATTTCCTGGTCTCATCTCGGTATATGAGCTGTCTCGCTTATGTGGACGGAAAGACCGGAGATGTTATCTGGAGACTGGGTGGAAAGGACAATTCCTTCCAGGATTTGTCAGACGGTACAGCGACGAATATGAAATGGCAGCATCATGCCAGATTCCACGATGGCTCGCATGTGTCTTCGGGGTCCGTTGCGTCCAATCGAGTGATCACGCTGTTTGACAATTCATCCCGCGGAAAGGGAGCCACAGAAAGAACCAGCCGTGGCCTGTTCCTTGATATCGACGAGCAAAACATGACCGCTCGAGTGAGGCATGAGTACTGGAACTCGATTGCAATTAGCAGCCAGTCTCAGGGATCATTGCAGGTTCTTGAAAATGGGAACATCCTGGTTGGATATGGATACAACGCCGCCTGGACCGAGTTCTCCATGAACGGTGATGTACTATGTGAAGCCCATTTCGGACCAGCGGGGGGTTTCGGAAGTGGTAATATCATCTCATATCGCACCTTCAAGCATCAATGGACCGGGAGGCCGACTACTTCCCCCAGCGTGGCTTTTGCAGAGACACATGTGGCAGTGAGTTGGAACGGAGCCACGGATGTAGCGACGTGGGTTCTGGAAGGAATTGGCCATGGCCTCAACTTCACCAGCAATTCAGACACTAACCTGGATGAGTTCGCAATCGTCTCTGCTGTGCCCAGGTCCGGATTCGAGACTGATATTCCCGTGCCTGACCAAATGCCATATCGAAAGCTCCGAGTTGTCGCTCGGGATCAGAACGGCGAGATCCTGGGCCAAACGACTGCTGTCAACTGGACTCCGGACCAGTTTCGGAACGAAGTGTTGGTTGTTTCTGGCGAGGAAACAAATGTGGAGCACGGAAACAAGGCGAAAATTTTGCTGTCTGTCTTCATACCTCTGTCTGCAGCGTTGGCTGTATTCTGCTTGTGGCTAGGGAGAAAGCATCTCCAGCTTCGCGCGTGGAGAGGATCATTCCACAGTGGTATTGCCCGAGGAGCCAAGGAAGAGGTGTGGCTCCCTCTCGGCGTTTCAGATGAGTTGGACGGCCCAGAGGAAAGAGGGCAGCCGGATGAGCCTGTGGATTTAGAACATTGTGACCAAGACGTTGCGCTTCTTGGCGGACGACGGAACCGTGGTCTTTTCGTGTAGATACAAAGGCCCATATTTTCCGAGCCATGAGTAATATTATTCTGTACATAAATTCATCAATTCACCGATTTGACATGGACAATGCCAACACCGTACATAATGCAAGGTCGAATGCAAGGAATCTGGATATCGCTAGAAAACAGGAAGTCGTGCACTTTTCGAAGCGAGGATTCCTAGGCCGTGGCGCCTTGTCCCTCGATGCGGCCAAGCAATGTCTGTGCAAAACCCTCGAACCGAGGATATGACCAGGTCTCGCGGTAACGCTCGACGAGCGGCCGATGATCCGGCTCAGCAGGGGTTTCCTCGGGCTCGCCCTTGGGAACATCATCTTCATCTTCGTCATCGCTGTCTCCACGCTCCAGCTTTCCTTCAACCAATTCACCGAACTTCACATCGATAGGCACGCTGCCCAAAAATGAAAGAGACAATTCCTGAGCCATGACCTGCCCACCACCGCTGGAAAATAGATTGCTAACCTCGCCACAGCAAGGGCAAGCATATCCAGACATATTCTCGATGACACCCAGGACGGGAATGTTAGTCTTGACACAGAAGTTCGCCTCCTTGCGCACATCCGAAGTCGCAACGGCTTGTGGGGTCGTCACGAGCACCGCGCCAGCCAGTCGCGGAACGCCCGACTGAGCAGCCGCCGCGGCGTCCACCGTCGAAAGCGTGAGAAGCTGCTCCGCAAGCGCGATATGCTCGTCACTCGTTCCAGGCGGTGTATCGATCAAAAGATAATCCGTTTCGCCCCAAAAGACATCAGACAAGAATTGACGGATCATGGCGGTCTTCTTAGGCCCGCGCCAAATCACCGCATCCCCGCGATCACGCAGGAGGAAGCCGAGGGACATGCAGCGTAGGGAACCGCGAGACGGTTGTGTGGACTCGGTTTCAGGAGTTTCTGCACTGTGGACTGGCACGGGCATCCATCCGCCTGGGGCTTGTGTGATTTTGGCATCCTCGAGCCCGACGAGGCGCGGCATTGACGGTCCCGTCAGGTCGATGTCAAGGATGCCGACGGATTTGCCTTGTAATGAGAGTGCGAGGGCGAGCTGCAGGGTCACAGAGGACTTGCCTACTCCTCCTTTGCCTGAAAGGACCTATCATCCATTCCTCGTTAGCTACTTGTAGACGTGCGCATGGTTGCGGGCTTCGCAGTGCCTCGTTATCGATAAGCGGCGAGGGGCAATTTTGGCGTTCACATTGCGATCGCGGAGTGACATACCAGGACAACATTTTTCACACCGGTCAGGGGCATGTTTGCACAGCTATCCCGATAGAATTTGGAAAGGAGTGTAAAATCGAGAATTGAAATCGGAAGAAGAGGCTCTACGGGTCGATATCGGACCTCAAGTGCTGGTGCGGAGTAAGGATTACAAACCAACAAAAAATCGAAAAGAGAAGAGGCCGAACGCAGGATCCCGAAGGCGACGAAGTACATCGCCCACAGTATCTCCATCAGATCCCTTTCTACAGTACACATCTATATGGTGAGTTACTTCCAGGGGTTGGCACCGTTAGTCTTCAGGACTCCAAGGCCCTCGGACTGTCCAGTCTCCTTCGTTAGACCGCCACCATGCTCTTCCTATCTCAAAATGTAGATATGAATACGGTAGCAGTATGGCTACGGAGTAGGCCTAGACAACACCAACGCTACTGGCGTTCATCCAGAAAGAATTGACTGAGTGTTGGAAGAGAGCAAAATGCCTTCGGTCTAATTATCGGACATAAGCCGCGGAGAGCGCTGGGATAGTACTGTGTTGGGTCATGAATCATTCATAAAAGCCCGTTGCCCTGGGTTTCGCTTTTGAAACTCATACCGACCAGATAAAAGAGATAGTGGAGGCAAAGAATGTTCATAGTTGGGTTCACTGCCATTTCTGAACCACAACACCTCCTCGCTTGAACTCAGAAATGTCGCCGAGAACAAGGGCCTTATCCGTGAGTTCTTTGCTGGGGAAAGTGGTCATAAGAACCCATGGGCGGGTTGCGCCCTCCGCAGAAGCAGCGGAAACGAAAGAGTAGACATCACCAATGGTGGCTGTAGTGTTGAACCGAGAGGTCAATCGCGTGCCATCTCCGAGACGAACTTGCAGAGTGACTGTGGGCTGCGACTCGTCTACTGTGGGCTGAGCTGCCTCTTGGGTAGATGGTGCAGGGGCGGCGGAAGGCGTGGGGGCCTCGCTTCTCACGCCAGGTGTCGGGCTACCGAGACGTTGTCCGGATCCAGAGAATGGCTTGTACTTGAGCTTGGGCTTGGTGTACTTTTCCTCATGCTGCTTGAGTTCCACGTCGACCTCTTGGCCGGGCTGGACGTTCATAATCGAAAGAGGGGCCCGGCCCTGGCGGATGCCGTCAAGGATATCGGCGTTACGGGGGTCGTCCGATCGGAACAACTCACCATCATCCACTGAGAATCCATCTGCCCAGAAGTGAAGGATTCTTTGCACGCGCTGGGCGCGCTGCGGACTAGGGGCGGAGGGGTTCTCGATCACACGGCTGGGAGCCTCGTCGCCGCCAAGGGTACGGGCCGTACCAGTGAAATGTGATTGCCTTGGCTCAGGGTCATCAGAGGGAGGAGGTTGCGCCCTATTATATCGCGCGATGTTAAAAACGAAATCCCCCAGCGATGCGCACGAGTGCTTACCTGCGGGCCTTTTCGAGGATCTTCTTCTTGAGGTCGTCTGGGTTCTGCACAGCCAGTCCAGATTTCTCACCACCAGCAAAGAAATCGTGATCGTCGCTATCATCGCCATCAGAGGATTCGCCACCTCCGGCAGCACCCTGCGAGAAGTCCCCGAGAGTCGCAAATCGCTTTCGAGGCGCAGCTCCTCGAGCAGATGACGAAGCTTCAGGTGCCGCAGATGAAGCAGGTACGGCAGCGCCTCCCAGAGTTCGACCTCCAGATGAAGCTCCAGCAGCGCTTTCTGATCCCGCCTGTCCCTCTCCGCCAGCGTGTGTGTCCTGCATGGCCTCGTCTTGCTCCGTAAAGAATTCCGTCACGGCAGCTTCGATGTCGAATCCATTGGCAACGAGGTATTCCTGGGCCTGATGGGAATATTGAAGTCAGTAACGCGGGTATATCAAAGCGATCTCCGAGAAATTTACCTCAGAAGGCTGGGTTCCAGTCATAGCACAGAATTGAGATACAATCTCATCGTGCTCCGCGGGGTTGCCCTCCATCTTGGAGCTTGGGTCTAGGTTTGTGAGGTTGAGGTGGATAATAGACAGATGTTGATAAGAGCAGCAAGTCAATGAAGTTGCACTAACGGACAACCGAGAGCGGCAATATAGAAGTCTAGATACCAAGCTGAACTCGACAGACCTAAACACCTCAGATGCCCGGTCAACTAGTACGTCACTGCCAATTGGTCAGCCGGACTATCAATCTTCCGTGTCGCACCAGATGACACCTCAGGCAGAACTCTACATCTTCGCGAGCTCTGGAGGTCACCTTTGCTGATCTACGTCCACATTCTATCGTCAGATCAGAATGATGGTATGCTCAAGTTTAAGTTACAATACGACGAATTTGAAATTTGAAAAGGTGCCCGATATGGGACTCCAAGCTCTTTGGATGGTATTGAGAACAACAACGCAAATAAAACGCCAACAACAAACACATACATCACAGCCTACAAGTCAAGAATCAAACGCACTGTATCTTCCACCTCTTCAAGCATATCCGGCTTACTTAAAGTGGCGTCCAGTGCAATGACATCACTTTCCAACTCCGACGGCGGCTCTTGAATGGCAAGCTGTGATGCAACCATTGTCGACTGCATGTAATGAGACTCATTGGCAGAGCGAGCAACCAAACGTGCCTCCAATTGTGCTTCATCTCCAATCGAAAGACAAAGGAAGGTGACCATGACGGGGAAATCCAAGAGTTGGGGCAGCCTTCGCAGCTCATCACGGTAGACTGAGCGCAACGCAGAACATGTAACTGCAATGGCGGGGGCTGTTGAATGCTGCAGTCTGTCCATCAGGGCCCCTCTGATATGGGCAATCCAGTCCCAGCGATCGTCATCTCGGAGTGGGATGCTCTTAGCCATTTTCTCGCGAGCCAAATGCGAATGCATTTCGTCTCCTTCAATGACTGGAATATCGAATCGAGTTGCAAGAGCCTGTGCGGCTGTGCTCTTACCGGATCCACAAACTCCAGTCAGAAAGATTACCTCGCGGCACTTGGGAGAGAGGCTTGAGACAGCCGAGCTGCCCCAACATTCTCGGCGGAAGTAGCTAATGAACCGCGTCACCAAATCGAGCGTAAGTCCTTCGGCCTGTCGCAGGGACGGGGCGGCTGCTTGTGCCTTTTTCGTATCATAGAGCAGCACTCGGCTTGGGCTGTCATTATCGTACTTGCTGGCAAAGAACTCGACGAGCTTAATGGGAGGGTTCAGCTTTGGATCTGGGTTGGAATCCCGAAGGCGACTCAACCATTCACGCTGATTCAGCTCTTCGAAGTCGAGACCTGCCTGTTTGAGCAGCGGAAGCAGATCGTGTGTCCAATGGCTGAGAGTTGAGTTGGTGACGTTCAATACCTCCCCTGCAGCTGGAGCTAGAGTAAGATCAACAACGCTGCTGGCGATGATATCAACTGGCGTCCATGACAGAAGATCCTCCAGCTTTGGGAGCGCGTGTATTGTTTCTGCACACTGCAAGATCATGGGGATAGCCTCGGTGGCATTCCAGATACCCCGAGTAGTATCTCCAATGATTTGGCCAACTCGCAGAACCCGAGCAGTCATTCCAGTTTGATGCGCCGCCCGATTGATGATGTGCTCTGTCACTAGCTTGGATTGCGCGTATCCCATGTTCTGAGCGTAACTCAGTGAATCTGGGAGAGCTTCCGGTACCCAATGGCCTGGTGTGCGGGCCACCGTACTGACGGAGGAGCAGAAGGAGAATTTTGCAGGAACTGGCTGACGGACCCGTAGACACAGATCTAATAGATTCCGAGTCCCTGCAATGCAGCTACCCTCGAAGCTTTCCAATGCCCAGTTGAAATTCACCGACCAGGCACAATGCATGACTCCTGTCACTGAATCAAGCAGATTCGCATAGGTGGACTCCTCGAGGCCCATGCGAATTTCGCTGCCCAAATCTGCCGGCAAAGCTATGATCTTTCCTTGCTGTGCCGGGCTCAGCTCATACGACAAACCTCGCGCACGCAGGGACTGATACACTCGACGACGAGCAGAATGGACCGAGCTAGCGCGGACAAGGCAGTAGATTGCTCGAACATCTTCTGAACGAGCCAATTGCACCACGACATGAGCACCTAAGGAGCCTGTGGCACCCGTCACAATGATATGCTCTCCATCAGCCTGGCGGGCAACAGGAACATGTGACTCGAAGTTGGCACTGTACCTTTCGATCAGGGCCGACATCCGTTGTTCCACCGTCAATTCCTCCTTTGGAGCTTGGCCAAGACGAATGCAAGTCAATGCATCGGCCATAGCTCGAAGAGACGGATTTTCAAACACAAAGTTCTGAGATAACTTCTGTCCTCCAAGATAGAGTGTCTTCAGAATCATGGTGCGTAGTCGGATGGATTGCAGACTGTCGATTCCAAGACTGAAGATATCGGTCTGGTCCTCTACGGACGCAGGTTCGAGGGCCGGTGCAACTTCCAGAAGTTGCTGGCGCAGGAGATCAATCAGTTCATCACCCTCACATACTCGCTCTCCCTCAGCGACTTCAACATCATATATGTGATCGATTTGACTTTGATAGTCGCGATAGAAAGCTGATCGAATGACGGTGCCTTTGTCGGTTTTGCGGTACACGGCGTCGGATGGCAGGACATGGATCATGTCCCGGGACATGTATGCATAAGCCGGGGATTCGGCGTTGCATTTCTCGATGGCGGGGAAGATCATGTCCACCAGCTCTTCATTCGTTTTGGCATTGCAGCTATCGGACGCAACCACGAACATCCCAAGACGCGGCTTGTTCGCACCAAAAGCAATTGCCTCGGCGACATTCGAGTTGTTCCGAGCTACACCCTCAATGACCAAAGGGTTTGCCTTCTCGCCGTTCTCCAAGACAAGAGTGTCATCTTGACGCGCATAGTATCTCCACGCGTTTGGCGTAGTTGGATGCTTCTCGAAGAGGTCTTTTGTCGCATATGAGTTGTCGGGCCGGTTGCTTGCTACTTTAGAGGGCCACCCCTCTAGAACGCAAAGCTCATAGATCCCAGTTGATTGTTCCTCCCAACGAAGATATGGCAGCAACGATGGACCGGGCCGGACATAGTCCCAGTCCAGATCTGATCGGTCTCTGAAAGATGTCATCAGTTGGCCTGTCTCGGTGGTTCCGTAATGCGACACCAAGCGAACACCGTTTTGGACCAGTGTATCGCCAATAGGCTTTGGACAGGAAGATCCTCCAAACATAACAAGTTCCAGCCGTGAAAGGGCCTTTAAGCCCTCTTCCGATTCGGACAGAAGCTTCAACGCGTACGGAACCCCGTAGAGAACTTCGATTTCTTGATGTTCTTGCAGAGTGGCCATAAGATGAGGCGCTGTCAGTGGGAGGTTGGCATTGTACATGTAAATCAGTTTCTGGGAGTGCACGGCACGGAAGAGACAACTGATGCCATGAGCGTGGAAGAGTGGCAGGGTGATGAACCCTCGAAGCCCGAAGTTGTTGGCATAATTCTTCAGTGCCCCCGAGTGTGTCTGGTAGATCGGCTTTGGGTGACCAGTTGATCCACTTGAATGAATGACCTGTCAGAAGCATATGAGCAAAATTCATCAAACCGTGGCAAGGTTGGTACTCACCCAGCAGATGTTACTAGCCTCTCGAGCGCCGTCCAGATACGCTGCTGGCAGCGACTGTTTGCTCGCAGTCAAGTTATCGTATTGGTCGCGGGATAGCGCCTCTTGGTGAACAATTTTGGTTCTTTCTGCGATCTTCTGTCCCATCTTCTCAAAGCTCTTGTGTGCGATGAGATAAGAGGCAGATGTACTTTCGACCAGACTGACATAGGCATCTTCTGCGATACGCGTTGACAGCAAGAGGACGGTATGACCAAGTCGAGTGACTGCCAACAGGGTAATCAAATACTCAAAGTCCGAGGGACCAAGTAAGCCCACGACTTGGACAGGGTCCTCCGAAGAACGTCTCTGGGGGATCACCCTCGAAAGAATGACCGCTGCTGCTTCAACGAAAGTATCCAACTACGGCTCGATTAGTTAATTGTGATTTTCAGAGCACGCTATTTGCAGGGCCGCAGTAAGACAGAATGAAACTGACCTGGCGCGGTGTGTAGTACGTGTACTCCGTTCCTGTTGACGGATACGCAACGATAGACTCATTTGCGAGACTTCCGTTGGCTCTCGTCTTCAAAAGCCCATCAATGGTCTGGAAGTCTTGCTCAGTGAAATGTCGATCAAGTGAGAGTGATGTGGCTGTCGCCACCCCAGACTCATTCCCCGGCAGATGAGGTGCTGTCGCAATTGGCGGTTGCAAAGTCACAGCCGCCATTATGATGATGTCAAGTCTGGATTGGAGTGCCCAAAGTCAGGGCGGTTTGGGTTTATGTATCATCTTTGCCATTCATGGATAGTTGATGTTGGGACTCGGACTCCGCATATCATTTCCGCCGCAGCCCTGCCGTGCTTTTCCGCCACACGGCGGAAAAGCACCTCCGCGTGGTCGGGTACCTCGTCCCCCACATTCTGAGAACGTCATGAATGCACGACCTGCGGGGAGAGAGCAGAAGCCACTAACCCGTTGAAATTCGATCATAATAGTGACTCACATCTCGTTCCGGAAAAGCAATGGAATTCCAGTCCGAATCCGCTTCTAGACAAGCTTTGAGATTCCCTGGCTCGACCTCGGCAACCTAAGGATGAACCCCTAACCCTACCGACATCGTAAAGGTCTCGGTACTTTGCATTCGGCAAGATCCGAACCTTGGAAGTCACATCTACTCCGTGATAAAGAAAATGCTTAGAACGCAAGAATGTCAGCTAATTGTGACTAATGTGCTCACCTACCCACCTTCGGCGTGGAGGTGAGCCAAAGCTCAATAACCTACAGGGCAATAGTCAATTTTCAACCTCGCTTTCCACCACCAATACTTAATAGATTACTATTAAATTGGACCATGGGACTCTTCAGTGCAAAGACTTCCAATATTTACCAAAAAGAAGTGTCAAATTTTAAAAGATTGTTGTTTTGGTTATTCAGCTTTGGTTGGTTATTGAGCTTTGGCTCACCTACACGCCGAAGGTAGGTACCTACCTAGGTACCTAAGTTGGAATCTCGTTTCCCGAACCCCCTGGCGCCTCTCTTCATCGAACAGCAGCAGGGAAGGATCCGCTTCCTCGAGTAACTGGGAGGAAATCCCCAGATCATGGGCATGCCGTAAATCCAAGGTGTTGAAGGTAATGCCCAGTTCTGTCGCCCGGATCTCACGCATCGTCCGTTCGACCAAGTCTACCGTCTGTGCGGCCATCATGTAACGGTCTTGTAGCGATTGAGGGGTAATACCATTGGTCTCCAGCGCAGCAATGTCTAGGACATTTCCAAATTGGGCGCCATTTAATCGTCGGCTCATGCGGGTCAATTCTTTTTGTGACCGGCTCCTCTCGAAAATGGGTATATCGTAGGACAAGATCGATAGGCGGCGTTTCCGGGCTTCGATTTCGGCACGCTGTTGGGGCCGCTCATTGAGTGTCTCGGCGGTCCCCCAGCCCGTAGCCCAGTCAACGTTCTATCGAGCGTTGACCTCTCTGAACCAATTTTTGTTTCGTGCTTTAACTGCATCTCCGCCAAGGCCGGCGTTCTCAGTCTCAATGGTGAATTCATCGAAAAAGTATGTTTTCTTCCTTTGTCAAAGTTGACTTTTTTCGCTGGGGTTCTCGGCTCGCCTTGAGTTGAGGACACTGGGCGTTGCCATCCGTGTTCATGTCGAGTAGGGTCCTTAGTGATTCCCCTGCTAGTGAGCAGATTAGTCACAATTATATTCATTTAGTCATAATCATATTCATCAAGGTATCAGAATGTCCGTTTTGGTCGTCGGCAGCCTTCCAAGGTTCGTCGCCTGAGACCCTAATCAGGCCCACGACGAGCTAAAATATTCATTCATTCTATTCCTTTTCATATCGGTAAAATCAGTTTATTCTCACTTACGACGAAGCCCTGGAGGTCTCCAGGACGCAAAATGACCCACTCAACTGTTGTTCTAGATCCGGATGGTGATATGATAATCATACTGCGCAATGCAAGCCCCCCTTTCGCACCGATGCTCGAAGATGCGACCCAGGAAGATCTTTCTCATGGCGATCCAGACAGTCACGGATGTGACACTGCACCCTCTCGCGACATAGCTCCTGAGAAACCCGGCATCGAAGAGGTTTCCTCCGAAGGAACTCTTGAACAGCAAGTCGATAATGAACTGAGAGACGAGGTCCATTTTCAAGTCTCCGCCAAAAGCATGGTACATGCGTTTTCGTTCTTCGAGACAATGCTTGGAGGTCGATGGAAAGAAAGTACAGTCTATCAAGAGAAGGGCTCAACGGAGATCACCGCAGAAGGCTGGGATTCCAACGCTCTCTTGATTCTTCTTCAAGCGGTCCACTGTCAATACGGTCAAGATGCAGAAGTGATGACGCTTGAGATGCTAGCAAAGATCGCACTGATAGCTGACTACTACGACTTGAAGAGTAGTCTTCGCAGCAGCATGGCGGATTCATGGATCAAACCTCTGGACGAGAAATTTCCTATGACATATTCGCGAGATCTGGTCCTTTGGATATGGGTCTCCTGGGTTTTCAATCTACCTTCTCGATTCAAACGGTCAACGTCTTTTGCCATGACATACTCTGATGATTTGATCAATGGGCTGGAGTTTCCAATTCCCAATACTATCATCGGTATGAAAATGCAATGACTGTCACTTGGCGCTTTCTAACTGAATTACAGAGACAATGAATGAAATGAGACAAGAGTCTATTGATGCAGTATTTCGCAAGCTGGATAAAGCAAGCGAGTCATTGTTAAACGGAACCAGAGGTTGTCACATTGAATGTCAATTGATGATGTATGGCGTCTTGACGGTGTATATTCGGGCAACCCCTCTTCTTTCGCCCAGGCCTACGAGTCCCTTCCTCCACCTCAGTTACAATAATCTGATTGATAAAGTGCTATTGCTGACCTCGCCGGACTGGTCTGATGCTTCTTTTGTTCCCGCGAAGCGTGGTCGCCATCAGATTGACCAGCATTGCTGCGAGGACTCGAGGTTTACCTTTCTGCTCAAGAACTTGATGTACCGTGATTGGATTGGAGGGTTGGATATTGACATGTTTAGGACTCTTTAGAAGTTTCGAGGAAGACTTGACATGGAGCCGCAAGGTGCGGATGTCAAAGGGTGTATGTGTATTGCTCAAATAATCGAAATGGTCTTACCTATTCATGAGTTTGAAGCCATAACAGGAAAAGAAAGAAATCTACCAGCCGGGGGAGGGCTTTCCATGAACCAGCTCATGCCAACCGACAAAGAAGTGTATTTTGGGAAGTTCGAGAAATGGTCAATGAAATAGGATCCATATTGGGCGGCAATCATGCGATCAAATTCCATTCTCAAAGCCACCACTACAAGCGTGCTCCTTGGCTCGCAGTACGAGTGACGTCGAAATCTAACCGAACAACAATAGTACAAATAAACACACCGTGATTGGCTTTGCCCCCAAAGTGCCCAGGGCAGAGCGCCAAGCCCATTTAATTTAGCGCAGCCAAGCCTGCGAGTGCCGCATCCGAGAGCCCTGGAGCCTAAACTCGAGCCTCTTCTCTGACCAGGTCTTCTGCTTCACATCCACACGGTTTCCCACCTGGTGATAGTACAGTCTCTCTCTCTCTCTCTCTCTCTCTCTCTCTCTCTCTCTTTTAATCTACACCTGGCATTCAACACTCTGACGAACTAGTCTGGTACTCCATCACCTGGGCTTCACCATACCATGCGACCCGCCACTTCTCGCCTTTTGAGCCTCCTCGCAGCCACAACCGCTGCCCTTGCCGCCAACAATGGACCCGCCTCAGGTGCCATTCCTTTGACCGACGATACATTTCACGACTTCGTTCAGGAGCATGACTTGGTTTTGGCGAATTTCTATATGTCATGGTGTCGCTGGTCTAAAATGTTGGATCCGCATTTTGAAATAGCGGCTACGGTGCTCAGAGAAGACAACATCCCCCTGGCCAAGATTGACTGCATGGAAGAGGTTGATATATGCGCGGAGTATGATATCGGTATTTTTCCTTCTATGGAGGTATTCCGTGGCCCCGAGTCGCACAAATCGTACGATGGGAGTCGCTCAGCAGAGTCGTATGCATGCCTTCGGTGGGAAGCATATCCAATACGCTGACATCTATTCAGGATAATCTCATACATGCAGGACGAGTCAATGTCTACAGGAGGCGCGGAAGTGTTGTATGTTCAAACATACGACTAAGGCAACACGGAAACCCCTACCAGATCAATGATATATCGAGTCTTTGATCCAAGGTAAGGCAGCCAGTACTATGGATTTTGGTGAGACTGAATTCAAATACCTAGTATTTGAGATCTTTTGAGCGTATGTGAAGCCTATATACAATTGCAATGTCTATTTTGAACTGAGATTTGATCCAACCTAGATTTAGACCGTGAACTTGATCTTGTTTGCCGGCCCTGCCTCAACAGCAGCCTTGCGCACCGCCTCCTCTCCCGCCTCCTCGAAAATATCATATCCCCAAATAGCCGGGAAGTTGAATCGCTTGTGTCTTTCCAAAGAAGTGAGCTTTGCAAATGCACTCTCAGGCAACTCCCGGACCTGGAGATTCGAGGCAATGCGCGAAGGAGTAACGCTCTTGGACAACACCACAGTACCACGCTGCACACCCCAGCTGGCAAGAAGAGCACCCGGGTCGAGGCTAATTTCTTCTGAGACGGTATGGACGAGAGGGTCGTCGACGGTTCGTGGTGCTCCGGTTTGGTTGTTGCCCAATGGAGAGTATGCTTCGACGATGATGCCTTTGCTTTGACAGAAGCGCAGTAGCTCGGTCTGCTGCAGGTATGGGTGTGCTTCGATCTGGTTGGCTGCAGGTACCACGGTGACCTGGCCGAGGAGCTCTTCCAGGCGTCGAACGTTGAAGTTGGACACTCCAATTGCGCGCACCTTGCCGGTTGCAAGTAACTTCTCCATTGCCTTGTATGTTGTGATATAGTCGACTGGTGCGAGCTCAAACACGCCGTCTTCATTCAAAGGGAACCATTTGTCGCCGCCCTTGAACGCACTGGGGTTTGAGATTAGTATTTGGTCCCAACATGTTGGCTGTCCAAGGGCTCGGAGGGAGACTTACCAAGGCCAGTGCATGAGGTAGAGATCCAGATACTCGACACCCAAGTCTTTGAGAGTCTTATCCAAAGCGCTCTCCACGTCCTCGGGTGCGTGCTTGGTGTTCCACAACTTGCCAGTAATGAAAATCTCATTGCGAGCAACACCCGACTTGCGAATGCCGTTTCCAACCTCTGTCTCATTGCGGTAAATCGCAGCACAGTCGATGTGGCGGTATCCTTGTTTGAGGGCGACTTCCACAGCATTTTCAACTTCCAATGGCTTGGCTTGCCAGGTGCCGAATCCCACGGTGGGGATCTTCGCGCCGGTGTTCAGTGTGAAATGGGTAGTGAGAGGCATGATGAATTGGAATTTTGTACAGGAGAATGAATGAGCTCCAGAAGCGAGATACACCGGAACTAAGTACTATTAGGGTCGGGGCAAGGGGGGAGCGCTCTAGATGGGGACGTCGGATAAGGGCGGAAAACCAAACGAGGCGGAACAACGCAACCCACTTGGGTGTGCGGGCACTTGCCGGGACTTTGGGGAAGTATCCACCGCGGAGAAATCCGGGGAATGGGATTGTTATCCCAGTCGTGTTCAAGTGCGTGCTGGCAGCTAGTGTAGCCGGAAACTGAGCATTGGTATATATATCCGTCTCTTGGCTACTCTTGTTTTGCCCAGACAAAGCTTGTGTTTTTGTTCTCTTGGGATTTCTATTAGCCAAGGATCTCAACGCCCATCACAACCTTGGGATTTATGAGAGATATCCTTTGCGAGGTTCGAGGGATTTTCAACTTCCAAGTTCTGCTTTAAGCTCAATTGGACCACAAAACACAGCATCAGACCATGGCAGAAGTAACCTCCAAAACTTCCTCACTCCACGTCGAGTCTTCCAAACCATTCAATGAAGATAATCAGCTTTTTGATGGACTATCTGACGAGGAAACCCGGCGGATAGAGAAAAAGCGTGAGTTATCCAAATTCAAAGGGTCCATTGGCATCGAAGGGATCTAGGGAGTTAACAAAGCAATAGTGGTTCGCAAAATTGACCTACATCTGATCTCTGCGTTATTCTTATTGTTCATTTTCAACATCTTGGACCGGTCCAACATTGCAAATGCCCGACTCGGGGGGATGCAGGAGGACCTGGGCCTCTCAGATACCCAGTACCAGACTGCGGTAGCGATCATGGTGAGTTCATCGATCTGTCGAAGGATCGAAGAGAAGTATGACAGCAACTGACTTAAGCCAAAACGCTAGTTCGTGGGCTATCTGTTAGGTCAAGTTCCCAGTAACATCATTTTGACTCGACTCAAACCATCGCGGTATATCCCATCCGCCATCTTCATATGGGGAGGCATTTCTCTGTGCACAGCAGCAACCAAAAACTTCACTGGGATAATGTGTGTGCGGGTCTTCCTTGGATTTGCCGAATCTCCATTCTTCCCAGGAGCATTGTATGTACATTCTACCCAAATCACTTGGAATTGATCTGTGAACTGACATAACGCAGGCTCTTGATCTCGTCGTGGTATAAGCCATCTGAGATTGCCGTCCGAGTTGCGATCGTTTATTGTGGAAATACCGTAGCCAATGGATTTGGTGGCCTGTTAGCAGCAGGAATTATGAGCGGGTTGAATGGGAAGGGTGGACTTGAGGGTTGGAGGTCGGTCATTCCCCCTAGTAGAGAATTCGTGAATACTCGACTGACTATTGAAACTAGATGGTTGTTCATCATTGAAGGGGCGGGAACAATGGTCGCCGGAGTGCTCGCAGTGGCTCTGCTTCCAGACTTCCCTCGCTCTGGAAAACAAAAGTGGCTCACTGAGCAGGAGCAGCGTTTGGCAGAATGGCGCCTTGCGCGTGCCGCAAATGACGAAGTTGATGAAAATGGTTCGGTGAAGGAAGCACTTCGAGACGCCTTCATTGATCCAAAGGCGTGGATACTGATTCTGATTCAAGTCTGTCAGCTGTCAGCTCAGACTTGGACATATTTCTTCCCCGTATGTGTATTCAAATGGCTGCTAAAACTTGACAGTTTAAGTAACAGATAGCTGACGGAACCAGACGATCGCGAAAACATTGGGCTACAGCGACAATGTCACGCTGTTGATCATCGCACCCGTGTATATCTTCGGTTTCATCACTGCTTTGGGCAATTCTCTCATCGCAACCAAGACCGACCATCGAGCGATACTCATTATCTGGCCCCTGTGTGTGGACATCGTTGGAAACGTGATGGTTATTTCCTCTCGTGCCACAGCCGTGCGCTACGTCGGGATGTTCCTGATGTGTGCTGGTTCCTACTCCGCGTTCAACGTGGTGCAGGCATGGATCGCCAGTACAATTCCCCGGACTCGAACAAAGCGCGCTATTGTGTACGCACTTGTGAATTTGTTCGGCAACTCGTCCAATATTTATGGGTCGTATTTCTTCCCAACTGCAGACTCCCCTCAATATCGACCGGGCGGAATCACTTTGTCCGCGTTCGCTGCAGGGGGTATCGTGCTTTCAGTCGTTTTGGCTGGCTATCTCCACATGTTGAACGTGAAGGCCAAAAAGGCAGAAGGCGAAGATGGTCAGACACGATACAAGTATATTTGGTAGACGCTAAAAATATAAGCTGGGGCCGAATGATACAAATGGCAGCTTTCAGGCTATGGCTTGTGCCAACCTCCTTTCGTCGTTGAAGTTTCTCTGAAGATATGTCGCAGTGCAGAACTGGGACTTAGGTAACATGTATCGTTTAATTCATCAAATTTCATCCATGGTAAGCTGGATTGATTAGCAATTCTGATTAGGAAACCCGAAATAGAGTACTCACCGACAGGCAGACTATCAAATTGTGACCAGAAGTCTGGAATCAAGTCCTCGTCTGTGCCGAGGTTATCGAAGAGGATCTCTGTGTTTGGATCGAGAAAAATGTTTTCAACAAAAGCATCATGCTGAGACAAGCTGCTGGCAGGCAGGACATCCGCTTCGGTAAGGCTGTTTGCTGGAACTAGCCCATGATGTTGACTTTGCGGATGCTGTCGAGCATCCTGGACATTTGCAGGGAACGCATGTGGGTTGTTAGTGGTGACAGGATACCCATCGCGACTTTCCGAGTGAACTGAACCAGGCCCCGAGACCGAGGCATTTGATCGGGACAATTCACGGCGCAGGACTTGAAGAATTGCGCTGTATCTCCATGCGGGTGCATTGCGAACAGTCGCATCAGCAAGATGAGCCTGTGCAGTTTCACATAGCCTGTATAGTGTGGTTGGATCAAGATGCAAGTCAAAGGGTCCGTCTTGATTGTGAAGGAAGCGAAGATTAGCCGGTGATATCCTGCCTCGCTGCACCTGTATAAGGTAAAGATATATGATAGACAACGCATTGAATGCAATGTATTGAGAATACCAGAAGGAAGGGAAAAGCTGCTTCTCTTGAACAAAGGCAAGTATCAGTTCGATGGCGTCTCGGGCCGCGGTGAGACAGGTGCTCAGATAATACTGGTAGCTTGCTTCGCATTCAGGCCAGATTTGTGAGTAATTGCGAAGCAAGAGAGGTCGTGTGATGAAAATCAAAGCATGATATCGTGCCAGTTGTAAGACTGTTAACTGTCGCCGAAGCCCGGGGATTAGGCTGCCTGGTTGGATGATACCAGACAGGAACGGGGGCAACTCGGCTTGCCATTCAGCAACTCTTCCACAGAAAACACGAATTGTATCAATTTGTTCTTTGGAAGAGATGCCGGTCACGACATAAGACTCCCTTGCAGCTTGTGTCAAAATGCGAGCCAGGACTGCGTGGAATACCGGCGCATCCATTAGGCAATCACACTTGGAGGGATTCATCTCATGACGTGATAGATCTTGGTCGTTGATACGAGTTGGCAATTCTTCATCAATATCTTCATCTTGCCAAAGACGTGGCCGACCCAGTATGATGCTGAGGTATTTGTCCAGAGTGTATGAGCACCAGAGCACACGCCTTTGGCATTCCTTCCGTACGAGGTCGTCTTCTCCAACAACGACCCTCGATCGTTTGCTATGAAAGCCCAGTGCCATCATCAGTTGTACTGTGGTCCCGAATGTGAACCAGGCCTTGTGTGCCCTTGATGAGCTAAGTAGATACAGCACCGTCAGAAAGCGAGCTTGCACAGAGCCTAGTCTGGGAGCTCCTGTTTCATTGGAGAGGAGAAAGTCTGCCTGCGCATAGTAATGCTCACTATTGACCCAACCGTTCTCATCTGCGGCAGCTAGGTGGCCCTCTGAGTCTGGTTGATACATGGTCGCCGTGGCGAATATTAGTAGAGCGATGGCTTGAGAGGCCACGTCTTGCACAGAATCTGGAGAGATTGTACCATTCTCGTATAGACTCTCAATCAGCTGTTCAATCGTCGGTTGGTGAAGAATCCGATAAGTCAGTGCTGCGAAGTCAAAGTATCGTCGAACCAGTTTGTCTGCGGTTTGCCGCGTTGGCCATTGAAAATCTGCCAGCTGGACACTGGGATTGATGCGGTCCCCGAATGAGAATATAGGCACAGTTGAAGGTGCACTTTGGCAGGGCTGTTGAGCCAATACCTTCGAGGGCGCAGTTGGCAAGTCTTGAACAACTCGCCCAAGGAAGGAATGGGCCGATGTTGGGCCCCAATACTGAGAGTCAGCAGTCGACGGCACTAATGGCTCTGGTGCATTTGGGATCACCGCTGCCGCTTGCTCAGAGACATTGGTGGGTGATCTGTAGGAAGTAGGTTGCTGATTCCAGCCCCCTCGAGGAGAGTCGGTCGTCGCGATACGCTGCGACCGAGCTTTTTGACCCGTAGGATTCTGGCCGACTGTGCTGGGGGTGGTGGGACTTGGGGTGTCTTTGTGGTTCGAGAAAAGTGGACTCACTGCGACACCGCGGTTGTACGCCGCGTCGTACGTGCAAGACAGCCGCCGGCGGGCACACGGACCACAAGGGAGTGTTCCTGTACACGCTTTTTTCTTGCTTTTGCAGGCATCACAGGCGCGCGTCACCTTTCGCACTTTGCGCGCATCCTGAGCCATTTCCGATGAAACATGTGGAGCAGGAAGCCCTGGAGAGTACAGATGCCAGTTTCGACGTCCAACCTTAGAAATATCCGACCTGTTTTCCGCTTTTCCAGCTTCCGCTCCGCATTTCTCCGCTTCCCATTTCGGTCTTAGGACACTTCAGGTCTTTCGATTATACCACACATGTTTTTTTCAAAAGAAAAAAAAACAGACATCTCGTAATTATTGAGTAGAAAGACGCACGTGAAAAGGTTGAAGGGCTGAGCTGAGCTCGTGGACAGGGGCAACGTGGACCTTCCTGCAGAACGACTCGGCCAAAAAGACGAGACCGATACAGGGACCTACCACGAACGGCCAATGAGACTATTCGTGTATGTATCAACCTTGGAATAGTATTATTCCCCTGATTAATTTTACATCAGGGGTTTAAAGGTTATTTGCTTCTCTCTCAACTTCATTATAGGCGCCAACTGCAGGCCATATGAATATGAACGCGTAGTGCATTACCCAAATGATTTCTCGACTCATTCAGCGGTCTATAGTCACATAAATAGTCAAGTAAGTATGAATGGACATAGGATCTGAATGTATCTCCTAAGCAGTGAGCACTGCAGGTGCCCAGGTGAGATTGAATGCTGACGTAGGATTGCCGGATCGGGTAACCCCACGTCACGTGCGATCGGCAGATAAGATGAGCGCTTAAGCCCAGCACTCTGAACAAATCGCGTGGAATTTCAAATCGAGCCTCAAAGGACTGGCAGCTTGCCTACGCTGGATTAATGGGTTTTCCCTTGCAAATGTCTTGAATCGATCCGCCAATTCGCTCTTTCCCCGGCCGCCAATGAACAAACCCCTGCTGTATAGGCCCAGATTCCGAGACAAACGCCGAATAATCTCTTCCGAAACGAGTCTTTTTTCTGTTTAAGACAGGATGACGTCGCCATACCCAGCATCCAGCTCCTTCTCACCCTCCATTTCCTCCGACATGCCTGCGGCGTCCAACAGGCCAGTCTCTGATTTGCCGCAAGCCCAGGTCGACGCGATAATCCGGACGAAGCGCAAGGCCCGCGAACCTAAGGCCTGCTACCCATGTCATGCACGAAAGGTCAAATGCGATCGCAACCTTCCGTGTGATGGCTGCGTGAAGCGCGACCATGCCAACCTCTGCTCCTACGAGCGTCCTTCCAAGAAACAATCGCAAGCCTTTCACGAAAGCCCTACTGCCAGCTCAGCTCCGGTTCCAGTCGCGATGCCAGAATACCCAACAACTTATTCTTACAATGATACCCCAGCGCAGATGAATCCGAGATTGTCCGTGGGCCGACCAGACGGCCCGAGCGGTGGTGCGCGGGTGTCAATCGCCCGGGAGGAGTGGGATAATGTGCGCAATAGACTGCGGGAGATGGAGTCGACGATCTCTTCGCTTCGTGTTGGCCTAGAAAAGGCCGAAGATGGCCTCACAAACTCCATGGATACCGGGAGCGTGCAGAGCGGCGATGCGGGTTCCCGTTCTAAAGCTGCTTCGCCGGAACGCGAGGGTATCCATGCCGCAAATACCCTTGGTAAAGGCACGGTGCATTTGGGCTCTCGATCAGTGCTGGCTTACATCTTGAACAACCAATCTGGATCCGATCAACTTCAAGCACTTTTGGAAGGCGGGATATTGCCCAAGCTTGGGTTGGACAACGAGTCTGCAACTTACCCATTTGTGGATTTGTGGTCCACCGATATGTCGACATTTGATATCACAGCGGTCTGCAGCGCCCTCCCAACGGATCAGCAATGTCGAGAGTGAGTGGATCTATCTGCCTGGTGTTCTAATCTGGTCGAAGCGACAAATACTAACCATCGGCTTTGGGTAGAATGTTCTACTACTATAAAGACATTTCAGGGGCCATATATCCAGTTCTGGAAGACGTTGTCGAGTTTGAGAGCGCACTCGAGTTGTTATTGCAGACCAGAAGTGCCATGGGCGGTGAATATCGCGCCGACCAGGATGAATCGCAAAAGCCTTTTGGCGTCAGCCTTGCATACCTAGGACTCTTGTTTGCCGTTCTTGCTTCCGGATGTCAATCGTCCGACTACGGCAGCAAAGAGAGAGAATTGACCTCGCAAGTCTATGGTACGTCTCCCACCACAAACAGAATCCATGCCCAGTTGTTGACAACCACACCAGTTTGCTGCTCTTATCAATGTCTTCGCATGACAAACTTCCTATCTCAGCCCACAATTGAAGCAATCCAAACCCTTCTGGTAATAGGCAATGTGCTATCATACAACATGAACCCTGGAATCTCTTATGTGTTGCTTGGAATGACTCTCCGCATGGGTTTGGCCCTTGGTCTTCATGTTGAATCAAGTCACTTCTCGTCAGCGGAGCGATATCGCCGAAGACATACTTGGTAAGTGTCGATTACTTATTCATTGGCATGTCGGAAAACTAACTAGTCCAGGTGGTCTATGGCATGGCAAGATAGTCATTTCTCACTCTCATATGATCGACCATCTACCACTGCAGTAAGCCAGCCAGATATCGCCTACAAGGAAGGCTCCAAGGCTGGTGATCTGTCTTACTTCGAGACTCTTTGTCGGGTCATCTCTCTTGCGTTGGAGGTTGTCCGTATACGCATGTTGAGCCCACACGCCCAAATCAACCTAGAGAGTATTCAAGGCTATAAGGAACGCATTCAAAAGATCATGATCGAGGCCAAGCCCTATCTGCGAGATGCGAGCCGATGTTCTACATCACCGGAACATCTAGAGAGGGTTGTACTCAAGCTTCATTCTTCATATTTTGCCTCTGAGCTCTGTCGACCAGCGCTCAAGCCAATGGCTGACTTTAGTGATGCAAGCGTTGCCAGCATGCGGGCAACCTGCGTGGCGAATCTGATGACAACTGTTGAAGCTTATATTGAGATGCACAACATCAGCTCTCATGCTGCGCGCTCCTGGATTGCGCTACAGCGTGCAATCAGCTCGGCATTCTTGCTTGCTGTCATCGAAGAAGCGAAGCTGGACCCGAACGTCTGGAATCTTCTGCGACAATTGGAAGGTATTATCGCACAAAGAGCAAGTACCGAACGGGCTTATGATTCAAACGAGGCTGCTGCCACTGTTGCTAGCATGACTTCGCCATCTCAGAATCTTGGCGGCTATGATCCAATCACTGGGGCTGCCAACTCATCCAACCCTATCGCTCCGGTGGTGGACCCCAATTCGCCTGCTGGTTTGCCAGCTGACACTCAAACGCAATGGGCCAAATCGCTGGCGAAAACACATCGTGCTCTGCAAAAATTACTCAACGCTTTTGAACACCACCCTTCGAGACAAATTCCTGGGCGTAATGGCACACCTGCATATCTCCCCCATCCTAGCCTGAACCCGGCTTCTGCTTCGATGGGATCGTTCGTCCCTGTTTCTGCCAGCATGACCCCCAGTGTCGGGTCTCTCCCACCGCCCACGCCAGAGAGCTCGGGCAGTGGAGAATGGTCTATGCCTAACATAATGGATCGAGCAGCGGAGTACATCCATCCGCCTCTGTGGGGCTAGGCTATAAAGCTTGCTATTCCTTGAAGGTTCTCATTTTTGTTCTTCTTCAGCGTGGCGCTGGAGTCTATTCCGGTTCGTCTTTTGTTTTTCGTCGCCCGATTCGGCTTTCTTGGACATCATCTTTCGGAGGCTCCGTTATTATTCCCGTTTATATTTCCTCGGTACTCCGTACTTATACTATTCTTTTGGAATTCATCCGAGCTGTGTGTATTGTCTTTTCGAACAAATGGATATGGATATCTTCCAACAAATTGCCCGCGGACTCTGCGGAGCCAATTAGAGCACTGGCAACAATTGACCTACACATTCGCCAAACCCAACCCCAGAGCCGTCTTTGCCAGCGATACCAGTCATCTGAATCACATCTCCGTCTTCCAGGAAAACTCTCTTCAGGCCACTCTCCAACACAATTGGCTCCTTCCCTCCGTTGGTCAGCTCAAGCAGACAGCCATAGCTACCTTGCTCTGGCCCACTGACCGTTCCCGTGCCCAGGATATCACCAGTCCTCAGATCTGAGCCGCAACTAGCTACGTGGGCGATCATTTGTCGACCACTCCAATGCAGATCTCTGACGTTAGATTGGCTCAGCAACTCGATTTGCCCGTTGGCCATGAGCTCCACTTTCAGACTGATGTTGTAACTTGACTCGGCCGATGCAATGTCCTCCAAGTGATTGGCAAGGATGGTCTTGTGTGTTGGGCCCGGAGCTTTAAACGATTGCAGAGCATCCAGAGTCACAATCCATGGCGAAATACTTGTCCCAAATGCTTTTCCATTCAAGGGACCGAGAGGCACCATTTCACATCCCTGTATGTCTCGGGCTATGTGATATGTCAGTCAATACATCAGATGAACCAGGACGAGACTGCGCTTACCGCTCCAATCGTTCAAGATGACCATTCCGAAAATATGTTCGTCCGCATCGATGGCATTCACCCCATTGTCTCGTGGAACTGGTTTCCCCACAATAACCCCAACCTCGAGCTCGTAGTCCATTGCTTTCGAAGGACCGAAAGAAATCGGCTTCTTCTCAGTGGTGGCAGTTCGATCTGCGATGTGGCCTTTCGGGCGAATAATCGGCGTCCCTGACACAACCACAGTACTGGCACGTCCATTATATCCAATTGGGAAGTTGAAGAAGCCTGGAGGTGGTGTTTCGTCGTTGAGGATTGCTCGGCCCGCATTCCGGACATGATGAAGACTGCATGAAAAGTCCGTGAACCCACCCACAGAGACTGGCATGTGCATAGTGACTGCACTGATTTCTTCGGTACTGCCAGATGGTAGTTCCTTGTTTAATTGGTCTTGCAACCTCGCTCGAACTCCACGTTGGATCGATTTGTCGAGTGCAGCGAATTCATTCAGTGTCGACTGGCTGAAAATGTCACTCGGCAGCCCAGGGAGCCCATCAAAATAACCGGCTTGTTGCAAAACACCGAGAAACACGACCGTGTTCTCGAGTCGAGTTGCGCATTGGATGACATGTTTGGGCGACGATGCCACCCCAAATGGGATATTTGCTAGAGAAAAGTGGCTGGCGTACTCGGGAGACGTCATTTATGCTACTTCGAATCTCTTCGTGGTCGAATTTAGAGAGCAGACGGGATATTCATATAGAATTTATTTGCGTTCCCTTGCTCTTTGTACTACTGCACCCCCACTCCCCGAGGGAGTTGGTCCACATCCCGAGCTAGTACCACCCCAATGGCCCTTCCACTGCTTCTTGCTTCCAGAGTTATATCAAGGACAAAGAACAAGAAAGCAAAGCGAATTACATTGATAGGCGATAAATAAGCTGATCACGTTGAAGCGAATCTCGAGCAATTCATCCGTCGCTAACCCCCTTAGTATCCTCACCACTGTTGCCCGCGGCCTATTCAATCTTTCTGAGGGGGTTGTACGGAGTACTGCCTTAGGCGTTCGACGAGGCCGTAACAGGAGTAAATCACGTCGGACCATTCGTGCGCGGGTGAGACAATCATAACCATGCTAAACCCGCAGATGTAGCTAAGAGGCAATAAGTGTCAGTATACATATTTCACTGCCACCGTGGGGATAGAGAAATGACTCACATTGATCCAGATACAGGATCGTAGATCAGATTTGATGGTCCAGAGATATGTTAACTCCAGTATTACTGAATGTAGGCCTGGAACGCACTCATTGACATAGCTGAACTCTCGACGAATGGCATCACGAGTGTCACGGTCTAGGCCCCAGAAATAATCCAATGACAGAAAATCTCCAGGCACTTTGTCCCATATAATGCAGACAGAAAAGCCCCCGGGACAGGATCATAGTGTTCCAAGTGAACACCTAGTCAGATGACCATGGTTTCCTATAGCTCACTCTCTTCCTCTCTTCACTTTTCCCTTTCTCTCTCTCCCCCCTAGAGAATGAATCTCTTTCTTCTGTCTCTCACTCTGGCTCTGAGTAGTCAGATCATATAGTCCCCTTGTGTTGTTTCACTATAGCTGAGGAGAGCGGGATTCACCTCGCAGTGCATCGGCTTCAGCCGCTGAAAAGCCTTTCACTCAGCATTCTCTTGCTTTCCGGTAGCCTGGAGTGCTCTAGATCTTGGATCGTCGTACTCCGTGCCGATGGTTGGGAGCTGGCGATGGATTCTCATGAGGGCAGGCTTTTGAGTAGAGTCGTCCTTCCTGTAGCAAAGGAACTTTTGTCGTGAGTCATGGCCTTATGACTGGGCACATGACCCCGATGTTTTCTAGCCCTCAGTTGCCCCTCAGTAGTCTTGCTTTTCCTTCCTTTCCCTAGCTTAGTCGAATCAAGTCTCTGCTCTCTTTCTCTTTGGTCTAGTGGCCTCAACAACTTTGCCATGGCTTTGGGTGGGCCACGATTGTTCACTTCCTCTTCATCAAAATGGCTACCTCCTCCAGATGGTGATGATCCAGGTGGTGACGGGCCAGTTGAATCTCGGAGCAGCATCTGTTGTGATCTCTTTACCCTGAAGACCTGCCGAGAAAGGGTGTGTAACCTGATGCATGACGGGCTGATCGAGCGCCTTGCAGAGGGACAAAGTTGAGGAAATATGGCTCAGAGCTCCAACCTTGGAACCTGGAAGGTTCAAGATGAGTGAGCACGGGATTCACGTCGAGGCCTGAGGCTTCAAACTCTGCTCTGTTGACATTGGAATCTTGGGATGAGGTTGGCACAGCATTTGACGGGATAGTCAGCAAGATCGTATCTTAACGTTGGGTAAACCAATCTATTATGAATCTATTGATCTCCTAGGTATACACAAGATTGTTATATTCTGGGGTTCACGTAGCGTGATGACGACGAAGCCATACTCCCACCTGGTTGTATGTATCAAGGCTTCAATTACGATTTATACTTATTTTTGAAGACTTATGGTGAGCTATGAGCCAAATATCGCTCCAGGACGAGTCATGTCTTCATCCGAAAGGGATATTGGAAATTGGAATGATTGAGTTATGACTTTACGTGCAGCACACGCGATACGAAACTCAACTTTCCCTACAGGTCGGGCAATGTTCTGGAAATTCCATGCACCTTCAGTCATCAAGTACCACTAGGAGCACATACTAGGTGCAATTACACTCCCTAATTTTAATAGTATGAACTATGCATCCTTTCGGGGCCGAGGTGATGCATCCCAGAGCGCAGTGATGCCTTAGGCATGCCTCGCACTACGCGTAACACTCCTTGGCACCTTCGCTGGATCTCGAATTTGATCAGTTTGAGCACAAGAGAGTCATACTGTTACGGGTGGGGATATGGTAGTGAATCGAAATGGTGGCATACCAGCCCTTTTTCCTCATCCGGATAGCAAAGAAGAGAAATGCGCGTTATCCGCAACGAAATGTAACGTGGGGGTGGACTTGATCTCTCAGATCTGGAACTGTAGATGCATCGAGGATCAGTGGCTGAGCCTCCCCAGGCGCCCCGGGTGAATCGCAACCCAAGGCACTTGGGCTTTCTTTCCTTGGTTACTCCCCTTTCAGGGCGAATATTTCCCTTTCCCGCAAGGCATACTCCTTCCATGAACAGCATTGATTCCTGAGCATAGTACGCCTGCAGCACAGGGAATTCTGCCTACTGATTTCTATGCATGAACACATAATTCCACGAGTACATGGGCTCCATAAAGTGCAGAGTGACTATACTTGGATATGCAAGATACCATGATTCACCTGAACTGACATCCAATTACCAAGGTTGGAGAAGGGGCAGCGTGTCCGAAAAGGGTGGCCTTAGCTAAAACGAGATCAATTGCATTCTCTATCCCTGATGTAACGTTACTTTCTACCCAATACCTCTGTTCATGGGATCTTTCCAAAATAGTTACTCACAGCATACAGCTCTACGGCACACTGCTGACCCGAAACAATCATCGATCATGCCGACTTTGGTGCCCATGTGGCATTGCTGTTCGTGTCATCGCCGTTCGTGTCGTTCGTGTTCTAGGCCAACTCTTGTCTTGAGTTTGGCTAATTCGGTGGCTTTGAGTCTGCGCTGGAATCTACAGTCATCAATACGTGAACCGTACTTTTGGGCTGGGCTCTCTGGATGCCCATTGTACAGAGTAGTGGTGGACGTCATGGTCCTTCTTGCGTATATAGTACCCTTCATCTACAGCTCTCGTGGTACTACTTGTGTCTTCTTCGAACTACGAAGGACAGAATCAACAACACGAAATCCATTCCCTATCCCCTTTATCTTGAACTGAACCAATCGCGCATATATAGCTCTTGTGAGGAGTGCCTTGCGCCGTGATTCAATATGATTGCGTTGGAGCCAATTACGGATCTTTCTACGATCACATACCTTACCATTGACGCCGAGGATGAAAAGAAAATCCTCGAAGAAACAGAAGTCAACCCCGGAACCATAAGCGACACCCAAATCGTGCAAGGCGAATACGACAGCACTGATATCGCCGACTCAAATGGCGATTGCCCCGACGAGCAAGACCAGCAAGCCCTCGATGATTCTGATGCTTGTAAGATTTTGAGTGACTTGTCCGACAGTGAGCGGACCTCTATGGATGTCATGAGAATCATCGAGAGTTACGGAGTGGACTTTGAGAAAGCAGGTATCTCCTGGAAAGGCTTCGAGTCATTCGTTCCAATCGTGTTGGCGCAAATTGAAAAACAAGAGCCCATTCGCATGATCCTGCCCGCTTTCCCATTCAAGTCTCCCAATTCTCGAGACAAAGTTCTCGGAGACATGCCGGATTTCGGCGAAGAATTGGCCCTTTGCCATTTGAATGGCCTGTGTCAGAACATCATTGCAGTGTATCCACCTGGAGCCGATGTCTACATCAGCTCGGACGGACTTGTTTATAACGGTAACCCTACATCCCACCCTTACAATCCGTGTGTAGACACTGATCAAGCTTACAGACATACTCGGTGTCTCCGACGAGACCGTTTGGAACTACGGAGAGGCCTTGCGAAACATGGCTGTTGAAAAGGAGCTCCACCATGTGAAATTCATTCGCCTCTTCGAACTCCTTGAGCACCCCTGGTTTCCTACTTCCACTCCACAAGCCGCAAAGAACGCATACCTCGCCCATGCTGGTTGCCTTCGCCGAGAACTCATGTACACATATGGAGACCCAAGCTTCGACGCAGCAAAAGCCATCAAAACGGACAATGACACCTGTCTCACATATCGCGGTTATATCAAGTTCCTCACCAAAGATTTAGCTCACCAGAAAAGACCCCAAGACATGTCGAAGCGTGGGTGGCAGGCAAAGATTGCTGAGACCGCACGGCAGATGATCATCCGCGGCAAAATGTTTGCGGCCGCCATCCAGAAAAACCGCAGGGACTATGTGCGACTTTCCATACACGAATCTGCCGGCGAGAGAAAATTGTCAATTTCGTTAGTCCCGCAGATTCGAGGCAGTCTAGGGTATACGCCTTGGCACTCTGCTGTGGCCGTTGGACTTGATGGCTCATATCGAACTGTCCATGCCGAGGACGTACGCGAGACACACGACGTGGTATACAAGAATGGCCAGCCATATTACTTCCGTGAAAAGTCAAGCCTGTTTGACTGGTCTGAGAATGGCCTCCTGGTGAAATTTGAGCACCTCTACCCATCCGGCCTGGTTGTTCGTCCCGCTGATATCGACAATGTCAACCCACCTCCATCGATTAAAGCCATCCCCATGCAGAAGGTTCGCCAGCTGTCCAATAACATGTCGCCAATCATCCTGCGTGGGTTCGCAGAGACACTCGTTGAAGAACACTACCTTGAGAAAGCATCCGAACTTGGAAGTGTTCTTCCATGGAGCTTTGGAGTTATTCAAAAAGTGCGAGACAATGGCCGCTCAGACAAAATGGGCAACAACGTCACCTCAAACGAGGCAATGCCAATGCATTTCGACGGGATGTTCAAGTTCGAAGAAGTCACTGACCCAATGACGGGCGAGACGAAGAAAGTCCAACGTCCACCAGGGTATCAATTTTTCACTTGTCCAGCAACCGCACCGAAAGGAAACGGATACACCCTCTTTGCGAGCTCACGGCTCTTCTTCCGGTATTTGCCATATCCGTGGTCTGTCGACCGATTGGAAAGTGTGACCTGGGCGATGGACAATGATGGCTTCTGGGATGCAAAGCTCAAGAACTTGCCCTTGGTGGTTAGACATCCTGTCTCTGGTCTGCCTTGTCTTCGTTGGCATCAGCCGTGGGACGCTACAAAGACGAAATTCTCAACCTGTGATGTGACTATTGAGAACGAGGACAATGGCTTGGTGGAGCTCATTGATCGGATGACTTATGATTATCGAATTTGTCTTCGCTTCGGATGGGAGAGAGGTGATTTACTGGTCAGTGACAACACTGCCATGTTGCACACACGCACTGGCTATGTTAGTGACTGCGAACGAGAGCTTTGGAGGATTCATTGCGATTGATTCTCACATATTTTGCTCTTCCTGTCTGCGTCGTTATTCATGATTTTTTCTCTTTTTTTGTTTAGGACTTCTATTCAAGCCAAATCATGGATGCAGCAATTCATAGCCGTCCAGAATATCCCACTCATTTGAATTCAATTTTCCAGTAACTAAAAAAACGAAAAGTCAATATACGTGACACTGGCTGCGCAGGGTGTACAGATAGATGAGAAAGTAAAGAGTCTGTGGAAGAATCTAAAACAGGCTCCAAGATAAAGTAAAGCAAAAGTGAGGTCCGGCACATCGGCAAGAAAGTCTTGTATATTTGACGCAGATAGCGAATGGCTCAACTATATGTCTCACTACACTGGAAATGATCGAACTCAACGACTTGAACAGCGCAAATCAAGCATCATATATGAGTAACTTTGCCTTAGCTCTATATCTGATCAACACCCATGTCCCCAACGTTTTCTAAGACCAAATGTACCACTCAAGATTATCATTCACATCAACCTAGACGAATTCACCCCATTTGTCAAGCTTGAAGGCACCACTTTGTGGAGAGGGCATTTTTGGGCATAGGCTGCAGGACCCATCGTCACCCTGTCTAGCTCTGCCGGTGATCCATTTAGAGCGTTGTGGGTATGACACAAACAGCTCACATTTTGCGGGTTGTGTAGTGGCACGGTGTCAGTGACTGGAACGTTGAAGTTTTGTCCATAGGAGGGGCTTGGAGGGAATATTGGCATTGAGCTCGAAACCGAGTTTGAAGATTCAGGCGGAACAAGCACGATGACTTTGGATTGAGGTGACATGGTGTTGATGACATGGAGAACTTGAGGTAGTGCCGCTTCTTGTATACGTTAGTATGAATCCAACTTGGATATATTGCGATGGTATTGAGGTACTCACCAGTAACGACGTAAAAGGATGGCGGGGACATTGATTGAGATAGATCTTCTTGAAGTTGGCGTTCTGACGCACGTTCTGTTTCATGGAAAGCGTCGCCGGCAAGCCCGTTATTTGGTATAGATGTATTTATTGAAGATGCAAGCCCACTCGGTGTCGCTACCGGGGTCAAGTTGTTTATTTCTCCAAAGTACGAACTGTCTCCGGTGTGCGTCTGGGGTAGTTGGAAAGTGTTGGGGTCAGTGGGCCATGATTGGGTTGGGTAAGGTGCGCAATGTGGCATAGGCGTAGCAGTCTGCTCTGGGCCGATAGACGAAGTATCCCGAGAGGGAAAGCCAAAATACTGGTCTGTGAATCCGGAAATTGGCCTTGGGGGGTATGTCGATGTACTGTATGCAGCGTTGTATCCCTGGTCCCATCCGTGGAGAGCGGCAGCGGCCCTTAGCTCATTTGCAATAACCCTTTCTTGAAGTTTCGCAATTCTCTCTCTAATTTTTCTGCCTTGGGATGGTAAGCTTCAAGTCACAATAGTTTGCTTCGAGCTGACATACGATGGTTTCTTTGGGAAAGCCGATTCTGCAACCTTCTTCGCTCCAACGGGTCTTGCGTCTGACTTAACATGTCATCATTGCTGAGACTTGATGATTGATCTTCCAATTTCATCTTGCAAAGATGTGGTGCTGATTCTTGACCTTCGGTAGTGTCGAAAAGCCCCAGGGCTACTATATAGCTCTTCGATGCCTGGTGTGAAGGTTTTGATGTCTGCAGGTGTCAAACGCGAAGACCTAGAACCAAGAGAGCCGTGGCCGTCAGCCACTATGCTTTATACAGGCAATGCGCCCACGAGGTAAATGACGCCTGATCTCACCGTGTCACGCAGCCTGTACAACGGATCCTCGGCGGTCAACAAGTTCTGTCCATATAGGACTGATGTATCCATTTCGGTGCCTTCAGCCGCGTGATGCCCCTTCTGGCCTTAGGAGCTACCTGATTCTGTCGACTTGCTTATTCCTGAGCGGGGAAGTAGATTTGCATGTACACTTGGGCATCATCGTGGAAGGTTTCAGGGCGAGTGACACGGGCAAGTGTTGTCAAAGGTTATTCCTGGTCCGAACACGTCCACAGACATGGCGCTGCTCTGAACTTTGTCAACTTGTTCGAATCCGCTGGAGCTGGGGAGACCGGATGAAACTTTCAGCCTTTTCAATCTCTGCTATTCAAAGGGCAGTGCACCCGAACCCGCCAATCTTGTCCAAAGCGAGTTTTTGGCCGAGGCTGTACGACCTCTTTGCCCGGGCTACGAGACTCTCACTCTCGGTACTCTAATTGAGAACCCGCGGAGCTTTATACTTCAGAGTACCCGTCTTTCAAAGTATCTGATGTATCCACGGACATCTCCGACAATGTAGACTTGTTCATGATACACGGACTGCACGTGGCAAACGCAAGCCCTTCATATGCTGATGCCGGGTTGGATTTCCAAGTATCCGGATTGATTGGCCTCTGTTGATTTCAGATCAGATATTCGAATCACTGAAATGAGAACATACCAGGAATATGCTGACGGCCTGCTGATTTTGAGACCAGCACTGTACCACTTGGGTCGGTTTGAAGTTTAAAAATAAGACAGATCAGGTCCGTGGCCATCAACATCGTCCAAGAGTACGGAATATACTCCGGGGTTGCCCCAGATGACATCTGGATTCGTCTTCAACTCTGGCTTTGGACAGGTAGCATTCCTCATTATGTGCAGTAGGCCGAGAACTTTTGACGCGAATGTCTCAAAGGGACCACCTGCTTGGTGGCGTGAGAAATGGTACCGCATCGCCATTGAAACTGAGTTCTAACCTCGGTTTAAGGGTCTCAAGTGAGTACAAATCTCGATCAGAAACCTAGGTATTCGCCATGTGGTGTCTCTGTGGGAGTTGATCCATCGTCCTGGGTGTACGCATGTGAGATCTCGCTGTAGGGACTGATGGAAGGTTCGGGTCTGTCTGTCGTTGGGTTGCGTTTTGAAAACCAATCTCCCTGTGTTACTTCGTTGTGTAGCAATATGAATCTTCCGCGCAGTTTGGGTCGCGGGTGCAATATGTATGGTGACATAGGATGGATGATGGTTCCTGGGGCTTTTGGAGACAAGGAAATATCCTGTTCTTCTGAGGCCCCGTCACACTCTCATACGTCCCTTCTTCGTGTTGCTGTGCACATTGTTTCGCGGCGCGGCCTAGCCAATGTGGAGTGAGCGTTGGCAAGCAAAACAACATTGGAGCTGTCCAAACTTTGAGTCTTCCAGTTCAATATTCGGGAGTGAGCAGCCAATTGGGACTTCGTCGTTTTGGATGTCTCGTGTGGCCTTCTGGGGATGCGTCGGAAGGTCTCTACATGTACTGAATACATTCCTCTCACTTCCTCCTCTTTCTCTGATCCAAGATCTGCAGTCATTTGTCTCTGGATTTCTAACTCTTTGATTGGTGGTCAACTCATAGTGGAAAACTCACATCCGTTGTGCGTGTCTTTCAATCATGGATAATGCTTTCAAGGCAGCAGGCAATCTGCTTCCGTATCATCTTCTCGCTTATGGCGCCCTTCTCGGGACTGAGCTCTTTCAGGCGAGACCCGTCGTTTTCAAAGAGGCATTCATGGAGCTGACTCCTGATAGAGCTTTTTCAACACCAAGATATGTTACAGGGCACTTCCAATGAAAGAGTTTATTGCGCTTCAGAAGCAACTCTTCCCGGTGTACTTCAAGACACAGGTTGGGCTCGCAGCACTCACAGCCGCAACACACCCACCATATAGCATCTTCTCCTTGATTCAGGATCCATGGAGTGTGGGGTCTCTTGCGATCGTCGGGATGACTGGGTGTTTGAACTGGTTTATATATGGACCAAGAACCATCACTGCTTCGCTAGTGAGAAGAGCACTTCAAGGTAAGAGTACAAAGCCCCCAATGAACTCTGTCGGCTTTGAATGTTGAAAATACTTTTGCTTATAGTGAGCGATATCCCCGATTCAGATCCAGACGCTTCGAGGATCCACCGAGCTGATCGCAGCTTCACGCGAAACCATGCCATGGCGGTCCATTTGAATGCAATCTCGATAATAGCCACGATACTGTATGGGTTCTCACTGTCAGCGAGAGTTATGGAAGCTCGAAGTGCGCAGTGAATGTGGGGATTGCCCTCAGGGCAAGCTAGATCCATAGGTCAAATGAAGGCGACGTTGTCTAACGATTGAGTCAAGATGAGAAGACAGACGTGAGGGGGTAGGGTTGGTATTTGCTTTAACTTGAAAACTCATGGATCCTCGTAGTGACTGATTGAATAGCAAGGATCGTGGGCAAGAAATCGTTGCTTGCGTAAATATTTTCGTATTGGCAGCTCCTTTTCGTCTTGAGTATTCAGCATTTTTGGGCCGGTAGTTCTGACTTTGCGTGCTTTTCCTGGTCAAGGTGTTGTCAAGAAAAGAAACTTCCGGGATTCGGAATCAAGCCTTGTTATGTCTCTTCTGGGGGTTCTGGTGTCGGACAACGATGACATTGGCGTGGTGTAGACTTCCGCTGACACCAAGTGCATTGGAGTCCTTGAATCTAGAGGAGTGACCTTTATATAGAGGGTCTGTCGCCGAGTAGACCCTTCTATTGCTATTCGCTGCAACATGACTCTCTTGGTCTTATCCTTTCTTGTTCTTTTTCCAAGTCTCCTCTTAGTTTGGTATCTCCACATCCCACGCTCATTCCCACCTCTACCAGTCATCCCAATCTATGTCTCCCTACTTGTTCTATGGTCTTCCATGGGCCAAGACGAAATCTACGAACGCTGGTTTCGCAAACCATTGGAAGCCAATGGTGCAGTCATTGTGTGGTTTGCTGGCCGCTGGAGTATTCTCGTCTCTCGACCCGAATGGTTGACGGATATATTTCGAAACGAGGACCTGTATGTCAAAGCCGGATTCCAGATCAAGAATCCTCATTCTGTTATTGCCACGCTCGTTGGTGATAATATCATCAATTCACATCGGAATTGGAAGCTATACACGTCAATTATGAAGCCAGGACTGCAGAAGAAATTGTTTGACACTACCTCGCTTCTCCAGAAGTCAAGAAAACTGGTCGATGTTCTAATTGCCAAAGGTCAAGGCCCGATACCCGTCAACGACGACGTGCAAAAATGGGCAGTCGATGTCATGGGGGAAGCATTCTTGGATGTGGAGTTCGAAGTATCAACGACACCTATGATTTCGACCAATAGGTCACTGACAGCATCAGAGTCTAGGTAACCCCAACGATGTCCCCCTCGAATCACTACAATCAATCATCAAAGCCACACTGTTCAGTCCGATTTATTTCACCTTTCCCGATCTCGATCGTTTCACCTGGCTTCTTCCCTCCCGGAAACGCGCATATGAAATCATGCGAGAGTTCGATGACCGACTTTATACCGCTACGATGGAAATGATTCGTCGGACTTCCAAATCAGACAAGCTCTCACACATGCTTGTCGACGCCTACCTGACAAACAAGATAACCGAGAAGCAGCTCCGCGATAATCTCAAAATCACATTCCTTACAGCCCATGAAAACGCCCAGCAGTTGGTGAACTCTATGTTCTGGCAATTAGGGTCGAGAGTCGATGTCCAGTCCCGTCTTCGGGTCGAGGTTTTGGGGTTGTCAGATATACATCCCAACCCTTCACAGGAGATCATCAACACACTGCCCTATCTCACATCGGTTGTGCTGGAGCTACTGCGACTCTTTCCACCAGTATCGCAGCTCATTAACCGTGTCGCTATGCAATCCGCTGTGTTGGGTGGTGACTTGCCGATTCCAAAGGGGACGTTCGTTGGATGGAATGCATGGGCTGTGCACAGTAACACGGCGATATGGGGGGCTGATGCGAGAGAGTTCAGGCCTGAGAGGTGGGGAAGTACTGTTGATGAGATGCATGGACGGTTCCGGAGGGAGACAGTGCGCGGGACATATATTCCTTTCAATGCGCATAGGCGGAAATGCCTTGGACAGGGATTTGCACTGTTACAGCTGAAGGTGCTTTTGTTCGTCTTGCTGGGAAGGGTCAGATGGGTGGTCGATCCAGAATATCGGCTGAAGCTGACGTCGGTGGGTTCTCCTTGTTGAATATCATCCGTGCCACGCTGACTAGGCTAGGGGGGCATTCTGGCACCGTTGGGATGTCGGGTTATCCTGACCGAGCTCGGATAGTCCATGGTGACACTGGTGGAAACTTGGCTTAACAACAGTTGAGTGGAAGCGCTACGACGGTGAGATGAGCACGCTTTTAGATCCTGGACAAGATGAAATGAGAATCAGGCTACTTTTGAACTGTTAGCTCGTCGCGAATTCTCTTTCAACGTGCCTTTGATTGGAGTAAAAGATATAGAAGCTTGTAGAGGATGGCGACCGGAATCCACTGGGTCAAACAAACTGGGTATGAGGATTTCAAACAACTGCGCCAAACAAGAATTCAACATGGGCGTAAAAATATTAAATGCGACATTAGATATCGTCACCACCGGGCATTCCCATCGATACCTTCTTCAGCTCGAGGTCCTTCTTGAGCTCCTGGATGCGACGTCCCATCTTATTGCGAAGAATGTGGTTTTGGACCTTCTCCCACTGGGCGGTTTCGGTCCGGATGAGACCTTCCAGCTCCGCGACCTCTTCTCGCTGCTGCTGAAGTTGTTGCTGTTGCTCAATCTGGTCCTCGTCCATATCATCATCATCATCGTCCTCATCGGAAATATTACTCTCCTCCGCGGATGTGTCGCCACGTTCTGTCTGGTCACCACCTGGGGTGAAAGGCTGTACAGATGGCGTTTCTGCTTGCTCTGGTCCAAGTCCGGGTAACTCATCATCCCCAGCAGCCAGGGCAGCCTCCATCTCAGCTGCAAGATCGTCATCGAAGTCTGCCATCATGTCATCCTCGACTTCACCGTCCGCATCCTGTTCATCATCGTATTCTTCCACGAAGTTTTCGTTTTGAGTGTATTCCTCGGCACGGTTTAGTGATGAGCTATCCACCAACTCGAACTTGGGAGGGAAAATCGATGTCTCGTCTTGAGCCATCAGATCTTCAACGGCCTTTTCGACTTGTTCGATGGTTCGTGTGCTCAAACGGTTGCGGAATCGGCGTTTGCGGGCCCAGCGCAGAGGTGGTGCTAAACCATGGGGGTATTGAAGTGTCTTGTCATCGAGATGTTGAACGTCTGAAGGGAGCGGGAACTCCATAGCTTCTTGGTCATTGGTCACTCGCCCGAGCACGAGCAGCATCTGACAAATATCTGCTGATTTATACCAGCCTCGTCTATCCCAACTCTTCATGCCTTCGATGATGCAGGGCAGATCGACCATCGCTGCCGCATACTGCTTGTCGCGGACTTTCAGGATGGCGCGACGTCCTTCGCGGGTGAGAGGCTTGAATGCAAATTCGGAATTATTGAAGTTTCGTTCGTTAATCGTTTTCTGTAGATGCTCGCAGTCTTCTCCTGGCAACATGCGTAGGATGAATTGTTCTTCGATGGCAGGGTCGTTCTCATTGTCCGAAGCCTCAGAGTCGTATCCGACACCGACCGGTCGCGTAGGGACTTGTCCCTTGTTTTTGATCCGAATTGATTGTAAGCCTGGCTTTTTGGAAGGGTTCAACTTCAGTCGCTTGGGTGCCTGCTGTACGGGTTCGGGCTGTGGTTCAGGTGGTGCGACGTGTTCCGCTGGGCGTTTTTTGGTCGTTTTCTTCTTCTTCGGCTTCTCTTCACTTTGCTCGGGTTGCGGTTTGCGCGCGATCTTCAAGGTGAGCTTGCGCTGAGGTTGGGGCGTCTCGGACGCGGCGGGCGCTGCAGGCGGCGGAGGTGGTGCAGGCGCCTGTTCCTCCGGAGGATCCGGTCTCCTCGAGAATTTGATCTTCAGAGGCATTTTTAGGTGGAATTCAGGCTCGGTATTGAACGCGAGGGAGCGAAAGGAGAGGTGTCGTAGGTGTAGAAATCATGTTGCGGGCAGATCAATTTCTCCGCTTTGGGTCGCGCGGCCGAGCTTTTATCTTTTTGTTGTCTGCGATTCACCTTTACCTTCGATTTCCCTCCAGGAATCCAACCATAATCCTCGCCTGTCTCTTCATCCGACTAGACTTTGCATACTATTCGTGTGCTTACCACAATGTCCGGTCCAAATCTCCACAATGCCCTCCTCCGACCTCCAATTATCCAGATCCTCCGCGCACAAGGCTTTCACTCCACGCGTCCCTCCGTCCTGGAATCATTGCAAGACCTCACCGGCCGATATATTCAGATCCTAGCTTCAGCGGCAGCAGACCATGCCGCAAATGCGCACCCAGAAGACCCTACTCCGAGGCTCGAAGACATCTACCAGGCGCTCCAGGACGCAGGCGCCATACGCCCTCAACTGCGTGAGATGGACGAAGACTGGCAGGGAGAAGAAGACATGCGTGGTCTTCAGTCGCTTATCGGATGGATCAAGGGCCCAATCCATGCAGAGATTCGAAGAGTCGCAGGGTTCCTCCCGAGCGAGGGCGATATGATTGATCCTGACGCGATCGAAAAGGAGGATTATCTTACCGCTTTGAAGAAGAAACACAGCAAAACGGGTGAAGAATCTCGTTATGCTGGAACAGTGTTGGGAAAGAGTGCCGAGGAACGCCCCATCATCATTGAGGGAGGTGCTCCCAGCATCCAGGAATGGGGAGCCCAGATACGTGCTCGTGCGCCTGACAACTCTGGGATTGAAAGCGATACATCGGGTGTCAGCAGCGCTCCCAGTCATCTCTCCGACGAAGAAGCCATGGCTGCGTGAATAATTGCATGCCTGGGTCGGTGGCTTGTTTCCAACGTCCACACCCGTTTTCATCATCGATTGTGATACCCCATCGCCACTGGGCTCAGTTCAGCGAGCACTGCCCGGCCTTATGGCTACTCGGTTTACATCTTGGTCTCTTATATAATCTCGAACGTCCCCGGGGCCGTCCGCTGAGCCCGTCCAGTCACGTCTACCTCTTCATCCGTACGCCGGGTCATTCATCGATCGCGAGATCCTTACTCCAACAACAACACGCCGGTCGTGCTTCATATCTGCTGGATCTATCCACGCCAATGCGAACCCCAGCCACCACCTGACCGCGAATATCGAGCCCAAGCCGATCCCTTCGTCGCCTTCTTCACGATAGAAGGTAACGACGTTTGCACCTAGAAATCGGACGGACATGTGACCAGAGTGCACAATTTCTGATCCCCGGCGTTCTACTCCCGAGTGCGCGATACAATAGACACCTTTGCATCTAGAGCAATAAAACCGACTTGCTCTTCCATAGCTAGATTGGAGCCGAATCAGAACCATCAACCCCATTCGATCGTCCAAGCCTCTTCAAACTCCAAAGTCCTCATCTTGACTTAAAATAATAATTCCCCGGGTTTGTTCGGCACTAGTGATCTGATTTGCAAAACGGCCTGAACAGTAGAAAATACAATTGCTTCGGTCCAGCCCGTTGCCCCGGTGGAGCAACTTCCCCGGAGTTCCCCGCCATTTATCTACCTCGCCTCTGGCGCTTCACTGTGCTCTGTTTCTGACCAGATGACACTGGGAAACTTGTCAGGCCTGAACATCGGCCTTGGTACGCCACCCGACTTGGCTAGACTTGGCCTGGAAGAGTATAGAGCCCAAATGCCCCGAGAACGGCTCTCGTCGATCGGAATCAGACATCGGCAGTTGGGCTAAAAGCCACTAGCAGACCTCGGCCGGGCTGTTTCCACTCGGTCAAGCCCTAGTAATTTACTCGCCGCTCTGCAATCAGAGCCCTCAGTTCCCGTATCCCAGCGGCCCTCGAACAGCCATCGGTTTCTGGTATTTTACGGCATATCCGACTCGTGCTGATCTACCGTGAACGCCGCCACTTTCATTTACTTTGCAGCCAGGAGTCAACAATGCTCCACCCTGCTCTCAGATTACTCGCTTGCTCCCTCGATGGCGGATGCTACTCCCCCGGAGGTCTCCACCTCCCCGGCTTTTCTCACCCATTGAAGACCCCAGACCCCGGAAATGCCTGATTACGAATCGACGGTAGCGGGGTCAAGGGCATCCTTTTCTTCCAATGCCTTCCCTGGTTTCTGCAAGCAAAAGGTGGTACGATACTCTGTCGTATGATTCCTACAGACATGTCTCCAATGGATCGTGAAGTTCCCAAAAGCCCGCCTACTACAAAGTACGATTCGGACTACCTCGAAGAGAAAGATGCAGGATTCGAAGTCTCTGCTCCTGGTTCATTCCTATCAGAGCCACACAAGTCTTACTTGATTCAACGACATGGCACTTTGGATCTGGATCCCATCCCTAGCATGGATCCAGCGGATCCATACAACTGGGCTTCCTGGAAGGTGAGACACCAGTGTGCCATTTTACCACTGCAGTGCAAAGGCTGAAACAAAGTACAGAAAATCGCAAACCTAAGTCTTGTAGCGTTCCATGCGTGCATGGGCACTTTCACTGCCGCAGCCATTATTTGTGCCTACGAGAACATCGCCGAAGAATTGGAAGTCTCGATTCAGCGAGTGAGCTATCTTACTTCGCTGCAGATTGCTATTCTCGGAGGAGCACCCCTGTTTTGGAAGCCGCTCTCACATCGTTTTGGACGTCGCCCGATTTTCCTCCTCTCGCTCCTCCTGAGCTGCATCTGCAACATTGGGTGCGCAAAGAGTACCGACTATGCTTCCATGGCGGCATGTCGAGCACTCGTTGCGTTTTTCATCTCACCTGCCATGGCTATTGGAAGTGGTGTCGTGACTGAGACTTTCTTCAAACATGAGCGTGCGCGCTACATGGGTGTGTGGACCTTGATGGTGACGCTGGGTGTTCCAGTCGGTCCTTTCATTTTTGGATTCGTTGCGCAGCGCGTCGGCTACCGCTGGATCTACTGGACGTTGGCTATTGTAAGTACATTGGCTTACGGCACCATCACACTACTAACGAGTCCAGACAAACGCCGTCGAGTTCATTTTATATATATTCTTCGGTCCTGAGACCCGCTACATTGGCGCCGACGTCCAATCGCGCTCATCAGCGCTCAAGACAGAATACATGTCCATTCGTCGCATCGATCCAACACCATTCAAGTTCAGAGAGTTCTGGCATCCCCTGACTCTCTTCACGAACATTCCCGTTCTCCTCGCGGCGGTCGCGTACTCCATGGTTTTCCTCTTCTGTTCAGTTTTGAACTCTGTGGAGGTCCCTCAGTTGCTGCAAAGCAAATTCGAACTCAACGCACAACAACTTGGTCTTCAGTTCCTGGGATTGATCATCGGTTCACTATTAGGTGAACAGCTAGGTGGATACATGTCTGACCTGTGGATGAACACCCGCGCCCGGAAAATCGGACGAAAGCCTGCACCAGAATATCGCCTTTGGTTGAGCTACATCGGCTTCCTACTGAGTATTGCTGGCATGGTCGTGTTTTTGGTCTGTACCGAGCAAGCTTCAACTGGAAAGTGGGATGTCAGACCCATTGTCGGAACGGGTGTTGCCGCCTTCGGTAACCAGGTTGTCACCACTGTCCTCACTACCTATGCCGTGGATACCTATCCCCAGGATGCAGGCAGTGTTGGTGTATTCATCAATTTTGTGCGATCGACTTGGGGATTCATTGGACCTTTCTGGTAAGCCGATTTCACCTTTGTTCATAGAGGTCCATTCACTAACCCATTACTAGGTTTACGTCAATGTTCGAGAGCGTTGGAATTGCGGCGAGCTCTGGCGTAGCTGCTGCCTTGATAATGGGTGCTGGATTCTTGCCCATGGCTCTGATGCATTGGCAGGGGCAGAAATGGTATAGCAAGTCTGATTGAATAGACATAACCGTATAGAAGATGTATAGATCAGTTAGCTTGAAACGTTCGTGACGACTGGGTGGATGTGAGTTATTATCATTTCGCGAAAGAATCCAAGGCCATCATCCTACCTAGGTACACCACACACAATGGACTGACGTCATAGCACGATGCGGCTCTACTAGGATGAACCAGCCCTATAAAGTACCAAAGACTACATCCGATACAGTGTATTCTAAAATTCAATGATACATTGATATTGTAGAGTAATTCGCGATCCGTGGTCCCGTTTCTTTGTGAATTTGCCTTGCCGCTAAAATTGGTATGTTCTACACTTCTATTGATATCTCCAGGGCTGTTCCGCGGGATAAATCAGCGGATCTCGAGACAACATGCATAGATGTGTGAGATGCCTCGATTATTATGTATCCTCTAATTACAAATGAATGACCAAAATGCTGACTTGACAAGCATTGCGCGGGGCAACATGTAGCGGTCGATCAAGTCACCGCCCGGTGATGTTTTGGAGAGCGTAGAAGCCAGCTACTGGTGTAGGTAAAATGCCCCACCATTGGTGATCCTGCATTCTTCATCGATGTTTCCACTGGATCCAGTGTAAGGACCACACTGGTACTTAGGACCAGTCTCAATGGTAGCACTGGCTGGGCCGGCAGAGCCCTCGACGGTGATTTCATAGCTCTCGATATTCTCGAGGCCATTGGGGAACCAGTATTTGAATGTGGCGTCATCGCAGGTCTCGGGGTTCTCAGGTCCGACGGGGTTCCCACCGTTGTTCCTACTCCACCGCGTTAGCTACTGCTATGCTTCCTATTCGGATGATCATGTTGACATACCAAGCGGTGTGACAGCTGGTGCTTCCGAGGTCTTCCCCGGTTGGTCCTCTAGAGGTGACAGTCCAGGTCATATCGAAGGTGTCGCTCTCGATCAGGTGCTTGAGCGAAAGGCTGTCGATGCTGTATGGCCATTGTCGGCTTTCGGTTGTGGGAGCGGCCAGCCCGAGAGCAGCAAAAGCAATGGCAGCAGTAGCGAAAGAAGTCTTCATTTTTGCGGTTGCTGGTATAGAGTATATCTGACAGTGATCTGTGGTTCGTTTGAGTAGTTGAATGCCTTTTGTTGTGAATTGCTCTGAGCTTGGAGATTATGAAAGGCAGGAGTCCCTCTAGCCTTTTATAAGTTTGATCGTTCAGCTTTCTCGTATATTTCTGTAAATTGACGGCCAACAACCCGGTGGAAAGCCTGAAGGGTCTCAGCTTCGATCAACTCGCTCTGTCGATCATACCCGTTTGCAAGACTAGTCTTGAGTGACTCTTCCATAGTTTCAGTCGGGTCGTGTAGAATCGGTTCGCGGCTGCACGATGTCCCAGCCACGGAAACTGGCGTACCGGTTTGCATATACCGTCTCACCTGCAAGCCCCTCGGTGGCTTTTGATCACGCTACTAATTATAGCGAAACTCCACAAATAAGGCCTTCAGCTTCCCAGTGGCATTGCAAGTCATCTGACTTGGTAGATGTTGAAGATGGGATGCCCCATACGAAGGACTCAGACAACTCGGAAGTCCGAGGCATTATACCTCAAGAGCCCTAGATTCTAGCACGCTTGGCATGACTATCTTCCCGCTTTGGGATACTGGCTCAATGTGAGTTATCTCCCTAGGACGCCTAATTCTAAAAATGGAACTCCCTATTGATTCGAAAGTACTCCGTACGCCGTAGCAACTGGGTCAACTTCTTCTGTGCGAAACTTTGTATCATCGTTTTCTGTGCTTTCAATTTGGACGGCTCCATGATTCACTCGCACAAAGAAAAAGGATTGCTATGTTTAGTCGTTTGGGGCGAAGGTTCATGATTGCGCTTCCAAGGTCCCAGTTTAACAGGGAAATATCGCCGGGCTATGAGTCGCCGCTTTGGCTTTCGTCAATTCATTTTGATTGATTATTTCGTACGGAGTACATACTCCACGAAAGTCCGATCCCTTTGACCCCAGGTCCCTGCCCCAACCATGGACCACGATGATGCCCTGCAGGCGCCCCAGAAACTGGCGGGAAGGCCGGGCCAGTCCCCACTATTGGACAGGCTCCAAACCATTCGGGTATACGAGTGTCTTGTGTTCAAGCTCGGTATTTCAAATCGGTTTACATTAGCAATGACGACTTGAATAGATTGGCGCTTATCAGCCGGAAAACGACTTTTCGATATAGACGCTAGGAATTGGGCAAGCTCATGTCTACAAGTATTTGAGGGGGTCAGGGCCCTGAAAGGGATTCTGGTGGTGACCTCCAAAACATACAAACGCGGGAATAGAATGGATTGCGACTTCTTCTAATGATAAAAAGTTTCAAACGATGTTGAAGGAGATTGCACGTATTGGCGAGGTTATGGAGGCAGAAATGCGTATGTGGAGACAGTGCAAAAGGGTAGGCATTCGAGCGAGAAATTTACTAACAGCGGAGAAAATCAGGCATCTACAAATCCACAGTGTACGAGTATTCTTTACTAGTTTTTCGGGGAACTCCCCCCAATGAAGTCCCTGTACTGGCTTGTTTTTGCTCCAATGGAGTCCATCGGATACTTCGGGTCAGCCCCGATTGCAGCAAAAAGCCATCAACGTGCACTAGAAGCCTGAGAGAAGGACCAAGATCAAATAGCTACCCAGGCGGCATTTCCACTGGTGGTTTTGAACTTATACAATTTCACAAGAGGGCTCAACACGCTTGTGCACTGACAGGTCCGTAGTAGTGGACCCATCGTACGCCCTAACAAAGGTCCACGTAGGACGCGTCGTCACCCTTTTGAAGTGCCGGTCTTCAGATAAAATGCCATAAAATGCAATCGAGTACTGAGCAGTCAGTTGATACTGTAGATCGAGAATGTATCATTATCTATGAAGAGGTCAATGGGTCCTGATGGATTAAATTAGTTGCTTGTAGCGGGCAGCACCCGAAGCCCTGTGTGTTGTAGAATGGTGTAGTAAGTTTGTGGTGAAGAATATTTTACGATGTCTCAGAACTTGCTCGGCTCCTTCTTCATTTCCGGTTTTTGTTTTTGTTTTCTTTCTTTCAGTTGGCGCTGTTCTCCGAATACCCTCCCAGGGAATCGAACCATCTCCACCCGCGCATCTTGCTACAGTGGGAAGATTCAAGCGCCTAAGTATGACGTCCATAATATCCAGAGATCCCAATTATCCTGTACTGGCACATGGATTTGAGAAGCGTTATATTTACAATGATACTGAAGCTAAAATACAAACATCGAGCCGAACATCCCGAGGTCTGGATCAGTTCTCAACTGGATGATAGTCCCTGCGACCCAATTCACTTTGCCTCCATCTCAGCTTCGTCTGTTCCAGAGTGCTAAGCTCGGCGTTGTAGTTCCCATCGTCTAGCGCACGTTGCAATCGGCCATTTCGACGTTGCTTGATGCAGAACCATGCGAAAGCTCCAATGACGAGAGCCCCGACAACGGCAGCAGCGACGTAAACTCCGATATGTGCCCCGGTGGAAAGATCATTCCATTTCTGGTTCAATGTTTCTGCGGGCTTTTTGGTGATCTCTGCTTGAGCCGTTGAGTTGCCACTAGATACCATGGTCGTTAGCAACAAGTTTCGTTAGAGGCAGAACGAGCGTCTGGGTAAATATGTTTCGGTTACCCTCTTGACATACCTAACAACCTCAATGCTCTCATATGTGCCTGTGTGCCCTGTATACTTATACTCCTTTCCAGAGTGGAAGTCTTGAACACGGATCTTCGAAACTGTCATGGTAAACGGCACATCCGTCCAGTTGACATAACCACCACCCCATTCCAGATTGCCCACAGACTGTCCTTTGATACCGACGGGCCAGTTGCTGACTTTGACCTGGCAAGGCGTCTGGGGATAATTTTTGCCGTATACAGTCAATGGCTCGGAGTAGTTCACCGTCCGCACCAAATCACCATCAATCCACCACTCGAGGCGATCCTTATCCCAGTATGAGGTGTAGTTATGGAATTCTGTATCCGCGTTCGAAACAGCATGATACCCTCCTCGATCGCTGGTGGTTGTATTTCCTTTGCCGAAAAAGTCGGACTGGACTCCGCTAGTGTTGTATCCCACCCACTCCCAATCAATCTCGTCCAAGTCGTCTGATTGAAGAATGACACTGCTGATGATACCCGCTCCTTTGGCCATTTTGACGTGTGCTTCCATCACTCCGAAGAAAATATAGAAATTCGATACCAAAAGCGTGGAAGCGTTTTCGGTCTTGATGCTGAAGTCGGCACCCTCGGATGTGTAGTCGATTGACCCTGTTTGCATGTCCCAGAGCTTGCTGTCGAGCGTTGAATTGAATAGCCATGTGTGCTCGGTTCCGAGGGCAGGGTCGGCACTGCATGAGCTGTTGGTTTCTGTCGGGTTGCAATCGGTTCCTGTGTATTCTGCACTGGCGAAGGTGCAAAGCGCACCGAGTGCAAGGAGCACATTCAAAGTAACTCCTTTCATGACGACAAAGTGGTACTTGGTTTTCTTCCCAAATTGACTATCCCCAGCTTGATCCAAACGAGCCCACGCACTTTTTCGAGTACAACTGCGAATTATGTGGCCTAGTGAGGACAGTCAACCGGATGGAAGAGGTATGTTTAGTCGTAAATTGTCTCTGACATCAATCGAGAGCAAAATTTGACGCGAGTCTCGGAAGATATGCCGAAAAGTGTATCATGGCTGCTGGCTAAAGCAAGAATAGGGAGGTCAATAAGCGAGGGAATGTTAGGGACAAACCAAGCCATTATTAGACGTCTATACTTCTTCCAGGCTAGCGTCAACAGTTCGATCTATCCACTAAAGCGGTAATTTGATGTGGACTGGTTTATCTCCGAAGCCGAGCGAAATGCTTGACTCCACGCTAATGTATAGATCCATCGGCCTAACCTCAACAGGTTAGGGAACGCCAAAGATGGGAACGAGTTTTCTTTCAAAGTAATTTTATTTTGGATTGATTGTTCACTTTCTATTTCTAGAAATTAAACAGAAAACTACCAAAGTCGGTGGGGCTTCGGAATTCCACCCCAGCGGGCTCCCTTCGTCTCTCTGTGCTTCCTAATTTGCTAGGAAACATTTGAAGCTCTCTTCAATCCCATAATTCTCGGGTTTAGTTCTGACAATATCCGAGAACCCTGCAGTGGAAACAGGGGAAAACGCCACATTATTCAAAGGTTTCAACGTTGCAAGCTACTGATTCCGCTTTTCTTTGTATCTAACCCTCCGTGGCTTTGATCTTCCAAGATTGGATCTTTTCATTGATCTTCATTTAAGTATTCAGATCAACTCCCACTCCCAAGTGTTCCTTCGCTATGAATTTCTCTACGTCCAAGATCCAGAAACATCCTAATTTCAGCGTAATCATTGGAACCATTTGCGTTGACACCCGTGGACGCCCTGGAAACAATCTCCTGATATCACATGATAATGGTCTCTTTCAATAAAAGAATGTCGTTCGGAGATCCCGATCTCGAATTTGACTCCGATCCCACTACTGTATTCCAAATTGTACAGGACCAGATCAACATGCTCAAATTCACCGCATGGTCAACGAGAGAAGTCATTCACACGCTCAACCAACTTCATTATCAATTACAGACCCGCGCAACTTGGTGCGAAACTAGTCCCGAGCAGCTCAGAATGGTCGGTCATGCCTCATATAAACGATGGGTCGTCGTTCTTCGCCTCTATATCCCCGAGGCAGTGCGTATTCTGGAGTGCGATGCAACTCTGTTTCGAGAGAATTGGTGGAACGGTAATTGGGTCGACACTTATGCTACTGAGCACAGGGCTATTTGCGTTCTTGAGTATGCGGTCAGGGCTGCGAGTCCTACCAAATCATTTATTTGACTGGATGGTTTAGGTTCATTGTTCCCAGGTGTGTTTGATCGATTACCGACAATCACTTTTCCATTTTTGCCATGCACATTCCGGAATGGCAGCTCATCGCTTTTCGTTCTTGTGGAGTTTTCACCTATCTCTATTTCGCGTTTCCATTCCAAAGTTGACAATGTTTTAATTTCTGTTTAAAATGATAGACTGCATGCCAGGGCGCGTTGAGAAATGGGGTTTGACTCAGAATATTTTGCTCAGCTTGCGCTGCTGTATACATTTATTTTCCAAGTGTCTCTCACTGGTTCGCTTCCTTGCTCCCGAACAGACATGAGGCCCGCGGACGGTCCAACCGATCCAGAGCAATTCGGATTGCAAGCACATTTTCGGAATGCATGGGGATCGGAGTGAAATGATCAACATTTACTGATGACCCACAACTGCCTTCGGCTTGTATAAATCATCAATGCTCTTGACCTCCTCCTGGCTGAGCTCGAAGGAAATCGCCTCGACTGCTTCATCCACGCGCTCCTTCTTGCTCATTCCTATGATCGGGGCAGTGATGAAAGGTTTCGACAGAGACCAAGCGATGGCAACGGTAGCCATTGACACACCACGCTGTTTGGCGATCTCCTCGATCTTCGAGTTGATTTGCTTGTCCGTCTCCGAGTATGGCTTCCCTGCGAACCCTTCATTTTGGCCTTCACCACGCTTGGTCTCTGAGAATGAGCTCCAAGGTCTGGCTAGGAAGCCCATCGAGACAGGACTCCAGGGGATTCCGCCCATGCCAAACTTCTGGCACGCTGGATACATCTCTCTTTCTTCCTCTCGGTAGACGGCATTATGGAGATTCTGCATGGAGATGAACTCGGTCCAGCCGTGGATGCGCGCAGTGTATTGATATTCGAGAAGCTGATGGGCCCACATGGACGAAGCTCCGATGTAGCGCACTTTTCCTGATTTGACAACATCATGGAGAGCCTCCATCGTCTCCTTCGCTGGCGTTGTGGGGTCGAAACGGTGGATCTGCAACAGGTCGACATAGGGAAGATCGAGTCTCTTCAGGCTGGCATCAATGCTGTCGAAGATGTGTTTTCGGCTCAGGCCGTACTGATTGAGATACCCGGAGTTATCACGCTGCTCTGTGTTCATGGCCAGTGGATCTTCCAGGCCTCGACCGACGGGTGCCCAAAGTTTGGTCGCGACCACAATGTTCTCCCTGCGCCAACCGTACTTCTGAATGGCCTTGCCTAGAATTTCTTCTGAATTGCCGTTGGAGTATGCATTGGCAGTGTCGAAGAAGTTGAGACCAGATTCATAGCAGTGGTTGAGAATAGGGAGAGCCTCTTCTTCTGGGATTGCCCACTTGAAACGACCCTCAGGATTGCCGTAGCTCATACATCCCACTCCAATGGGGGCAATGCGGAGGCCGCTGGATCCAAGCTGGACGTACTTCATTGTGGAGGATCTAGGGTTGTAACGAGGACGGTTGATTTATGCTGAAAGATAATTGTTGTTTTGTTTGAGTCGTATATACCTAGCAAAAGAGAGCCAAGTGCGAGATATATATACCTTCACGGGAAGGAACCTAGAAAGCAACACCTGGCAGAAGAGATTCGGGCTTAGGGGACAATCGGATTTAAGACCGTAGATTGCTTTTTCTGGACATTGAAGTGAGTCAAGATCAGTTGAGCGAGTCCATGGGCTCTTCCCTGATGTCACGGGTCTGGGGTCATGTCTATTGGCCAATCAGAGGCATCTACTGGACCCGCCCTTAGCGCGTAATCAAAGTGGGCCCGGGGTTAATTTTGGTAACTCCGATGCTCAGTGTTGATGTCTGCTTGATCACTTCTTCAACTGCTGCTAGTGATATTACAATGGACAGTGGCATCCAGATCGCCAATGAAAACCAGGTTCAGCCTTCCCAACTTGGCCTTAGCAAGAAGGAGCGTCGTCGGCATCAGAATCGGCACAACCAACGCGTGTGGCGTGAGTGACGTGATTCCATATGCATCTGGCGTCTAATTAACTCACTCGCCGTATAGGGAGCAGACAGAAAGCGGAGAAGCAATATGAGCTGTATATGGAGAATGAGAGAGAGTTGCAAGCACAACAGACTTCTCAAGAACCAGAATCTACCCTGAGACATTGTGCAGCGCCGGACTTTACTATTCTTGCTCTGTTTATACAGGAGCAGCAGCAGCGGGATGAGAGGAAGGCAGGAAAACGTCTAAGACGTCCAGAAATCTATCAATTTTTGCGACTTTTTGAGTCTGCGGCGCATAAAAGCTATGTCGGAAATCCAGATGCAGATCATCGACTGACACTCGTGAAGTTGAATGTCTTTCGTGCCTTTGTGAGCAATATCACTATATTGGGATACACCCGAGAGTGGATGACGGATGATTCCCTATCGAGATTCAGTGTCTCTGGGCCGCATCCAGGCCTCTCACAGGGGGACCTTCCGGCAAGCCTTCAACCGACCTCTCTGCAGCAGACCCGGCCACACCACCCATGGCTGGATTTCTTTCCGTTTCCAAAGGTCAGAGATATCTTGATTGCCCATGAAGATGATATGGATGATGTTCAATTGTGTCGTGATCTGATGGGCTTTTATACCATGCCTTCAGAGGAAGACAATTGCATACTTGTATGGGGTGACCCATGGAATCCGATGAACTGGGAGGTCACCGAGACATTCCTTCGCAAATGGGGATGGATCGTGAAAGGTTGCCCGGAGATCATCTGGTCGACGAACCATTGGCGACGGATCAGGGGCCAGCGAAGAATCAGGTGGAAGAACACTGTGGAAATGCATTCGTGAACGGTACACGATACCCAAAACCGAAAATTCAAGAATCCGAACATACGAAGAAACGAAATTCGAGGGAAAACTACCCGATCGGTCTGGCTGATCAAGCATGGATCTATCTATAGCCATGCTGTTCGTCAGACCAACCCGTGGACAGCTGGTCCAAGCATGTCATCTCATCTCGCGGTTTCCACCATGTATTCCCCATCAGCACGGTTCCGACCAAAGGGGAAGACGCTGTGGTCTTTCCCAAATGCGGAAGTAAACCTCGTATCCACGAGGTTCTATCGTTCAGCCCTATACGACCAATCCATGCCCAGCTAGGGCGTCACTCTTCCACCAGTCTGGGTTGAAAAATGAGTTGGCGGCAGGTAAATCCCATGATGAGCTGTTTCCCAGCAGAAATCAACCAGTAGATCAGATCAGAGTTGTTCTAGAGAATTGAAGAAATGCCGTCTGAATCCACATCGCGAATCGCAGTACATGATCTATGTCACTAGTCTTCTCCCAACGCAATGCGCAAATAGGTAATGTGAACAATTTCAATGATAATCAACATCCATGGATACTTTTTTTGCTTCAGTAAAAAGAGCGCAGGGCACTAAATGGGGAGATTGTCTTGGCTAAAGAATCAGCCCCTCGGATGTCAACTTCTCCTCACGCAACTCCTCCGCCATCATGGTGTACGCGTTTACTCTCCCAACGACCTCCCCTCTTTCATTCCAATCGTTCATCACCTCGCCCACCCATCCTTCCCTTCCCCAATCAGCTTCAACGGCTCGCCATGCTCTCCGCGTCACACTAAAGGCCCACAAACGCTTACCCCGCGGCCCGCGTCAGGATGCCCACCTCCCCGCCGTTCTGTCCGCCCTGAACGAATACATTCCTTATCTTTTCGCCATCTACAATAGTCTGAGCGATAAGCCGATCTCCGATTTCCAATCCGCTGGCTACACGTCCGGAGCAGGTCTCCGCACAGGTGGACTCGAAATAGTCCTACGTGCGGAGATCGAGTCCGCATGGAGACCGACTTTGTCGTCCAATGCATTCAACATAACATCCGGAAGGAATAGCTCGAGTGGCAAGGCTGTCAAGACACATAATGGGCGAGTGTGTGGCCAAGGGATTCACTTCGAGTTGGCATTCACACTCGCGACACTCGGCTACGTGCTGAGCAGACTGGCGCGTGCGGGTGTCGTCGCTGCACTATATGCGCTTACGCCTCCTACGGCTGAAGAGCGCACTGCTGCCGTGCAGACTGCGACGCGGTATTTGTTGCAGGCTAGTGCCGTGCACAACTTTCTCGCCTCGTCGCCTTCCACGCTGAATGCTGTCTCTACAGTACCCGATCTGGATGCTAGCACGCACTCTGCTCTTTCATCGCTTGCGCTGGCTGAGGCTACTCTACTCGCAGTGCTCAAGGATGATGCATATGTTGCTGCTTGTATCCAGTCGAGGAATCCGAATGACAAAGAGTGGATGGTCCACGCGCCCGAAATCCCAAAAGTCCGTGCCCTGCTATTTGCAAGACTCTGTGTTCGAGCCGCGGAGTACTCCGAGCAAGCTGCTGCGGGCCTCGGTGCCGTTGGTGCTGCGTCTGCGCGCACAGAGCGCGTGAGCGAGGAAGTCATTCGGTATACTGGTGTTTTGGGTCGTGTTGCGCGTGCCCGAGCTTGTCGTTTCTTTGGTGTGGATGCTGAGTTGTCTGGGAAGGTTGGAGAAGGCATTGCATGGCTACGCGCTGCGCGTACGCCTCTTGGGATTCGCGGAGGATCTCAAGATGAAGGTTCTGCTTCTGGTGGGCCGGCAAAGGGTGGACTATCCCGCCTGAAGCGTGAGTGGAATGAGCGTCGTGAGGAACGTCGTGTGGCAAAAGATGCGGGCAGCAGCGGCGAGAAAGGTCCCTTGGATGCTGGGGACGACGCTGGTCGTGGCGAAGAAGGCCAGGTCATCGCCATGCTGGAAGCAAAATGGGTGAAGATGAATGATACCGTGAGTGGTCCCATGAAATCATAGCGTTCACTCACTATCGAAGCATCCTTGCTGATATGACCTAGATCAACACCCAACTTATTCCCCCGTCTGCGCCATTGCTTTCTAACTTGCCTTCTGGCCGGGATATTCACTCGCCGCCAGCACCATATCAGCCTCCGTCTCTGGACAATGATGAGATGATGCGCATGCAAGCTATTCCGGACGAAAGAGACGATGTGAACTTCGGAAACGATGATGACAGTGAAGATGAGACAGGTTTGAGCGCGGATCGAACCCCAGGAGCGTTCCCGGACCGCAGTGCAACTGCTTCCAGCGTCTACTACTGATTCGAGACTAATATACCCAAGATATAAACACATAAACCCCTATAAGCCGTGTTATGTGGCGGTGATCCAATTCATTTTCCGTGCCTTGGACACAGATAGGCCTGAGACGATCCTCCTGAAGTACCAATATCCCAGTGCTGTAGGATACTACGATAGTGCGAATTTGGAAAAAAGACGTAGGGGGAAAAAGGAAGATTGATCAAACAAAGTGATATCTATATGTACAGTACAAACGGACAAGATCAAGAAGAGGGTTTCCTCAGGTCCTCTCCCACCACCTTCTCTCTCCTCCGATACGGACTCAACCTGTGCAACGTGATCACCATGCAGAGCCCAAACGCCCTGTGAATCCGAGCTCATCCGGTGTCGTCTCAGCATCGTATGCTGTCCAATTCCAGAGGCATTGATATCGATCATCAAAACCCCGAACTTCAAAAAGGCAGTCGCATAGCTCCGAAAAACAAAAGAGACGCTTATGCGGACTCGCCACCGAACCGGTTCTTCTCCTGGCCGAGGTAACCCTTGACCTTGCGCTCCTTGATGAGCTCGAAGTACTTCTCTGTAATGAAGACGAATTAGCACATGATCATACCGCGACAGCAGCCGGCATCCAATTGAGTCCGACCGGGGCAAATTAGACAATTGAACGTTTCAATCGTCAGACCCCGGGGCGAAGCGAACGCACCTCTGAAAACACCGCACTTCTCAAGGTGGTTCACACCCTCGCGCGCATAGCACTTGCCCAATTCCTCGCCGACGAGACGCGCCATCATGCTGCGCACCCACTGCTCACGGATAATGGCATCGCGGGCGTTGTGAACGGCGACATTGTCTTCGAAGTCGACACCCTCGTAGGTTGGGGGGACTGTGGGCTTTTTGGCGAGGAAAGAGGCGGATTCGGCGGTAGGCATTGTGGATTTTGGGTGAGCGGGCTCAAGGTGGGTGGAAGAGCTGGGGGTGCTGGGGGGGAGAGCCGGAGCAGCAGGAGTAATTGGGGAGAGACTGTCGATTGAAGGGCTCGATGCGGTGGTCCGTTGATCTTGGAGGTTGGATTACCTGTGTTTTCATTGGGTGGGATCGGGGCGGTGGAGGGGCCAGGCTACGGGAAGTGAGGAAAACCACTTGTGCAGGTGCAGCTGAGTCATGCTATCACGTGTTGCTTCAACCGTGGATCCTCATGGACCCACTCTATCTACATAGATCCAGGTGGGCACTACATATATTCATCTGCCCGTAGATATAGAAAGCAGAGAGAGCGAGAAAGAAATAAAAAGAAAGCTCAGGGCGAGGAGCGAACCTGAGACTAAGAACAAAAAATTGTGCCCACTATTATGGCAATGCTGCTGCACCCATGCTATCAAGAGCGTGGAGTGGAGCCGCCAGCCTCCCCAAACACCCCTTATAGCCTTGTAAGTTGTGGACTGCCGGACCCTTGAGTGTAACCACTCGGCCATCGGATGGGTGTGCGCAAAAGTCTTACCTTTCAGTTCCTTTTGACCGAACTAGAAGATTCTACAGCCTGAAATTTCGATTTCTGCCACCAACCTTGGAAGATTCTCTCAGGCCCTCATCTGGGCAAGCTTAACATGGGGTCTGAAGGACAGTGTCCAAGGTCAAGTGATTGGTAGATGAATTATAAGGGGATTTGAGACCGAACTCTGAAGAGTCACAAAAACTGTTCACATGGTAGCTCGACTTCGACTCCGTCCATTGAGCCCATTACGGCGTGTCATCGCGTTGAGAACGGGAAGTCTTCACTTTTGCCAACATGAACATGACACGACGTGAATGATATCTTGTCTACAGCCGCTTGTTCAGAAATGTGCCTCATAAATAATGCAGACCAAGGCGCAATGTACAAAGCAAGTCCCATAAACCACCCATCCCATCGGCCCAAGAGTCCATACATCAATAATGTGTACAAAAACAAGCGAATCCACCATGATGTGATTGATATCAATCATCCTTGGCCTTCCCTCGGAGTCCATCATATGTATCCAACACGCTATCCTTGAACCTAGTCCACAGTGGTCGGCTGAGCCACTTGCTCAGCTCACGATAGTAATAGATCTCAGACCAGCAGTCACGGCCATACATACAGCCCGCCATATTGACCACAAAGTCACGAGCTTCCTGTTGGTAGTGTGAAACCGGATTGTCTAGATCTCCACAAGCACCCGGGGGAAATGCGTTGATGCTTCGCTGTGGGAGGAAGCCGATTCCACTCCGGACCCAGGGTTGGCTTTGATAAATGTATTCCAAGGCATCCTGTTCCTTGTGCTCCCATTCCATATGCTTCTGCTCGTACATGACGGGATCCCACCAGGCGTCAAGGAGTCGGTCAGCCCACAGAGAGCGGCGGATGAAAAATGACCCCAGATTGAACCCGGCGCAATCTTGCGATAGAAGCATTTGCAGAGAGTCCGGGTTGCCGTCCCCGTCGACTGAGCGTCCCAATTCATCAAGCCAGAACTGCGGCAGTGGATGTGTAATGTTTATGGGGTTATAGGTTGTTATGTCGCGGTAAACGATCGACTCCAGATGGTTGAAGATATGTGATTGCAGGGATGTGTCGTATTCCATGATCCATGTGTTCAAGTCCAGCCACCAAAACCACTCCGCATGTGGGTATTTGAGCATGGCTTCTCGGATGATATCACCTTTCTCCCAGCTCTCTCGCCATTCGTGCGAGTAGCGCTTCTTCGCAAGAAGATTCGCCAGCTCCAGATCGTAGCCCCATCTCGCCGCGTACTTTTTCTTGTTCCAGATACTGTTGCGTTCAATTGCCCACTCGCGGGCCCCTTTCAATTCCATAACACCGCCCTCGACGTTAGACCCGAGGATGATGACGAATTTGCGAGCCCCGCCGATTGGCGATCGACGGTATAGCTGAACGATTGCTGTGATGGTCAGGTCCATATTTCAGAAACTGCGTTGATATGCAAGATATGCCCCTACTTACATGACCAGCAAAACAGATATGTGATCCACACTATGAGCAGCAGTAACAAGAGGCGAAGTCTGCCCCGCCGCATGAAAAGTCCTGAGAACCAACGACTGCCTCGGGGACTATCCGCGCGCCTGAACTTTGGACCATCGTCGTCTTTATCGATGTATTCGTGCGAAGATCTTCGCCAAAGTGCAGTACAGCGCGCGAGTAACCTATCGCAGTGACGGGAGAAAAAGCCGGCATTTCGCGTTGAAAAAGAGGGATATCCGCAAACTCTATTGGGTGTTGCTTTGGCGGAGGCCCACGAGGTTCCGTTCGGGGAGAATGTGCCGGGCGAGGCAGCGTCAGTTGCCAGGATGAGTCCCGGCGTGGACCACCCTCCGCCCGGACGGGGAGAGGGTGACCGGGACAATGACATGAGGATATCAAAAGGCTGTGCTCAACTTGGACGGGGAGAGGTACTGGGTGGCAGTTGAATCGAGAAAGTGAGCGAAGGGATGGAAAAATGAGGTCAGAATGACCACAATCCAGGCGCTCCTGGCAGTCGCTGCAGAAGGAAAGTGCGCGAAGATGTGAGGAACATAGTGAGGTGTCCAGCGCAATCCCTCAGATGGTCACTGTGTCACTGACACGAGTGTGGACATGTCGCGGATACCAAGGTAACGTCTCCGATATCCCATTTAGGTTTCAGGTACGCGGACATTCTGCCGTCGCTGTCCACGCATATAGAATTTGAGATATCTAGACAACACAGGGTCACCAAGCCGCGGACTGTTATCTCTAGTCTATGTATACTACATGGTCATTCCAGTCTTTGCACCTTCACACTGTATTCGCCACTACGTTGATGATCTATTCCACGGGGGAATAAAGGTACAAAGTTGAGTGAGCTTCGTCCAAGGGATCTACCTGGGTAAGACCGACTTCCAACTGCCAGTACTAAGAGACTCACCGTCAGGGCCAGCAGTTTACAGTCGCGACCCGCAGAGCCGCATAGATATCAGCTCCACTTTAAAACGCCAAGACAGTAAAGATGTGTAGAGTAAAGATATGTAGATTGATGCTAGGCCAGTCTATGCAAAATGGGAACCACGACAAATCTTATGCCTTGCGAGAAGGCCGGAAAGGCATTTTATTTGCTCCGTTCGGGCGATGCATCAGGGCTTGTCGAAGCGTGAAGCCAGGTTCGTTATCGGGTCGGGGTTGAGCGCTTTCGCCATGAGTGAACTCGCAGCGGAATTGAAGGTACTTGCCGCTCTCTGTGTTGCGGTACACCGTTATGATATCACCAGTGTAGAGCTTGCCAAATTCCACAGCTTCGGTCCCATCCTCTTTGGAGGTACCTCGGCGAAGCAGAACGTCGTTGACCCAGATGCCCATGCGGGCCTTGGTGGAGATGATGGCTGTAACACCTGGGACATCTTGCCAGTTTTCTCCGGCTGCGATAAGGGGTTCGATGCCGGGGGCCCAGAACGTGAGTTCCAGGGCGTATGCGGGGATTCTGGTGTCCTCACTGTTCGCATATTTGACGGTTGCCCTGTGGCCGCGGCCCCAGGAGGTGAGCCGGTCTTCGAGGTAGATTGTCGTATCGAAGATGGATCCGTGGACAGTTTTCAGTTTGCCAAAACGCTTGGGTGGTTTGGCGAAGTTTCCGTCCGAAAGAGCGGGAGGGTTCGAGTCCGGCTCAGGGCGATGGACGATTGGATCTGACGGGTCCTCGTCCTCATGAATCTGATTGAGAACGACTTGGCCAGTTTGAGCGTCGAGGGTAGTGGCTAACTCGAGATCGTACTGAGATTTGGAAACGCGGGGAGGGTGGATGTGAGCAGGAAGCCGAAAGCTGTTCTGCGCACTGCTATCGCTGGAAGCTTCGCTCGCTGTATCTGGGAGTGCAAGATCGATGCGACGAGAGAATTTGGCTTTCGGGGTAGGCTCTTGGGGACTGGAGCTTGCTTTGGGACTCGAGGTGGGAGGGACGGACTCGGTTTCTGGACTAGCTGCCATGGCAGGCTTTTGAGGTGCAGGGGTGGTCTGACACGGGGACGAGCGGTTAACCGAAGGGGCCTTGGGTGGAATGGTGGGGTGTAAGGAGTTCATGTTGAGTTGTCCCACGAGTTTCTCTGTCCCCATCAAGCTAGGCGCGGTCCCCCCAAAAGGCACAGCCGGAAGAGAGATGATCGACTCGTTGGGATCGTCACTCATCATCGACTCACCGGAAGAGTTCGTTTCCTGCATTTGGTATTGGTTGAAGTCATAGCCATCCATGGTGCCGAGTGCGTAGGAGCTTCGAAGGGCTGAAGAGGAGACTTCGCCGAAAAGACGTTTGGCGTGTTTGTCGACCGACGCCACGTGCCCCTCCTGGAAACTGATTTCAGGGAGGCTAGGATAGTGAACTTGACTAGGAATATACTGTTCAACCCGCGGCTTCTTGGAAGTCGCCTCCATACTCCCGCCCTCTTCTTGCGGCTCGTGCGTGTAGCCCGGCTCCTCGGTGATGGACAGCTGTGAAGCATCTAGCTCATCTTCAGCATCCTCGCCGATGACAGAAAGCGCGTCATTGTAGTCATTATAGCCCGAGAGCAACTCATCATCATCCTCATATTCGTCGACGTCAGCGACTTCAGCAATCCAAGGATGCTGGAAGCATTCGCGTTCTGTGGGACGAGAGAACGGATCCCGGTTTAACAACTGGGAGACAAAGTCAATGCCAGATTCTGATACGCCCGCTTGCCTCAGGAGATCGAAGTCTGCATTGCTGGTCATGATCGTGCGCAGCATTTGAACACCACGATCTTCGGCGCGACCGGTATACGGTGGGACGCCACATAAGATATGAAAGAGCACTGCACCGAGAGACCATATATCAACGGACTGACTGTATGGAGATGTTTTTGGCAGTCTGTCAATTAGCAATTGCGCGGGATGTATGGAAAAGAAAGAGCATGGCTTACGGATCTCCGACACGACGCCGTTTTCGAAGCTCACCGCGACGATACTGTTCGTAATCAGGGTAAACCTCTGGCGCACAGTACAGTAATGTTCCGCAGAAAGTCTTCAAGAACGTTTCCTGCTCCACAACTTTCGACAGCCCGAAATCAGACAGCTTGATCCGAAGTGGGTCCAGTGACGCGATGAGAATATTGTCGGGTTTGATATCGCGATGGGTGATGCGGCGTTTGTGCAGATAGTGAAGGGCTCTCAGCACTTGTCGCGCGATTGTCCTGACCATCTCTTCGTCGATCTTTTTCTGGCTGTGCAAGTAGGTTGACAGCTCACCCCCCGGTACGTATTCCATGATGATGTAAATCCACCGGTCATGCTCGTGGTGATCGATGTACTGGACGATATTCGGCTTGAAGATGTTAGTACGGTCTGATTGGCCAAGAAAAGACGAGATACTCACATGCGTCAGGTCTCTCATAATTTTCATCTCGTTATCGACTTTGTGATCCAGGATTCCATTTTTCATGAAGCGGCGCTTATCGAGCTCCTTCGCTGCATAGATGGCACCGTGTTGTTTGGTCGCAATTTTGTAGACTGTTGCAAAGGCGCCTTTGCCTATTTGCCCAGTCACGTTATATACTGCGCCTCCAGTCCAATGCATGCCGAAAGCGTTGGAAGCTGACCACGTCAGAACCGATGGAGTTGCACCCTGCCGAGTCTTTGTGGCCGGCGCATGCGCTTGCACTCGTTCAAAGTAGCGACAGAGGTTTTCCTGATATGGCGTGGCAAATCCTTCCCTTGATGGAATCCGGACCACGAAGCGAACTTCATCCGAGCCAATACCAGTGACCACCTGAATCACAGATCCGTTCGTGAGCATCCGACTGTTCTCCTTTTGAGACTTGCGAAGGCGGCAATTATCAACCACGGTGCCATTTGTAGAGGTATCCTCAAGCATGAGGATTCCGTCACCCGTCAGATAGATTCGGAAATGGGTGTTGGATACTCGTTTGGCGTCGTCATCCACGGTTAGCAAGACATCACAGCGAGCGCGGTTACGACCGAAGCAGAAACCGACGCCGAGATTGTGAACATCAGACGAAAGCCTCAACGCCAGATCCAGGTCTGCCGTGTGCGAGACCTCCCTCTCCAGTGCGTCCCGTTGGAGTATATGCTGGGCACCGAGTCGCGCCGAGGCTGCAACTGCATCGTGCGCAGCATGGGAATTAGGATGAAGAATACAAATGATGTCGGATAAATCTTGGTCTTGAATGCCAGAGTTGTTCATTCCCATCCGGCGCGGATCAGCGAGCGGCTGTGTGGATTCCTGTGTTGCTTCCATTGTGGTATGACAAATGTAGTGAACAGGACGCACGACGGCTAAAGAAAGGAGAAATGAGAAATGAGGGGATGCAGCTACAGAGAGGAATCCAACGACGGGGATATGTGCAGCTGTGGACACAGCTAAGGGAATGCGTGGAAGGGGCTGATTAATGTCATAGGATAGCCAACCTTGGAAGGCAATGATACGCAAGGCTTTGCAAAACGCGTATTGCAGCACGGATATAGATGTGCCTTGTGGCGGTTCCAAGCACAAAGGCTGAGACACCCAGAGAAAACCTGGGGGAGAACAATGTCCTTTGGTATCAACCAAATTCCAGCCAGAGCATGCAACACAGATCCCCAGGAAACCTTAAGGTGTTAAAGCTCCTGGTACACGGCCTGGAAATAGAGTGTGTGTGGGGGACAGATTGTTTTTCTGTCAGGGTGGGGTGTCTCCCTCACTGCTAGCAGCATGCAGCGTTAGGGTCAACCAGTTCAGCACCGTGATATATTGGCTGAAATAACTGGGTTCGAGCCCAATACTGCGGTGAAAATGATAGAGTTCGTTGCTCGTCCCGAGGATGCTGGGTTGCGGACAAGGATCGGACGGTTGAAATGACAGACGACAATCACCGAGCTGTTGTTCTGTATGGCTATGGGTATCGCATTAAAGGAAGGATAGGCCGAGTCGCAGTTTTGGGGGCCTTGGAGGTATTTCTGCGACAATGATCTCAAACAATTAGCAAATATTCTCCCACGACATTGAAGATTTGTTATGGACTTGATTTGCAATCCAGGGCCAACTCACACAGCTGGACAAATTCCTGCTCTGTCCACTGGAGATATTGCAGGTGGACAGATGGAAGAGCAAACCTGCACTCCTGGGAAGGTCGTCGTCCGAGGAACAAGAGCCGCCATTGCGGAGACCTCAGGCGACAACGCGTTCCTGAGGCGCGTTGCGGTGTCTGACTCATCAGGCAACAGGCGCGTTAATTGGCTCTCCACTATGGAGTATGGCTCTAGGCTAAATAGCGGCAAGGGTCGACAGCTGGTTTGAAATGTTTGAGATTTACGGAGTACTCTATCGACGCTAACACTAGAGTTGTTCGGATCGCTATCTACTGCCGTATGGAGTACTAGTATCTTGGCTCTTTTGGTACTTGCCGCTGAGAGCAATTTCGAACACTTGGTCCAGGCGGGCGATCGCCTGATCCGATACTTCTATGACAGGTCAGATCTGGGTGTTTGTTGTTTATGTGAAAACGTACGATAATGGACCACGATACGGCCACCTCCCAACTTGAGTCCCTTCTCCTGTCCAATCACGGACAGATCGTTAGGTCCCACCCCGGATGCTTCGAGGTCCAGCCAAACCATATTGGTTTGCGGTGGTTGTTGCAACTTTCCACCACGGCTGGTCCATAATTCAGCCACATGCTTGGCCTTGATGTGGGTCGCTGCAAGCTTCCCATCCTGCCCGGATGGGTGCATCCCGAATGTCTCCTTTAGTGCAACCTGGGCGGCGGCTGCAATGACACCAGTCTGTCGGGCACCACCGCCGATGGATTTGCGGAACCAGCGTGCTTTCTTGATGAAAGCCTGAGGACCAACAATTATGCTGCCAATCGGGGCACCCAACCCCTTCGAGAAGCAAAGGCTAACGCTGTCAAACAAAGCAGTATACTCAGGCAGACTCCCTGCACCAGCCGCAACAGCTTCCCACAGACGGGCGCCGTCGAGGTGAACCTTGATGTCATGGGAATGAGCCCATTCAACAATCCGCTTTGCCTCTGTGAGAGGCATGATCATTCCATCGAGTGTATTCTCCAAGCTGATGAGCTTGGTAGGGCAATGGTGAATATCATCGTCCAACACGGCATGCTTCTGGATATCCTCCAGCGTCAGGTGGACGCCATTTTTGGGCACCACTGTCTGCATGGTAGCTCCAGTCCATGCGCTCACTCCTCCCGCTTCATAACAAATAATGTGGGATCTGTGGTCACATAGCACTGAATGTGGCGGCTGCGCAAGATGCGAACGAATAGCCACCTGGTTCCCCATCGTCCCAGAAAGGACTAGCAGACTGGCTTCGTGTTTAGTGATCTCGGCCACATATTGTTGCAGCTCATTGGTAACAGGGTCTTCATTAAAAACATCGTCAAGGAGGGTAGTTTGGCAAATCGCTTCGAGCATGGATGCCGTAGGCTTGGTCATTGTATCGCCTGGACCCCATTAGCATCTGTGTTACAATGTACCAATCTCGTATCCGTATGCGCCTCGAAAGGCGTCTGGAGCTGCGCCATACTTCGAAGATCAAACTCAGCGGCACCGGCCCCCTGCCATGTGTTGGTAAGCTTCGGCTTGCCATTGTCAACCCCCGTCGGGGCCTGAGCCTTATTGTGTGTCGAGAACTCGGCCATGGCACTTCGATGTAAAGATATTGGGCCTTGAGAAGCGAAAAGCAACCTCCGCGGGGGAATGCGACGAATTGAGTGTGTCAAACGAGTCATGGTGCAAAGGCACCGAGCACAGATCGCCTGGAAAGAGGGGCTCTTGGGGAGGTCCGACACGTGATCCAAAAGGTTACCACCAATATGGACACAGCAGTGAATAGTGCCTCATTGGAATTCACAGATGAAGCTCTCGAGCTCGAATTTGCGACTGGTCTAGGGACAGACTTGTGCGACTTCCCCGTAGAAGCAGTGATGGTTCGACAATGACGACATTGCACAGTACCAATGGCCAGATAAGGACTAGCGCCATCCAACGGCCTCGACCGCTTAGATAACCATGGCCAAGGCCCGCGGCTGCGCTCTGGTTCACGCCCGCACATTCTGACAGCCTCTTCACACCTGGTTGCGCCATGGACTTGTCCCATTTAACAAGGCCAGGCATTCTCGGCCAGTGCTCCCGGTGCTCGAGCTCGCTGGCCGCACTGGAAAATGAATGGGCCAAGCTGTCCAATGCCTACTCAATCCCTACAGCATGGCTCAGCGTCGACCTCCACCGCATCTCCGTGTCATCGGAGCGCAAACAGATTCCAAACACATCTGACATGACTCTGCTACGCGGGCGCGTCATTCAGGAGGTATCTTGCAAGCTATGCCAGCAGAGGATGGGGGTGCTGTGTCCCCTGGATAACGGGTAGGTGCCCGGTATGACCCTGAATTACACTTCATGCACTAACTCAATGGCTGCAGAATGAACATTTTGTGGAAAATGTCTAAAGTCGCGTTCAGAGAAATTGTCACCATGCGCACCGTCCAGCCCCTATACAAACAAGGGGCCCTCGAACGATTGATTTGCCCGCCGAAAGAACCTTTGCGCCGAGACTCGGATTTACTACAAGACAGTGCGCTGGTACCAGCCGGTTGTAACGACCCGGCATCTGTCGACCCGTCTATGCAAAAGCAAATGCTACACCAAGGCAGAAGCATTGATCAAATATCAAATTCGGTGAATCACCTTCAGGATACAATGTCGGATCTCAAACACTCTTTTACGGCGCTTCGAATTGAGCTGAATGGACCCAGCAGGAACATTGGGGATGGATCTCGGCTTGATGGAAATGACTTCGATATGATCGCGACGGTTCTCAAAGAGCTCAAGTCCAAATCGGAAGAGATTGAAAAGCTGAAGTTGGAGATCGAGGCTCTCAAATTGAAGAATCGATACATGGGGGTGGCTCCCCCGCCGCCGCAACAAGACTCACTGTCAGTCATGAATATGAATGCTGCCCTTCCAGAGGTTAGGAGCCCGGGATTGCTCCAGGCGGGTCGCAAGCGCACCTGGCCCGACGCATTCCCGATCGATCGCCAACAAGCTATCGCGGACTCTTTTGATGAGGATGACATGGTGGATGATTTCGCGCTTTCTGACCCCGCATTGATCACTGCTCGCGTTCCGCTTAGCGATCGGAGGTCACCACCCATCACCCATGACGATACCGCAGAAACTGAGGCGGGGCCCGCGGAGTCCCAGGTCGAGATTTCTGGAAAGCTTCCTCAGTTCATAGCCACACTTCCGACTCAGTCCCAATCCCCTCCACAGCCCACATCGAAACGTCCGCGACTAAATCAGCAATCCGAAAATGGAGCACAGCCAGCGGCTGCCGGGCCAGCCCCCGCCCAGAAACGAGGACGACCTCGAAAATCGATCAGTCAACCGAATAACCCTGGCACTGCCGAGTCACCAGCCACGGCACCAACCAGCACACAAGATGATACTGAACCAAAGTCTTCATCAGGTACACTGCGGCGTCGACAGTCCCGTCGCAGCCTTCACGAACAATCCACAGGTCCGATTCCCAACAACGAAAATGGGGACAACAGAACTCAGCTACCACAGGGCCCGAGTCATGCCTCTGACGCTCAGTCGGCACCGAACAAAAAGAGTAAACGCAACACTGGCTCGCCGAATGGAACCCGCAATGGCGCTCCGGATAACAGTGCAGATGAGGCTGCTATGAATGAGAAGCGGAAAGCAAAGGTCGCGGCGCGGGACGTCATGGCTAAAATGGCTTTACAACACGAGGAGGCATTGGAGGCCGGAAACACTCGATAGATACCAAGGAGTCATACTCCTACACTTGTACAATAGAACTTTAACATTTGTATCAAATATAGTATATCCAGGCACATCCGAACAACCTTGGGAAGAGGGATTTAAAGAACCACCTCTACATATTCCACCCGTGGACGTTCCAAGGCGCGACCCGCCTGGGCACTACCTACATAGTAGAACCTTCCGAGGTTGGATTTTCCAAGATCGGATGAGGCCATGCACTACCCAGGAACGGAGTAGGACAGTGCATTTGAGTGTGTCAGAATCTAAGACAAATCTTGGAAGGCTCCAGGTCTCTCGGGAAACATACCGCATGAGGAACATTCCACTCAGTTGGGCAGTTGGCCAGGTAGATCCACGTACGAATCACTATGTCCATGGGTAGCAAGTTGGCCATCACCCCTGTTCAGGTCCACGATCGCTCTTGTGGGAACTTCCAAGTTGGAAGCTTAGGTACGTGCTGAGTAGATACGGTCATACACATTCTATATATCTACCTAGGTACCTACATGTGCATGGAGATATCCCATATTTCCAAAATCCAGGTACGTGACCCTCTGGAATTCGCTGACGATCATAGGTAACGCTATACATATATAACCATCCCCCGAGCTGGTCCTGCGGCCAATGTCCACCCGTGACCGATTGAAAGTTACATACTAGGTACTAGGTACATTAGGCAGTGGCACTCTATATTTTACCTAGACGAACTCTCAACTTGGAACCGGGCACCCACTAGTACCTAGGTATTTCTGGGGGCCGTTCAAAGGTTGGGCCGTCAACCAAAACCCGAGGTTTTCAAGGTTGTCCGCAGTTACCGCAAATTCACGCAATGCCACGAGCTCACATTTGGATGCGAAATTCATAAATGACTACTTAGATAGGTACCTATACGAGCATATGCCTCCACTGTAGAGAGAACTTTGGAACATTTTTCCAAGGTTGGACTGGCAAGGTGCTGGGGGGGGGGGGTATTTGAAATATCTACAGTAGTCGTACCTACTCTGTACCTACATACCTAGGTAGGTAGTATCCACTGCATGCCAAGTTTGGAGTGGATTTAGACAATTGCCTTTGTGATATATCGATTTCCTACCCCGTCTGTGACCACCCAACCGAACTCGGGACCCACAAGGCCTACTGCTTTGCATATGTACGCTACCTACGGAGTACTAAGTGCGGAGTACTGTAGCAACACCCCCGGCTACTCCATACAGGTCTGAGGTCATGAGTGGCGCGGCACGGCCTACAGACCCGTGGATCTGACGCCAGATCGGCCGGCACATCGACATACTAGTATTGATTCAGCCAAGTGGGTAATTTCCGCATTGAAGCCCCGCGAGGCCCCGAGGTCTGATCGAGACCTGGAAAAGATAATTATTTCCAAGGTTCTGATGCGCGACTGGAAGAACCACTTGGTCGAGTGTGGACCCTATGCGAGTATACGTGATCGTCCTCGTGTGCCAGCTTTCGCGAACAACGTGGATGACTGTACAGTTGACCTTGCATGGTGTACATATGCAAGGGTCACCAAGTTCCAAGGTTTCCAAGGCTCGATCGAGGAGCTCCTCGAGAGTCGTTGGCTGGTCATGGCGAACCGCGTACACCGCTCCATTGTTCCGTTGGAGACGAGGTCATAGATGGATCGACATATGTATGTTTTAGATTCAGGTGCTGCTAATCGTGAGATATCAGCAGAGTGGAGCCATGACTATTGTGCCCAGTCTGATTTCAACCTGCATATTTCGCCATGAATACTGCTCCGGGTGGATGTCCAGCATTGGAAAGCTAGTGAATTGGGCCTTGCATCCGACATTTGGGCACTTCTGGTGTCTACTGGAGTAGAACACATTCCCCAGTACTGCGTACCCATCAGATCGATATTGATTTAAGGTTTTCGCCCCTGTCCACGGGAGCCCACGGGAGCCGCCCACGGTTCCTGAGCGGGAGTCACATCCATGGATACGAAGTATTGGCATTAGAACATCGGTGGATAGGGCCGGGGACGGAATATCAGGCATAAGCGAATGCGTAGAGCGCTATTCCCACAAAGTCTACTCCGTACAACCTGGAACTCTGCATATGTGTGGGGACTGATGTCATATTTCTTCGTTTTGTCCCCGTTCTTCCCCCATTGTTGGTTGCTTCAATGTCTCATGAAACAGCCCCCGAGGCCACCTGAGACCTTGATACGGAGTGGGCGGGGGTGCGCTTGGCTGAAAGAGGTAATTAGCTCGATGAATGTCCGGGAATGCAGATATTGGACTTGAGACGCAATGTACTGTTTAGAGAATCCTTGTTATGTGACGAGTATCATGCTTACGGGTGACATGCATCGGGAAAGAGGAGAGACATATGGAGATCAGCCCGACCTTACTTTTGGCCGCCCATTTTGTTAAATCAGAGAAAAGGAAACGATTTGCATTGTCTCCTTACAACCGATTTCACCTGCGTCTGACAGAAAGCTCACGATCAGCCAGCTTCTTCAACCAGTCGGTTAGTCCACCAGTAAAACAGACCTTTGCGTCAAAATCAAGTTAACAGCATCCCAGGACCGCATTGCCGCCAGCAGCTATACTGAGGCGAGTGTCTTGTCTCACTCTCAACAATCACATTTTACCAAACACCTCCGCCCCATTCACTCTCTGGGATTGAGAAGCTTGAAGATGGGAGACATTGCGGTAGAGAGCTTTGAGGCCCGGCACATTATCGATGGCCTCCAGGGCCATGACACAGTGGAAACCTTGATTGTCACGTTAGAATCATGGGTTTTGCAGGCTGTGGAACAATTCAAGAGCAACAACGGATTGCTCAAGGTAGGGAGCACAGGTGATGTTTCCGATAATGGTTTTGATGTGAATATTCATCTCGACGGGGAAGCCCGGGACATGTTGACGCAATGGCGAGGGGAAGTTCGCCAGGCAGTGCACAAATACCACGAGGCTGCGTCCGATTGTTCAGTTTCTTTAGTGTTGGAGGGCAGCCCTGAAACTGGCCGCCCCGACACACTCCTGGTCTTGAGACTTTTGGGGAAGAGTCAAGCTTTGGTACAGGAAGAAGCGCCCAAGAGCCTGTGCCAAGAGAAGAGCTTGTGCCAAGAGGGGAGTTTATGTCAAGAGAAACAGTGTTCTCCGCTTCTGGAGATTATTTGTCAGACCCATCCAGAAGGGTTGGAATTTCATGTCGCCTCGCCTCTCCCAGATGGAGTGCGAGAATTCATACAAAGTCTGGATCTGCGGGTTCGGCAGTCCGTTGCCGACCTCACTTTCACAAATGTCTCGGCAAACTCGACGTCTGCTCCATCAGACAATGAGCTCAAGACAATATGGGCTTGGAACTCCACAGTCTCCGCGATAGTACCGAGATGTGTTCACGATATTATCGCCGAACAAGTCACCCGACGACCAGTTGCGCCAGCAGTCTCTGCCTGGGATGGTGACCTAGACTATCATCAGCTGGACAGAAGCTCGACTCGACTAGCTCATTACCTAGTGCATCTGGGAGCTGGGCCGGATGATATCATCCCCCTCTGTTTCGAAAAGTCCAAGTGGATGATGGTAGCCATCTTGGCAGTAATGAAATCCGGGGCAGTCATCGCTGCCTTGGACCCAACTCAGCCCGAGTCTCGTTTGCAGACGATCGTGAAACAGCTACAACCACGCTGGATCCTTGCATCGCCAGCGCAGATCGAAGTGGCCACTCGTCTGGAAACCAAGGATGTCATTCTACTTGACGAAACCCACCTACAACGACTGCCAGAATCCGAAAGCCAAGACCTTCCGCGCGTTGATCCCTCGAGCAATTTGTACATAGTCTTCACGTCCGGTAGCACCGGAACGCCGAAGGGAGTCATGATCAATCACACCAACTTTAGCAGTGCCATTGCCCACCAAAATGAGGCACTTGGGATCAACGAAACGGCACGGGTCTTCGATTTTTCTTCCTACGCCTTCGATCTATCCTGGGGGAATATCATACACACGTTCGCTGTCGGTGGATGTCTTTGCATCCCGTCTGAAATCGAGCGCCGAGGAAATATCACCGAGGCAATTCGCAGGCTTGGAGTGAATCATCTCCAGCTGACCCCTACCGTTGCTCGCCTCATTGACCCGCAAGAGATACCCGACTTGCGATTGATTCTCTTGATCGGAGAAGCAATGACTCAAGCTGATGTTGCTCAATGGACACCACACTGTACACTAATTAATTCATACGGGCCCGCCGAATGCACGGTGGCGGTGACCTTCCTGACAATCCCTCAAGGCACAGCTTGGGATTCAAGTATGGGCAAAGGAGTCGGTTGCAATACCTGGATCGTCGATGAAGCCCATGGGGATACGTTAGTCCCTCTTGGTCACACAGGAGAGCTGTGGCTCGAGGGACCTCTGGTCGGACAGGGGTATTTCGGAGACCCCACGAAGACCGCAGCAAGTTTTGTGGAGGATCCTGCTTGGCTGACGCAGGGAGGTCCTGACATCCCAGGACGCCGAGGGCGGCTATACAAAACTGGAGATCTCGTGCGGTACAACCCGGATGGCTCGTTGGTCTATTCTGCTCGCAAGGACACACAGATCAAGATTCGGGGCCAGCGTGTCGAGCTTGGTGATGTGGAATACCATCTCAAGCTTGCACTGCCCAGCAACATTCCGTCCGTTGCAGCCGAGGCCATCACCCCGCGCGGAAGCGATGATGCGATCCTGATAGCTTTCATACCCGTCGGCGAAGCTGCAAGTGAGGATGTTAAAAGAACCAGAGAGGTCCTTGGTAGCTGTATCAATGGGGTTGGGGGATACCTGACCGATCGACTGCCTAGCTATATGGTGCCCAGCATGTATCTTGCCGTCCCCGATATTCCTATGAGCGCCACGGGAAAAACAGACCGATTGCGACTCCGAGAGATTGGATCTTCTCTCACCCTAGATCAGTTGACAAAGTTGCAGCCCTCACGAGCAGCGGCGAATGAGGCTCCTCAGACCGAGATGGAGCAGCGGCTTCAACAGCTTTGGGCGGATGTGCTGCGCCTGGATGCCTCTCAAATTGGCACAAACGAGAGCTTCTTCCTTCTGGGAGGGGACTCAATTTCGGCTATGCGGGTTGCCGCCAAATCCCTGTCGAGAGGAGTTCACGTAACGGTGCAAGATATATTCAAGCACAAGACAATCGCGAGTCTCGCGCGGCGGGAGAGTCAACCCGATCATCCGACCAATCAGAGTCAAGGGCTGCGCGACAAGCCATTTGGCCTGTCTCCCACTCAACAACTTTTCTTCAATCACCACCAGGACAAACATGGATATTCGAATCAAAGCTGCTTCTTGCGCGTCACCCAGATACAGCAGCCTGATGCTGTGCGGGACGCCATCCGTCTGCTCGTCGGTCGGCACTCGATGTTGCGCGCTCGCTTTCACCAAGGCGGCGACGGAACGTGGATGCAACAGATCGCTCCATGTACTGATGAATCATATAAGTATCTGAATCACCGCGTGCAATCTTTGGACGAGGCCACTACGGCGCTCAACAATAGCCAGCAGTCTTTAGACATCCGTGCCGGTCCCTTGTTTGCGGTCGATCTGATCGACACCCCAGGCCAACAGCACCTATTTCTCACAGCGCATGTCTTGGTTATCGACATTTTGTCCTGGAAGATTATCCTGGAAGAGCTGGAAGAATGTCTTGTGACTGGAACCATTGCTCGTTCCTCTCCGCCACCCTCCTTCGAGACGTGGTGCCAACTCCAGGAAAAACACGTCAAGGAAAATCCGATTTCTGATGAGATTGCAGCAATTGACACTCAGTTTCCTTGGGAAAAATACTGGGGAGTTTCGCCAGGACTCAACACATATGGCGACGCCAAGGAGACCCGCTTCGCCCTCAGCCAGGAAACAACCGGCAACATACTTGGACCAGCGAACCGCGCGTTCCAGACCCAACCAACCGACATATTCCTAGCGGCACTGTCACACTCGTTTACAAAGACCTTGACCGACAGAGAGCCTCCAATCATTTTCAGCGAGCTTCACGGGACGGAGTCATGGAGTCCAACCATCGACCAATCCAGGCCAGTTGGCTGTCTTACCACCTTGACGCCCTTGCCATTGGCACCAAACTCTGACAGAAACACTACTCCCAGACTCGTCCGTTTTATCAAAGATAGCCGGAGACAGATACCCGACTGGTGCTCTTACCTCCCATCCCGACACTTGAACTCCGCCGGCGGAGAGGAATTCGGCAGCCAAGCCAGTCCTGAGATTACTTTCAACTACCTCGAGCCCGATAGAAGACCGGCAGACGATAACGCGCTCCTTCAACCTTGCTCCAGGCCCCAGGACCTTTTGCCAGATGTTGCAGACAACATGGACAGGCTTTCCCTGATCAATGTTTCCGCAGAGGTCACCGGAGGGTGCCTGCAGTTTTGCTTCCAATACACCAAGCATATACAGAAGCAGGGTGTTTTGACCAATTGGATTGCGGAATTCGAGCGCTCATTGGAGGAGATGGCAACTCAGCTCATCAATATGCAGCCTTGCTACACACTATCCGACTTCCCCTTGTTGCCCCCTACACCTGCAATGGGGAAGAACTTGGAGAGGCTTTCAGAGCTGGGGATTTCGCATGGCGACGTAGAAGACATTTACCCATGCAGCCCCTTGCAACAGGGTGTTCTTTTGAGCCAGGCAAAAAGCCCGCATATGTACTGGACCCGGGTACAATGGACAGTTCGCTCTAGTCTAGGAGCATCATCCCCGGTGGACAGGGTCAGGTTTGAGCTTGCCTGGAGGAAGGTCGTGAAACGCCATGCTGTGCTCAGAACTACATTCACGGATATCGTTTCTTCAGATGGTTGCAGTTACCAGATGGTCTTGAAAGAAACCTCGCCCAGCATTCACACGATCCAGGGCGTGGACCCCGCAGAAGCGGTTGCAATGTACAGATCAGCCAGCGGGCTACAGCCGCGCCCAGTGCATTCGCTCGTCCTTTGCCCAACTTCTCATGGTGATCTTTTATGTGATCTAGAGATCAACCACGCCATTATAGATGCCCTATCCATTCAGCTTTTGAATCAAGAGCTGTGTGCCGCATACGATGGGAACCTCCGCACCGAGCCAGGGCCACTGTACAGTGATTATATCCGGCATCTCCAGACCTTGCCCACCGCAGAGGCGAAAGACTTTTGGCAGAAGCAAGTTGCGGACGCCCAGCCATGTATATTCCCGACACTGAATGAACCGGTTGCCCAAAATACGGACACGGGAGCAATTCACTCCCTGCCCATCAGCCCTGAGACGAACTCCACCCTGCGCCAGTTTTGCAGAGCTAATGACCTGACTCCTGCGAATGTAGTCAGTTTGGCATGGGCGTTGGTCCTGCGAACCTACACCGGTAGCGACTCTCTCTGTTACGGATATGTGGTATCTGGACGTGACGTCCCCATTCGCCACGTGGACCGAGCGGTTGGAACGTTCATCAACATGCTGGTGACACACGTGGAGATCAAGAGCAACCCAACCCTTCTCACTGTGGCTCAAGAGATACAGGAATCGTACCTTAACGGCCTGAAATACAACTACTATCCCTTGGCGGAGGTTCTGCACACCCAAAGCACCGATGGGCAGCCGTTATTCAACACCGCCTTGTCCGTGGAGACTAGCAACGCCAGCCTTGCTAAGCCAGAAATGGGTACCATCGCGCTTGAGGATGAGAAAGTGTTTGATCCCCATGAATATGACATTGTCGCGTCGGTGCTACTGCTGGATGATAGACCTGAGATCCTGATTAACTACTCCGAGCACCTACTGTCAAAGCAGCAAGTCAGCGCAGTGGCTGACACATTCCTCCAAGCCCTGGAAAACATCATCGTTCATTCAGCGAGCGGCGTGGAAGATCTCGAAAGAACCATCAGCACTCAAGATCTAACCACAATCTGGGAGTGGAATGCGAATTTGCCGGAAAGCATGTTGAGCTCGATACCCGAAATGATTGCTGAGTGCGTGCAACAACAGCCAGACGCACTAGCAGTATGTGCTTGGGATGGAGAACTGACCTATCGAGAACTGGACGATTTATCATCCCGACTGGCACATCATCTTCTGGCCCGCGGGGTCAGGCCGCATTCGATCTTGCCACTGTGTTTTGAGAGATCTCAGTCGGTGCCTGTGGCCATGCTAGGCGCACTCAAGGCAGGTTGCGCAATAACTACGATGGACCCAGAGCAGCCAGAAGAGCGCTTACAGCTCGTGGTGAAGAAAGCAGATGGTTTCATTCTGACATCTCCGGCCTGTCGAGACTTAGCATGCCGCTTAGAGCTCGAGGCCATTGTTCTGGATGAACAATCGCTCAGAGCCTTGCCTCAGCCCAACCTATGCCCCTTACCAAAGATCACCCCAACCGACATGCTGTACCTAGTGTTTTCCTCTGGCACTACTGGGACCCCCAAAGGGTCCGTGATGTCCCATGGAAATGCATGTTCCGCAGTCCGCCACCAACAGGCACACCTAGGACTGCCACCTGCACCACGAATGTTAGATTGTTTGTCATATGCATTCGATGTTCCCTGGTTCAACTTCATGCATGCGTTTACCTCGGGTGGCTGTCTGTGTATTCCCTCCGACAAACAGCGAAAGGACGATCTCCCGGGCTGCATCAGAACGCTGAAGGCCAATTATGTCCTTCTGACCCCATCGGTCGCTAGGACAATTGATCCTGCAACTATTCCTGACTTGAAGACCCTTTCCTTGGGAGGAGAGGCTATCAGGGAGGATGATATCACCCGATGGCCCAATCTCAGGCTCCTAGGCCTTTATGGTCCATCTGAGTGCACGGTCGTCACGACAATTCACGAATTCAAGGGAAGAAGAGACGAAGCCAGGACCTTGGGTCACACCTTTGGATTGAAGGCTTGGGTGGTCAACCCTGTCGATGGTAAAGGCCTTGCACCGCTGGGCGGGAAGGGAGAGCTCTGGGTCGAGGGTCCCCTCATCGGACACGGATATCTTGGCGAGCCCGAGAAGACTGCGGCCAACTTTGTAGAAGACCCAATCTGGCTTTTACGTGGTGCACCGGGCCACCCCGGACGAAGGGGCCGCGTCTATAACACAGGAGATCTAGTCCAATCTCGCTCTGACGGCTCACTCCTTTATATTGGGCGCAAAGACACCCAAGTGAAGATTCGGGGCCAGCGCGTCGAGCTGGCAGAAATTGAACATCACTTACATCAGTCCTTGCCAGTCGGGGTCAATGTGCCGCTGATTGTGCAACTCGTCTGCCCTCAGGGTAGTTCGAACCCAGTGCTGGTGGCCTTCGTCCCAATTGGAGATGAGGCTTCCGGCCCACCCCACATACTCAGAAAAGCACTGGGTCGGTATACACATGGAGTCGAGTCCCGCCTGACTCGGAGTCTTCCCAGCTATATGATTCCTCGCATGTATTTCCCTGTTGCAGAGATCCCTGTCACAACGACGGGAAAGACAGACCAGCGAAAGCTTCAGCAGATGGCATGCTCACATACACTGGAACAACTGGCAGCGCTCCAGCCATCGCAGCACATGCGCCGTGCCCCCTCTACAGAGATGGAAACGCGTCTCCAGGGAATGTGGGCCGCTATCCTGGATATAGACCCCGGTTCCATTTCGGCAACAGACAATTTCTTGCGTATCGGAGGTGATTCGATTGGGGCTATTCGGCTTGTTCGACTGGCCGCAGAGCAGAGCATCATCCTCACGGTGGCGGTTATCTTCAGATCTCCCACATTATGCGATATGGCGCAAGCGCTGAAGCTAGGATCGGACTTCGTTCAAGAGGAAATTCCCCCATTTTCGCTTTTGAAAGCCGAGATAGACACTTCGCATGCCCAATCACAGGTTGCAACGTTGTGCAATCTAAGCGCGTGCGATGTCAAGGATATTCTTCCGTGCACGCCTCTACAAGAAGGCCTCATCTCTCTGACTGCAAAACGCCAGGGCGACTATGTTAACCCCCAGGTGATGCGTCTCAATGACTGGGTTGATGTGCCGCGCTTTCAAGATGCCTGGAACCAAGTGATCATGCAAACCTCGATCCTTCGGACCCGCATAGTTGACCTTGATGGACAAGGGCTGGTACAAGTGGTGACAACCCAGGTCCCTGAATGGCATTATGGCTGCAGTCTAGACGTGCTCACTCAAGAACATCTGAATTTCCCTGTGACATTTGGCACTGCCTTGGCCAGGTGTGGTTTGGTAGATGGTGGTTTAGACGGGAATCAGGAAAGGTACTTCCTGTTAACACTCCACCATGCACTATATGATGGATGGTCATTGTCACTCCTTCTGGCGGAGGTCAGCAAGGTCTACCACGGGACTGCAAGTGATGGCCTTGCTCCTTTCAATTCAGTGATCAAGTACACCAGGGACCTCGGCGCCGAGGCCGAATCATACTGGCGAGATACGCTGGATGATTTGGTTGCAGCACCATTCCCATCCCCACCATCCCCTCTGTATCAGACATGTGCACGGGATATGCTGGAGCATCATGTTTCAGGGATCAAGTGGCCAGAGAATCAAATCACGGCATCAACATCTCTTCGCACAGCCTGGGCAATTCTCACAGCCCATTACACTCAGTGCCCCGATGTTATCTTCGGGGCTACCGTCACCGGGCGGCAGGCCCCAGTACACCGCGTGGAACTAGTGGAAGGACCGACCATCGCGACTGTGCCGGTCCGTGTGACTATCCAGGAGAGGATGAGCCTCATCCAGCTGATGGGGCAGGTGCAGGAGCAGTCCGTCGACATGATCCCCTATGAGCAAGTTGGATTACAAAGAATCCAGAAACTAAGCACAGACGCCGAGAGAGCCTGCCAATTTCAAACCCTGTTGGTAGTTCAGCCAGCACCGGACAGGACCAAGACTGATGAACACGCCGCAATCTTCCGCGAAGAGGACGAGAATGGTAGCCAAGCGGCGCTTGGGAGCTTCAATTCATACGCCCTCCTGTTACAATGTCAGCTGACAGCCACTGGTCTGTCCCTTCAGATGAGCTACGACTCAGGTGTCATGGGCGAACCGGAGGTGCAAAGGTTGGCCCTTCAGTTTGAACACTTGATTCGTCTCCTGTGCGACCAAACCCAACATCAAACTCCTGTTTTCCGTCTCAAATCAATCTGTGAAAATGATCTCCGGAGGATCTGGGAGCTCAACTCGCCGGTGCCAGCCACAGTGGAAGATTGCATGCACGATATAATCACCAAACAGGCCCAGCGGAAGCCAATGTCCGAAGCTGTCGCAGCATGGGACGGGAATCTGACGTATAGCCAACTAGACAGACTATCCACCGACTTAGCTCATGGCCTCGTCAACCAGGGGGTTGGTCCGCATGCTACCGTAGCGCTCTGCTTTGAAAAGTCTATGTGGACGCCCGTCGCAATGCTCGGGGTAATGAAAGCCGGTGGTGCATCTGTTGCGCTTGATATCACACAGCCAGAGGATCGTCTCCGGAATGTGGTGAATCAAGTACAGCCTGTGCTTATTCTCAGCTCCTCGCACGCAAAGGATTTGGCACAACTTCTCATCAGCAAACCTGTGCTGGTTGTTTCTCAACACACCCTGGATTCCAGCTCGCCGGACAGCATAGATGGTGCGAAATTGCCTATTGTCCAACCCGCAGACCGACTCTATATTTGCTTTACCTCAGGGAGTACTGGTGTTCCCAAAGGTTCGGTCATGACTCACCAAAACCTAGCCAGTGCAGTTCACCACCAGCAGGACGCTTTCGGCCTCACCGAGTCGGCCAGAGTCTTAGACTTTTCATCTTACGCGTTTGATGCTTGCTGGTTGAACTTCCTTCACACGCTGGCAATCGGTGCCTGCCTTTGTGTTCCCTCAGATGAGGAGAGGAAAGGCGACATTGCCGAGTTTGTGCGCCGCATGGCCGTGAACTATGCATTCCTCACACCGTCCGCCGCCCGTCTGATTAGCCCAGCCTCTGTGCCGGGCCTCAAGACCCTCGCACTCATGGGCGAGGCGGTAGCACAACAAGATATCACGCAGTGGAAAGGCCATGTCGAAATCAGGAATATCTATGGTCCTTCGGAATGCAGCCTTGTCTCGACAATTTTCGATGTTTCGGGAAACAAGCACCACCCGAAAACTATTGGCATCGGAAGAGGAATGTCCACATGGGTAGTGGAGCCGGTTGAAAGCCTTCAATTGTCGCCTTACGGAGCCATCGGCGAGCTTTGGGTCGAAGGCCCTCTGGTAGGATCGGGCTATCTTGGACGTCCAGATCTCACCAGTGTGTCGTTTTGCGACAGCCCCTCGTGGTTGCTGCATGGCCAGCCCCCAGACTTCCTGGGCCGACCCAGCCGTCTCTACCGTACTGGTGACCTCGTCAGATATCAGCCGGATGGAACTCTGCTCTACATTGGCCGTAAAGATGCCCAGGTCAAAATTCGCGGACAGCGCGTGGAGTTAGCCGAAGTCGAGTACCATCTGAACCAGGCCCTGCCCCCAGCCGCGGCGGATGTGGGTGTGGCAGCCGAGGTCATCAGCCCACAGGGAAGTGTCAATCCATTGTTAGTTGCCTATCTAGCAATTGGAGAAACCGCGCTGGGTCCACTGGAGACCGTCCGAGCAAAGCTAGCTCACTACACCCAAGGGGCAGTCGACCGCCTGGCAGACCGGGTGCCAAGTTATATGGTGCCCAGTCTCTTTCTGCCAGTGGACAGTATCCCCATCACAGTCGTCGGCAAGAGGGATCGACGCCGACTGCATGAGACATGGGCCACTAAGTCCTTGGAAGAATTGGCGGACTTGCAGCCAACTCGGGGCAACTACGAGGCACCGAAAACAGATTTAGAGCGGCAAATCCGTCTACTTTGGGCAGATTGCCTGAATATCACCGCATCTAGGATCGGCATTCACGACAACTTTTTCACTCTCGGTGGGGACTCGATCTCTGCCATGCAGCTCTCTGCAAAAAGCCGTTCGACCAATCTCAACATAGCCGTTCCAGACATTTTCCGGTGCAAGACAATCGCTCGACTGGCACTTGTTGTCTGTCCCTCAGTTGATTTGAACGTGGTTCATGTGCCAGAGGACCAGGGCGAGCCCTTTGATCTCTCCCCCATTCAGCAGATGCTCGTCGATACACAGCATGGGGTTGCCAATCATTTCAATCAAAGTTTCTTTGTGCAGGTGTGTCGGCCAGCCACACTCTCTCAGATCAACGCCGCAATGGATGCTCTCGTGGCCCACCATGGCATGTTACGCGCTCGCTTCGAGTGCACTGGCGACAATGTCTGGAGTCAACGTATCCTCGCTCCTGGAACCCCAGGAAGCCATCGCGTCAGTCAGCACGAGGTGGCAGGTTCTCAAGCTATTTCGACGATAATATCTCAGAGTCAGCTGTCTTTGGACGTGGAGAATGGACCGGTCATGGCCGTCGAACTTATTAATGCCCCCGAGGGCCAATCCCTGTTCTTGGTGGCTCACCACATGGTGGTGGACCTAGTTTCCTGGAGAATCATCCTGGGTGACCTGGAAGATTTCCTGACCAATGGATCGATATCCGGATTTACCTCGATGTCCTTCCAGGCATGGTGCAAGTTGCAAGCTGACCATGCCCAAAGGAACTGCGAAATGGAGTCGGTTCTTCCATATGGCACCTCACCTCTCCCACCCCTAGACCTGGCATATTGGGGTGATGCCTACACTTCGAACAATTTTGAAGATGTGGTGACGGGACAAATTGTCCTCAGCAAGCAAGTGACAGAAAGCCTGTTGGGGTCTGCAAATACGGCTTTCGACACACAACCGGTGGAGCTCCTCCATGCATCTATTTTGCATTCCTTCGCCAACACATTTTCTGACAGGCCAGCCCCAACAATCTTTAGTGAAGGTCATGGCCGGGAGCCATGGACATCTTCGATCGATGTTTCACGTACAGTGGGGTGGTTCACCACGATGTTTCCTATTGTTTCCACAGCACAGAAAGGCGACGACATCCCCAGTTTCGTGCGAAGCGTCAAGGATCTTCGACGCCAGATGCCAGGAAATGGCCGACCATACTTTGCGTCTCGGTTCCTCAGTCCAGCTGGAAAGCAGGATTTCCAGCTCAGCGGCCCCGTTGAGGTGATGTTTAACTACCTCGGGCTTTATCAGCAGCTAGAGCGGGAAGACGCCCTTTTCAACTTACGAAGTATGCCAGATGGGGTTGATGACCTCTGCGATATCTCTGGAAAGCTGCCACGATTTGCTTTGGTGGATATCTCCGCGTCGGTGGTGGATGGATGTCTGCACGTCGACTTCCTATATAACAAGCATATGCACCGCCAAGCCTCTATCCGCGCGTGGATCGAAGGATGCGAGAACACTCTCCAGACAGCAGCGCAGGAGCTCCCTCTACTTCAGCCAAGCTATACCCTGTGCAGCTTCCCCTTGCTAGGAATGAAAGACACCGACTTGCCGACCCTCCAGCAGACTTTGACAGAGCTGGATCTTTCTTATGGGCAAGTGGAGGATGTATATCCTTGCTCCCCTCTGCAGGAGGGAATCATCATCAGCCAAATCAAGAATCCGTCACTTTACAAGACTCGGATCCGGTGGATGGCACGGTCTGTGCAGCCAATGACACCTGTGGATGTGAACCGACTTAAAATGGCATGGCAACAGCTGGTTGACCGACATGCAGCCCTCCGCACTATCTTCATTGATAGCATCTCGGGCAGAGGGCTAAAGGATCAGCTGGTGGTCAAAGATCTCCAGGCAAGTGTACATGTTGTCCATCCCGCCCAAGAAGCAAGTTTGGATGATATTCCCACAACAAAGCGAAAGTCGACCTCAACATTATATCTCTCCCCAAAGGAATCTGGAGTTTTGTGCGAGCTCTCTATCGACCATGCGTGTATCGACGCTCATTCTATTGGCATCCTTAAGGATGAGCTTTGTGCTGCGTATGCAGACGTTCTCCACTCATCTATTGCACCGCTTTACAAGGACTACATCCAATTCATGCAGTCTTTGTCCACTGTGTCAGCTGAGCCTTACTGGCAAGACCAGCTCCAAGGGATTGAACCTTGTATATTCCCACATTTGAGCGACTCGGATTCGGAGGAGCCACGATCCCAAAACAAGATTTCAACGACGTTTGGGCGGGAGATGCACCTACAACTTCGCTCTTTCTGCATGAAGCATGGACTGACGCCGTCCAACGTTTTCCATGTTGCTTGGGCAGTGGCACTGCGTGCTTATACTGGCTTAGATGACGTATGCTTCGGCTATCTTACATCTGGTCGAAATATCCCTCTTCAAGAAGCTGAGAAGACTGTTGGCCCCTTCATCAATATGCTCGTCAGTCGCGTTGACTTCGCCAGTGGACACTCACTTAAGGAATTGGTACAGCGGAACCAAGAACAGTACCTGCAGAGTTTGGAGTTTCAACATTATCCGCTGGCGCACATTTTCCACATGACTGATACGTTCGAGAAGGAGCTCTTTAACACTGCCATGTCAGTCCAAGCCGGCGGATCTGTGCCCAAAGACCTCAAATCAGGGGTGATACTTGAAGATGAAGGAGGGGATGATCCAACTGAGGTAAGATGGCAATAATTTTTCAAAACTCCCATTTATTATGCTAAAGCTCGATCCAGTACGACATCCTGATAAACATTGGGGTTGGAGACACAGAGACCGAATTGAATTTCAATTTCAATGAGTCGCTGATATCTGAACACTATGCCAAGAGTGCCCTCGACGTGTTTCTGTGTGCAGTAAATCATATTGTACAGCATGGAGACCAGGCACCGCATGAAACGAATCTCATCAGCGATCATGACCTCCAGACTGTCTGGGATTGGAATTCCTCCACAACATCCCCAGTGAACCGATGTGTGCATGAGCTCATCATGGAGCAAGCAGAAAGGCAACCAGCAGCCGATGCGATCTGTGCGTGGGACGGCAATTTCACATACAAGGAGATTGATGGTCTATCCACCCAGCTGGCATTCCAGATTCGCGATCTTGGTGTCGGTGCTGGAGTCAACGTCCCTTTGTTCTTTGAAAAGTCTCGCTGGATGTCTGTCGCCAGTCTGGCAGTAATGAAGGCTGGTGGGACCATGGTGAGCTTGGATCCAGCTTTACCAGATGAGAGACTACGAACTATCATCGAGCTGGCCCAACCTCTGCTCGTACTCGCGTCTGAAAGAACTCATGTCAAGGCTTCGGGTCTTGCGCACTGCACGATTCTCCCTGTGGAAGCTGCTTGCATGACTCAAATGGATACGCCATGTAATGATACGTTGCCCGCGGTCGATCCTGCCGGTAGTCTGTACCTGGTGTTTACATCTGGCAGTTCCGGGCAGCCAAAGGGAGTGGCTATCAGTCATACGAACTTCAGCACGGGCATCACCCACCAAGGTCGCACCCTCAAGCTGTCCACCTCCTCGCGCGTCTTTGAGTATGCTTCTTACGCCTTTGATGTCTGCTGGGGCACTATTTTCGCAACCCTTGGGGCTGGTGGCTGTGTCTGCGTGCCCGAAGAGTCGGAGCGCCGTGGGGATATTAGTGCAGCAATGCGTCGCCTTGGAGTGAACTACGCAAGCTTGACCCCCGCTGTCGCGCGGCTTTTGGAGCCTTCCCAGACCCCGCTTCTTCAAACACTCGTCTTGGCCGGGGAGCCTGTATCCCAGGCGGATGTGAAACGGTGGAGCCCACATGTCCATCTCATCAATGCTTATGGCCCCGCAGAGACTACCGTATGGGTGACTTTTGCGGACCTCAGCACGGAAGCTTCTACTCCTCCTATTGGCAAGGGGGGTGCCTGCACCACTTGGATTGTTGACCCCCATCGGCCCGGCCAACTTGCCCCACTGGGGTGCGTGGGTGAGCTCTGGCTCGAGGGTCCGCTCGTTGGACGTGGTTATTACCGAGACCCAGAACGAACAGCAGCCGCGTTCATTCACAACCCGCAATGGCTGGTTCAAGGGCCAGGGGGCGCTCAAGCCTCCGGCCGGCAAGGAAGGCTTTATCGGACCGGGGACTTGGTCCGGTATATGTCTGACGGCTCCATTGTCTATGTTGGAAGAAAGGACAACCAAGTTAAGATACATGGTCAACGGATGGAACTGGAGGAAGTAGAAAAGCACATCCAACAGGCCATTCTGGCCGGTGCAGCTGCAACTGCCGTTGTCCCTGTGGTGGCTGCTATCGTCAATCCCCGAGGAACTACCAAACCCATTTTGGCAGCTTACCTCGCCCTCGGCAGCCTGGCAACGGGTCCCCTAGATGTGGTTCGCACAACTCTCGTTGCTTATATCGCTCTCATCAACCAGTCTTTGGAGCGTCATCTGCCAACCTACATGAGACCGAGCATCTACATCCCTGTCGCGGAGATTCCCACAACAACAAATGGAAAATCCGACCGCAAAAAACTTCAGGCCATGGCAGCCAGTCGCAGTCTGTCCGAATGGGCAAGCCTTCAGCGCGCTGAGACACAAGAGTGCTCAGTATCGTCTTCCGAGGAAAAGGAACTGCAAAGACTGTTCGCTGAAGTGCTTAACATCGACCAAGGTCATTTGGGTGTGAACGAAAGTTTCTTCTCACTCGGAGGCGATTCGATCACGGCAATGCAGCTTTCGGCCAAATCGAAGTCTGCTGGCGTCTACGTCACGGTGGGTGACATCTTTAGACACAGAACCGTCGTGCAGCTGGCAAAGCACACGACCGATGTCGCGGCTTCTTCCACGCAACTGACAGAAGTCACGGACGATCTGTTTGAGCTCTCTCCTATGCAGCAGTTATTCTTCGCTTCGCAGGGTGAGTCCAAGAATATGGCTAGTCAGTTCCTTCTGGCGCGCGTGTCACATCCCCTGAACCCGGGCGATCTCCGACGCGGAATCGAAGCTCTGACAGTACGCCATTCCATGCTTCGAGCTCGCTTTGTGGAAGACGCAGACGGGCTCTGGAAACAGAAGATCCTGCCCAGCCCAACAGACTGCTTTGTTTTCAACACCCACCAGATCACCACCCTGGGCGAAATCAATGGTCTTCTACAAAGCAGCCAGGAGTCACTTGATATCTCGCGAGGCCCTGTTCTAGCTGTTGACCTGATTGACTCGAGTCAGAATGGGCAGTTCTTGCTTTTGGTTGCCCATCATCTTGTGGCAGACCTTATGTCATGCAAATTAATCTTTAGGGAACTGGAGAACTACATGATCTCAGGGGGAATCACCGAACCCCCTCCGTTCCCTTTCCAATCCTGGGCTATTCTTCAAGCAGAGCATGCTCGGGATAATTTGCCCCCGCATGTCGCGTTGCCCAACGGATCATGCCCCCCTAGGCATGATTATTGGGGACGGGCACCTGAATACAGCGAAAACACTCTCGGAAATTGCGCTCGAGGTAGCTTTACGCTTGACCCACCTTCTACCGAGATGCTAATGGGCTCGGCGAACTCTGCATTTAATACACATCCCGTGGAGATCTTCCATGCAGCTCTTCTGCACTCGTTTGCTGAGATATTCGACGACCGTGACCCACCTCCTTTCTTCGCCCAAGGCCATGGCCGAGAAGTCTGGGATCCTTCCATTGATCTTTCGAGAACTGTTGGCTGTTTTACCACTCTCTTCCCCGTTTCAGCTTCTATCACACGAAGCAACAGACTTGCGGAGGTAGTGCGTTGTGTCAAGGATACGCGACGGCTGATACCAGACAATGGCTCGTCCTACTTCACGTCCCGGTACCTCAACCCAGCTGGGAAACAGGCTTTCGAGATTAATGGCCCCGTGGAGATCACATTCAATTACACGGGCCCAGACCAGCAGCCAGAACAACCGGGTGCTCTGTTCCAGCAGGCCGACATCGGTCTTACAGACTCCCCTGCTGGTGCTAAGAATCTTTCTCGGCTTGCGCTAATTGATGTTGTCGCAACTTTGACACATGATCAGTTACGTTTTGAGTTCATCTACAACAAGGAGATGAGCGGACAGGACAAGATCATTGAATGGATCCGCAAGTCTGAGTGTTCACTCAGGGCTGCAGCGGAAGAACTCCCGTTACTGAGTCCAAGCTACACTATCTGTGACTTCCCGTTGCTTTCTCTTCGCGACACAAGTCTGGATGAGCTTACGAACAGAGTGCTCCCCGAACTTGGCTTTTCACCCAGCCAGATCGAAGACATATACCCCGCCTCCCCAGTTCAACAGGGCATGATGATAAGTCAGGCCAAGAGCCCCGGGCTCTACTGGACTCGATTGCGCTGGACGGTGCAGTCAACTTGCGAATCCCCAATTGATCTCGGCCGCTTGGGGAGGGCATGGCAACTTGTTGTGAGACGTCACTCGGTCCTGAGGACGATCTTTATTGATGGCGTTGGACCTAGCAAGGTGAAGAACCAACTCGTACTCAAAGATATTCCGGTGGATGTCATGATAAAATACACCGATGAGGAAGTACCCCCGGTACCAATCAGCAAGGTGAAATGGCACACCGATCTGTCCGCCAGGAGAAATCAACCGCAGCATTCTCTGGTTCTGTTGCGAACGGAGTCTGGTCGCGTGTTTTGCGATTTGGAACTCAATCATACCATGTTTGATGGGTATTCTCTCAGCCTGATGAGACAGGAAATCTGTGCAGCGTATACCGGTACCCTGCCCACGACACCCGCACCCTCATACAAAGTGTACATTGATCATCTACAAAAATTGCCGATCACTGAAGGGAAGCAATTCTGGAAAACATACCTCGGTGATGCTCAGCCATGTCACTTCCCAACGCCATCCCAACCAGATGCATCGCCGGGCCCACAGAATCGCACAGTGCTATCAGTCTCGCTCGATCCTTCCACTCACCAAGCCCTGCTTGCTTTCTGCCAGCAGCGCGGGGTCACATCCTCGAACGTGCTTTATTTGGCCTGGGGGCTTCTTCTTCGGGCTGTCACTGGTTCGGACAAAGTCTGTTTCGGCTATGCTACGTCTGGGCGTGACGCCCCCTTCCCCGGTGTTGACATGGTTGCTGGTCCTCTCATCAATATGCTTGCCTGTGTCCTCGATTTCGGGGCTGATGCTTCTGTATGGTCGGTTATTCAAAAGGTTCAGCAAGACTATCTCGCAGCGTTGCGATACCAGTTCACCCCACTTGGCGAAGTGATGGAGCTTTCTGGGAGTTTCGGCCAGGGGCTCTTCAACACTGCCGTATTTGCTCAAGTGGGCCCCACTTGTAGGCAACGGAATCAACACGACATTTCAATCGCAGACCAGACCGGCCGAGGATCGCCAGATGTACGTTTTATCATTTATCACCATCCATTGTTCCTCGCAGCTGACAGATATAACAGTACGATATTGCCTTGGCATTCTCCCAGGATGAGATCGAGACTAAGATTTCGTTCGACTGCGCGGCCCTCACACTATGTGAACAAGGAGCACAGAGCCTTGCGAGGCTGTTCCTTCGAGTTGTTGAGGACATCATCCTGGCCCCAGATCAAAAAGCACATCGCGTCAGTGTGATCAGCGAGCAAGATCTGCAGAGCCTCCAGACCTGGAATCCAACAGGTTCCCAGACAATTCAGCCTTGTGAGAGCGTAATGAAACAGGGCGAGCCATGCCGCAACCTGGACTCTCAGGCGATTAGTGAAGGGACACTTGCCTATTGAGAGTTGGGCCTCATCTAACGCAGACACATTGAGCGTCCTCGAGTTTCAAGATCCAAGGCCAGCAGATTCTCGACCCAAAAGCCAACGTGCTATGCTTGCAGACTGATATAGCGTGACTCCGGGGAGTCTTCTTTTTGGCATTGTTTATCTCATCATGTTGTTTATCTCTCTATTTTGTGTCTGCTTTTCGTGCCACTCGCGTCCTTGTTTCGCGTGAGTTTTCTTGTTTGTGATGGTTTTTTGTCTTCTAATTGGTCAATTGATGAGAGAACTCGCATATAGCGATGCTGTTGGATTACTGTAAAGCTTCCAGATTTCCTCTCAATGTCGCGATCTCCGATATCCGATTCCCGTCCCTTCCCCCTTACCTTGCATCTTGGCACATTGCATACTTAACCCGCGTTTGCTCTGTACGGAGTATGATCTACGAAGGCCATCACCCTCGTGCTATGTGATCAGACAGTGTATACATGCATATGCACTATGACCTAATCCGTTGTCTTGAGCCATTTGTGATACTCCAGAAAGTGCCCACCGGTCTAGTCTAGATGGAACTCCTCCACTTATAATACCTTGCACTACTGCAAATCAATAGAATTTAGGCATCAACTTGGAAAATATGTGCCTAAGAAGGCGGAAGTGTCCCGAAGTCTCCAATTGACTCGACTATCGGGATGCAATGGGTAAAACACGCCGAATCGATTGCATCAGTTATCTCCGCACCGCTGCATTGATGCACCAGGAGGGGCAAGATGACCTTATATGCAAGGGATTATGAGCTCTGTCATCTTCTTTTTCTCCCCTCACTTTATTTAAGCTCTGGCAGAGACCAGCTTGTCATTCTTGATATTTTCTCGCCTTCTTTCCAACGAAAACATCCTAATATTTCTCGGCATGACAGTACAGCGCAAACTTCGACTAGGAGAGGCCTATCCTGGTCGTGCAAACAGCATTCTCGTTCAGATTCCAACATGGGCTGATATGGTGGATTTCGGGCGAGGAAAAGCACAGATGGACAACGGATATCCCAGGTCCGTGGTGCACCCTGATATCCGTCTGGTGAGGCCCTTTGTCATTCTTCTTTTCATTGAAAGATATATGCAACGATGCTTACGCTCGTATGTGTTGGAAGCTCAGTTCCGCTATTCTGGCTTTGATCCAGGAGAGAGATAGCCAATCTGCACTTCTTTTGTTCTCGGGCTCCCAGGCGGCCCTATCCTGCAAGCAGTATGTGCTTTCCCTCGCGCATGTGAGGGATCCAACTTTGCAAGCCCACTCAATCCAAGTATACTCGGTGGAGTTCCGTACTTCTCTCTGTCGGGATCACAGCCCATCGGGCCCTGTGCTTTATGCTGTACTCTACCCGAGTGAGTTGTCCCGGGAAACCAGTGCGTTTTGGCAGCGAGCAGGACCGGGAATATCATCCCGGTTAGCACAGAAATGCTTGAAGTACGGACTTCAACCTCGAGCTCATGCATTTACTGCTCCCCGCGACAATATCATAGCAAGGCTTTCTGGCGACTCCCATCCCGTGTACGAAGAAATACGTTCCCGGATCGCTGGCTACGTTCAACACTCCACGCAAGGTCCGCAAGTCACTCCCTCTGATGTTTTCCTGTATGGCTCAGGAATGTCCGCTATCTACCACGTCCATGAATCCCTTCTGAATTGGCGTTCTGGGGAATCTTTGAGTGCCGGCCTCCTGTATGAGCCAACTTACAGGGTTCTGCAAACTCACGGGCCCGGCTTACGATCTTATAAGTTGGGAACTGATGGTGACTTGGACCTCCTTGCTGCCCAGCTCGACCTGGCCTCTGGAGATTCCCCTGCGGCGCAAGCAATCTGGTGCGAATGTCCCAGTAACCCCCTGCTGCGGACGGTCGACCTGCAACGCTTGCGTCGGCTGGCGGATCAACATGACACACTCGTAGTGGTCGACGATAGCCTCGGGAGCTTTGCCAACGTCAATCTGCTTGGAGTGGCAGATATCATCGTTTCATCACTCTCAAAATTCTTTAATGGATACGCCGACGTAATGGCTGGAAGGTAAGTAAAGGACTCGAGGGTCTACAGCAACCCCAAGAATAGCAAGACTAATGTCAGTATACATGTCCACAGCGTTATTCTCAACCCAAATTCAAGGCACTATAACGCATTACGGCACCAGATCTATACGACATATGAAAATGGTCTCTTTGTTGAAGATGCGATCCAGCTGGAACTTAATAGCCGGGACTTCCTCGCTCGCATGAGTCGAATCAATGAGACCACGCAACATATTGTAACTCAGCTTATGCCGCTCATCTCAAACCCATCGAGTCCGCTGACCGACCTCTTCCACCCATCCATCTGTTCGTCTCGTCCAAACTACGAGCGCCAGATGTGCTCCCCCGGGTCTGAAGGGTTTTTCCCTGGTTATGGAGGTGTCTTTACGATGCAATTCGCTGATATTGCAAGCTCGTCCACATTCTTTGACCACTTGGACGTCTACAAGGGGCTCTCGTTTGGTGCCGACGTCTGCATCGCCTCTCCCTACATGCAGATGACGGGGCAGGCTAGCAAGAAGCAATCGTCTACCAATGACACGAATGAGACGATAATCCGGTTTTCGGTTGGTCTAGAAGGGGCCGACGATATTGTGCAGAGGATAAATGTTGCGCTAAATGCTGCAAACTTGGTGCATATGCCCCAGTGTCGTGCATCCATGTAGTCTTGCGTGGGCATCCTGACAGAACACGTTAATGAACTACGTTGTCACTTCGGTACCGTCGACTAGTCATATTATGTATGTAGCCCTCATTGTTAGCCTTGGAGTCAGAGTCGTACTTTACAGTTTTTACCTTCGATTTTATAAGGTTACTACCATTATCCAGTTCAGACCCCAAACGACATCAAAGAAATGTACACAGATCCCAAGAATCTCCGTAGATAGAAAGTCTTCCGAAAGGTATACTAGCTTGGCCTTGAATTAGTCTCAAAACGGTATCGGCCGCCCCATAGCGGGTGGAAGGGGCGGCCCCAGAGATATCGACATTCGTACGCTCGTCGGTCAGAGAGAGCCAGTGACAGAGCTTGAGCACAGTGAGAAACCATCTCCCCAAAGAGTTTCTGGGGGCTCTTTATCCCCTATTTTCATCGCGATAGGTCTACGCCAATATCCCAAGCTACCAAACTACACGCACTGTGTCAATGACCCCGGCTGAGATTAGAGGCGCAACAGGGGGCCAACGTGTCAAACCTTGGAATAGAGTAGCATGAAGGACCAATCGCTGATTCTACACTTGGAGACACACATTTTAGCGCATGTCAGACGCAGGTTTGATCAACACTTGACATTTCGGCCCCCGGCCTGTACCGTTGTGATTGGAGCTTGATACACTGACAGTCTAGCGTTGGTATCGCTTGCGATCTCTGATGCCTCAGTGGCTCCGACAGTTTTTGATCATCAGAAAAGTGCCCTTCTTGGAAAGACGACGACGGCATGTTGCTAATTCAGGGATAGGAGATATGGATTTGGTCACAGGCAAAAGTCGAAGGCCATAGAAATAGGCCGCTGTTCCCATGTCTCCTTATCCATCACTCCATATTTCTCTCACGCCGAATGCCAAAAGCAACCATGAACTCGATTAAAGTCCCACGGGCGATCCCATCGCTGACGGCTTTTGAACGCATTGGCCCTAAAGGCTGGATGCGCTATGTCTTTCCATTCCAGCTCGCTGATGACTACGACATAGAGCAAGTAACCGATATGATTCGCCATGGCTTCGACGAGGTGAAAGGCCATTTTCCCGAGGCGGACTGTGAGGCAGTCCCAGATCTTGAATCCAAGCAAGAGGGTGTCCTCAAACTGCAGAGGCTGAAGAGTGGCGAGTTTGAGAGCGTGGAGGTCAAAGACCTGCGACACCCTGATGCATTCTCATCCACCTACGAAGACTTGAAAGCGAAGTCCTTCCCTGTCTCCGCATTCGATGCCGAGTGTCTGTGCCGCGGACATGTTTGGGTTAAGCCCGGGGACCGCATACCGATCTCACTCGCACAGGCGAATTTCATTCGCGGTGGTGTCATTCTGACTTGGAATATCTTCCACATGATCGGCGATGGAACCTCATTCTGCACTTGGATGAAGGTCTGGGCCGAGGGTTGTCGGCGCGCGCAAGGGCTGGATATCTGCGATCCAATCCAATTACCCTCGGCTATCTGGGATGACCGAGAGCAGGTGATGGAGCCATCTGGCAGCAATTGCGGCGGGTTAGAGGATCACCCAGCATATACTCTCCTCCCGTTCACACCAACTGGTGCACCTCCAAAAATGACATCGCCGCACCATCGGGCACAAGTCTTTCGCTTTCCTCCCGAGTCGTTGAAAGCGCTGAAAGCAGACGCGTCTCCAGCAAATGCCTCTGGCCCATCGGACCAAGACTGGATTTCAACCAACGACGCCATCGCAGCCCTTATTTGGCGCACTGTCATGGCAGTACAGTCGCCGCTGGAGACCTTGGAGGGCGATCCAGTGTCCAACTTTGGTATAGCAATCAATGGGCGCCAACGTATCGGACCCAAAATTCACCCAGAGACGTCAGGATGCTTCTTGGCCTTCTTGTCAGTGGTGGCGCCCATCCGCAAGATTGTTGGCAATATGAATTTAGCCGATTTAGCGATTCTTGTTCGCCAAGCTGTGTTGCGTGCGGATGATCAGTTTGGCGATGATCTCATCGCACTAGTTGATAGCCTCGACGACGTTAACAAGCTGGTGCCGACGTCATTTTTGGATGTTCCTGGATTCAACTGCGTTATGTCCTCGTGGACCGGGTTCGAGCTATACTCCTTGGACTGGGGTCCGATGCTTGGCAAGAATATTGATGCTGTTCGGACACCTAGTGTCGGAGCTATCAACGGTGCGCAAATTGTTTTGCCAGTGTTACCGGATGGTGGAATGGAAGTGTTGGTCGGGGTCGAGGAAACATGTTTGGACAGGCTGCTGAATGACTCGTTGCTGGGGAAGTATGCCATCGCAGTGTAACCTCCAAGGCTGCAACCAGCAATATCCTAGGTGCTCTCTCGATGCTACTCTTCGCAGAATACAGGCTGAGTGTTGGAATAAGAACAAAGATCTGAGATTAACGTGATAAAGTTGCTAAAGTGGATATCATATTGTACACATCGTGTGAATTCACGCAACTCCGGGTTGCTTTAGAACATGTCGGAACGCCCAATCGTATATCATTAAATCATGATTCCTGGCAAGTGATATTGCGCCAAGGAGCCGGGTATCGGAGTATCAACGAGTCGGAATAAAGTTCTTAGAATCAGACTGTTGTTGACTGAATGTTTCGGGGAACGCAGCGATCCCGCCAATGATGCCGACGGCCATGAAGCCGAGAGAAATCAGGGACCAAATGACACCCCAGCACTGGGAGGAGCCACCGTACTTCTTCGCAAATACGCTGGCATCGGAGCTGTTGACCTTGCGGAGAATGAGGTCATCGCACTGTATTAGATGATTAGCTCCACGAAACGAGCATGGGTCAGAGAGAGCAAGCATTCTTACAATATCCCAGACACTGTACAAAGCTGACATAACACCGATGAACAGCTGTGCAGCGTGTTAGCATTGTTCCATGTAGAATTCCTCGAACAGAATGCAACTCACCACCACCCAGCGCAGAGCCTCGCCATGAGCAATGAACCAGCAAGCCACCAACAGACCGACTGCAAGCAAAACAGTCATGATGGTCAGCCAATCTCTTCGCGCCCACCACAGCGTGAGTAGGAAGCAAACGCCCAACACAATACTGGCGACCTTGGAGGCAACAATATTAAAGCCAGCGAAGATCAAGAGAGCGCCAATAATCGACGAGCCCAGGTATCCAGCTGGTAGAGTGACCGCGCTCATGCCACCTTGCATGTGGGTGACACCACCTTCGTGGGGGTCCAGGGAGATAGACTTGACTTTGCCGCCGGTGCAGCAGGCAGTGATCGCGTGTCCGAACTCATGGAATGCGATAACCAGCATCTGTTTGTTGTTAATGGCTATCGGTCGATCCCGGTGAAGCTACTGTACCTTGAAAGGCCATAAGACCCAACGAATGTATGGGACGTTCCATAGGATAGCGATGACCACGACATAGACTGCCATCACCCCGAGGGTAATGGCTTGGGTGTGGTTGACGGTCAGATCACGGCGGGCAAGATGCGGGGCCGTTTCCACCGCGCCCGTTAGGGCTGCATATAAGGCTGGCATGGTCAATATCAAGTAGAAAAGAAATGTGAAATGGAGAAGGTCAAAGTCAAAGCCAGGAAGAAGACATTTAATGAATTTTCAGCCCTGTGCCAGGTGATGATCAGGACGCGCATGCCTGCCACTTGTTATGTGGCGCAGGTGGCTGGGCGGCTTGGCGGCTTGGCGTTTATTTTTAGCTTTTCTGTCGCTCCTCACCGTCTTGCTCTTTTGGGACCCTTCCTACAGAGTAGGGACACTATCTCAACATCTGTTGACTTCCTTCATGAGGTCCTGATGATGGCTTCCAGACCCACAGCTCATTAGGTGGACCATTTTACGTTCATACCTCTTGCAATGCCAGTGGCTTCATGAAAGCGACGATTCCATTCTCTGTGCTCCCATACGCGCCAGCGACTTACGAAGCCATGGATGATGCCTGGACTGAGCAAATGACTACATGAGCGAAGCATCATAGCGAATCACAAGCCCTTGTTGTCTCAGTGCCGTGCTACCCGTGAACATATTTCAGTCACAGTGACATATCTATACCACTTTGCCTCGCCATTCAGATTACCTCCGAATATACTCCACGCTAAACACGGCTTCCGGATTAGGCCAATGGACAGGCCAAACCCACCAACTGCAGGAGCCCGTAGAAGGTCGAGCGCTACCACCCGCCAATACCACCACACCCCACAAATGCGGGGGAGATTGAGATCAACCTGTGCAATTAGTCCATTTGCCGCATAGCGACCACGGGCAAGACGGTGCGGCCTGTGACGAATTTGATCTATATACGAAGCTTTTGGCTGCTTCTGCTACTCACCACACGCTCGACATTATGGTCAGCATACTAACAGTGCTGCTGGCAGGCTATACTTCCGGAGTTTGCTCGCATCCCACGAAGCCAATCAGTTCTGACAGCTATCACGAAGGTGCTGGCGTCCTTGAATTTGTGAATCCTCTGATCGGCACGTATGGAACAACACCAGATGGAAATGGCGGGATGATTCCTTCCGTCTGTCCACCTTTCGGCATGACTCGCTGGACACCTCAGACTCGTGAAAATTTCATTTCGCAAGTTCCCTATGGCGACAGCGACCGGCTCATACACGGCTTCCAGGCCACGCATCAACCCGCTATCTGGATGGGGGAATCGGGCCAGGTGGTTTTGACCCCGGGCCTCGGAGAGGTGCAACCGTTGTTTCAAAACCGTGGCCTGCAGTTCCGTAAGAAGGATGAAAGAAGTACGCCGTATGTCTATGAAGTATTGGTTGATGCCACTCAGCAGATGAATCGCAATTGGAATGCGACGGCAGAGGCTGTGGGGGATGGGCCCGTTCCGGGAGGCGCTGGAGCAGTGCCGGGGGATGTGCAAGATGGAGCGAATGGGCGAACACGAAAACGACACATCGATGAAGAGTCACTTCTCTCGAATGATGAAGAGTATGATCGGTCTATTCTAGTACGTGCGGTTGATTTTGTCCCTGTCTAACATATCTAATGAACCCTAGATCGCGATGTCTGCGGACTCGCATGTCGGTCATCTCCGTCTCGATTTCCATCAGAAAACAAATAGCTCTGATGATAATAGTCGGGAGCAGCCTTGGGTTTTCATTCAGGCCTCGCGTCGCAATTGGACGGGAGAAGTTCACATCGACCCAACAGCCAGGGAGGTCTATGGCTACAACACAGAGCGCCAAGAGTATCTTCTCGGTCCGGACAAAGCATCCTCATTCAAAGGGTATTTCGTATCTCGCTTCTCCGAACCCTTCTCTGAATACGGAGTCACCGAAGGAGGTTCTGTGAGGGGTCACTCTGTCGAAAGACATGGTAACTTCACCGGGGCATACGTTAAGTTTCATAACTCGACACCTCGCGTGGAAGTGCGGACTGGCGTGTCATACATCAGTGTCGCACAGGCAATAAAGAACCTGGAATTGCAAACTCCAGATGGACACAAATTCGAGAACACTGTGGAGGCAGTGAAATTCGCCTGGCTTGAAAAGCTAGGCAGGGTCTCCATCAAAGGCGTCAACCACACCCACCGCGACAATGATCCTCGCACCATCTGGTACACCGGTCTATTCCACTCTTTGCAATATCCCAACGACTTTTCCGAGCCGACTTCAAATGAGCCCAATGCTCCCCGTGTGTTTTACTCGGGCTATACCGACAGCACACACCAGGAGAACGACTCATATTACCAGTCTTGGTCTATCTGGGATACCTACAGAGCGGAACACTCCCTGTTGACTATATTTGCCCCCGAGCGCGTGAACAGCATGATGCGCTCACTGCTGCGCATCTTTGACTGGTCGGGGTGGTTGCCCATGTGGGCCAACTTGGTCGAGACTAATATCATGATCGCTACAAATGCAGATGCAGTGCTCGCCAATGCATTAGAGCGTGGCTTCAAAGATTTCGATGTCAAGAAAGCCTGGCAGGCTGTCGAGAAAGATGCTTATACTCCACCCGACAACGACACCGAGACTCTGTATTATGACCGGGAGCCAGGAACATCGTATGAGGCTCGCGCAGGTCTCACTGCGTACATGCAGCAGGGATGGGTGTCCAATGATGCCTGGTCTGAAGCCGGTAGTCGCACGCTGGATTACGCTTTCGATGACCACGCTTGCTCGGTGGTTGCCAGCCATGCGGGAGAAGCCGAGGCTGCTACAGAACTGGGGACACGGAGCAAAAATTACGCAAATATCTGGAACAATCAGACGCAATTTATGCAGGCCCGAAATGCAAACGGCACCTGGGCAAACAATACTTTCGGTTGGACTGAAGGTGACGACTGGGTCTACACATTTGATGTGATGCACGATGTGAAAGGGCTGGCTATGCTCTTTGGTAGCCCTGAAGCTTTCCGGGATAAGTTGCATGCACACTTTGAAGGTGGACATAACGACCATACCAACGAGCCAAGTCATCATGTCCCCTATCTTTACTCTGCTCTTGGCTATCCAAGCCAAGCAGCTGAGGTTATTCGGGATATCGCCTGGGCCAACTATAATGCCACCAGCGGAGGGCTCGGCGGTAATGAAGATCTTGGCCAAATGAGTGCTTGGTATGTCTTTTCTGCGCTGGGCTTCTATCCCGTCAACCCCGCCAGCGACGAATACATTGTCGGCACTCCGTTCTTCGAGGAGGTCTCTATTCGTTTTCCTGGCGGAGTCAGAACTGGTGGGCTGGAAGGTCAAGAGAGCACGCTTGAAATTTCCGCTCTTGGTGCAACCACGAAACCCTACATCCGCGGGCTTAAGGTTGATGGTAAAGGCATCAAAACTCCTGTTCTGAAACATGGTCAGATCGTGGGTGCTGCAAAGATTGAGTTTGAGATGAGTGAGACACCTACTTCCTGGGGAAGCCAGCCTTTATGGGTGTGAATTAAGGGTCGGTGCGGATGAATATGTTAGATCTGTTGCTTTGAGGACTAAAGAGTGAACAAGGTTTACCTATTCGCCGTTGGGGCGAACGGAAGGGAAAGGGGCAACAAACACTTCCTTTCTACATCCAATGAATGGGCTATTGGACTGATAAACTATCCTCGAATTTTCATCCCAGATCATTTTTGCGCTGTTTTCAGAATCAATACCAACCATCGGCCCAATTGACCCTCCAAAGGGCTCCAGTGCCTGTACATTCTATGGCCACCCTTGCTCGACGGTTCTCATTTTGCTGCGAGGATGTCCCCTTAGTCTATCAGACCCCATGACCCTTGTTTGCGATTATGCAACTGCTCGTAACGTTTCTCCTTTCCTTTCGAGTCTTTGAGAGGCAGCTTCTCGGCCCTTTTTCTTTAATTTCGGCATATTATGTGCATCAACATTCTTCAATACACGGTCATGATACTTAGGTCTTCACTGTTCGATTTGGTCACCCCCGCAGTCACACCATCATAGCAAGCTGTTGCCAACTATTGCGCCATATTCCAAGCCGCTTCGTTTACCCAACACAAGCCCTTGGCCTTGAATGAAGTCAAAATACGGACATCTAGTTGGCTTGAACAGAACCGTCGCTTATCGCAATGTAACGTAACAAGCTAAGCGGCAGGTCTTTCCTTTCAGCTCTCGCCAGCCAAGATATGCACCATTGCAAGGAAACGGGATTTTTCGAAACCGGCATGACTGCGAAGGCTCCTGTCGGGTATTTTCTCTATCACATCATACTTGGCGATGGCTGTGGAAGTTAGATTGGGTTAAACACCCTTTGGCTATCGGAGTATATATTGAACTTCTGCCAGACGTTCTACGAAACATTATCGCACCTTTCCAAAACTCACCCAACATCTCGCACAAATGGGACTCAAAGACCCTGCAAAGGAGACTGTGGCTACAAGTCCGCATGATGATAGTAGCGATGGTGATAGCTTGGAGTATATCCACGAGGTGGGTGGCAATACAACCAAGGCTACATACCAGGAGGCATCGGGGGCTCCAGTCGAGGTCAACTCCCCATTGGGATACTCGGTAGGTTGGGTGACGGTTATCTTTCTCAATTTGAGTAAGATGATAGGGACCGGTGTGTTTTCAACCCGTATGTACACCTCACACTGTCCCGCATATGAAATCATGTCTGATCGTCATAGCATCCAATGTCGTCAAGGGAGCTGGCTCCGTGGGCCTCGCGTTGTTCTATTGGGTCATTGGATACTTGATGGCATCCAGCTCTTTGTCTGTCTATATGGAATTTGCATCGTGCTTCCCTAGCAGATCTGGCTCGGAGGTGGTGTACTTGGAACAGTCGTACCCGCGGCCAAAATACTTTTTCCCGACTGTGTTCGCGATGCAGACTGTGCTGTTCTCGTTCAGCAGTAGCAATGCCGTTGGTATGTTCGTTTTGAAATGTGCCTGAATCGCATGTTGACATATATAGTCTTGGCACAGTATCTCTTCAAACTGGCGGACTCAGAAGCAACACCCTGGAAACTGAAGGGGGTGGCTGTGGCTTCTTATACAGTTGCCGTACTAGGTCGGTCACCATTGGCCCAGACATTCATCTGATATGCTAATCTTACCTTCCTCTGCATAGTTCTGGCTTTCAATACCAGATGGTCTCTCAGATTGGCTAATGCCATCGGGCTTGTCAAACTTATCACGTTGGTATTGTAAGGATCTCCCATGACCGCGATCCAACTTGATATTGGCGCGAATACTGATCTGAAGTTTTCATTCAGCATTGGAATCACTGGACTTGTTGTTCTTGGGGGCCACACCTCAGTGGAAGACCCCAAGGCCAATTTCCGAAATGCTTTCGACGGCACCGGGGCAGCTACAGTGTACGGAACAACCAATGCCTTGACCAAGGTCTGGTTTTCGTACGCAGGTTACGAAAATGCCTTCAATGTGGTCAATGAAGTCCACGTACGTGGTTTTAAATCCTCGATAAATGTCAGTGTATGCTGATTGCCCCTAGAACCCTACTCGGACCTTGAGGTGGAGTGCGCCGTTGTCGTTGGGGGTCACAGCGACTCTATACGTTCTGGCCAACATCGCCTATTTCAGCGCCGCGAGCAAAGAAGAAGTCATTGCGTCGAAAGTCGTGGCGGCCGGTCTCTTCTTTGAAAAGGTCTTTGGAACCAGCGGTGCAGCTTCTGCGTTGAACTTCCTGATCTGTTTGAGCGCATTTGGAAACCTGCTCGCTGTGCTCATCGGCCAGTCGCGTATGCTGAGAGAATGTGGAAGGTCAGTGAGAATATACATCGCGAAGGACTGAACTAATACGACCTCGCCATAGACAAGGCGTGTTGCCATTCACCTCGTTCTGGACTTCCACCAAGCCTTTTGGAACCCCTCTGGGCCCCTACCTGGTGAAATGGGGATTTACACTATTGATGATTCTCGCACCTCCCGCGGGTGATGCATTCAACTTCAGTATGTTGGCCCTGCAAGTGGTGTTCTAAATAGCGCCCGCAGTCTGATACTAATTGCCCTGAATAGTTGTGGACCTCGGTGTCTACCCAGCATCCTTCTTCGGTTTGCTGCTGACCATCGGGTTGGTGGTCACTCGAATCCGTCGCAAGCGTCTTCAGCTACCAGCCCCTGACTATCAGGCTTGGCCTGTCACCATCGCATTCGCGATTCTCTCCCACCTGTACATGGTCATCATGCCGTGGTACCCACCCAGTACAGGGTCTACTGGTGGGGATGTGAGCTTTTGGTATGCGACATACTGCGCAGTGGCTCTGGGAATGTAAGTTCCACCCCGGCTCAACCTCGGCATCGCTAACCCTCGTCCAGCATCGCTGTCTGTGGTGTCTACTACTATGTCTGGATCAAGCTTCTCCCCCGGCTCCAAGGGTTCAAATGGCAACAGACAGTTCTGGAATTGGAGGATGGTGCAACGGCTCACCGGCTGGTCCGAGTTAAGCAGGATTAATATAAATGGCAATATCGAACAAGACAAAAGAGAAGAGAAAAGAAAAGAAAAGGCGAAGGGTCACCATTTTAGCGTTTAAGACGTGATTTCGGGTTGACGAGGAACAGCCGACAATCGCGGAGTCCCCAGCTCCACTTCCTCTCCTCCGCACTCCCCGTTGTCCCTTAGCAGAGCCTGTGGTCGTCGGCAGACACAATTGATAGTACATCGGACACTGTCCGACTATATCCCGCGAAACCCCGGATTTCATTTGTCACCAGACACTCGGATATGCGTTTATGAGGGAAACGTCGGCAGCTTGCCGAATGAGACTACGCGACGAGCCGACTGGACTGTCGGCTGTGGAGCCTATTCTTCCGTTAGTCTTTGACATCACCGACTGGGGTAAAAGAATGGGCTGATCATCATTAGCACCGGAGTCCGACTCACGGTGATTGGGCTGCGGCCGCAAGATGCCGACGCCCAGAAGAACCGCGATAGCACTAAGTGGGACTGCCCTGCTCCTCCTATGTCATCTGAGGGCTTTCTGCAGACTACCTGAGTACGCCAATCGAGCTGCAGAGCCTTAAATACCGGAATGCATGCCTGCTCGTTCCTTGCTTTGTTCAGCTCACAACATGCGCCCCTCTAGTCTCTGGCTCTGGGCCTCTCTGGCGGCCCCATCGCTTGCCGTCCATGCTCCATGGAATCTTGGAAACGGCTTTGAGCTGACCGTCAACAACAGAACCAACCGCCTGTCGATTGTCCAGGATGGTCAGACTATTTGGGACACGGTGCCGGGTCACGGATTCTTGAGTGCCAGCGGGGGAGATGACGAGGTCATCGCCGCCAATGGAAACTTCAAGATCAACGAGGTCGACCAGGACAAGTGCAGTGGTCAAAAGATTGCCAATGTCTCTCTTCACCCGCGCCACGGCAGCGCCAATGGCCATGCGGCCATCATTGAAGGCCAGCTCACCGGCTGCGGGGAAGCGAGCGTCGACTACTCCGTCGCATTCTGGGTCCCGTCTCAATTCCCCGACCGCATTGCTTTCAACGTGAATGTCAACCCCGGATCTTCGTCGGATGCTGCCACGAAGGTCTTCCTCACCTACCGGTCCTCGCCCAATGAGGACTTTTATGGTCTCGGTGCTCAGGGATCTTTTGCCTCATTCAAGAACCAGTCTGTCCCCATCTTTTCCCGCGAGCAAGGTGTCGGTCGTGGCGATCAGCCCACTACCCGCCTGGAGAGTAAGGATAGCTTCTTCGCCGGCGGAGACCGGTTCACGGCTTACTCGGCCATTCCGCAATACATCAGCTCTGAGGCGAGGGTGTTCCACCTGGCCCAGGAGAGCTCCGCTTACACCACTTTTGACTTCACCAACTCCAGCGCAGTCACTGTGCGCTACGATGCCTTGAATGTCGACGGCTACTTCATGCAAGCAAAGGATATGCTCAATGGAATTTCCATGCTTACCGAGTACACCGGTAAGATGGTCGCGCTGCCCAAGTGGGTCGACACCGGTGCCGTGCTTGGTATCCAGGGTGGACAATCCAAGGTCAACCGCATTGTTGACCAAGGACTGAAGCTCGACTGCCCGGTCGCTGCCGTCTGGCTGCAGGATTGGTCCGGTACCCACTCTCAAAGTGTGTCTTACATGTCTCTGAATGTCTCCCGTCTGTGGTGGAACTGGGAGAACGACGCCAAGCTGTACCCGACCTGGAACAAGTTTGTCCAGAGTCTGCGCGACGAGCACAACGTCCGAACTTTGGCATACATTAACCCGTTCCTGGCCAACGTCAGCACAAAGCCCGATGGATTCCGTTCCAACCTCTACGAGGAAGCCACTGGCTTTGGCTACATGATCCAAAACTCCACCACCAACGACACTTCCGTCATCTCCAGTGGCCCTGGTCTTGACGCTGGTATCCTCGACCTCACCAACCCCGCCGGTCGAGCTTGGTTCAAGGAAGTCCTGCTCGATCAAGTCTGGAACGCCAACATCTCCGGCTTCATGACTGACTTCGGCGAGTACACTCCCATCTACAAGGACACTCGCTTTGCCAACAAGAGCATCGACCCCTTCTTCTACCATAACGCCTACCCCCGCGAGTGGGCTGCCCTCCACCAGTGGATCGGCAAGAATGTTTCCCAGTTCACTGACTCTATCCTCTTCCACCGCTCCTCGGCCATGGCCTCCAACCGCTACATGAACCTCTACTGGGCCGGTGACCAGGATACCAACTGGGGCGTCAACGACGGCATCAAGTCCTCCATCACTGTCATGGGCCACATGGGTTTGTCAGGATATGCCCACGGCCACACCGAGATCGGTGGATACACCACCACATGGGACAGCAACGGTGTCGTGAACCGCTCCTCCGAGCTCCTCGGTCGCTGGGGCGAGCTTTCCGCCGTCTCCAGCGCTGTCTTCCGAACCCACGAAGGCAACGTCCCCCAGGTCAACGCACAGTTCTACTCCAACTCCACCACCTACTCCTGGTTCAGCTATAACGCGCGCATGTTCGCCAGTCTGGCTACTTACCGCCGTCGTATCTTGGATACCGAGAGCAAGAACTTGGGATGGCCTTTGCTCCGCATGCCGGTCATTTACCACCCCACTGACCCTGTCGCCAAGGCCATCAGCTATGAAAGCTTCTACCTCGGCTCGGACTTGTACGTTGCCCCCGTCCTGGACCCCGGTCGCACCAGTGTCAAGGTTTACTTCCCTGGCAAGAACCAGACCTTCACTCATGTGTGGTCTGGAAAGAAGTACCACGGTGGTTCAACTGCTCGTGTTTCTGCCCCTTACGGAAAGCCTGCTGTCTTTGTCGTCGGCACTCCCAAGAACAACGATCTCGATGAGTTCCTGCAATTCGTTCGGCAGGAGAACAGCACCGTCATCCACTTTTAGGTGGGTTCCGGGCTGTGACCTCGTCAGAACTTCGAAACTCCAATGTTCAAATTCATAGAAGACATGTTTCATGACCTTGTATATAATCAACCCATTTTTATGTCAATCTATTTCCTCTTCAGGTAAACCACAGACCATGCCCATTGTGGACTGCGAAACGCGAGCCTCTTGGATTGTTACGGATCAGCACGTCTCGCACGGGCTTTTGAAATGTAACATTTCCCCTCATTGCATCGATGCTGGAGTCGCCCTCTGGACTATGTTACACCCGTGCCGTTCTTGCTTGGACCCTGTGCTGGCAGATCGTCGGGTGTATTTATACACGGTATCATGTCGTGTGGGATGAAGGCTGCAGGTGCAAGCTTTCCGTGGTCATTCGTGTCATCATCGCCATGAAATTACCCAGCACTATTGTCCTTTCATTGGCAATTGGGTCTGCGGCCCTTGAGGCAAGCAATGACGATCGTGGGTGCTCAATACTCCATCCAATGATCCGCCAGGCTAACCAAGATGTCCAGTTCTGCCATTCAAGTTTGATCCCCTGCCTCTTGGTAGTATTCAACCAAACGGGTGGCTCAAGACAGAGCTGGAAGCTTCTGCATCAGGGCTCGGAGGGTAAGCGACCACTTAGAGTCCCCTTCTTGATCGAGCACTGACAGTATGGAGGCATCTGTACGATTTCTTTCGCTACGTTTCCCACTCCTCATGGATTGGTGGTGATCAGGAGTACAGCGAACTCAATGAAGCGCTTCCATACTGGTTGAATGCGATTGTGCCTCTGGCATACACTCTGCAGGAAGATCGACTCAAGAGCGATGTCCACGACGTCGTCTCCAAGATCCTCAATCTCGTCCAGTCTGATGGTTGGATTGGCCCTGAAACTCTCGAGTCCGGCAAGCGACTCATCTGGGCGCGTACATTGGTGTTCCTTGGCTTGACGAATCTCATCGAGGCTGATCCAACAACGTATCAAGAGCCGATTCTTGAGGCTCTGTATCGCTTTAATGGTCTTATGCATACTATGCTCAAAGCAAATGGCACGGGAATGATCTATCACGATGGTGATCAGGTCAGTGCGGATGACTATGTCTGGTTTCGCTCTCGTTCGTCAGACATGGTTGTCAGTCTTCAGTGGCTTCTGGATCACCACCCTGGTAACCAGTCTGATATTTTGGAAGATAACATTGCTATGATTCATCAATATTCTTTCAAATGGGAGGGCTGGTACACAGAGCAGAGCTATATCAAGGATGACCTGAACACAGTCCCCAGCTCCTTGGCTGATCAACAGTGGCCTTTCTTACATAGTGTGACTGTTGCCGAGTCGCTGAAGCATGCAGCTGTTTTTAGGCGATCTACTCAGAACGAAAGTCTCATCACGACTGCTAAACAAGGCGTGGATTGGACATTCAAGTACCACGGCTCAGCTTCAGGCTCTATATTAGCAGACGAACGTCTTGCCGGGTTGGATCCCTTCTACGGCTCTGAACTATGCACTCATGTTGAAGCCATTTATTCACTGGCCTATAACTACTTCGCACTCGGTGATCCAGATTACGCCGACCGTGCAGAGTTGGCTGCGTTCAATGCACTCCCCGCGGCCATGTGGCCGGACTGGACTTCGCATCAGTACATGACTGAGCCGAATCAGCCATTTTCGAAGAATCTCTCTGATTCGCCGTTTTGGAATGTCAATGCCCTTGGTCAGACCTTTGGTGTTGAGCCTAATTACCCTTGCTGCACTGTCAATCATCCGCAGGGGTTCCCCAAGTTCACCATGTACAGCTATCTCCGATACGGGGATCATGGACTTGTTCATGCGCTACTCAGTCCCGGTCAGGCAAAGACACAGATCGATGGGAAGAGTGTGACAGTGGATTGCCAGACCGAGTATCCATTCGATACTACTTTGTCGTATACAGTGGACAGCGAAACAGACTTCGACCTCTACCTCCGCGTCCCGGGTTGGTCCACTGGGATCGAAATCAACGGTGCAGCATCTCCTGTGGACTCACAAACAGGCCTTGCGAAGGTGCCAGTCCCGAAGGGCCAGACAACAATCCGATACGAGGTCGGTGCGGGCCTTCGAACTGTTTCTCGGGCAAATGACACTATCGCAGTGTATCGAGGCGCTGTTCTCTACAGCTTGTACATTCCACCGATCATATCAAGCACTCCTCCCGCGTTCTACGATGACCCGCACTCGACGTATCCGAACGGCACATATCCACCCACCATGCAAGACCACCAGATGATCAACGGTACAGAATGGAATGTCGCGATCGATCCCTCTACTCTTAAGTTCCATCCTGGCGAGGGATCTCTGCCCGAGCCCACGTTTGATGATGGAAAAATGCCGATGTTCGTCACTGCCACGGCATGTCTGATCGACTGGCCTCTTTTCAAGAATGCTGTTCCTGCGTCGCCTGCTATGGAGCATCGAGTGTGTATTGGGCCGATTTTTGAAGCAATCCTCAGGCCGTATGGGAGTTCGAAGTTGCATATGTCTGACATCCCTACTATGGATCTTGCGTAGTGGAAATTACCTTATTGTCTGTTAGAATTCTTCCAAGGTGGAATGGAGGCTTTAGTATTATTATACCTTGTTATTTTATTCCAAGGTTCTCTAAGAAGTATTTGACTATAGAGTATACTTATCAGATTTGAAATAAAGCGATATTAGCTATTATCTACTTTAAAAACAGTCCTTGGAACCAAAAAGAACTCTATCCATCGAGCATCAGTGTGAATCTACGAACTCGATCGTCTTCGATCGTCTTCAGAGCATTATAAGCTCGTCTAAACGGTATTTGTGACGCTGAGAAATCATCGGCTGCGTGGCGCAATGGTAGCGCGTTCGCCTCCTAAAAAGGTGGCTTTCAAGCGAAAGGTTTCGAGTTCGAGTCTCGACGTGGTCGGAGCTAGATGTTTTGTTTTTGCTGTTTTAATTTTATCTTGCGATTCTATTATTTTATCTTATTTAATGCAGTAGAATGTTCAGATAATTAAATCATGTTATTAAAAGGGCGGACACTCACTAGGTACTGAAGTTGTGTCATAACCGTTGGAAGTAGGGTGCACAGGTGAACCTAAGTGCAAGTACTCTCAGGATATATCGTTGAAAAGGTGACATTCAACACTACACTTTTAAAAGGGAAATCAAACCATGGCAAGCTGCATAACAAAATTCACAAGCCATGACTCCGAATTAAACCAGCTACAGCTATTTAACACCCGAACCTCAATCTCCACTAGATCGTATCCTTAATCGGATCCTTCTCCGCACCCTCAATCTTCTTCAAGAACTCCCTCGCCAACTCCGGATCAGAAGCATAAAGATGATCCGCAATCATCCTCGGAGGCGTCCGTCCCAACCACTGCGCCAACGAGAAATCCTGAAACGCATCCGACCGGAAGATTTCCAAAATCTCCAAAGGCTCCTCATCACTCAGATTCTCCACATAATGCCCATGGTTGCGAGGCACAATCCCCACATCCCCAGCCATGTAGTTGAACGTCCGCGCATTACCCTCCGCCGCAAAGATGGTTACGCGGGCTCGTCCCTTCTTGAAATACGTCCACTCGTCCGCATTAGGGTGCCAGTGCATCTCGCGGAGAGCGCCCGGGGCGATTTCGAGATGCGCTGCTGAGACGGTTTTGGAGATGGGGAAGATGGTTGAGTCGGTGATGCGGACGAGACCGCCGGATGTTTCGAGGGGTTTTTGAGAGTGCATGTGGTGCGTGAAGTTGATTTTGGATTTCTTGAAGCCTCGTGGTTTTTCGTCCTCGATGCTGCCGGGGTTCGTTCCTTGGAAGATGTACTTCTCGGATGTGGGGATTTTGTCGAATTTCGAGGCTGCGATGCGGAAGTTCTCTGCCAGGACTGCTTTGGGTGTATGTGCTGAATGGTCGAGTTAGCTTTATCTTGTAAGGGTAGGAATAGACGCACCCATCCAGTCTGTGAGAATGAAGGTAGATTCCTCCGAGAAGTGTCCGTTATCGAAGATCAGTAAGAACTCTGTCCCGTTCTCGCCCAGGCCTTGCAGGGAGTGCGGATGTCCAGCAGGGAAATACCACAGATCCCCGGCCTCGAGATCATCCATGAAGCTGCCACCTTCGGTGTCCAGCGCAGTGACTCGCACTTTGCCCGCGAGGACATAGGCCCATTCGGCTTCCGTGTGCCAATGCAACTCGCGAATGACTCCCTGGTCCAGACGCATGTTGACACCCGCCAGCTCACGACTGGTGGGCAACTCCCGGATGGTGGTTTGTCGAGTCCATCCTCCTTCCTGTAGACCATTAGCGATTGCCTGATACCTTCAATCAACTTTATAAACCTACTTCGATTCGAATGTGCGAGTCTGCGAAACTCCATCGCATATTCGGCATACTGCCATGATCGGTACTGGGAGGGCGGACCAGATCGGGGTTCTGACGCTCCCGATCCCGGTTCCGCGGGCCCATCACCGTCGTGCCATCACCATTGCGGAAGGGCAGGGGCTCTCGATCATCTCCCACTGAATCGACCTTGTGGTCATATGGGTCGCGATGACCGGGGGAAAATGGGGGGTGGGAAGTAGGCTCTTGAGAGATGGGTTGCTGGAGATCAGGCTGGTTGAATGGATGTCCGGCTGGAATCCGCAAGAGCTGTTGCAGGTCGTGCTGGAAACGAGCATCAGGCGCCGGAGCAGCCCATGCGTGAAGAAGTAATAAGTTCCACCAAATCAGCTGCATGTTGCAAAACGAACTGGTTACACTGTAAGGAACAGGGAAAAAAGAAGTTGAAATATTCTCCGCGTTCGATTTGGGGGAAAGCTTAATATGCGCTGTTCTGCTGTCTACACTCTACTGTACTGTACACTTGCACTCTGCACTCTGCACTCGACTCTCCACTCTCCACTTCTCCACAGTGGAGTCATGACGCATGAGAATTCTTTTTCTTCTTTTCTCCTTGATCTACTCTTGATTCTTGATATATCTCCTTTACCCTGATTTCCTGTAGGAATCAATGTCGCGCGAAGATGAGCCCCTCCTGGGGTCGCCAAGAAGCCCATCGCTCCGCTCCTACCTACGCCATGAACTCGATCCCACCCATGGCGACCTAATCCTCCTATTCTGCTACATCATCACCGGGCTCCTCGACAGCTCCGCCGTCTTCATCTGGGGATCCTTCGTCAGCATGCAAACAGGCAACACCGTTTACTTCGGCCTCGGCCTCGTAGGCACCAATGACGACCGATGGATCAAATCCGGCGTCTCCATCGCCGGCTTCTGTCTTGGCTCCCTGTGCTTTGCCGCCTTCCACCGCGTATTCCCCGCCCGTCGACGATGGGTGCTCTGTGCATCGTTCCTTGCGCAGACCGTGTGCGTTGCGCTGGCTGCGCTGATCGTCACGCTCTTCCGCCCTTCCCGGGATGCGCCTTTGAGCTGGCTGGTCCTGCTTCCGTTGGCTTTGGTCGCGTTTCAGAGTAGTGGGCAGGCGGTGTTGAGTCGTGTGTTGAGTTTCAATGGTTTGACGAGTGTGGTGTTGACTAGTATTTATTGTGATTTGTTTTCGCATCCGGACTTTCTCTCCACTAAGGTGGTGGGACAGGTGGAGGAGAGGCGGCGGTTCGGCGCGGTGCTGTGTTTGTTGTTGGGTGTGGTCTTGGGAGGCTTGTGGGCGCATAGCTCGATCGGCATGATGGGGGCGCTGTGGACTGCTGCAGGCTTCAAGTTGCTGATTGTTGTCGCGTGGCTGCTATGGAAACCAAAGAGCGATGCGGATTGATTTTATACATGGAAATGTGAGTTGATGTATGTATTAGTCGGGATTACGAGCAATTTCTACATAGTATAGATACCCGTGATATCATCAATATATTGATTCAAAATTAGGGTGATCAGAACACTCACGAGATATCATTCCAGAGTATCCAGGACGGGATAGCATAATGCGGGGATTCTTCACGTCTGCGGAGGATCTGCCAGGGGCTCAGACAATCACAACCTTGGAGTAGTTGGAGTGTTGGAGTAATGGGATAGTCGATGCAAGGGAGTCGGACTCGCCCGACACCGCGAGGCGCAGTGAGATCGTCTCGGCAAAGCGCTCAGATCATGGATGCTTGTCGGCAAACGTCCTGGAGCCTGTGAAAGTGATAGATAAACCCAACAAATAAATAGCAGTATGTATTCGTCTGGAGAGGATTTTGTTCTCCCTTTTGATTCGTCGATCATCTACATGAAGTCATCAAATGGATAGTGTACGCTCGCTTGGAAATATGTGTAAAGCCAGCCAAAGTTGAAGTCTACCGAATTGCCCAATGATCGTCTCGTCGTGTCGCATTCGTTGTCTCGTGAAATGCAAACCATAGGCAATCATACTCTTCGCGGGATCGCCACAACAGGTCCAACATAGGACTTCCTACCCTGAAACATGTACATCAAGAGACTCATGATGAACACCCCGACAAAGATCACCACGCTCCAATTGAACTCTTTTGCCTTAGGGGAGGGCCTTGGCGGCCAGAAAGACCAAAATAAGGCGAAGAACACATAAAGCAAGCCGAGTATGTTGATAGCAAGGCCAAACCGGCCAAGACTCCAACGCCGAGGGGGTAAGGTCTCGGGACAGGTGATCTTTCGGTATATCACGCAACTGATCGAGACTGCGTATGTGTACATCAAAGCCGCGACGTTCAGCGAGATGATGGCATTGAATGCCACTTGGGAGCCGATGTTGATGAGCGACAATAGTCCGCTGATCAAGCATGATAGAGCGATTGCATGGACGGGGATTCGGCGGCGTGGGTCGACCCCCGCGATCCGGTCGGTGAATGGAAGACCGCGATCGCGGGCAAAGGCGTAGGTTTGACGGGCTGTCGATGCATTGAATAGAATGTTGCTGAAGATCACTGGTATCAGGATGATTGCTGTGAGGCCATTGACGCCGGAGGTGGAAAGTATTTGTCGGAAGACGTAGAGAAAAGGGAACCCTGTGCTATCGTCCAGGGCATCTGGAACTGATGGAAGAGCCAGAAGGAAGCCGATGAGAATGACCAAGCCTAGTATTCCATTTCCAAAATAGCCCCATGCAATTGCAATCGGTACATATCGACTGGCATCTTTGACCTCTTCTGACATATGTGCGGTGGCGTCTGAACCTGTAGTACTGATGGATTAGCTGACCTTCCTGGAGTAACATACGCAGTGAACCCGTACTCAGAGATCCGTAGATGGCACTGATTTGACCAATCATCAAGCTGATTCCCATCGAAGACCAATTTCCACCATTATGCAACTCTGTGAACAACCTCTTCGCTGGGTTATGGGGCGCCATTGCAAACAACACAACAACGACGATGACCCAACAGAGGAGATGCAACGCTAGTAGTAAGTTTTGCATCCGAGGCATCCAGTTTGCCGCATAAACGTTGAAGAAATAGATGAGTGCCACCATGGCAAACACGAAGAGGGTTCCCTGCCAATTTTGCGGCTCGTAACTGGGATCCCGAAGGGTGATCAAGCCCTGGACGATTGTTCCTGTGAGAAATGACCCGGAAGCAGCCCCTGCCTGCCAGGCAAGTACGGACATCCATCCTGAGACTCTTAATACATATTGACAGCAGCAACATAAAAGACCTCACCAGTTGTGTAGCTTAGAAACTTCTGGTAGCGAGGCGAAGAGAACTCGGACACCCAGTGATATTGGCCTCCTGAAGTCGGGGCCCTGAAAAAAATAGAAACTATAAGCAAGTGATCTTAGGAATCAGCTCGAAACTCACATCGAAGCCATCTCGGCTAGAGAGACAATGATGAAACCAAATCCAACAAACGTCCACACGTAGGACCAGAAGATACCCGCGAGTCCACCATTTTCCAGACCCTGGGAGTTGGAGCTGGACACTATTAGTGACTGGTCGATCGTGTCTCAAAATAAACCGGCTCTTACATGAGGATAAACTCCCAAGTAGCCTGCAGAACTGCTGAGAAACTCAACGCAGCAAGTGGTCGAAAATTGCGCTTCAAATGTATCAGCCACTGGGTTTGATGTCACATCAAGAAGTGTTGCCGTACCCTCAGCTCCTGTAGCCTGCCCATCCGCCTCATATCCTCTTGATCCTGTGGCGAGTCTTCCATCTGGGGCGTAATCCTGGTTTGATTTTTGTCTGTGTGATCCCTCTCGGATGAGGAGAATCGGCTATGAGAGATATCTGGCATGATGCTGGGGTTGTTACTTTCGATGAGTCGGCTTCTAAGGTTGTGAGATCTGAAACAAGTGGGATGTCGAAAGTGAGGAGTATGAAAGATTAAAGAGGAAAGCAAAGAGTAATTTCAAATGTCATGCAGGTGTTTCCCATCCCAAGAGTGATACAACCACCTGAGCGGCTTCGAAGCTCTATGGAAAATCGGACCATATGCCAATCGAAACACATTTGAAGACCACATGGTTGCCGGAGATAAAGCGGAAAAGAGCTCACCTGAATGTTGAAGATGTTTATTGTAATGACATCCACAAGCAGCGTCGACCGAGTCAGCACGTCCTTGACAAGCGGAATACCCTACTCCATGTTACGAACCTACCACAGTGGTTTCACGCCCAGCCTCATATGTCAATCAAGCTGATACACGAGGCTATCTACCCATTTCTGTGCCAAAATACCACCCCAGGGTTGGATCAGTCGTGTCTACGTGTCGGCGCAGATCGGCTTCTAGCGCCCTGCAAGCCCCCGACTTGATGCAAGAGATTTAATATTGCCTGGGTCACACAGGACACGATATCATGTACTCAAGACACTACAAGTACTGTCCTGGTGACACAAAGAAGTCAACACAAAAGCATCTCCAACGAGCATCGATAGTCGCCTCCGCGCCTCTTGTGCGCTATATCACTTCTAAGAGCGATTTTTACGCCGACATCCCGAATTTCCGTCTCGTTCCACGCGGGAGCTTGCATCAGAATATGAAGAAAACCCAGAGCAGCAGGTCCCATCGGGAGGTGTGTTTGTCACTGTACGTGGCACAAAGCAACGAAACACCCCGAGTATGTACCACTTGATCAACTCACTCGGCGACCAAGTCGAAAGTTCGTCGAGATTACAGGGTGAATGAATATTTCAAGTCTTGGGCATAAACAAAAAAGCGCAGCGCAGCAGTGCAATCAATTGCAAAGCACCAACCCGCGGTGCTAAAGGGGCGGACGGGGCGGCGCAAACCAAATGTCAATGATCGCGGTCGCTACTTTCCACAGGTGACATTTGTACCCATACCGGTACAATAACCGTTGATCCCAGCAGTAGCACATACCACTTCCGATATCTGGCGAAGATAGGCTTGATCAAGGCACCAGCATCCAATACGAAGCCGTGTTCCTGAGAAAACGCATCAACCAAGCGCAAACCTACATACGATGGCACGAAGAGGGAATACGAGCCAACAGCGTTTGATCCAGGATCCCTGCCGTGTAGATCAGCAACTGCGCCAAGGTCAACTTTCGATTTGTATCTGGCCCGCAGGCGGATCAACAGTGATTCGTATCAAGAATGCCGTGGATGCTGACGTTCTATTCCTGGCTCTAACCAAGCAGATTCGCCAGGGCGGAATATATGCCAGGTCGGGTCCCGGGGAGAACGCTGTGAGGATATGTCTGCTCTTCTCTGGCTATGGCATCGCTGCCTGTACCTTCGGGCCTGACACCCCCGCTGACGGTATACAATGAGACAAATCATAATGGGGTGATTACTATCGTTACCTCGTTTTCATTGTTCATGGTTCTGGGATCGGTGGGCATTCGGGTGTATTCTGCATACAGTAGACGAGTGCACCAGTTAGATGATTTGACGTTCGCGGCTACGGTGGTATGCATCGTTCTAATGTACCCCGGCTCGTTGCAGAAACATTGTTTACTAACTGAAGATTGACAGATACTTGCGTTAGTCCAGACTTCCATGGTCTTTACCCAGATTAATTTTGGCTGGGGAAAGACAAAAGCTCTTATCGCAGATGAAGACCAACAGAGACTAGAAAAGGTGATGGTCAAGCCGATGACGACGATGCCCCTTTGCAGTATGCTGATGTTATGACAGACAGCCTACAGCGCAGATATCCTATATGTCACTGTCCTGTCCTCGTCAAAAGCATCGACGGCCCTATTCTACCGAACTATCACATTGCGCAGCTCACTCTGGATGAGCTATGCCGTTCTCTCAACGACAATCCTCTGTGCCCCAATATCGATCATTCTCCTAGCAGTACGCTGTGACAAACAACCATGGCAGAATATCAATGACGAATGCCAAACGCTGGTCAGTTGGACAAGTGCCCTCTTGATCAAGCGCAATTGACGAAGTCAACGTTAGTTCTCCCACTGGAAGGCCATTACAGCAATAGACATTCTTTTCGAAGTAACCCTACTGGTATACCCAGTCAAGTCGATCCTGAGGCTACAATCCAACCTTGGAAAAAAATTGACAGTGATCTTGGTACTTAGCTGTCGGACACTGTGAGTGAATTTCACCAATGCGAGATAAACTGACTGACAACCCTCTGTCCCTATGCAGCCTAATACCTGTCGTCGCGATCCATCTCTACTACATAGGAAAGCAAATGCGATCCTCCGACCCAACACTCGAAGGAACCTATGCCACTGTCATCGCCGAACTTCACGTGGCCCTCAGTGTGGTCGTGTTGATAGCGCCGCTCATGAAACCATTTATCGCTGCATACGTAGATGAGAATGGACTAGCATATACCGATGATTTGTCTTTATCACACACCAAGACGAAGCTCACGCCTCGATCCGACAGATCGGGTAGGACAGACCCTGAATCGCAACAGGGAACACCCATGGCGACGGGTCGGATTATGAAAAGTATACAAATATCGGTGGATCGCGAGGATATAGGGATTTCCGAAAGATCTTGAGATCTTCAGTTGATCGAGATCTGAGACTTAGGATATTCAACGAGGCAAGAACTCATAATGGTTGATATCAATTCATGATAATTTCTGAATAAATTCAACGACCGTTCGGGAGGACTTCCACCTAGCCACTAAGTGATGCCATGGGAATGTACTATGGACTCTGTGATGCTCCCAATTAGCCACAAGAATAGCAGATCTATCGCAACGGGGACTAACCTTGGAAGCTCACACCACACCATGGCTGAATCTGACCCTGATAGCCCATCTATGCCCGAGCAAGACAGACCTCCCGAGAGGGTTGCCTACTCTCCCACACTCTGCACTCGGATCAGAGAATCCTCCGAAGCATGACTTTGAGAATATTGTCCTGCTTCGCAATCGATCGACCAAAGAATTTGTGGTTTTTCTTGGTGTATTTGGCGAGTGCTGCGGGGCTTTTGAAACGCCGTGGGATTTCATCAGTATCCCAACAGTCGAGCAGATCAACGAGATTGACATGGACCTTGGCAAGCGCCTATCAAACTCAGTAACTTGTCCACGGATGCCTGCATCGATTACCTGGGGCGATTCATACCTTCTTGCACTTCGTAATTGAAGGCAACTCCTCTTCAATGCCAACCTTGTCACAAAGCTCCTGCCACTCGTCCAGGGTATTCACGCGGGAGCCGATACGCCGGTCGTATTCGGCATTCATACACGCATTCCATTCCTTCCTCCATCGTTCGGAGTCGACTTTCCAGCCGCGGGCTAGCCTGACCCTTTCAAAGGCTTGGCTGATGGGGATGTTACCGGCGGTGGAAAAGCCGTGTGCTAGGAGGTATGTGTTTTGGGGGACCACGGAGAAGAGCATGTCTAGCGTGTTTTGGTCATAGACGACTGGCTTTGAAGATGATACTTGATCAATTTGAGACTCACTTCCAAGGTTGCAAAGAAGATGAGTTTGGGCTTGAAGTTGGTGATGGCAAAGTGAAGAGTATGTGGTTAGAAGCAAAGTGAAAGGGACAGCCCTGGGGAGAGAAAGACAAATGTTTTGAGAGCCCGTTTGAAGCAAACAAAGATGTTTGTAGAATGAGGGTCATGCCTTCTGGAGACCACAAAGCTTGATTCTCAGCTTGATAAGTCATTGATCTGTATCTGATATTCTTGAGAAGATGAATTAAGAATCATCATTGATCAGAATATCCAAGAATGTCTTCCCTGATAGCTAGAGGATGGACCTTGGAATCAGCGCAGCTTCGAGGGAAGATCTTCACACATAGAGCAATATTATTTCACGAGCTGACACATGATTAGTACTTGGCCACATCATTTACCATCTGAAAAACATGTCTCTTTGTACCTATTTCGTGTCAAACTGACGTAAACTGGAATGGTGGAGGGCTCAAGGTGATTGCCCGCGATGCGTTAATTACCCGCTAAGGGCTAAGGGCCCGGGGGTGTCGAGAAGCTCCCTGTGAATGCCCGCGGGCGCTGGCAGGTGCCCACGGGTGATTTAAATACCCAATGAGTCCGGCGGGCCCCGCCTGAAAGTACACTAGGAACTTGGGGAATTGCTGTGGTATGGAAAATTGGCTTGAATAAAGCAGACGAATGTACGAGAGAATATTCAATAGCGCAGTGGCTGTTTGGACTACTTCTGTCGCCTCTCATCTGGGCAATCAATTCCCAGATTTAGTAGCATCTGCGCGGAGTGCCGATGAGGAAATGGTTCCGCGTCTACGCTAGACAAGCTTAGGACCTTGCGCAGAATGTTTCAAATTGGCTCAGGGTCCTAATAGAAGTTCTTCAAGCAGTCCCCGGCAAAAATCTGCCGAAATAACCCACCCACCTCTTTGTGATACTTGGATCAACGACGCATACCTATCGGGTGAGAGAGACCTAAATCACTCAGAGACCAGCTGCCTGTTGCTCTGCCCCTTAGCCGATAATCTCAAAATCACACTCTTCGGTAAAGTAGTCACTGGTGCAGTAAAAAGTAGAACTATCTGAGAATTCTGCAATTTCGCGAGTGTAGGCAACAATCAAGCGGGCCCCGCGGACCCCGAAAGCTCACCGAATTTCGAGGTTTTGACTACTGTAGATCATATCAGGCAGGCTAACTTGACTAAGAGAAGCCCTCAACAAGCATACTAGTACATACCGCACTAGTGTCACACCTTGTGTCTCATATCCTTTTATTCTCTCTGTCCAGATTTCGAGGATCGTGGAGCCCTCCCGTTCAAGTCCTTCATCTATATGTTGAATAGTTGAATTCCCTGCCAAAAGGATTTCCAGAATGAGATATGGTAGATACTCTCAGGTACTGAGGAGAGCCGCCCCCTTTGGAATAGGATATCGATACCGTGCAGTGTCCAATGCTAAAGGAAGCTACTACTGTGGATAATAGTGGGCCTTAGCAAGCTTGAATCAGCTAAGAGTTTACCTAATTCAAAGCAATACTCCGTGCATACAATGGGGTTAGAGTGGATTCTACCTAGGTAAAATGAGAATTAAGGTGCCATTTAAGGGAATCTCCATTCGTATTCGGAATAGCTTGGTGCCCGCGAGGATCTGGCCAATTTAGTTCCAAAAGGCCCTACTTAGGTGTTTGCCTGTTCGATGTTTAAGGACAGGGCGCACGATAGTTCACCCTAAGACAGGCAGCACTATTACCCAGCTTTCACGCACTGCTTGGTCGGTAGAGTGACTCCGTAGAAGGCAATCTCCGAGTGTATTTTGTCTATTCTTCCCCATGGCTTCATTCCTTCCAATCTTCATAATCACCTGGTGATCGATCACTCATACATTTATAGCTCCAATGCCCCAAAAGCTCAACGTGGTTTCAGTGACCTTATACAAATTTCGTCGGCTGTGAACAAGATCCTTGCACACACGGTCCCTACCATCATGAGTCCAAAAATCCTTGACCTTCAGGAAACAACTCTTTCCCAAATCTCGCCAAGGGGATCCCTGGTTCTATGCTCCTGCATCATTGTCATAGTACTTTTATCAAATTTGTTGGAGCGATGGGTGCTCGAAAGCCTGTATCAATCTCTCTGGCATGATCTATGTCTTGGTCAGAATGAAAGACGCCGCCGATCCTTCACCTATTTCCACCTCGGAATTACCATTATGCTTATCCTTCTCGTCTTCGGCGCTTACCCTGTCTTTGACTTTCTTATCGGACGTGCTCAGGTTTCCTCTCCTCTAGTCGGGAACGTAACCTATGGGGACTATATGTCCACCCTTTCTCAAATCTACAGCGCATACTACCTATTTGAGATATGCTTTCGGACCAAATTCGCCAGCGCAATCAGCATTGCTCATCACATCGGCCTCTTGACTGTCATACAAACTGCCCTGGGCCTCTTTGCGGACCCGGGCAAGAATCCCGAAGCAATTCTGGAATTCTACATGTGTATGGTGTGGGGTATGTACACGCGCATGCCATTCAAGTTGTCTTCTGTTCATCCTTGTCGAAGATATCTCTGCGAATGGGTATATGGGCAGTTGAACTTGATAAGCACTCTCCAGCTGACATTTGTATTCCGAGACAGGGTCTTTTGATATCGTGGTGGAGCTCCCTCTATACACTTTCATGATAATTTGGCGTCTAAAGGCGGGCAATAATCTCCTGCTTTCACGGCTCGCCTACGCGTGCTTTTTCTGGGTTCTCTTGGGTGCACTTGTGGAGACTGCTATCACCATCTGGCTGCTTCGCTGCTCATGGCATCTGTGGGGCACCTCCTTTCGTGTTCTGTTACCACTGGTGTTCTCTCTTTGGATTTCCACGCAGCTATACGGGGCTTACAGAATCCTTGGGATGGCACGATCCAAGATGCGGTTAGGTATGATGCTCAACGAACCTACTGAGCTCTCCAATCCTAGTACTGAAGCCATTATCGGTCACAAGGGAACGAATCATGGGTTAGCACCTAGCCAGCTCAAGTAGCTAGTTATTGTTGCAAAGAAACTTCCACGTTCTGTCTAGGAATCGTGTCGCATTTACATTGAATTCCCCTAGAGATCTCATTACTGTCTACCCACTCTGCTTCCAAGGTTCCAAGTTCAAGTTCATCAAATCCAAGTCGCAGCCTCGATCATGACGTTGCTATTTCCAATGTTTATTATATATATTTCATATAAATTCCATCGCTGCAATGGGTAGGTAGAGCTGCCCAGGTGGCCTGATGAGTGGCCGACAGTGCATTGATCCTTGCCGGAAGTATTGCATGGGAAAATTCAAATAAGCGACTAGACTTCCCAGTTAGTAGTCTCCAGGTAGATCTTTCCCGATCCCGATCTGCACATTCTGCTTATGGCCTCGAGACAATTGCCGCTGCATCAAAACACTGTTCAATTTGTGAAGCTGGACCGCTGGACCTGCGATCTGAGTGGCGAAGCTTGGTATTACCAGGATCGTGAGTACTTGTAGCAAGGAGGACACGCGTAACCCCGAGCCCGAGAATCGAGACCCGACATCCTTGCAGTTTCAAGATACCGCATTTTGCCCCATGCGAGATGCGAGATGCAACATGCTGATCTGGGATTTCTCAAGTCGCGCACAAAATTAAATTCAATCAACAGTACTCCGTGTTCATCACAACAATTGTATACTCAACATCCATGGATAGGGGCAGAGAGAACCTTGGAATTTATTTCTCGGACACGGTAAGCCAATCAGCATCGACGCAATCTCGGTCAACCAAGATTCCAAGATGAGGCTCAGTAAACCTCCACTTCCACTCCACTCCGGGGAAGCTATGCCTTTTAATGTTCACCATCGGAGCGACCGATCCGACAGACCGAATCCGATCATCGCAGCGCAGCACTTGGCAGACTCAAAACGCGGGGAAGCTCGACGATATCACATGGATCAACCCGGGACATGCTTACAGAAACACAAACAAAACCTTGAAACCATGATTCCATATGGCATTTCTTATTTGTATAAGAAGTCCTTGGCATCAGCTTGGGCCTCTGCATCTCCGCGATGATAGGCAGGTTCCATCCCGTGATGGCGTGCTATGGCGTATCCGCCGTCACCGGTTGCGTGCGACATTCGAATCGCATGTCGCGCAAGATATTTTTGGCTTAAAGCCTGTGCTGCTGGGCTCGGATGGTGTTTTTATCTTTTCTTTTCGTTCAGACTTCGGTGCTCTGCTGGTTTTGCATCTCGTACAACATGGGGTTGCAAGGAACACGGCTTGGCATTTTCCGGGCATACTTCTTCGGATTCTTCGTCTGTACGGCGGGTTTCCTCTTCGGATATGACACCGGGATCGTCGGTAGGTTGAATTGGACTGATTTTTGCGTTCCATGCTAAATGTCTATGTGTAGGTGGTATCTTGGAGTTCAAGTCATACGTCAATGATTTCGGCTACAAAGACCAGACCACCGTGAGTGCGGTAATGGTCAGCTTGCAGAATGTCGGCGCCTTTTTCTCAGCACTGAGTATCTTCTGGGTGTCTGAAAGGTTTGGTCGGAAGAAGACTGTCCAGGCAGCCATGACTGTCTTTTGCATCGGTGTCATTTTGCAGGTTGTGCCCTCTCACTCCCTCGTTTGCTTCTACATCGGACGATTCGTGGCCGGTCTTGGTCTCGGCGCTGGCACTGCCGTTGTCCCCGCTTACAATGCGGAGATGGCTCCCAAAGAGATTCGCGGAAAGCTTGGTTCCGGAATGCAGTGGCTCTTCGCCCTCGGTGTTATGCTGAGCTATTGGATCGACTATGGAGTCAAGATTGGACTGCCGGTCTCTTCGAAGCAATGGCAAATTCCAGTTGGCCTGCAGATGGTCCCGGCGGGAGTTCTTGGTCTGGGTCTCTTTGCTATGCCTGAGAGCACCCGCTGGTTGGCCAAGAAAGGTCGCTTTGACGAAGCATTTGAGAGTCTGAAATGGATCCGGGCTAGCGATGGTAGGTGATTAATTTCGATGGTTGCTTTTTCGGGGCTGATCAAGTTTCACTAGGTCCCGAAGTTAAGGCCGAGTTCAATGAGATCCGAGTCGGACTCGAGGAAGAGTTGAGGGCCACCGAAGGATTCCAGAAGCGCGAGCTCCTTGAGCCTGCTAACCGCTATCGACTGGCGCTTGCCTTTTTCATGTTCTGCGGTCAGCAGTGCACAGGTATGACGGCGTTGGCCTACTTCGGTCCTCAATTCTTCAAGTTGATCGTCGGCGACAATACCGATCAATCGCTTCTTATCACCGGTCTCTTCGGAGCCGAGAAGTTTGTCACTGTCGGCATTTACATCCTGTTCTTTTCAGAGATGTGGGGACGTAAACCCACACTTTGGATTTCGGCTCTGCTGATGGCATGCTGCTTTATCATTGTGACTGTGGTCAAAGAGACTACACCGGAGCCGGACTCCAAGGCCACCCCGGCTGGTATCGGGATGGTGGCCATGATCTTCTTGACCAATTCGATCTACCAATTCAGCTGGGGGCCATTGCCGTGGCCGTACACTGCCGAGGTGAGTAATTCATGAGCCTGTATTTTGACGGCACTCACTGACGATGATCTAGATCTTCCCTACCCGAATTCGTGCCGTGGGAACTTCGGTCGCAGTGTCCACGCAGTGGCTGTTCAATTTCCTCTTCTCCCTGGTGACACGCTATATGATGAATGCGTGGGGCAGCTATGTTTTCACATTCTATGCCATTCTTGATATCATCATGGCTATCATCGTGTTCTTCTTCGTCAAGGAGACCAAAGGCAAGAGTCTCGAGGAGATGGAGAGCATCTTCAACAGCCGGGCTGCATTTGATGTCGATGCTGTGCGACGGGAGACCCTCGTGGATGAGGTGAATGTGCATCATAAAAGAGATTATCCGTAGATATCATTCAAGTGTCTTCTCTTCAATTCCATTTCGATGCCTGAGGTGATCTATCAGATTGTCCCGATTCGGACTAGCGCCCGAAAGAGTAAGGGGGAACTCGCGCTCTTCTGTCTTCATCACCTTGGAAGTGATGGATGAGTATAGCTACTATAGAATGAGTAAATTCCCCTATTGCAAGGCTCGTGGAGCGAAGCTAACATCCCCTGAGTCGAGGATGGTCCACCCATACCAAATATTCAGGAGTTCGAAAGGAGTAATTTGCCCTGGGAAGATGCATCCAGTCCCTGCGAAGGCCATTCAGAGGTAGGGTTTCTCCAACTCCAATATACAAGATTTTCTTCTGATTCGGAGCAGTATGTGTGTCACTTCTGTCATGTGAGCTTCAATATCCTGTTCAAGAAAAATCCGAAATCCCGCAAGTACTCCATACCCAGCAGTGCCAGGCTGCCTGATGGTGACAATGGTATCGCCATTGACACGGAATACTTGGAAAATGATGATTCCGAGGATGCAGACTTCATGTATGAATCTGAAGATGATGGAAATGATCCATACGAATACGATTCAAGTTACGAATCAGAGGACGCCAGTGATTGCTCCGACACACATGAGGATGAAATCTCTTCAGTGGACTCGACAGATGTCGAGAATCGCTGGTACCGCGACTGGATAGTTATGTCATTTGATTATGATGCCTATTATAAATGGGGCTTCTGTGACGACTACCTCAAAGGTCTTTCATATATCGATTTCGCTTCAACAAGCTACACACTGGATCCTACCGAGACTGCGCAATATGCGGGCTGTCGGACCGCCCAGTTTATGATTCGACGTGAGGATCACGAAACGCAGGATCCCCCTGGCGCTGATCTTACCGAGCCTTGGGAAGCCCAGGGGATGTGGATACGCTCTGGTATCTGCGATGGTGCGCCTTCGCGCACCGGCAACCGCACTGAGGTGTGGTCTGGCAATGGTCGACATATTGATGTGGTGGCAGACAACATCATTTGCGGGTATGTTCATTCTTTCTTTTCGAGAACTTTTGGTTTCTTTTTCTCTGTTCTATCGGGGCCCTCCAGGGCTCAACCGAAACTTTCGCCGGTCTGTTTCATAAGCTAATTTTGATTCCAAGGTTTACCCTAGCCGCACCCGGTAATGAGCATAGGGATGCCGTTTCATCCATGGTGTTTTGACATCTTCTGTCGAATGTACAAGAGTGTTGATCTCCATAATCGTCTTGACATTCCCCTCCTCATGATGTGGCGAGCGGACCAGGCAACAAAAGATAAGGCTAAGAATTGGCCATGGGTCGATTCTAAGGGGAAACCTCTGGGCAGGTGGTGGAACCACCGGCCCGGGGGGGATTGGTTGGTTGCCAATCCACTGTATATCCCTGGGCTACCAGAATTGCTTCTCGGTGCCGCAAAAGGCACAGAACATGCCAGTTCGCCCGGGCCAGCGGACAACCCTAGCCAGTCCGAACCCACGATTCCTGGTGCACCTTCAGTGTATCTTACCGACAGAATCTCCTCTTTGCCGATGGAATTCCGTCTCATGATAGTTGATCACCTGGACGGGCGCGATCTTGTTATCATAGCACAGACTTCTCGATCATTTGCGCTTGCCAATGTACCGAATGAACGGTGGTACACCTTGTGCGGCACAACATGCCCTGGCTTTGGGAGGCATGGGAGGAAGACGAACTCGAGCAGCACACCCCCTCGCTCTGGACAGTGTTGGACACCGCTGAAGTTAAAGCTACTGCGAAGGCGCGAGATCGCTACATCGAAGCTTTGATGGATGATGACAATATGTTTTATGAGAATGCAAGAGAAGCTGCTGAAGACTGAATCCCCTATCCAGTCACCATACCTGAACAGATCCGTTTGCCAGTAGATGGAACTCCCTGGTATCAGGTGTATTTGGCGGTCATGTTGAATTGGGACAATTTCAAGGGGTTACAAAACCGGGCCAGAATCTGGGAGGATGTGTATGATATCAAACTCGAGATGGAGCCCTATGTGGATGGACTCTTGGGTCATGTCCTATTTGAAGACATGAATGAAGACACTGATGAAGATGTGGATGATGGCATGGATGATGGCATGGATGATGGCATGGATGATGGCATGGATGAAGGCACGGATGAAGATGTGGATGCATTGGCTTCGCCTTCTCCCAGTCCGACTCTCTAGTGGGTAGATTTCTGTTATTTCTTCTCCTTCCCAAGCAATCAGAGACGCGCAATAAAACCTTAGAAGTTCTGTTTGGGGATGTGTACGAGTTGGCTGTTCTACCCGATTCGGATAAAGCGGGGAATAATCGGGGAATCGCACATCTCCGCTCTATATATTCACCCCGCGCTTCATGGTATTCTCCCCAAGTTGACAACCCCAACATACCTACTAGGTAGTATTCAATCACCATGGCCGCCACAGCAAAACGCCCCGAGATTATTGAGCTTGCCCGCGGGCTGCGAGGGGTCCCCATGTGCGAGGACTACGAGCGCATGATCTCCGGAATGATGTGCGCATTCCCCTCATACGCATAGATCGAGCTAACTTGCTACCATGCAGGTACAATCCCTTGATTCCAAAGCTGCTAGAAGCCCGCCATCTATGCCGGGGTCTTGCGGCGGACTACAACAACCTAGACACGAAGACAGTGACGTATGACCAAATCGGCGATAAGCGACTAGAGCTTCTCCGCAAGCTCGTCGGCAAAGTGGGCGATGGAACATTCATTGAACCACCATTCCTGCCGGACTATGGCTGCAATACCATTATTGGGGAAGATTGCTTTTTCAACTGGAAGTGAGGCTCACAATGGCTCTAAGATCCAGTTTCGTGCTTACCCTTCTAGCGTGACTATCCTGGATACCAGTCTAGTGACTATCGGTGATCGTGTGCAGATCGGTACAGGAGTTAGTATCATTACAGCCGGACACGATACGAGTGTCTTGTCGCGTCGGAAATTTGTCGAGTTCGGCCACCCCATCTTCATTGAGGATGATTGCTGGATCGGGAGTAATGTCGTTATCCTCCCTGGTGTCACAATTGGTCAGGGATCAACCATTGGTGCTGGATCGGTTGTCACCAAGGATATTCCACCGTTCTCGGTCGCTGTGGGCACGCCGTGTCGGGTGAAGAAGACGATTCAATCGGCGGAAGAGGAGGAGCAGGATCCCAACAACCCATATCGCAACTTGGTCCGCGAGGATCGGTAATCGTTTTTATAGAACTGAATTGCAATTTGATTTGGCATGCCTTCTGTGGACGCAGGCTCAGTGCAGGGAACTCCGCAGTCGGGTCGATCTCCCATTCGCTCTCACTACATAGGCGGGTGGACTTCCCAAAGTAATCTTCCGCTGTCCAGGTGCATCGAATGCCCAGGTCAATCAGCTGCTTCAATTCCGCCAACGGATTTAGCACCGCGAAACTGATAAATCGTAGATGACTCAAGACTGCAGGTTCCCCACGTCTGTCCCCAGCTCGGGCCCTGATCCCCTCGTATCTATTTGAAGACTGAATGCAATTTCTCGATCCTGACTTAGAATCCTTCTTCAGTCTATACCTAGTACTATGTCGTTGATTAATGCCCTTCGTCACGAAGTCAAGCCCACATCTACCGTCCAGCCCCTCCCTCCAGCGGAGTCGAGCTCTGCTGCAGCAGAGTCGGCCCAGCATGGGCCTACGGTCGAAAGTCTGGGGCCAAGGGAAGGCCAGACAGTTTTTGAACAGACACTACCTAGTCGCACGACTGAATCTCGTCGTGTAGTCATTACTGCACTGCTGGTGCTGGCCAATCTGGTACAGGTACTGTGACCATGGAATGTGAATTCCGATAGAAGATAGGCTAATAAGCTAGATGACGGTCAATTTTGCAGGCATCGCAGGGGGCAGTGCTTTGATTGAAGCGCTAGGCGCTAAAGAGAGCTATGCCTCGTGGATTGCCGCTAGCTATGGGTGAGACACTGAGACGCCTATACATGTCATTCGGGTCCTTTCCACACTAACATGCTCAGTCTCACACAGGGAACTTTCGTCCTGGTCAGCGGTCGACTAGGCGATGTCTTCGGCCATCGAGAGCTTCTCCTGGCTGGCGGTGCCTGGCTCACCATATGTACGCTAGCCAGTGCCTTCTGCAACAATTTCTTTGCCTTTGTGACGATGCGCGCACTGGCTGGTCTCGGAGGAGCTTTCATCATGCCGAATGCCGTGGCTATGATCTCGAGCACGAATCCCCCCGGTCGGGTGCGGAATCTCAGTCTGGGTCTGTTTGGGGCATCTGCGCCCATGGGAGGGTATTTCGGGGCCTTGTTCCTGGGTGCGTTCTTGCAGCGGACGGAATGGAAGTGGTTCTTCATCTTCATGTGAGTTTGCGACGTGCCGACCGAGATGATTTGCTGATTGATTCGTGGTCGTCAGTGCCTGCTTCGGTGTCATTACTTTTGTCCCTCTGTGGGCTCTGAGCCCACGTGAACCACCGGTCGATCGGCATGGGAAGATTGACTGTATTGGTTCGGCTCTGGGAACCAGCTCGCTGATTCTCTTCAACTTTGTCTGGAAGTAAGTCAAGTCTCTGAGTTGAATACCGACAGAGCTGATTCGGGTTAGTCAAGCACCGAGTGTGGGATGGTCCACGTCCTATGAAATTGTTCTGTTGATCAGCTCCATCATCTTATTCGGAGGCTTCCTTCTGTGGGAAAAGAACTATGCCGCAGAGCCGATCATGCCCCTCGATATTTTCAAGGCCCCCTCCTTCCTGACGCTGCTTTTCGTAGTCTTGCTCAACTACATGGCCGTCGGGACCGTGATCTGGTACCAGGTGCTGTGGCTGACCAAGGTCTGGCACTGGTCCCCGCTGCAGTTCGCCGTGGGATGGACTCCCTTCGTTATCTGCGCCACAGGGGCTGCCTGCCTCGCCGCCTGGATGATCCCACGGCTGGCTGCGCAATGGATCCTGGCCATTGGGACAGTGACAATCCTTGTCTCCAGTGTGCTCATGGCGACCGTGCCGGTTCACCAAACCTATTGGGCTCAGATCTTCCCATCCATTGTGCTGTTTTCCTTCTGTCCCGACTTTGTATACACGGCTGGACAGATCATTGCCAGTAACTCCGTCCGTCGGAACCAGCAGGGCATTGCTGGGTCGGTGATTGGCACCCTGAATCTCTACGGGTGCAGCCTCGGACTGGGGTTTGCCTCCACGATTGAAGATCAGATTGCTCAGACCGCCGGCCAGATCATGGGGTACCGGGCGGCCCTGTATTTCGCCGTGGCCATCAGTGCGGTGGCCCTCATCCTTGACGTATGCTTTGTCAGATTGGTCAAGGATGATCGTGAGGGGTGGCATGAGAGCAATGAGTTCGAGCTAAGCGAGCAAGCGGCAGCCACTGGGGTTCGGCTGCCCAACGCATAGAAACGTCATCGGCAATACATCGGCAGGCCGAGCGTGGGATGCCGGCTCCGTCTCGTCTGCAAGTGGAGCGCAGAAGGTAGTTGAGAATCCATTTGTCAGAGTTTCCCTGTTGCGACCCCAGATCCCGACGTAGATGTCCGACTGGATGGAATCCGGGGGACCATGAGATCACTTCTCCATACTTTGTAGATGGCCTAATTTCCCCCATCTTCGGTGAGAGAATGTAGGATAGCAGGAGAGGTGAATGCGGAGAGGCGGGGAAGAAACTGCCGCGGGATTGCACAGAGCCGGACTCACCTCCACTGTCTCGCCTCGGCCGGTTTCTCCCGTTCGTGTGTCTTGTTTTTTGGCCTCAGCAGCTGCCGTCCACACAATTCACCGCACTGCGCAGAGAGTCCCGCATCCCGGTGCCGAGAAAAATGTCCTCTGCTGACCCGACTGGCCTATCAGCGTCTGCCCCCTCGCTGCCCACCTTACGCATTCGGGTATGGATCGCCACATCCCCATCCTGGGTCTCAATGCCGACCGACCATTCGTTGTCGTGTCCGAGTCCTTCGTCCCTGGCCGGTCACCCGCTGTGCAAAAACTTCCCGGATCCCGAATCGGCCAAGGGGCCATTCCCCACTGCGACCCCCGCGTCACACGGTTTGGGGCGTGGGGGTACCGGGGTAGTACTCGCCGTCGAGAAGAAAAAAAAAAGTTAGCGCGGGGGGACAGATCCCGTGAACTGGGATCCGGGGCTTCCTTTTTTTCGTATATTAAAGGCAATCGCCTGCTGGATTTCCCCGGATTACTCGACCTTGTTGAGACGTTCACACAATGGCGGACGATATCTCACGACCAATTGACCGGATAGAACTGGAGGCCGACAAGGAACGGGTCGAGAATGTCGAGCACGTTGCCTCACCAAAGGGTGCCTTTCCCCAGATGGACCCGGCACGCCGTGTGGTCGTCGAGAAGAAGCTGAAGCGGAAGCTGGATGCCCGCTGCAGTCTGTTCGTGTTCATCTACATCATGAACTACCTCGACCGCAACAACATGGCCGCTGCCCGTCTCAAGGGTCTGCAGGAGGATCTGTCCCTCTCCAACACGGAATACTCTACCTGTCTGAGTATCTTGTATGTCGGCTACATCATCATGCAAGTGCCTTCCAACATGTTCATCAACCGCATCTCGCGGCCCTCCATCTACATCGCCATTGCCATGCTGCTGTGGGGTGTCATCTCCACCTTGTCCGGCAACACCAAGAACTTCGGCCACATGGTTGCCGTCCGATTCCTGCTGGGTTTCGTCGAGGCCGCTTTCCTCCCCGGTGCCCTCCTCATTCTCTCCAAGTGGTACACTCGCCGCGAGCTGACCACCCGCAATGCCATCTTGTTCTGCGGAAACTTGATCTCCAATGCCTTCTCCGCTCTCGTCGGTGCCGGTGTGCTCTCCAACATGCAAGGAACCCTCGGTCACGCCGCCTGGCGCTGGCTGTTCTGGATTGAGGGCTCTGTGACGATGTTCCTCGCCATTCTGGCTGGCTTCATCCTGCCTGATCTTCCTCACAACGCCCGTGGTTTCACCGAGGAAGAGCGCCAGGTCGCTCAGCTGCGCATGCTGGAGGATGTCGGTGAGGCGGATACCGACGGTGATGAGCTGACTGCATTTGGTGGTCTGATGATGGCTCTCAAGGATGTCAAGATCTACGTCATGATGTTCACTTTTGTTGCCTACGTTGTGGGATTGTCCTTCAACGCTTTCTTCGTGAGTTTCCCCTATCATATTCCAACACTTCCATGTACTGACCGACCAAAAGCCCACTCTCACCGGTACCCTTGGCTTCGGCTACGTCCCCACTCTGCTCATGAGCGCTCCCCCATGGGTGTTCTCCTGTATTGTGTCCGTGATCAACGCATGGCACGCCGACAAGACGCAAGAAAAGGTCTGGCACATCTTCGGTCCCATCATCATGGGTGCCATCGGTTTCATCATCTGCATGGCCACCAGCAACGTGGCTGCTCGCTACGTCGCTCTGTTCCTGCAGGCTGGTTCCTACGCAGGCTTCATCGTCTTCTACTCCTGGATCAGTTCCTCTTTCCCCCGTCCCCCAGCCAAGCGTGCCGTTGCCATCGCCATGATCAACGCATTCAGTCAGCTGGGTAACGTTGCCGGTTCCTATGTCTGGGATCTCGACGACAATGGATACCGCTCCAGCTACGGTATCGTCCTGGCCATGTTCGGTGTCACTGTCGTTGGCTGCTGGTACTTCCGCTCCATGCTGATGGGCTTGAACAAGAAGCTCGAGGAGACTGAGGCTGCTGATGTTACTGGTGAGCATTCGAATGAGAACGATATCATCGATAGCCCCGATGAGTCGTTGCGTATGCGCAAGGGTTTCAGATATCTTGTTTAGGTTTTTTTGCGGTTTATATCCAGGCTTGCTATCACGCTGGTCGTTATGTGAAATTGATGTATGACTTTGATCATATATATATGTGACATCTAAGGACACTTATCTGATCTCATGGTTCACCGTAATGTTAAGAGCGGCCTCACTACGACGATGGTGGAGCCAACCTTGAATCTAGGAATATCCATGAATCAGCTCACTTCCAAGGTTGGGGTGGCTGCCCATCGATGGCACCTTATGCTCCTGAGACCTCGGACGACTCGGGATAATGGCGATCTAGATATGCTCTCCAACCGCGGGTATACTCTTATGACCATTGAAAACCCCTCCGTACATATTCTTAGCTTTTAAGGTTGAAATACGGTTATGCACCACTGGGCAAAAGTTGATGTCTTCCAAGTTCAAGGTTGCCTCGAGTGAGCCCCGGTCAAGTGCGGGCGTGGCCAGGGGTATTCGAACAAGCAGTCATATTAATACAGCATAAAGTAAGCTTAAATGCCTCTAGATGTCATCTTAATCTTAATGAAATTACAAACTCTTCTTAGCCGCATCAGACTTTTGCTGTGCAACAATAAATCCAACCGCACGAGCAATACCCTCGTCCAGAGGCACAACAGGCGCATAAGCCAGACGGTGCTTAGCCTTCTCAGTGGAATAGTAACGAGTCATGCACGAGTACCGCACCGTGCGGGCCGTAAGACGCGGGGTCTTGCCAAACAGACCCATCACAGTCTCCGCAATACCACCGACAGTCTCGAGGAGACCTTCAGGGAGAGCCCACACCTGGTGCGGCTCGACAATGCGATCAATCAGTGCCCACATGGCACGGGTCACGTCCCAAAAGTACACGGGTGAGTCGTTGGTGATGTTGAATGCCTCGCCGTCCACGCGCTCGTGGTCCAGGGGCCCGCCCTTGCCAGCTGTGATGAGATCGTGGCTCGCCAGGAGCCGGTGTCCGGCCAGCAAATGGCCGTAGACCACGTTGCCCACGTAGGTGAAGTCGAACAGGTTGTCGTTCTCGCCGAGCTGCATACGCAGCACGCGGTCCGAGGCCTGGGCGCCATGCTCGAGGATCTTGTGTGTGACTGTCGTGTCCTTTTCGCCGTGGATGCCGGCGGGCCGGATGGCGGCTGTCAGCATCGATGTCGGGGACTGCTTGTTGTACTTCAGGACGAGTTCTTCGGCGTCGGCCTAATTTTCCACGCGCGGTGTTAGCGATTGAAGCACGATCTTAATCTAGTGGGCGGTGGGCCACTGACCTTGGTCTCGGAATAGTATTCCTTCTGCGCGGGCCCACGGATGTAGGGCCATTCCTCGTTGACGTTCTTGAGGTCGCTCTGGGTGTCGTGAACCACGGAGCTGGAGCTGGTGTACACAAATGCCTTGCACTTGCCACCCCAGTCACCGTGCTCACCTCCAGCAACCTCGAGAAGCGTCCGTGTGCCATCGACATTGACCTTGTGCAGCAGGGGCTTGTTGCCCTCAATCATCGAGGGGGACGCAGTGTGGATGACGAGATCGGGCTTGACGGCACGGAAGACCTCCATCATGGACTCGACGGAGGTGATGTCGCCATCGTAGTACTGGGCGCCGGGGAGACGGTTATTCGTGGTGCGCAAGTCGACTACTGACACGGTCGAGTGGGTGGTCGGGTAGCGGGAGGCCAGAGTGGGATACTCAAAGCGCGCGTCGCCGACGGGCTTCGCAAGTGCGTAGCTGGGGTCGGACTCGGAGGGGAAGTTCAGCAGGTGGTCAACCATATGCCACCCCAAAAAGCCACAGCCGCCAACGACCAGGACATTGCCCAGTTCTAGTGTGCGATTTTGAGCTGGCATTTTGTGATTATTCGTGAGTGTAGGAAAAGGAGAAATCTGGCGCGGAGATAAAGTGATCCGTGCGTGGAGGTCTTAGTATGGGGGCGCACCGAACTTGGCATTGGCAACTTGTCGATTATATTTCTTGGTACTTTTGTTTTGGTTATTCCTAATGCTATCCGATTGCTACTGGTTCACTCGCTGAATCGAGAGGCTCTTGGGCTAAATATGCGATATCGCTTGGAAATGCCCCGTGAATAGCAATAACAGTCCCGGTGGGAAAAGAAGCAACTTGACTAAACAATAATCATCGCAATAAAGATGAACCTCATACCTCCTCAAGCGATGCTCGCACTTTGCGTCTGTACAGCCTGCGCTCGACTTCATTTCCCCAGCAGAGTGCGGTGGCCTGTGGGCGCACCGTCATCAGTGGATTGTAAGGCGGGTTGTCTTCCCCCAGGGTTTCAACAATGCCATCGATGTGGTGTCTGATATCTTCATCGAAGGAGGGGAGATATATTAAAACGCCCATCTTTGACACTCGGATGTGATAGATCATTGGGTCAACGAAGACACGGGGTTGTTCGACGGGATGTCGCGGACTGATGTAGATTTTGACCTTGACGATACCACCTTCCAATCGACTTTCAGTCCGACCAGCATAGGTGAGCTGCCAGAGGAATGGATTCTCGTCAACCAGTGAGAGATCGATAATCTGAGGATGGGCGCTGAGCTCGGCAACAATCTGTTCATGCTGGCCTCTCAATTTGACCGCGATTCCGGCATCCACTTTGACAAGTTCCTTGCCTTCAACGGGCCATTGATGTGTCTCCGCCATCACTCGGTCTCGAAGCTGCACGAGACGAGTCTTCAAGTCGGGGTAGTCCCAATGGCCTGACATGATGTTACCAGCACCTTCAAACGGCATTGAGATGAACGGATCGCCCTGTCTTCTCGCATCATCTCCCAAGCCGCCGTCGGTGGCACCGCTGTCAATGGCCTGTTGGTAATGTTCAAAGTACCATAAAAGCCGTCGCTTGTAGAACTCATCGAACTTGCCGTGAGATGCAGGATCCCGCAGCTCATCATCGCTATCCGTATCCTCTGCTGGTTTAGTGGGATCTTTCAACCGCAATCGCTCACGTCGAGCTGAGTTCGCAAACGCCTGCTCAAGTGGTGTGATCACTGCCAGTCGCAGGGTCTCATGTCTGATCTGGTCGTGCAGTGTAAGTGTTGACTCTATTCGGGTTCTTTGGTCCATTCCCAGTGATATTACTTGCCTTGGATTTGTATGCCTCCATATACTCAACTTCATCGTGTTTATCGGGGTCATCGAACCCCGGTTCAAGCGTGTATGGATTAGCAGCTAGGAGACTTTGGATGGAAAGCAACACGGATTCCAGTCCTTGTGCGGGTGACCATTGCTCACCGCGCTCTCCATGCCACGTTCTAGAGTGATGAGTAATTTCTCGGGTGCTAGACAGATATAGAGCTTACCCCAGGATAGATCTGTAAAACGTCAGTATATGCCTGTGCCATCATGGATTACAGTTCACTCACAGACAGACTTTGCCGGTGGCGTACAGGTTGGGGCCGAATCGGGTTCTGCCATTATTGGTCGTTTTGATCTTCACTGTAGGCGGGCTGGCTGGGTAGTCTGGTATATTGTGATCAGTGGTTGCTGTGTCTGGACCCTCTATTGATGTCTCACCTGCGGGAACTTTGATCGAGAACTGTTCCAGTGTCAATGGCCTGCTTTGTCATTATCGTGGTTGAGATCTCACCTCGAAAAAGCCCAATTCATACGGGGTCCCTGGAGGTCCGACGATGATGGCCAAGATATCACGCATATTGCTCTCGTCATAGTGGACGGTGAATGCTGTGCCATGGTCAGTCAGGCCCGAGAAGACAGGTTGATACCATCTCGCTGAGTGGCATGGGAGTCTTGCCCAGTTGCTCGCCCTGCTCGACTTGGCGCAACTCCTGTTTGACATGGCCATGTTAGTTGATGAAACTTGGTGAGGGAGCTTGGCGTACCCGAATCAGACGTAGAGCACACTGATCACCCATCTTGGAAGAAGTCTGAGGTGATCATGGATGTATTGGATTTAATGAATGTTGGTCAGGTCACATTGCGTGGGTGAGGAGTCTTGGAGAGCTGGAGGAAAAGGTACACAAGTAATCAAGCGGTGTTCCGCCAACCGCCCACTTCCTTTGACTGTGCTCTTTGCCTTTCTTTCTTTCTTTTTTTTTTTTTTTGCTTCTTTGAAATATCCCCAGCCTGGATTCTACTTTTTCCTAGGGTGCAACTCAATTGAAAATACTATCCACGGGTATTTGATATGAGATGGGTATCGACTTGTATATCGTGGTGTGAAGGACTACACAATGATGATGGCTACATGCATGAAGCATATGACCAACATATCTTCCCCTGTATCTTTGTTCTATTTAAAATACTCAGTGTCAGTGGATGTCCTCATCAGGGGAAAATAGACCCCTTAAACTTGAGGGTATTCAACCATCTACACTATATAGATTGAACTTGTTCTATAAAAAGCTGTCAGGGGATACCTAGGTAAACCCAAGGCTGCAGCTATCTTGACATTTTCACAATGGGCTCTCCCAGGGACTGGAGAGACATCTCTTGCCAAGGATCTTTCACTCTCTGACATCCTCGCTGTCAGGCACTGTGAATTTCCTCTGTAGACCCTGTACACGTGACCCGGGGACCATAATTAAGGGGAGGGGGAGGGCAACAAAGTGTAGCCATCTCCATCGTCTTCCCCAGCCCACTTCTTTTCCCCCTCTCTTGCACGTTAATTCTTTTGGGGGCCTTTTTGAGCACTATTCAATTTGGGAGGAATGAGAGGAATTTGCGCTGATCCTTGGTCTGACTTCGAAAGCTCGATTCCTGGCCCCCGCGTTTAGCCTGCGCCGACCTTTCGACAAACACTATACCGCCAGTGTGAACCCCGTATTTCGTGGACTCGTGCGCACTTCTGTCGTTGCAAACGGTGACACACCCTCGACCAGCACCTTGGATTACATGGCGTGAAGGTGAGTCCGGTCAAGGTAAACTCGGCCCAGGACATTCTAATTTAAGAAATCAGATTACCCTACGCGCCCAACTCATCTTCTCACCGTCCGTGACCGCGTTCCGTTCAACAACCTCGCTTTCCTACTCCCCCCTATTGCATGCGTTCGGTGTAATTCAATCCAACAACCCCACCCTTTCCTTTTCTGACGGGGGACCAAGATGCCCCCCGGTGGACTCCCAGCCAGCCTGGTCGCAGGCAACCCCAGCGGCCGTCCCACCGTCGACACTTCTGGCTACGGGGCCAACTATAGCAAAAACACTCCTACCTCACCGGAGGACAGCTTGATACCTCCCTTCGAGTCTCCATCGACTCGAACTGCAGGCCCAGTCACCCCAGTCGAGGATGGGCGCTCCGGTCGTGCTTTGGGCCCCGACCAGGCTGGCCATCGCGACCGCTCCGCTGCGAGAGATCGATCGCGGGTCAACGGGCGGCAAAACAAATCACCCGGCGGCTCATCGCGCCTGTGTCAAAAGTGCGGTGAACCTCTAACCGGTCAATTTGTTCGAGCGCTGGGTGGTACCTTCCATTTAGAATGTTTCAAGTGCGAGGTGAGTGGCTACTCCATTTTTTTGTCCCTCTGTACTGAAGCTGACATTTTCTCTCTCAGGACTGCGGCGAGATCGTTGCCTCCAAATTCTTCCCTGTCGATTCCGAAGACGCAAACTGCCAGTTTCCGCTTTGCGAAACCGATTATTTTAGACGACTGGGCCTGTTGTGCCACGAGTGCGGCGGCGCGCTGCGTGGATCATACATCACCGCATTAGATCGGAAGTATCATATCGAGCACTTTACTTGTTCCGTGTGTCCCACGGTCTTCGGCGCTCAGGATTCATATTACGAGCACGAAAGCAAGGTCTATTGCCATTTCCATTATTCAACCCAGTTTGCACAGCGGTGTCATGGGTGCCACACTGCGATCCTCAAACAGTTTGTCGAGATTTTCCGCAACGGTCAAAATCAACACTGGCACCCCGAATGTTACATGATCCACAAATTCTGGAACGTCCGGTTATCGCCTGCTGGTCAGACGTGGGAACCTCCACCAGTGGACGAGGATGCTAGCGAGGAAGAGCGCAAGCAGATTCGCGATGAGGAGGATATCATGGAGGAGAAAGTGTTCAACATCTGGAACACCCTCTCTACCTTTGAAGAATCATCTGCCGCTTGTATTTCAGATATGCTGCTTCATGTCAGCAATGGCGCTTATCTGGATGGTGTTCTGGTCGCCAAACGCTTTATCGGCCACGTGGAAATTCTCTTTGGCGCAGTCGATGAGCTAGCCAACTACATCAAATCACACGAACTGAAAGGTGAGATTGAGAATGGCTGATTTTGCTTGTCGAGGGTTGGATACTGACTAGATTTACTACAGAACTCTCCTACGGCCGCGAAGCGAAATTATTGTGCAAAAAGATTGTCGCTTTCTTTGCTTTATTATCCAAGACGCAAGAGACTGGCGTGCGGAAACTCGGTGTCACCCAGGAGCTCCTTTCCCTGGTGACGGGTCTGGCTCATTACCTCAAACTTCTGATTCGCATTGGTCTGCAAGGTGCGCTTAAACTCGAACGGGAGAAGTCTGCACCCGATGGCCTACACGACTTCCTGGAGCATCTACGTGATCTGGAGTCGCTTGCCGAAATGGAAGATGAGAATGCTGGACTCGATTTGATGGCCGGAGTGGAAGGTCTGGCCGATCAATTGTCAGATTGCTGCATCTCGTGCAAAGAGCCAATCGACGATGAGTGTGTCCTCCTCGGACAGAGTCGCTGGCACACCAAGCCGCCTCACCTATCCTGCGTTGTGTGCGAGAAAGATTTGACCGCTGATCTTCAAGGCGCCTTATGGAGCGAAAGCGAAGAAAAAGCCTACTGCGATGACTGCGCCCACCAACAGGATCTTGGCTCTGCCGTTCAAGGTGGCTTCATCCCAGTCTCTAAGCTGCAGCAATTCATTTTCTTGCTCAAGGTCGCCCTCGCACGGCTCCTCGCCGTGCTTCGGTCTGGAGGAACCTTGCCTCAAACGTCAGGTAAGATTCTATCCCATCGTCCATCCACCGCTGGCAACCTATCTAACTTGATCAACCACCTCAGACGATCCTTCCCTGAATGAGTACGACAATAAGGATGGCAATCGAGTTCCCCCTGAGGTTCGACGGGCTAATGCCCGCGCTTCACAATACGGAGGTGGCTCGCGAGAGGGCATGGAAGAATCATCCCTCGAGCAGACTGTCGGCGAAATGCGCCGACTGCGCTCGATTCGCAATGAGCGAACCCTGTCCACAACCTATAAGAGAGCTCGCGCGTCCAGGATTATTGACGGTCCCGAGGGAAGGAGCGCTCGACCTGGATCTTCTGGAAATGATGGCAGCGACCCAAGGGGCCCTGGCTTCCAGATTGTTGAGGAGAGAGATGCCAATGGCGAGACAGTCACCGATCTGACATTCGGCGCTCAAGATGCTTTGACGCTAGATGATATCCCTCGCATTGTTGCAGCCGAACAAGCGAAAGAGCAACGACCTAATGCATTCAAGCATGCCGGACACAAGCTTGTCGGGGGCACAGAGCCCATGCTCAAATACAACCGCGGCCACCAGCGCGAAGTGTCTAGCGGGAACTTGGAGGCACTTATGGAGCCAACTAGAACCAAACGGTACTTCTCAGAATTGACTGCGCTGGAGTACTTCATCGTTCGTCACGTCGCTGTGCTACAGATGGAGCAACTGGTCGAGGGCTACTTCCAAATGGAAGAGCTTCTTTCTTTGATCGAATCTCGCAAGCCTACGATATGGAATATCTTCGGTCGCGCCTTCAAGGATGGAAAGAAGGGTGCCAAAAAGAAGGGTGTCTTTGGTGTCGATCTGAACTTCCTCGTGGAGAAGGAGGGCACAGAGTCAAGTCATGGCGTTGGCCCGGGCGCCCTTCGTATCCCAACACTTGTCGATGACTCTGTTTCAGCCATGCGACAAATGGACATGTCGGTCGAGGGTGTTTTCCGAAAGAACGGCAACATTCGACGACTGAAGGACACCTCGGAGCTTATCGACACCAAGTATGAACAGGTCGATTTGACCAAGGAAACCCCTGTACAGATCGCAGCTCTGCTGAAGAAGTTCCTTCGTGAAATGCCTGACCCGCTTCTCACGTTCAAGCTCCACAGACTGTTTGTCATTTCTCAAAGTAAGTTTTCACTTTGTTGCCCCCAAGGCTTTCCAACGGCATACTAACAATCCTACGCAGAACTCGAGGACCCCGAGAAGCAGAGACGGTTGCTGCATTTGACATGCTGCTTACTTCCCAAGGCCCACCGCGACACTATGGAAGTCTTATTCGCTTTCCTGAACTGGACCTCCTCTTTCTCGCACGTTGACGAGGACTCTGGAAGCAAAATGGACATTCACAACCTTGCCACTGTCATAACCCCGAACATCCTTTACCCCAACGCCAAGAACAGCACCGTGGAAGAAAGCTTCCTCTCCATCGAGGCTGTCAACGCTCTCATCACGTATAATGACGCTTTGTGCGAGGTAAGTGTCTTGATTGGTATATCAAAGATGTCAGCTAACCATTTGACTAGATCCCCGAAGACCTGCAATCAATCTTGAGTGATCCCACTCTGTTCAAGGAAAACGCCGAGGTCACGACCAAGGAAATCCTGAAACGTTATGGCGACATTGCGCGGGGCAGTTTCTCACAAAAACCAGAGAATGGCGGCGAGACATTCACAATCACCACCCCCAACCGCAACAACAGCACGCCAGCTTCCGCACGCATCGAGACCGACCCATCCCAGGACGCAGCCTGGCAGATGCAGAGCTCTGTTCGCCACGTACCTGGTCCTAGCGGACATGCTCACTCATCCAGCACTAATGCCCAGGCTGGACTTGAGTTCGTCCCTCCCCCCAAATCCTACCTCCGCAACCGAAGCGCTAGCAACGGTAGCCAGCCAAATGCCGGGCCCTCGGAGGGCCAACCTCAACAAAATGTCGCATATCGGCCACGCCCAAGTCCAGGTGCCATGGGTGTTACTGGATAGACAGATCGTTCGTCTTTTGTCCCCGACACAGCTGGGATACTGTGATACTGTGACTTCCATCCCCATTCACCCCTTTGCATTTGTCCATCTGATTCGGTTTCTCTGGGGGCTTCTTAGCGTTCATTTCTCTTTTCTTTTTCCCCCTCTTCTTCCCTTCTTGTTGTCTTGACTGATAGGCTTGGTCGACGGAGTTGTCATTTTTTCTTTCTTTTCTTTCCCATGAAAAATTATTCCAAAAGTGATCGATCATCGCTCCTGTTGGTTGCTTACTCTTGATCTGTGCTTTCATATCTTATAGGGGCCATGCCGCCTTTTCCCGTTTTGTTCATCTGCATCTGATTCTTGACAAGGGATCAGCCATACCCATACCTGTCCCTCTGGGCCCCATAAATGTCCTGCTTTCCATTCTTTCCAGTTTTCGAGCTTCGTGCTCTTTTTCCTGTGGGCCAGGCTCCGGCTTTACCTAGACCCTTTTTTTTCCCTTTTCCTTTTTCCTTTCTCTTCTTATTCTTCTCCGGCCTTGCATGTGGCAAGTGGCTCGGGTTCTTGATTTCCTTTCTTGTTTTCAATCAGCATGATTGCCATGATACCTGTGCTGAATCCTATGTAGTTAAGTACCCATTTGGATTGACTTTCGATTTCTTCACTTGGGTTTCGCTGCCTAGTTGCTGTGGCTGGATTTCTTTAGATAGGCCATAGAATGCTAGGGGTTTCACCTATGTCATTTCTTATTGATACCAGCATTCTCTCCGTATCTACTCTAGTATGTACCTAGTATCTCATCCGGTGACATCGAGAATAATGCTTATAGTAAGCATTCATTCAGGCAATGACAGTCGTGGAATCATTACTGACCGAGAAACTGGCAAATTCTTAGGGTGTAACTATTCGCAGTATGTGATTGACGAACTTATGAGAAAGAGTACCAAGACGGCGGCAGACAGGGAAGCAATTGTAAACCCGAGTTGTCATTGGGCTGGCCCACCTGGGCATACTTTCTACAGCAAGTCCCTCAAGGCTCTAGTTAACAGTCACAGTCACAGTCAAACAAGTAATGTAATTTCCAAGTTCATAAAGACAACCAAAAACACATCATCGGCATAGCCGAGAGAAAGAAACACCTATTATGATATCACGCCAATAATGTAAGAGGGCCAAAGTGCCCACAATTTTGCCATTGCAGTCTGCAATCACGCTGAAACGATCCCGAACTCCAAAGATAGAACAATACAAGTATGCTACAATCCGAGTTCACTTTTAAATGCGCTTGCGCAGAGCCCGAGTCCGCGTGGCTGTTTCAGTTGCTGCAGGAGCGGTAGTCTTGCGCATGGCGGTGTTGTTCGCAGTCTTCTTGACTGCCACTGACGCAGCCTGCATGCGAGGCGCGGGCTTCTTAGCAGCCGCGGCAGTAGAAGTCGTTGTGGCCTTTCGGGCGCCGCCAGCTCGCGAAGGCCCCCTAACAGTGGTTCCCGAGGATGCTGTGGATCCGGTACTGTTCTTGCGTTCGCCCTGTCTGGTCGCGGGACGTGGGAGTGGGGAGTGGCCGGACTTGGGGCCTGTGGCGGCACGGTTGGTGGGTCGCTGTGTCTGAGATGGGGGCCGTGAGTCCTTCACTGCTGAGACGGTGGCGCCGCGTGATCTCAGCGGGCTCAGTGGCTTGAGTGGAGATGTGGGACGCGATAGATAAGAGGGTTGGCCCTTCTCTGGGGAGGCGCGGAAGGGTGAGTGTGGGTAGGTTCGGGAGTTGTTGGACTTGGGTGACAGGATCCGGTTCTCGTTGCCTCGTACTTCTTGAGATACCACGCGCGACGCCCCGCCTGCTGCGGCTGGTTTCACGCGACGCTTGGGGTTCTTGAGGCCTTCTGGCTCTCCATTTCCGGGAGCGTTCTCTTTGTCGGAGTAGAGGTTGTCGTGGCTAGTTTCTTTATCAGTATGGAGAGTACTTTCAGAGTTGTGGGATATCATACCTTCCCCTCCGGGATCGACCGTCGCGTGCTTCTGTGTCCACGGGCTTGCTAATATTACGCGAGACCTTGGCAGGTGAGTGCTTCCGAGGCGATGCAAGATTTGGTTTGCTCGAGGCGGCATTGTGTTTGTCAAAGAGGTCTCCCATGTTGGCTTTGCGGAGTGAGACTGGGATTCGGTTTACGCGTCGGTCAATGCGCGCGCGAAGGTCGTTTGCCTGAAGGGCATATTGAGCACGAAGTTTGCGTGCACGCTCAGTTACTAGGCAAAATTAGTACGAGTGGTCCATCGAGGAGTTCAAAAGACAACCCACTTTCGAGTTGTAGATTGTCCATCAACGCCTGCTTCTGTTGCTGTGTGAGGCGCATTTTCTTGCTGGGACTACCCGTGGGCGTGGTATCCATCTGGTCAGACTTGCGCTTAGCAGGCATTGTCAAAAGGTCAAGGGATATATTGGGATGTGTCAAAGTCACGTAGGTTAAAGTGCGGAGCAAGGAGCCCATGAGAAACCACAACAAACAGCATCAAGGCGGACTTGCGTGGCAGAATACTAGCTTCCACCTTGCCTTCGTCATCCGTCTTCATCTCTCATACGCCGATCTTACCTATCGTTCGCTGCCTCCTTTTCGATTGGATTTCATTTCATTCAAACCTCGCCCATAATGACGTTGGAAGCTACCATGATCGTGTTCGTTCTTGTTTCCCTCCAATCCTGCTTGCTCAGCTGACCCCAAGCTACAGTGTCGACAACAGCGAAAGCAGTCGCAATGGAGACTACACGTGAGTATCTCATGCAATGCCCGCTTTCCATCTATGGAGCAGCCTCTAACGAGATCAGAACCACCCGGTGGCAATCCCAAGTCGATGCCGTCAGCATCATCCACAGTGCGAAGATGCGTGTAAACCCGCAGTCTGCAGTTGGTCTTATGAGCATGGGCGGCAAGGGCCCTGAGGTGCTGTCGACTTTCACACCCGAGTTCGGTGCCATCCTGGCCGGACTCCATGCTACAAAAATCCACGGCACATCTCATCTGAGCTCAAGCATCCAGGTCGCAGCGGTGAGTTTCCCAGGTAGTTGATCCCGATCCAATCACTGACTTGTATGGTACGATAGTTGGCCCTGAAGCACCGTATGGAGAAGTCGCAGCGCCAGCGCATCATCGTATTCTCCTGCTCGCCCATCGAAGAAGACGAAAAGACCCTCGTGAAGCTCGCCAAAAAGATGAAGAAGAACAACGTCTCCATTGATGTGGTAGCATTCGGTGACTTAGAATCCGACCAGACCAAGAAGCTGGAGGCCTTTGTTGAGAACGTCAAGAGTGGAGACGGCTCCCATCTCGCCATCATTCCCCCCGGACCCCATTTGCTCAGCGACCAGCTGCAGATGACCCCGATCCTGGCAGGCGAAGATGCCGAGGTCGGCGGTGGTGGCGGCGATGGAGAAGCCGGTGGATTTGGATTTGAGGATGCTGCCGAGAACGACCCCGAGCTGGCCTTTGCCCTGCGGTTATCGATGGAGGACGAGAAGAACCGACAGGAGAAGGAGAAGCGCGACCAGGAAGAAGCCGAGCGCAAGACTCAACTTGGCGGTATCCCCGAGGAGGGTGCTGGCGAGTCTAGCAAAGATAAGAAGGACGAGGACAAGATGGACACCGCCTAAAGGGTCCCTGGTTCTTAATATGATTGTGATGCATACCCGGCGTTTACTGTTCGTCTTGTATACTTCGGCCTTCTCCAGGTTCGCTCTACTGTGCAAGGGAAATATATGTGATTTGGTATTATACGAGGTGGATTCTTTCCAAGTTTGTCCCGACACGTACAAGCACACATTGGATCTAGTTCGTAAAGTCATGATGTCTCCCGCGGGTTCACTGGTCGGGCTTCATGTCCTCCCCCGCAACCACGCGCCGAGGTGGCGGTCGAATGCCTCGCACCGCACGGGCATTTCGATCTGGTAGAACGGATTCTTCATCACGAAGTCCGCGTAGAGCTCGTAGATCTTCTGCACGATTGTGTCCACGTTGCCGGTCAGGGGATCCGTGAACAGGAGGAATTTCGTTCCCGTCAAGGTCTGGAAGCAGGTCAACCGAAACTTGTCGGTCTCGAGGTAATCCAGACCGGTGACTGGGACTCCGGGGTTGGGATAGGAGTGTGACGCAGCTGGGGTGGTGGTGCTTGGGGAGGAGGTCGCCGGGGAGGGAGGCTGAACGGAGGGAATTTTCGGCGTGATGGATCTCGTAATGGCATGGACACTGGATTCCTGGTTAACATTGGTCTGGAGACGCGGTGGCGCTGTTCAGCTGTACCCGTGAAAAGTGCCTGCTAAGACCAGGTAGTCATTCGTGGAGAGCTTGCGCAGGCCTGCCTGGAACTCGCGCTGGTAGATCAGCCCACCGGCTTTGTTGATAATGATCAAGGAGAAGACACCCCTATCGGAAGGCATGTTAGCTGGGAGGCGCCTGGGCAGTTCAATGGGCGGGCAGGGCGGACATGTTGGACAGGGTCCCGAGGTCGGACAGCGCGATCTGTAAGGGGAGGGCGGAGAGAGCGCTACTGGTACATGTCACGGACAGAATCGAAATTGAGTAAACCGAACGGACAGAGGCAACTGGTTCAACTGGTGACAACTGGAGTGTACGGAGGTCCAGCTCCAAGCGGAGACAACTATAACCCAATGAGGAATAGCCGCGACATCATAGATCTTATGTTATGGGTTAATAGCTCGATTATAGATATTATAGATATTCTAGGAGTATCTCAACATTGGAACCTGGGAGGCTCACGGTGTAGTTCAGAAACATGACTGTGTTTTCAAATTCAAGGTTGTACATTTGTGATGGTTGAGGCAGGGCGACATATATACATGTGAGATGAAGGTGTGTATTCTTTTGTACATATTAATTGCTAGTCATTCAGTCATGAAACCACATAGGCCCTCAATCCACGGCAACAACTCTGCTCACCTCGAGCACGCTCTAAAGAATCCGTTAGCCCCAGCTTCCAAGGTTGAAAAGAGTCGAGTCGAACATACCGGGCAATTACCTCGAGAGGTGTGAATCGAGTCGGTCTCGTATTGTATCCCCAATTTCCTGCCACTCGCTCGCAGATAATCTAGATAATCGGGTGCCCCGGGGAAATGGGAATTGGCAGCTAAAGCCAAAGACCCGACGCGCCACAGGTTCAACTCTTCGATAACTCTCAAGCTGGGGAGATAGCACTGTTCCCCATGATCGAAGAATGCCATGTCGATAGATGTCACTTTGCCTTGGCTGTGCAGTTTCCTCAACGACTCTGAGCCTTCACCCTGCACCACATGGACAAAGTCTTGCACACCGACGAGTGTGACCAATTCGCGGGTCAACGCGACCATCTCCGGATCTGAGTCAAATGTGTAGACCTTGACATCATTCGGTACCTTCTCGCCATGGATTTCACGTAAGATAGCCGCCCAGATGAAGGCGGAAGTGCCTACGAACGTGCCATACTCGACAATCATTCGCGGGGCCGGGTGCTGCAGAAGGAGCTGATGGCGTGCAGCGTTGGCATCTGATCTTTGGAATACCATCATGTGTCCCATTTGAGTTGCGAAATCTTCAATAGCGTTCGCAAGAGCCAATGGATTGTTGTAGAAGGTGGACGTTGGTTGATCGAAGATATACCTGCGCAATTCAACTGCTCGCTCGGCGAAGATCTCAGCCCGAGGCTTTGGAGCCATGATTGTTGCTTTTGAGGCAAGAGCATAATTGTAGAATGGGGAGAACTGCTGATATCAATACACTGCCCGGGGCATAAACAGACCGGACTTACGGTGAATGTCGCCATGGTGCAGATTCCTATATACACCTCACCTTCAGATCAGAATCAACCCGTCGGGGCTTGCTTTCACTTTATGCAACATGCGATTTGAGATTCTGGAAGCCGTTACAAGAATCTTCAGCCGATCGTGTCTCAGTATTTGCTCTGCCTATGCAGTGTCCTAAGCCCGAGGCCTCCGACACTCGGGCTGGATGTCTCCATCGGGCGATGCTGTCCGACAAAGCACCACTTTGCCGTTCAATCTGAGATTATCTAGGTACTCTTGCCGCTCTTTAAGATCAGCTAACTGGCAGATTTGCTGTGTAGCGAAATCAGACCATATAGACCACAGCACTGGAGTCTCCCGAGGTCATAGTATAGTACTTTGCGGCTCGATCTAAGCATTTCCGCTTTACTTCTGATCTCTTTGGTTCAAATGCTATTCTCTTCTAGCCACTACTGTTATATTAGCACTTTCAATTGAAATAGTAAATCTCTACTGTCGATGTGATCAGAACAAAATGCAGCGGCGGCTCCAGCCGCTCGGGCTCAGCATCTCCGAGTCCAGCGGTGGAGATGCACCCCAAAAGGGAATCCTCCACGAGCAACACCACAACGGGTGTCTTCCACGATGCAATGCCACAATGGGATTCGGTTGCTCCTTGCCGAACAGCCCTGGGGCTCTGAATTAAAGATCTCCTAGCCGCGCTTGACAGGGCTTGGCCGCTACTTTATCTCGTCGACGATATATGGACCCACTTTTGCGCAATTGAAATCTGTGAAGTTCTAATCTCTAAGGACGCGAGATATATACTCTTACGCGATCAGCCTGAGTAATGTTCAGGTCAATCCACTGACATGGCTGTGTGGTCATGAAAATAGTCATAACTGTTCATGATTCTAAGAACCATTCATTCACAACAGGTTTTACAGTCCTGGTCACATATCCCGTACTGACCGAGTCTCCATCGGATGATCTCGGTTCTACGGCCAAAGTGGAAATGTCGCCTACCGGGTCATGTCTATCTGCGATCAGGTGTAAAGTACCTACTAACACTTCCCGGAGATGACCGAAAGCAATTCAACACATGCACTGCCTCCGGTCCACTTGTATTGTATTCTATATTACCGTTCAATTATGAGCCCGCCGACCTGAAGTGTCCAACCTTGGAAGTCTCTATTCAGCCCCCGGGGCGGCCCCCGGTGAACTACTGCAAACCCAGCACACACAAGACTATTCTGAAAAAGGAAATCCAGATGCAAAGACAAACCAATCAAGCCAGTCGATACCGACCGTCACAAAAAACCAGAATCCCCTCCCTCACCCCCCACTCCCGCAGCGCCAAATCCTCCACAGGCCCCAGCTCATCCCGCTCAAAATGGCGCCCGACATGCTCCATCCGCACATCCCAACTACCAACCCCAACAAACACCTTCCCACAGAACCCGCAATGACTCTCCATCGGCGGCTGACGAAGTCCATGCCAGCATCGTCTCCGAATTTCCTCTAGTCCGGACTCGAAATGGTCCCGCTCGCTATCGATCGGCACGTGCCGTCCTTGTAGCCATGGCGCATGCATCCGTCGCTGATGCTGCGTGAAGAGGTCTTTGCGGTTAAAGTCATTAGGTTGGCCTGGCTGAGGTGTACTGGGGGCTTTGGCCGATTTACTTGCGACGGCGGATTTCTGTGTCTTGCATTTCCCTACGTCGCAGCGGTAGAAGCCTAGGAGGAGGTGTTTGGAGTTGACGTGGCGTTTCCATTCGTTTTTGGACACGAAGATGCTTTCGCATCCGTAGGGCGCGAAGCTGCATGTGAAGGTGCGTTCGCTGGATGGGGAGGCGCGCCGTCGACGGTTGAGTGTTGAGGTGCGTCTCTCGTTTCGTGCTCGGGATCGAGCTGGTTTTGAGCGATTGGACGGGTGATTCTTTTGCTCTGAATATATCTCTAGAGGCATTTGTGGCGTTGGATGGCTTGGCCAGGGCATTTCAGCGAGTGGATGGCATTCTGGCTGAATATCCATGGGATTATCGGACAGCGCTAGCGAGGACTTGATGTCCCTGAAGCTGTCTGACTGGGGTGGCTCAAGCATGGGATTATTGTATAGAAATGGCGGCGACTCGTAGTACGTTGACGGCACGCTGCCCATGCCACTACTCGGTGGGCTCTGGGAGTCGGATATGGTTGACAGTCCACTATCCCACGGGGAGAGCGGATCTCCATATGAGTTCTCATTCCATGAATATTCAAAGTATGGAGAAGTTGGAATTTCCCATTGTTGCGCATATTGCGCCTCAGCCGATTGAGACTCTAAAAGAGATATAGGGGGCTGGCATGGCGTGTCGCAAGCCAAAAATGACTGATCAACCAGCGCAGGATCTAAGGGGTCATATGGATGTGCCATATCCATGACAATTTGAGGTAGTTCTGTGAATGGGTAGGAGGACTGCATGGTTCAAATGCAGCAGGAAAGAGTGAGAGAAGACAAATGCTGCTGGCTGGACTTAAGGGATCTAAGTACCGGACTAGCGCGAACCAGCTTGTCGGAGACAGGGCAAACATCTGCAGATTGAGCCCCAAGCCGGTAGGTTCTTGCACCGAAACGGGGTGGAGTATAGATTACCAGCGAATGTGAGGTTAGCATCGGGTAGTGTTCTACAGCGCAAGACTGAAGAGCAGCACATCTACATTTTCGAAGGACATTCTCTAGCTGACAAAAACGATCAAAAGAGTGTGCACAGAGTGTCTAAAGTAGTGCAGTATACCAGTAGTAGTGCTGATGGCAGAGAAACGGACCCCAATCCGCACTGACAATACTTATACGCTCCACTTCGCCGATCTCGATTCATTTTTATGACCGCAGGGTATTTTTGTCATGCTCGTTGAGTCCAGCTCAACTGGCGTTGAAAAAGCCCCTGGCCTGTACTAGCAGCTATGAGTATACATTATTGTTAGGTCTTTGATTCAAAGATCAACACCAACCAAGCCCGGAGAACAAGAACCAGAACTGAAATAGTCCATTGCTGTTCAATGTTGGATTGCCCGATCGCGTAAGATCGCTGGAAACCCCCGGGCCTCATTCCGGAATAATCACACCAGTGACGTTGAACTAATACGGAACCCCCGAAGATGATGAAATAAGATATCAAGATGGCAGAGATGAGCCGTTTAAGCTTGTGCCTTGCGCGACCGGGCACGCACAGCCAGTCAAGACGCTTATTGAACCCCACATAGAGGCGATGTCGCGCTTATGACCCGAGGAATGAATCTGGGCACGGGGAGGAACTGCTAGGTGTTGGAAGTTCGACATACACAATTTATCGAGGACTTCGATTGATCAACTTGGCAAGGATTTCACGGATGGACTGAGATAGCTAGAACGGTCTTGCCCACCGAGGGCATACCCACTAGGTAGTACCTAGGTAGTGAGCAACTCAGGTTCGGATCAATGAACCTCTGTCCCTGAGAGCCTCGTTAAAGTACCCCAGATACAAAAGCCTCGCCGAAGAACAAACCGCGTAGAGCGCAAACACCCCTCCGTATATAAAAACAACAAGTCCACGGGTATCAATTTGAGTTACAAATAACGAACATCTATCAAATTGATAGGGAGCTTGGGCCTTGAATCTTATTTTAGGCGATGAGATGATATTCATAGCAGAATTCATGAAGCTGGAAGGCATGTCGTCCAGAATTTGGTGAAATGTAGTAATTCATTCCACTCCAACTATACAAAGTGGCTACAGGGTTTCAAGTAAGCTTGACCAGATGAGCTAGAAATAGGTACCTAGTACTCCCCAGGTCTCCAGACCAGATACGATCTTAAGAATGTACGGAAATACATCTGCTCTGCAGATGCTGCGTGTTGTCTGTGGAAAGGACCGCTGGCTCAAATCAGGAGATCTAGACAGCCACGGTAGATCTCGAAAACGATTCCCTATGGAGACTCTCACCGTGTTTCTTAGCCTTGATGTTGACTTAGTTCACCTCCCGCAGTGTGCTGAAGTCTATGTACTTTAAAGTTCCAAGCAGTATTGGCCTGCATCTTCAAAGGGGAAACGCGTTGCAGATCAGCACGTTTTCCACAAATCGTGGGCAAGGGATGTCTTTTCCCCATATTTTGAGTGATCGGCCTGCGATTTTACAGTATTCGTTAGCAATGCTCTGCCGTCTCTGCGGCACTCAAGTTACACAAGTATCCCTAGCATTGCTCGAGCCCTGGCAAAGAATTGTTGACTAGCTATTAACGCCTGTAGCATTTCTAGCATTTCTAGCATTAAGAATTCCAGCAGAAACGGCACATTGTTAGCACCTCACAATGTAATCGACGTCGGAGGAACTGTGTTAAATAATGAAGACGTTCAGAAAGACACTAGTTAGTATACCACTCCGTTTAGGCTCTGACATTGATAACTGGTAACACAAAAAGTGATTTTTTACCGATTGAAAGTAGGGACCAGAAGAAGTGAAACAGCTTTGCATGAGATATTCACTGCAACTTGCCCACTTCGCATGATCATACGCATACCTGGTTGCAGGATCAAGGGGGGTATATGAGAGAAAAGAAAGCAGAAACAGAACAGCAATGGGCGATCAAGGCTCAAGCCTTATAATACCCTCTCATGCCCACGAACAAGCCATGGATTACAAGTAATCTATCAGCCTGAGAAAGTAATATTGAGAAATCTTACTCACCAGAATGCATATCAAAAACATCATTTTCCCCCTCTCCCTCGCTGCCACCACCACGGCTCTGCCCGCCGCTCAACCCAACACCTTCACTCTCGTTGCAGTCAACCCCGGCTCAGACGTTGATGGCACTTCCTTGAACGCTGCCCAGAGAAGCATCTTCGCGGGGCTGGCTTCCCGGAATGCCGATTGTGCCCGCGCAGAGAAACAAGTCGCCACGTTCTACATCAAGGATGAGGCACTTTACCTCTATGGAAAGTCCGAGTCTCCACAAGAGCTTTATGTTGATCGTTCGGGAATGGGTAAGTCGGAAATTAAATCAGCTTGAACTAGGAAAGCTGGGCTAATGTCAAACAGGGCAAGGTAGACTTGGGTATACCACCGGTGCTGAACCTGACTCCAGGAACGCCGAGCGAGAGGGTTGGGCAATCGAAGGCGGGAATCTCCAGTTCTCAGGAAGTGATCTGATTGCTTGCCCGAAGAGCGTCGGTGATTCTTGGTCTATTTGGGTTTCTGCTGGTGTGTCCAACCCTGGTGGAAACAGTGACTGTGTTGGCATCACTGCTCGGGTTCAGGAGGCCCCGAATCCTAACGCATGTACCTACACTTCGTGAAGGGGCATGGTTGCCCGTTTGTGAATTGATATTTGCAAAAATGTAGAGGTTTCAGTCGAGAGTCTCTATCTGTCATCGGGTGGGCTCATCTCATCTTCTTCGGGCTCCGTTTTGAGGAAGTGCAAGATATTCAAGTTGAAATTCTACCTAGCCTCTTTCCAAGGTGAATCGAGATCGCATCGCTCCCGGGCTACGATACTACTTTGGGCTCATACCGATGATATATGTTGTATCGTCATCTCACAAAGAGCAGTCCAGCCCATGGTGTAGTTGAAAGTGTCTTGAACTACTAGAGATCTCACTGAGTCGATCGCATTGACCTCCAGGGCTGAATGTGTACACATCATATCCTAGGGCTCTTCCACGTTAACCCTCAACCCCGCAGAATGGCTTGTTCCGAGCCACGACCGAAGCTGCCACTCTCTTCATACGGAGGAAGCACCGCACTCTGAACACGAGCAGCACGAGTAGTCCTCAAAACACGTCCGGTAGCCGACACAGCCTCCGCCGCCAGACTGTGATAAGAGTGACCATCCCACGAAAACGAAGTCTCAAACCCATCACGCGCAGTCTCGCCCAAGAACGCGCGCGACCCGAATCGATCCGTGATCGCATAAAATCGCCAGATGGCGGTTTCTGTGTCCCCATTCCAGGAAACATATACAGTTGTGCCGGTGGAGGTCTTCTCGGCGACGATTGCCGGGTCTTCAGTTGGGAGACCGGTCCAGTTGTACCGGAAGGCGCGGTAGTTCTGGACGCCCTCGCCTAGCAGTCCTGAGTCCATGTAGGCGTGAAAGATTGGGGTGCCATCTGCGCGGAACTCGGTCACGGCGCCTTCGGAGCCCCAGTTCACGAGTGTGTTGCCGTTTGGAAGAAGCTGGGTGCTGCCTTGGGATTTGGCTAGGAGGCCATCTGGGGGTTGGAAGGCTTGGACAATTTCCGCGGTCCAGGTGGCTGTGTTGAGGGAGATGATCTTGCCTTGGGAGAAGGGGTGGGTGTGGACTTCCTTTCCTCGGTGATTCTCGGTTCCATGCGCAGAGTTGTCGAATAGGGAGATGATTTCTTCGGTATCGCTTTGCTGGACGAAACGGGCGTGGTGTTGGAAGCAGAACTTCACGTTGGGACCAAGCTCAAAGTCGGATCGAACACCACCAAGACGCCAGATGATCTCACCGGTTGTCCCGTTGATCTTGTGCACTGCACATGCATCACGCGCGGAGATCAGATAGTTGCCCGAGGCATCCTTGTCGACTGAGTTGATGTGGAAGTAGTCCCATGCGTCTGACGAGTTATAGCCCGCACCCGCTTGGCCGGGATTGAGAGGGAGAACCGCCTCTATAAGAGTGATCAACAATGAAACAGATACCCGTGGACAGGAAGGCAAAGAACAACTTACCATCGGGCGAAACGTGTTCCAGACTGGACCACTCAAACAGCAGCTCCCCAGTTTGGATATCCAGCTCTTTGGAGAATTAGCAAACTGCCCCAGAGCTGACGGGAAACAGCTTGACATACCTTGGAAGATGGCGTCCACAATCCACTGCTGCTCAGCACTGCCGCCAAAGCGAGAGAGATCCTTGGGGACAGGCTGATAGACCTGAAGCAGCGCAGTCTTCTCATCCACGACATGGAACTCATGCTTGTCCATGAGCTTGTGATTACCAGCCCGCAGCTCCCGAATAGTCTCATACTGCTGGTTCAAGATAGTCGCATGACCATGACCATGGCCATAGGCCGGATTATGATCACCCTCGAAGCTGAACAACACGTCCTGTCCATTCCATCGGGCCTTCTGGAAGTTGGCAGCCCAGATGGAGAAGTACGTATATCCAGACCAGACAAGCTCGCCATCATCCCGCACAATGTACGGGGCTTCCTGGCGGGGACCATGGAATTGGGGCTCTGCCCACTGGCCTGGGAACGGGGCTACAAAGAGGTAGCCTTGCTCGACGTCCTTGGTGGCCGGGATGGTGATGTTCAGACGGGGCGGAGCCAGATCAGTTCGGGACTTGAACTGCCAGTCTGCGACTGCGGGTTGCATCAGCGCCGAAGCGCAAGCGATGGCTTCAAGGAGCTTCATGGTGAGTACTGCACCGATCAGTATCCATGATGCGGGTCATTGGCAAGATTGGGTACATTAACCTTAGTCTAGTATTCTGCTCTGTGTCACTTTGACAATCATACTGATCCGAAATCGACATTACCCCTCCTATATACTCTCGGGATCGTGCAACAGGGCTGTCGTATGTCGTGCTTGGCTGGCGGGGGCGATGTTCCTCCCAATTACCCGATCGAGTGCCCGCTTCGGTAAAGTCTTGTCGTTAAGTTCGAGTCGAATATTCTCCGATTTCCTCTACTTTATGTCGCAATTTGGAGCCCGAGTATCAAAATGACACAGAACGAGCCTTTTGCAGTTGAACAGCATGTCCAGCCCAGCGAGGACCAGCCTCTTCTACCCTCGGAAGTAGTGAAGGAATGGAGTCCACCACCGGGATTTCTGTTAATTCAAATCGGTAAGTCGTCGCAAACCTTGAAGAATAACTAGGCTGATCAATTAGCGATCATGGCCAATGTCTTTCTCGGAGGCTTCGATGGCACAATCACTGCCTCCACATATGCAGTGATCAGCTCGGAGTTCAATGCCGCAAACACGGCTTCGTGGTTAACCACTTCGTATTTGATTACGAGCACAGCATTCCAGCCTCTCTATGGCCGATTCTCCGATCTGCTCGGTCGCCGATCGTGTTTCTTCACTGCAACCATCACCTTCATGGCCGGTTGTCTGGGTTGTGCCATCGCCCGTGATGTCGTCTTCTTGAACATCATGCGGGCTTTGACGGGCATCGGCGGAGGGGGGTTGATGACTATGGGTGAGTGTGGTCTGTAGTTCGACAAGATTCAATCGCTCATGCCTCTACCAGCTACCATCATCAATTCGGATCTGATTCCCTTCCGCCAGCGTGGAATGTACCAGGCGATCCAGAATGTCTCGTATGGATTCGGTGGCATCTGCGGAGCATCTTTCGGTGGCTCTATTGTCGACTCGATCGGATGGCGTTGGTGTTTCCTGCTCCAAGTCCCGATCTCCCTCTTTGCGTTGGGCATGGGCTATGTCGTCTTGAAATTCCCGGCTCGAAACACCGAGACAGCAGGTGATCAGCCACAGGGAATCTGGCAACAGATTGATGTTTGGGGCGCCCTCTTGTTGATTCTGGGTCTCTCTGCTCAGCTTGTCGGTCTGAGTCTCGGCGGCAACATTCTCCCCTGGAGCAACGTCTGGGTGATCACTCCGTTAGTCGGAAGTGTCATTCTGCTAGCGGTATTTGTTGCTGTCGAAGCAAAGACTTCGGCCGTCCCTTTGATCCCATTGAAGATGCTGCGTGGAACACTGCCTGTATCCACACAGATTGCCAATGTCTGTGTTGGAATGGCCGCTTATGCTGTGAGTAATTCAGCCCTGATCTCATTTGTATGACTAATGTGATATAGTACCTCTTCACTCTCCCTTTGATGTTTCAGGTCATTCTACTCGACTCACCCAGCAGAGCTGGGACTCGACTCGTGATCCCGTGTCTTGCTACGCCCTTGGGTGGCCTCATAGCCGGGATCGTCATGTCACGCTGGGGCAAACTAGCATACATTGTGCGCACCGGCGCGACCCTGATGTTTGTTGGCAACTTCCTGGTCATGCTGCTTCGTTTCAGCGATTCGGAGTGGAAGTACTTCGCCTTTGTCATTCCTGCAAACCTAGGTCAGGGGATGGTGTATCCGGGAATCCTGTTCACCTTCCTGGCAGCCTTCGAGCATGCCGGTAAGAAATGCGCCGTTTTGTCCGTCTCATATGTGAATGTGTGCTAACGACGTCGCCCAGACCATGCCGTATCCGCTTCAACCGTCTACCTCATCCGCTCTCTCGGAACCGTTTGGGGCGTCGCAGTCACCTCGACAATCATGCAGAACACATTGAACTCAGGCCTCGGGGAGGCCTTGAGTGGAATACCAGACAAATGGAAAGTACTACCTCTTCGGCTCTAATTGAATTTTGACCGAGGAATCATCGCTGACGCATACGTGCAACCCCCTAGGTAATTGATGAGATTCGTCACTCCGTCTCAGCCATTTATGACCTGCCTCCTGATGCGCAGATGGCTGCCCGATTGGTATACTACCGTGGCATTCGACTGTCCTTCATGGCCTCCGCGATCTTTGCTTTCATCGCGACCGTCGCTGCCCTTTTCACTCGTGGTAAGGGACTAGAGCGTGCTGGGGCCAAGTAGAATGCCCACGGGTAAAGATGGGCTCACTTGTTTCCAAGGTTTGCCAGAGCGCTTCCACCGGGGAATACTCGCTTGGTGAAGCGAGTGATGTCCCATGAAAGCGTGGTAAACCACAGGTTGAACCGACCTTGGCCATGTTGGGCGTGGCCGAGACAACCAATTAGATTGATCGAATGGTGATTACGCAGTACTAGGGGAGATCTTTAGATTCGGGTTGGTGGCAGCGGAAAAACAGATAGAAAACGAAAAACTTTGGGCTTTATGCAAACAATCTGACTCTCTCGAGCCCTGGAGACACATCTGGATGAAGCTACGCGGCAAATGACAATGTTCAGGAGTCTTTGCCCTTGTTGACATATACAACACTAAATATTCCATAATTATTTGTCCGCATCAAGCTCAGAGCGAGGCAGGTGGTAATAGAAGTCCTTTTCATTGAAATCAAGAATAAACAAATGGGTAGTCGGGTGGCGGAGATTGACTTGCATGAGCGACTCAACTCCAGTATGTGGTCCACGGGTGTCATCTTTGACTGCTCGGTCTGCTCAATTTGAAGCACGCCGAGACTTCACGAGTGTAGTCGATGTCTCCTTCACTTCAGTCCCGAGCATGAACTCGATGTTTTAGGCATCGACATGAGCGGCTCAATGAACGATGACTAAGGCCTCGTCAATGTTGGTAGCAAATGACTCAACGGGGAGTCCAGCATCGATCATCTCATCCCGGCACGAATTGTAGCTCAGCAAGTGATGAGAGGTCATGCACTGAGTCTCGTGCTCTGTGTTGGGTAGGTAGTAGTCTCCCTCTCAGAGAGTTCTCACTTCTCTTCCTCACTTCTCACTTCTCACTTCTGTCTTCTGGCGAATCATTCTCTGTTTTCTTCCCCTTGATAAGCAGCAGCTTCTCCAGCGGTGAAGGCCGTTGACTCCCAGCGCCTTAACGACAGCGGTGTATTGGTCTTCGAAATTGCCATCACCCTTGAGCAGAGGCTCGATAGGGTAGAGTTCGATAGATTCCCTAAAGGCAGACCAGTGTCCAGAGTTTCCCTGATTGATTCGTCCACAAAAAATGACATGGCACTAGACCAGTTGTCAGATGCATTGCGCTTAGGACGCGCGGGGGCGGCAGCATAATCTGGCAGGGTTGCAGCTAGATCCTGCTAGAAAGGAGAAGTAGGAGGATTCTCATAACCTGTTAGAGAAGCCACTGCTTATCCAGGGGAATGGAGAGTAGAGATTGATTCGCTAGAAGAAAGAAGAGAGAAGAGAGAAGAGAGGAGAGAACTGAGAATTGATATGAGAGAGAGAGAGAGAGAGAGAGAGCTACCCAACGGGCACAAGACTCATGGCCCATGACTTCTCGACAGCAATGCCAAGTTTGGCGCAGGAGGAATCCGATTTTGCAGGTCAATAATGCGGTGATCCAATACGCTTGGCTCAGCGCTCGGCTCTCAAGCTGCTCTCACCCAGTCTTGGAACTACAGTTGCTACTTGCTAAATCTCAAAATCTTGCTAAGGCATAACCAAATAATTTCATTCCAATTTTGGACAAAGACGATATTCCATGTCCCAATTTGAGCCCAGTCCATCACAACATGGACAAACTAATTGTCAACCCAACGCTATCCAAAGAATTAGTTGGTAGACAGGACCGCAACACTAAGGTTAGGAAGCTTGAAGCTGAATTCACCCTTCTTTCCAGCCTTGATGTGGGTGGTCTTGCTCTTGACAAGGTTGTCACCACCAACGGCATTCATGGTGAAGGGGTCAGGTGCAGTCAAGATGGTCAAGTCGGCCTTTGTGCCGCGTCCGACACCCTCGAAGGTTAGTGAGACTGGGACGTCAGCGGTGCTGTTGTACACTGCAGCCTTGAAGATGTGCGAGTTGGTCTTGCTGTTCAGACCTGTGGCGTAGTACAGGGGACCGAAGGAGTCGGGAGATTCGGAGGGCAGAGTGTTGGTCATGATGTTGTGGTTGAAGAGCTTTATCATAATTGGTGTTAGTGGTTGTTTTCCTGGGAATTGTCTTCTGATAGTGAACTTACGCTGTACAAATGGTAGCTGGTTGAGCGTGCTGTCTCATCGGGGTTGGAGTTGAAAGACAGGATTGTCGGGGACCACTGGTAGCTGTCCAGGTTCATCAAGAAGGGGGCCTGTCGTATGTTAGTGCTTGTGTGTTTGCATGGAATTCCACGGACTGACATAGGTAGTTCCGATGATCTTGTCGGCATTGCGCTCAGCACCCAGAAGCAGGACAGCCTCGGAGACGGTGCCAATCCACCATGGGTAGAGAGAGAAGTGGGTGTTAGACCAGTCAATGCCAGCACCTCCATTGTTGGGCTCAGTGGCGGCGATTTCGCCTTGCGGTGGGTTAGTCAATATTCTAATGAAGAGACGGGACAACTTACCAAGGAGGATGGGGTGGTCCTTCGAGTAGTTGTCAAACATGTTGAACTTGGTGATGAAGTTATCCGGGGTATCGTACAGATGCCAGTCGCCACCGGCACCTTCAGGGATAGTCATGTCGATAGTTGAAGCCAGCACCTGGATGTCAGGGTACTTGGCCTTGATGCCCTTGTAGAATGCCTCGAATCTGTACGCCTTGTACGACTCCAAGCCATTGCTGAGGTTGTCCTCATTTCCGACCTCGACGTATTTGATCTTCCAGGGCTCTGGGTGACCGACTTTGGCGCGCAAAGCACCATACTCAGTGTCCACGGATCCAGTCAGGAACTCAATCTCGTTGAGTGCGTCTTGCACGTAGAAGTCGAGTTCGGACTCGGGGACCACATCGCCATTCAGGGCAAGTCCGGCCCAGACACCAAGAACTAACACAATCAGGTTAGAGATGTCGTTCAAAGGATCAAAGATTCACTCACTGGGTTCCATGTTGAGATCATCACACCACTCCATGTATTCAACCAGGCCCAGACCAAGAGTTTCCTGGTATTGCCAGGTGGTTGCACGACCAGGGCGGTCCTTGAGAGGTCCAATGGTCTCGTTCCACTTCCATCGACCCGGGATAGTGTCACCCTCAAGGTTGTTACCACCAGGGAAGCGCAGGAAAGTCTGGGGCGGGTCAGCTTATGCTTTGGACATGTGGTCGATTACTTACGGGACCCATGTCCTTCATGGCCTGCATCAAGTCCTTGCGCATACCATTGGGACGGTCGTTCCAGGTAGGCGGGAACAGACTGATGAGGTTGAAGTCAAGCGAACCACTCGATGCTTTCTGTCTTGGGTCAGCGGCTGGACGCTCGGGTGAGCTTCATGGTCAAGTCTTACAGAGCCATCGAAGGTCAGTGAGAAGGTGTTCTTGGTATCGGAGCTCTTGGACTTCGGTGTAAGAGTGAAGCTGTGCTGCACCCAGGAGTCCGCCTTACTCTTCGAGGTGACCTTGGTGGAGGCCAAGACCTTACCACTAGGCGACAGGAGAGAGGCCGTGAAGGACCCGCTGTATTTGCCCTTCACGAAGAAGGATCCACTGTACTTCTGGGGTCGAACATCGATTCCCCAGAAGCCTGCATTGACAAGACCAGCGGTTCCACTTCCCTTGACATTGACAGAGGTAGGCAGCGCGGTGGACAGGGGATCAGTCAGGTTCTTGAGGGAAAGCGAAGAATCCCCGGCAGCAGTCCAGGCGTCCAGTGATGAAGGGAACTTTGAGCTACCCTGGAAAGCTCTGTTGCGAATCAGTTCAGCATAGAGACCTCCCTCACCGCAGTGGTTGATTTCCTACAGCTTCGTTAGCTTCATTCCTCACAGCCAGGACCTGACATACCTCTTCCATTGCGCCATATTGCAGACCAGACGTGGCATTACCGCCAGACTTTGCGACTGAGATTGTGACTGCCGCGCCGTAAGATGCCAGCAGTGGCAAAAGCAGATACTTGTGCAGCATCTTGCCGTATACAGTTCCGACTAGCTATGAGCTTGTCGATCCTATCCAAGATGCACAAAGCACATCTAAATGGCGCCCGTGGTAAATATTTATATGCACATAGCTCAGGCACCGGAAAGGGGCCCGCCGGCTAATTTCGCCAGCTCCGCATACCATCTCGATTCACGTGGATTTTCCGGGGTGAAGTCAGAGGGGACAGGGGTGAAGAGTTGATGCTCCGCTCTCAAGCGACGATGTCTACCGACAGCACGCAAATTACGGACGATCCACGCCCCGTTTGGGGAAATCTCCATGAGGAGTACATAAACTAGAGAGGGCCCCTCCAGGAAGCGACCATCCGGGGAATTATCGGGCCAGCTAGGGCAGACCTAATCATCTGTTCCTGGCGGGTCATGCAATACCGCAGCACCTGCATGATGTCAGGACAGTGCCGAAAGGAGTGAAAACCGTGCTTCATTTGCAGGTCTTCCGCTGATTTGAGATTGGGCGCCATGTCTGGGCGCCCTGTTCTTGGCCGCAGTTGAGGGGTAAATGCCACCCGCCATGGCCGGGAATGTGCGATCTGATTGACGGGTAATTCGCCGGGCTCCGCCAATCTTCTGGAGATGTCAAACATTAGCGTGCAGACTCGGGAATATCCTCAGTTGAGATGTCTGGCGGGGGTCCTTGGCTGCCTCATATATCAGGCATCAGTCTGGTTACTCTGGGCTTTCCTATTCACACGACAGGCTGGGAGACCTCCGGAGTTGGAGCATATATTTCTTCTAGAAATTGTAAAAGAGTGTAGTGACGCCTAGGATTGAAGTAAAAAGTGTATGGGTATATATTATTGCTATTTATTTTCCCGGGTAAACACCCGAGGGGACATCGCAGCGTAAACTAAGGGGCGTTGCGCGATAAAATTAAAAGTGCAGATTGAATATGTTCAGGGAACATAGAACATGGCAATGGGGTAATCAAGTTTCCAGAACTATCCCATCACCAGTCATCGTATTGAGGTGACTAACCTCTTAGAAGACGGTACCCTTGACCTGGTTAACCTTCTTGAGATCGATGTCGCGGATCATGATAGTCCAGGCAATAGCCAAGGCCATGATACCGAGACCGGCAGAGAGCATGCGCACCTCCGCGTAGCCATAGGCGTGCTGAATGGCCAGTCGCACCTCGCTGCCCATGGGGTAGCTGGTCTGGGTAGCGAGATCTTCGTAGATGTTCTCGAAGTTGTCCATGACTGACTCAGGGAGGTACATCTGCAATGCCTTGGGGAAGGTGTTTGTCCAGATGGCAGTGCAAATGGTGTAGCCGGCGGATCCACCGATCGTGCCGACGACGTTCAGCAGGCCGAGCGCAGCGGCAACGTGCTGGTGATCCACGGCAGCCAGGATGGCGATCTGCTCAACCAGGATGAAGATCGATCCTCCAATGGAAATGAAGATCTGGCACATGACCTGGTATCCAACAGTCATACCGGGCTTGCGGAAGTAGATCATCAGACCCTGGGCAAAGATGTACAGAGGGACGGAGATGTAGAGCAGCCACTTGAAGCGACCAGTTCGACTGATGATCCATCCAACGAGCAGAAGGAGAACACCGGAAACAACATCGAATGTGTTACTGACGTATCCGGCCTCGGCGATTGTCAAGTTGTTCACAACCTGGAGGAAAGAGGTGAAGTAGTTGTTCCAGCAGTAGTAAGACAGTTGGTAGGTAGCGTCCAAAAGACAGGCGCCAACAACCGTGCGGTCGGTGAGAATAGGGAAATTCAGCATCGGCACGGGAGCAACGAACTTCTCATAGATAGCGAAGATAAACAGCATGCAGAAGCCGACAACCAGCATGGCAATAATGTAGCCGGTACCCCAGCCATTGGGAGCCTCGGTGGCAATATCGAAAGGAAGCTCGAAGAGAACCAGTCCTGCGGTGAACAAGAACACTCCAAAAACTGAGTCAAAGTTAGCGGTCTATTCCAATCGAGGTAGAATAGTGGGGTGGAGGTCTGGTGGAAGACCTCTATAAGAGAGATGGAAAGAGGTCAATACTCACGATCAAATTGCAGAATCCAGTACCACACGCCCTGCAAAAAGGTACGACCACTCGGCTCCTTGATGCGATGACCTTGCTTCTCTGCCTTGCGGAGGGTCGATTTGAGAATGAAGTACAAAGGCGCCGCGACGATGGGGAAGATGATAGCCCAGCATCCGAGACCCCATCTCCAGCTGACCTGGTAGTAGAACTCATCGGCGACCTTGGGACCGGCAAAGGCAGTGATAATGTAAGGCGAGGAAGTGAAGGCGAATGCCAGGCCTCGGTTCTTCAGCTTGGACGCATCGGCGGTGATCACGTCGATGGAATACTCCATACCACTGAAGCCGATGTAGTAGAAGACCTAGGAGACGGACATGTGAGCGAACACACCAGTAACAAAGTGATGCATGAAGCGCTTACATATGCGGTACAGTAAATGGCAAAGCTGTCACACGCGGCCAACAGAATCAATCCCAGGGTTGCGAAGCAGGTCATCACCAGGAAACCCTCGGCACGACCCCAGGTATCCATGATCTTTCCGACGGGAATGTAGACTGCCGCAGAGAACGCGTCGGCCATAGCGGTCGGGACACCGGATAGAGAGTGGGCCGTGAAGGAACTGGAGATGTAGGGACTCAAGCTGGAGAACACCGAGGATTGGAAGGCATTGACGAAGTACAAGAACCAAATGCTAGTGGCGATGTTAATGACTGTGTGCAGTAGGCCTGGTTGAAGATACATACTTGATGAAGACAAAGGCCAAGGTCTTCTTGGACCAGGTCAAGGTGATGGCCTCGACGTCTCTCACACCATGCTGCAAATCTTCTGCGGGCAATTCCGGCTGGACTTCAGCGTCGGTGGTAGGCACTCCCTTGTTTTCCTCGGCTGCCACACCCTCCGCTGAAGGGGTGGATGCACTGGCAGCATCATCCGCCGCAAAGCGGTTGAGGACGGTTCGGGCTCTTCGGATCAACAGACGAACACCCATGATGAAAATGATATGCAGAGAGGACACAAAGTGAACGGTCCGGGCGTGCTGTGGCCCTTATATGTTCTATCGCGGTCTCGGAGCATCGGCTCGAAAAAATCAACCCCCAAACACCACGCGGTGCCATGAGACTAGCTGGAGACATTCTGAGCGGCCTCGGACGGTGATTTGCTGGCAAAAGCCGAGATGGAGACGAAATGGAGCAGTGCGAGTCGAGAGTCCACTTCCAAGAACAGACCTCGGACTAGTGTCCCAGTTGCAACCGCCACGAAAGCCACCAGGTCCACAAAAAGGAAGCGAGGCGAAGGGAGCAGATCTAATCAGATGTCGCGCTCATCTTATCGCCCCATAATAAGCCCCGAAGAAGACAAGCGTCGGCCATAAGTAAGCTTCGGGGTGGCCTGTTCAAGCTTCGCTTGGTTTAGCTTGGCCTCCTTGGCCTCCTTGGCTGAAGTGAATTTGCGGAAATTGCAGTCCACTTCTTAATCTGATCGCGTCGCTTAAGACAGTGGACGGAGTTATCTGATCCTAGAAGATATCGGATCAGCTCGGATCACCGGAATCTGATCTGGTCTGGATGGCTTCCAACGTTCATTGCTTCGGGAAATGATACTCGATCGTCGGCTGTCATGTTTTGCCGATTGATTGGGAGGAAAATTTCGTACTCGTACGGAGTAGGTTAAGTGCCCGAGATCGTCGGACGCCGTCCGTATTTCTAACGCCTTAATTACTCGCAGGCAGCGTACTCCGTAGAGCAATCTGATTTATAGATCGCTAACCGCGCCAAGTCTTCCACGTACGCATTCGTACTACTACTCTCTAACCCCATCGCGCTTCCTCCGAGTGGAGAAGCGGCCATGGCGAACGGTGGTCTAGGGCAATTGATTAAATTCCCACCGGCAAGCCTTTCCCATCTCCGAGATTTGTCCATGGGCCTCTCGGTTCCAACTGCAGGGATCGAGACTATATCAGCAGACATGAAAACTTTTACTGGTGCCTGGTGGGCGTCACAAATATTGACTAGTCCCCAGGTCTCCAGCGCGACCATCAGTGAAACTGAACTATCCAGATGCTGCTGACTGCTAAATGGAGTATGCAGATTTTGATTTTTCAAAATGCAATCATTCCAATGCAGTGCAAATTCCATGATCAAATGTCCGCCTTTGTAATGGGAGATACTTTCCCTTCGCTGCCCTTGGAGATGTCAACTAACGTAACTTCGTCGGTCGAGTTCTGTCGCTCAATCAACATGGCCTTGACCGCATCTTTGATCTCTTGAAGCAAGGGATCATTTTTCGGTTGGCGCCCAACGCTGAAAATCCCATACGCTTTGACTTTGGGATATCTCTGCCTTCTCTCAAGCATAACTTCTGACCGGCGGAATACCGTGAAATGGTATCTCAGAAATCTGCGCAATGTCCTGGCGACAAGATCAGTCACTAGATCCATGATGGAGAAAACAATTGCCTTCCAGGACTGGTTACTTACGTGGGTGTGGTGCAGTTATCCAAATGTGAAGTGTGAACACGAACGGACTCATGGTCGGCGCCAAAGTTTTCTCGATGAAAGCGCAGACACTCCCTCCCCAGAACAAGGGCTTCTTCGTGTCTCCCTTGATATTCCCGAAGGCAGGCTAGCCAGCCCATCATTCTGATTGTCTGAAGATGTTCGAGTCCCAGGGTGCGCTTGGTGACCTCGAGTCCTTCGGTGATCAATTTGTCGGCTTCGTCTAGCCGCCATTGATCCATGTATACCATACCCAGTGAAAGCATCAATGTAGCCGTGGCAGGGTCATCGGAGCCACGAACATTTCTTGAGATCTCCAATAGCTGCAAAGACAACTCCTCCCCGTCTGAGATACAGCCTTCCGAGGCATAAAACGTGGCCAAGCGTTCAAGGACATCCATTACTTGGGGTGAACCGGGGCTGAAGTTTCTGACAAAGTATGGAATGGCTATATTGTAACACTCTTTGGCCTTTGGTCCGTCGACGGCTGTTCGGTGCGCTGATGCCAACTGTAAGAGGACGCTGTTTGCTTCATAGCTGTCAGAGCCATTGATCCTGATGCGCTTTTCGAGAACCTGCTCCCATATCTTTATCGCCTTCTGGGGGCTCCCGCCGTGGTCGTAAGTGACGGCCAACATGCCAAGCGCGTGGAGGGCCCGGTCGCTATCAGGTCCAAGGTCCGCGCTGACAAGTTCAAGAGCTTCTCTGTAAAGCCTTCTTGCCTCTTTGGGTCTCCCATCGTAAATATGACAGGATCCCACTTTACAAAGAAGCTCAAACCTGGTACCAGAGGGTTTCCTATCCTTTGTCAGATTGACGATTCGAAGGGCGTGAGGAACAGCCGCTCTCCATAAAGCTCGATGTGTGTGGTCAATCTCAGGGAACAATCGTTCCACATGATGGAGAGCATATGATTGCCATTCTTGGAAAGAACCTCTCGAGCGCAGCCAGTTCCTTGTTGCAAGATGCACCAAGCGGTGCATATCCAGGCGAGTGCTTTCATTCCGCGTGCGCACAAAAGAATAGGAGCTGAGAACACCAATCGCTTTCTGCTGCTCCACAACCCCAATGGGAGGTAAAAGGGGGACAGGAATATCTTTCTCCTGTATGCAAGCCATGAAGTATAGATAGTTAGCCGCGTCTTGATTCTGGCGCTGGATTTGCTCAAAGGAGGAAAGCCAAGTGATGGCGACCGGATTGCGGATACTATTATATCGACCCTTGTCTTCAAAGTCCTCGCTCAAGAGGTCGATTTCACTCTGCTCTTGTCCATCCAGAAGATTCAAGTAAGACCTCAGCTCCATCTCATTCTGGTTGATGAATGACGCCGCCTGGACGATGGCCAAGGGTAGGAAAGCCAGCTGACTGAGGAGCTTTCGAGTACTTTCGGTGTCACGTAGAAGCTTCTTGTCAACCAGGTTGTTTCGTAACACCTCTCTGGCTTTTTGTTCATCCATCTCAGATATCTTGACGGTGTCGGTAGAAGCAATATGCTGGGCCACTTTGGTACTGCGGGTTGTGAAGACGATAGCACCGCGGTCACTGGTGGGAAGGCAATCCTCAAGTCCTCCGTTCCTGGAACTCTCAGAGCCGATCCACATGTCCAGCTCATCGGCATTATCGACTATCATTAGCCATCGCCTCATACCGGGCTTGCTAAGGTGCCTCTTCACCAGAATCCTGACGTCCTCGCTGCTGTCTGTGGTTTCAATTCCGAGTTGGTCTGCCAAGGCTTGGTATGCCTGTTGCAAACTTTCCATGTCAATCGCAGGAATCCAGAAGATGTCGCAGTCAGAATATAGCTCTCTTGCTTGATATGCCAATTCTAAAGCGACCTGGGTTTTCCCTGCGCCACCAAGACCGAAGAAGGCAACTCTTGTTGGGGATTTCCCACCATACAATCTTCTTTTTACTGCTCCCACGACTCCACAATCAACATATCTTGGGTTTCTGTCGAAGGGGACCGTCCAACAAGCTGAAGGCTCATTGACGAGAACTTGATCTGTATATCGCATGTTCTGCATGACCCGGAAATGCGCAAGCTGAGCATGATGCTCCTGACCTATTGTTAGCTTGATACTGACCGCGAACCTGGGGCAACGATGACTCACACGTATAATAAACTCCAAATCCTCATCTGCTTTTTCTGCTTTTGGTCAGCTTCATGGATAAATTCATAGGATCAATCCGCACCTTGTTTGTCTGAAAGATTCAGACTACAATCCCGCATCTGAGATTTCTGAACAGCTTGGTGAAGGTAATCGCAAGTCGCAAATTCAATAACACTTTGCTTGTCGAACTCTGCCATGTGCACGTTTTGCAACCCTTGGTCCACATTGAATCGAAAGCAATGTTTAGTTTCGACTTCATGGCTCCAACGAGCCATAAACCGACGGTTGATGCCTTCTGATTTAGTGGCCATTTTGACCAATGTCTTTGAAAGGAACTTGACGATATTATCGCTGATTGGTACCCGGTCTGGGCTGCCAGTCCCGACTGAAACAAAACATTTGACCAAAGGCTTCAGATCTCGGCTCTTCGTGCACCATATGTCGGCCGCTTCTTCTTCAACTTCCTCAATGGGGTTATTTGCACCAAATGCACCATCGACAAATTGCTGTTTCCCGATTGATACAGGATCAAAAAACTTCGTCGCAGCAGATGTGGCCAAGGCTGCCTCACAAATCGTCGCCGAGATTGTATCCTCATTTGGTACGGAGTAGCTGCGCAAGCGCATAGTCTGTGAGGTGTCTTTTGAGGTTGTGCAAACAAACACTTTTGTCGAGCGAGGTTTTCCATCATTCATCAAGTCTGTTGGGGAGAATCCAGCGCGTGTTATGACGGTCTCAATTGCTGTTTTCAACTTCTTGCTGTCATATTGGGATATGATATTTCCGGACCAGTCTACTGGCACGTTGCTGATCTTCTGGCTGAAGATTGATTCCATCAACTCCGTGTATGCCATTAGACACTGGTCCACGTCCAATTCTAATCTTCCCAGCATGATAGCAATCAGTCTGAAGACATTTGCCAGTTATGTTAGCCCCGCGAAAGCCGAATTACGGGTAAACATACGCACCCTCCAGTACTTGTTCCTCCAATCAAATCGAAAACATCACAGGGTTTAACAGGCGGATGGGTTCCACGTGCAGAGTTCAATTGATCCATAAGATCTCTCAATATGAGGAGACTCGAGAATCCTCTGACACCACCCCCATCCAAAGATAACAGACACAAGCCATTCGTGTTCAGTGGGCTAGGTCCAAATATATCTTCATCCGCCATCTTCGCGTCTATTCATGTATATTGACCTGCGAGAGTGTACTTAGATCAGCACCAACCTTGGAAACTCAACCAAATGACATAGGAAGAAAATTAAAAACTCTGGAATTTCCCCAGGCTCTCAGAGGCTCTTATATCTACTAGTTTGTTTCATTATATCGCCATGAGCTGTCATCTTAGCATACGACCTCGGGAGACAGCGCTTAGCCTGCAGAAGAGGGGATGACTGTTCGCCAATCAATTCGGCGAGGCTAGTAGATCCGTCTGGGCACCTAGAGCCCAAATGATGGACTCTTTGAATTTCTAGCGCTTGAATGTTCAAAGCCTGAGAATACTCCGTGTAGAATATGATCACCCGAAAAGGAGTGCAGTATTTGATCTTTCCCGGAGTTTCTTGTTGACCTCGAAACAAGATAGCTTGCCAACACGGAATCTTAGCATGGATGCAATGGCAACCCGTGGACACGCCCGAGGATTGATGCCAGATGCCCATTAGCATTTCTTCTCAGGCTGAGGCTGGAACCGGAATGGTCCATCCTGTTATCCGTACTATAGAGTCGACTGTTTTCGTGGCTCCATAGCACCCATGGATCATAGAGTAGAAATCAGCCATCGCCCTTCATTGGGTGTTGGGGTTCAGCCCCATCTACTCTGTGCCAGTACTACAGATTTGGGACATGTGCAGGTACCCCATAAAAAGTGATTTGCAATTCGGTGTACAGTATGAAGCGGGCCAAGGTAGAATGGGCAATTTTTGAGCTAGCTTATGTTATCGCATTCCAAAGTAAAAGCGCAGTATTGAAAATATCAAATCGAATTATGAATCGCGGTAGTTTGATTCGCAACGCTGGGAGGCGCATCGAGAAAATCCAACGCCAGCAAGAAGAAAGGTATCGTCGATGTCATGTATCGTGGAGCTTAGCACATCTCGCAGCACTCAATGCACTCAGCACAGCACTCGCAACCCTCCTCGCAGACGAAGCAACAACACAGAACGGCAAGACTGAAGGAAAATAAAAAGTTAGCGTGGGCTTCACGTTTCAACATATTTCGGACACTCACCAAGAGCCGAGACATCCCTTTCCTCCGCTGCTTGACTTATCGTTGTTGTTGTTCTGGGGCTGCTCTTGGTAGCCCATTTGCGGTGCCTGTTTAACAAATCAGCGAACCCGATCGCCCTAAAGGAGATACAATCCAAGCGTACCTGGTAGGGTGGTTGGAAGCCCTGGTTGGGGGGGTAGCCAGGACCCTGGGGTGGAGGGTAGTAGTTTCCAGGAGGGGGGCCTTGGGGATAGCCTTCCTGAGGAGGATAACCGCCTTGGTACCTAGATCGAGAATCATATCAGAATCGAGTTTGACATGTTGTCTGGCAAGAAAGCCGAGTAATGATCGAGTGACAGGAACCGCCGTCACCAAATCTGCCCAAGCCGATCGAACTCGACTGCCAGGCCGAAGCGACTTGATAACGGGTGTCGCTGCGTGGAGCAGGGTTTGTGTACGGGATCGGGATGCGACTTACGCCTGAGGAGGGGGCTGTTGGTACTGGTAGGACATGGTGGCGCTCGATGTTCTAGAAAAGCGAAAACGAATCAGCGACGCGATCACAACGCGACCAGCTAGATGATTTGGCGCCTGGGTGATATCGACAGGGCCAACCAAGGATGACCGCCACGGCGGTAAAAACCACGTACCTGGGAACGAAGGGATTGGTTGAGAAAAGGAGGCTGTAAAAAGCGACCGGGGTCAGAGAATGAAGATGGAAGTGGAGGTGAAATAAAGTCCTGAGGAGTGGTGAGATCAAAAAGAGGAGACGACTTACTTTTGTGAAGGCAGGAAATTGTCGGGGGTGACATTCAATGCCGGTCCGCCCGACCAGAGAGTTTGGTCGCCAAGAACACAGGGCTGAGGTACCATTCAAGTACCCTACTGTATGTATCTGCCCCTATCCCCCGTCCTGCGTGTTTCTCCACTCTTTCCAAGGTTGTATTGTTATTTACTTGATTGTTTATTTGTTGTTTTTACTGAGAGTCATTTTCAGATATTGAAGCCCATTCAGCAATATTGAATTCAAATGCTACAATACACGGAGATGATGCGGAGGTACACAGTACTCCTCCACAGCCACACTTCTCCCAGCCCTATTGCCGACTAACGCAGTCAGCCACATTTCTCATCCCTTAGACGCTTGCTGATTGGTCGGGGAGTCAGCCACTGACCCCGGAGGTCACGCAGGACTCCACTCTGCGCTGTGGTGGACCAATCACAACTCCCCAATGTTGCCGGAAAGTCTTGGCAACTGACCGCCCAGATTGCTGCTGCCTGCCCAGGTGCGTTGTGCAAAGGTATTGGGTACCTGACCCAGCGTACCATGGGCCCTGGCAATGCTTGTACCAGCTACACGCTACAGAATGCAGGCCATCTCGGAGGTATGATTCAAGATTAGTTCAAGCTTCTGACTGTCGATCTGTCTACCGAATATACACACCCCAGCACCATAACCATATTCACATACAAACATTCGCTATACACATTCCCGGAACAAACTACGATCGCTCACACATACGGAACCCGGACGAATACGACGACTGCGAATCCATCGAGAACGGCGAGTTCAGCGAAGGGTCCACCTCCACGTCCAACCCGATCTCGAAATCAAGCTCGAAGGGCGCATCAGGAAATTCAGGGAACTGGTCATGCTCGTCCAGCAGGGCAGACTCGACCACGTACGAATTGGCTTCTGGGACACCATACGAAGCGACCAGTCCCACGCCCGAATCGACGCTGGGCGCACTGCTCGCCGCCTGGATCTGAGTCGCCGTGGCCAGGGAGCCATCAGACGCTACCTCTTCGGTGGGCACCATCCAGTGCTTCAGCACGTCCATGGAAGGGGAGTTGCCTCCGCCTTTCCCGCCGCGCTTCTCGCTGTCCTTGCCGCGGCCTCCGCGGCCGCGCTGACAGGGGTTGAAATGCGTGCGGCGCAGGTGCGCGGCGGCGTTGTAGTTCGCGCCGTACCGCTTGCCGTTGCGACAGGCTTTGCAGTTGGCTAGGAAGCTCTTGTCGGGGGAGATGTCCACGCACACCCAGACGCGGCGGATGGAGGCGTGAACCCGCTCGATGTGTCGGCGCAGTTCGTGCTCGCCGTGGAACCCATCTGGCTGGTCGTTGCAGAGATGACAATAGGTCTTCTGGCGTGGAGGTCGCTGGATGGATGCTTTGGGGATCGCGGCAACTTCCTTGGCGGTGCCGTCTGTTGGGGAGATGCGGACAATCTTGTGCGGGTCGATGGAGTCCAGACTGGGCACCATGGGGTCGCTTTCGCGCTTGGGCGCAATGGGGCGGGCGCCGTGGGCGATCTGCTCTTTGGCGCGGCGCGAGGCGCGCGAGCGCAGAGTGGCGGAATTGTTGCTGTCGGTTGAGTCTGACACCTTCATTTCCACGGCGTCGAAGGGGAGGGCATGGGGCATGGGGTAACGGAAGGAGGTGGTTGCGGGGGCGGAGGTGGAGAATGAGGGGTGGGAGTAAGGGAGAGACATGGGGGGATCTAGGTCAGGATACACGGAAAGAAAGGGGCTTTGATATGGCAAGCCGGTGGACGTGGGCACCCATTCGGGTGGGATGGAGTCGGTCGGCTCTTGGGGCCCATTGGAGTCGAAGCGGAACATGTTGATTCCGCCAACCAAGGAGTCGGTGGTTCCGCTGCGAGACATCTCCGCTGCACCGGTGGGAGCCTGGTCGTTCCAGGGCGTCGGTCCAGGGTACTGCGGGTATGGCGAGGGTCCAGTCCGTCCATGATTCGCGAGTCCCGACGTCAAGGCCGAGTCATAGAGGGGTCGGGGGAAGTTCTCCAAATGGCGCGTGTACTCGGAGGGCGAATATTCGTCGACATGATCGAGGCGACGCTGGGTTTGGACCGGGCCAAAGGATTGCCGTTTCCCCATGGCGGCTCCGGCCGGTTGATGCCGATGGGAGACCGGGATCTGTTGGCTTTGGGAGCGCACCATCGGGGTGTGTCGATAGGAGCCGTGGCTCCCGGGGACGTCCGTCCGAGGGAGGTTGGGGGAGGATGCGTTCGAGAGACCGCGCATCAGGTCGACCGGGAGCTCCGGGGTCTGCCAATGGTCAATCCAAGGCCGGATGGCGGTCAGGACAGGAGACGAGCAGGGGGGCGGAAAAGAGATCAGCGGAAGCAAGTAACCAAGGTCACACATACGGTGGCTCTCCGTTTTGCCCGAGGGAGACCCGCGCCAGATGGCAGCGTGCGCGGAGTCGCGTCCTGTCGAGTCCGTTTCCCCAGGTTCCCAGCGGGCTTCCAGTCATTCCAGTCATTCCGGTCACGGGAGGGAATGAACTGGCTTAGCCGTTCGATCCAGAGTTGATTTCGTTCGGGTTCCGAGAGGTGGGAGTGTTGAACCAAAAATGCTTCGCGGTATCCGGAGATGGCACTGGTAAACAGCTCGTCATCGGCCAGATTGACAGTCATGGTGAGTCCCGCAGTCACTGCTAATCAGTCATTCAAATGGAGGGAGGGGGGTGTAGTGTCCTGCATCGTAGGTCAGCGCTGTTCGTAGTAGGGACCGTGTAGAACGTACGTGGGTGCGATAAGAGTTGAATGATCCCCGATGCGGGTGGGACACCGATCTTATCAAGTCGCACAAGATGGGAATCAGACAATGCTAGTCGCAAGTTGGGAGAGCAAGATTGGGCGAAGAAGGACAAAAGTTCTTTTGATCGACGTTGGATAGTGAGATACGAGGACACTTTAGCAGAAGGCTATACTCCTAGTCGATCATCGGTCTGGACCCCTTAGCCGTTCATAGTCATGTCCGAGTGTTTTCCCTGATCATTTTCATTAATTCTTCTATTAATTCTTCCATTAATGCTTCGAATACGGAGTATAGCTCCACTTGGTTTGACCCGTGTCAGAACCGCTAGTGTCAGAGCAGCAGGATCGAATCCCCCGTACAGTTCGGGTACGCGAGAATCCTACGTACCGTACGGGGTGGCCGTTCCGACGTCCTACGTCTCATCGTGAGGGAATCTGCAGACCAGACAATCGAGAATAAAAAACCAAAGTGAGGCAGCGAACCGGATCACCCCGAGACTGACCCGACGCAAAGACGGCCCTGCTTACGAATAGATGATCGACTACACACCCTGGGGTACAGCGTACATAAAGGTGTGGCTTTTCCCTCGGCGCCTACGGCGGGAGGGTGTACAAATAAATCTTCCCAAGCACAGCCATCGAAACGTTCCAAGCCCCAATGAGGGTCGAACTAAAGATCGCTCGGGCGCGTCCCCGGCTGCCACGTCGTTTGGTGTGGCCGGGGGCATGCAGATGACGATATTTGGCTCCGATGCCCAATGGCCGAGAGGCGAGAGAACCACATAGAAGCCAAGAAACAATCGTACGAAGCAGTGCTGCAAATATAGTACAAACAAGGATACATAGTACCGTGGACCAAAACCAAGGAACCAAGATGTCGCCCGGTTCCAAGATTGTGTTCCGTCGCGGTTCCATGGACTTCAATCTGTGGTCCAACGGTTGCGCTCAGGGCCAATCACCCAATTTGTAGTACATACTCCGTACTCCGTACTCCGTAGCTTCCAGGCTATTGAGGGATCTGCCTCCACGTGAGGACTATTAACACTAGCTCCATTGGGATCGAAATCTAAGAGTCTTGCCGTTTGGAGATGTGGGCGACTACTGACGTGACCGCTGTTTCAGTACGGTGTACTCCGTACTAGTTCGTACTCCGGGAAAATCTCGCTAACCTCGATTTCGTGGGTAATCTCGGGAGACAAACAGAAGTACGGACGGAGTACGGAGTACGACCAACGGCATTACGTCGATCTCTATTTCAGGGTTAGAGTTCAGTACCAAATGAGATCCTGCTCCATACTTCGTACTCACAGGCACGCTACAATACTCCGTACGGATCGTCGGAGCGTTGAAGACGAAAGCGGACTTTGCTGCTTTAGACGTGTCATTTGAAGGAACCCAAATCATGACTACCAAATGGGCGATTTCCTGTCGACGATCGTCTGCAATGTGACCTGGAGCTTCCGGTCACTTTCGACACGACATTCGCTCTCACCGTCTACCCGAACTCTGGTCCCCTGACTCGCTGGATGGAGCAAACTCTGCCTTTGCCCGGGCATACCACAGGCTCGACGCGAATGGAAACAATGGCTGGCTCGGCGGCCTATATCAAGACTGGGTTCTGAACGGTGGCTACTACACGGCTGAGACGCTGATAAGTTGGCCCCTGCATTAATGCTGGGAGGTGTTGACTGCGGCGGGAACTCTTGGATAGGATAGGTCATACGTGAGACAGCGAAGTGGTTGAGAATAAGCCACTGGAGATGATAGGTTCTAGGGCTCCCCGAATGTCATCAGGCAGGAGGTCATGTTTATGCACACTCCTAGAATAGGTAAGACGCATTGATAGCTATCCGAGGCTCTTGGGCCCTGAGCCTCAGCTGATGATGTCTATTCGGTACTGGGGGAAGCCTGAAGCCCTCAAGTGAAACCATACACTGCATCGTTTAACAATGTTCCGTGTGCTCTTTGCACGCCTGAACTGTACGTTGGCACTGAGATATAGGCCCTCCCCGGATTTTATCACACCCTCAAACGTGGCCTATTTGATTGCGCAGCTCGCGTGCCATGGAGAAGTAAATCAACTCTCCGACTGGCGAAATTCATGGATGGCGACTAACCTGGCTCGGATTGCAATACACTCTAAACTGCCGAGTCAGTGAACTGCAGCAACTCATAGCTTCAGGGCTCTATTTGTGAGACTAGAGAAAATGCATGCGAGCTCCATAGCCCGATTCTCAAACAGACTCTCAAACAGACGGCGAACGTCCATAATTGGATCACCTGGTCAATCAAGACTTGGTGCTATGGACTCTTTCATCTAGGTATTATGTGCTTTCAGGGTCTCATGGCTATTCTGACAAGGTCGTACTCTGTACTTCAGACGAGGTATATCCTTTGTCAACATGCCCCTTGTCTACGGGGTACTCCGTCAAGACCACTGGGCCATGACTTGAGGCTCTGGTCATTGATCACCCCGCAGCCAGGTTCAGAACGCATTCAGATGTCTCCGATCCATCTCCACAAGTTTTCTTTTCTTTTTTACCGACACAGCTGGCTTAATCCGTCTCTGCTAAGACAACCCAACCCATGCAGGTGGATATTCATTCTTAGCGATGAATGCACGTCTACTCCATACGGGGTCGGGTGTATGACATCTGGGCAGACATCAGGAACAAAGACCAGCTTGGGATAGCGTCCAGTGCACTTGGGCAGTCTGCCTTCCAATATCATCAAGTATAGACCTCGGGAGTGAACAATACCCAAATCGCAAGTACGAAGTGGGCTAAATATGCAGAGAAAACTAATCTATTCAAGAGCGATCTATATAATCTGCACCTCATGCATATATAGCATCTGAACCTTTCACTTTCGAGACAATATGAAACTGCTTGGATCGAGAGGCCGTGGACGAAATGACATAAAATCAACCCAATAAAAATCACGAGGAGCCCATTGACTCCCAAAACCGGGAATCCACCTGGGCATCACTGAATGTGTAGCTTTGGATTGACGTCAAGGTTGCCACGCCCATCGCTAGCAACCAAAGATGCGGTCAACAGGAGGCAAATAAATGCAAGTCACAGCCAACCTTGGAAAGGAGAGAGGTAGCATGGCTTGCAAGTACTTCGTACAGTATAGTAAAGACGATAGTCCACAGACCTCAGTGATGGTCAAAGGGGAACTCCACGTGATTCAAGCCACGTCATAAATGTCACAGGGGAAATTCGCTTTCCCCTAAATTATTTCCCCGACTCACATCGTTGAATTGAACCATGCCAGACTCTACGCTCTATCTGTATACCTCCCTGACAGCGGGGTCATCGCATATTGTCACCGCCACCGCTCGAATTGAAACCATCCTCAAAGCCAACAAGCTTCCCTTCCGCGCCATTGATGTCGCCACTGACGAAGCTGCCCGCAAGCTCTGGGGTCGTCGCTCCAGAGGCAAGAAGCTCCCTGGCCTAGTGAAATACGGTGATATCGTGGGCGTGCGTCACATCCCTAGATCCCTAGATCTACCCCGCATATTTTGTGCTTGGAAACGGGATCGCTAATTCTCCCCGCAGGACCTAGAGGAAGTTGAAGAATGGAACGAATTCGGTGAACTTCGAATGGTCATTAATGCCGTCCAAGATATGGGCGGCATGCCAGCCACAAGCAACCCTCTTCCTGCCGAGACCAAGACCGAGCCCCAAACGACCACCCCCAAGCCCTCTACAATCAAAATCCAAACCCCGCCCGCGACCAAGGATGAAGACAAGAAGGACGAGACGACGGTGCTAGCTCTGCGCCAGGCTAGTACCGAGGCCGCCTCCAAGGCGAAAGCCAAGGCCGATGATAAGAAGGAGCCCGCAAAGGAGGCTGCAAAGGACACCGAGGAGGTGCCTCTCGCCAGCCGTGCCCACCGCACTTCGGTCGCTTGCGAACTACCAGATACTGCGCCCGATTCCCCCAAGGCAGCGAAACGCCCGACTCTAGTGCCCGAGAACGCAGCCATGTCGTCTGCGAATTTCCACGTGGACAATGCTGAGATGCTCGGCTTGGTTGGCCATCACCGTGGGTCTCGAGTGCCGACTCTGGATAATCCGGATCAGGACGAGGCTGTCCACGAGTTGAGGAAATCCATCTCCCAAGATTCCACCACTGATCTTGATGCCATTCGCAAGGAAGCCGCACAGAAGGCGCAGGCTGGATCGCCCATTGAAGAAGTACCAACTCCTCTGGTGGATGATGCGGTTGTTCCCGAGAGCAAGGAAGAGCTCATGGAACCTAATGAGCCCAAGGGCCAGGCTATTGCGGAAATCATTGCCAAGGCCGTTCAGGAACCCCAGGAAGCGCAGGAGGAGATCAAGAAGACCCAGGAGGCTGTTGAAGCTAGCTCGCCAAAGGGTACGGGGGCGAAGGATGGTAAGGAAAACACAGACCCTCTTCAGGCGCAGATTCCCAAGTCAGCGGAATAGACTGGGAGATGCATTTTTTACGAATTCTATGATTACCCTGTACAAACAATGTATGTTTCTTACATATTGCTGAAACCCGTGAAACAATATGCCATAGCATTAAACTCCAATTGTGGACAGTAAACCACATATACATGCCGTTCATAACTCGTAATGAACAGTGAAAACGGATATCTCTCATAGCGAGGCGAAGACTCAAGACACCCCGACCCTTATTTTTGTGTTTGCCCTTTTTACAAGGACTCGGCAGTGCGACGCTTCTGGACTGCTTCACGCAGCTTCGCGATGACATCGGCAGGATCCTGGGCTCCAAAGACCGCGGATCCAGCGACAATCACGTTGGCACCCGCATCGGCAGCCTGATCGATTGTGCCGAGACCAAGACCTCCGTCAACTTCGATGTTCAGGTCGGGGTATCGTTCGCGGAGGGCGGCAACCTTGGGGAGCTCGGAGGCCATGAACTTCTGGCCTCCGAATCCGGGGTGTACGGTCATGACCAGGACCATCTGTGAGACTGCGATTAGTATTTCTGGTTTCGGGGAGATGTTGCGACAAGATAATGGAGTAGAGTGCGGAAGTGGGGGGAGAAGACTTACGTCTGGTCGCTCCGCTGGGTCTTCGCTCTCAATGATATCCCACAGCACATCGACGGGGGTATCGGGCTTGATCGCAATACCGGCCTGCATGCCCTCCTCGTGGATATACTTGATCAACTGCTTGGGGCTCGTGCGGGCCGTGGTTTCCTTGTCGGCGGGCTCGGTGGCGGCCACGGAGGAGACGGCAGCCTCGTAGTGGAAGCAGTATAAATCGCAACCGGCCTTCTTGAACTCACCGACCCATTTGTGCGGCTGGAGAAGCGACAGTTAGCGGGGGCTGCGACGCAGCGTGCGGATCACGAACCTCCATGATCATCATGTGGCAATCGAAAGTGCCGCGGCCGCAGGGCTCGGAGGGACGGTCGACACAACCACGAATCTGGGAGACCACCGGGCAGCCGATGGTCATGTTTGGCACGAAGTGGCCGTCCATGATGTCGACATGGAGCCAGTCGGCGCCCTGCTCAATCTTCTTGGAGCAGTCATGGCCCAGATTGGCGAAGTTGGCGCTGAGAATGGAGGGGGCAATGATCGCGGGGGGTGCCATGGTGTTGATGGAGGGGTATTAGAGAGGTGAAAGGAGAAAGCTGTTGACATCAGAGTGGCAAAGGGTGGATATCCCGGGTTCACCGTAAGACCCGATTATCTACTCCGTACACTATCTCGACTTCACTTTTTCTTCTTTCGCGCTCATCTTAGTTTGACTACTGCATGAGCAACTCAGAGCTCCAATCTGTCTGAGCAAACCTGTAGCATTGATGACACCCTTGCTTTCGGTAAACATCAACAGCCCAACCTGGCCATACCGGACTCTAAGCAGGTTTCGCCTACGGCGCATAGCTCTCCATATCACGGGTCTTGGCACCGTGATGCATGCATGATCGACGGCACAGGTTCTACACTCCGTACCATATTGCATGATTTCAGGATTCAACAATAGCAGGAAAGCAGATACCGCACTGTGTACTCCGTACCCCATCGTACTTTCACTGGCCGTTCGACTCAGTGAGGAAAAGCGGGCCATTCGGTCGCGGGGCACTCTGCTCCGGGTTGCCGCTGCAAACGGAGTATACAATGATGATTTGGGCCATTACTTTGGACTCAAAGGATATACAAACACGCTTACACGAAACTCAGGCCCAACACTTGTCTAATATACTCATGTAAGCTTCTCGCGGGGTTTCTATCACTAGCAGATTCAGAAGGCAGATTTAGGGCGAAACCTCAACGCCTGGTGAGCGACTCACGACGACACAAACGAATAATATTACAACTATGGAAGACTCGAGCATATCCATGTCTATCTCATTCTCTCGGACAATGTGGTACTGAGGTCTTGGTGAGTGTCAAATTCGACTAGTAGGTGCCGGCGAACTATAGCCGCATAGAAAGCCCTGTGGTTTACCTAGTTCAGTCGAGACTGTTTTCTCCCTTTGGCAAGAGTCCCTTTAGTAGCCCATTCAGCTAGATAATTTATCTGCTTGTCTATGGAGTCGTAGCTGTTGAGCTATAATCTTCCGCCCCATCAGCTCTACAGCTACCCGTGGACATAGACGGATATCAATGTGGCTACATCACTTGCTACCTCTGTTGTTGGCTCCAAAACTCGGAGTATTCTACATTCCAAGCGTGATATGAGATGGATGTATGAAACCCCCAACTGAACGCTCGGAGAACAGGCTACCTGACCCTCACAAGAACCATCGATACTCATACTTCGGCTCGCAAACCTCGGGCCAATCACGGCTGATCGCACAGGAATTGTAGCGATACTTCACCTCGGTTTGTATCTGGTGGGAAAATGGTAGATGATATAATTCAATGCCCCCGAGAGTTCCCAGATTGCGTCTTTGATGCCCTCAGAGCTATAATCAACTGTCACTCCCGTGGACTCATACCTCCGCGAACCAGAAAATCGGTATAGGCCGCGTTCCGTTTTCATGATTCTCACTGGAGCTCAGTCAATCACTATTCTGCCTGGGTCCAATGGGAGAACCCCCCGAGTCAATCTTGCACCAGACACCGGGGAACAGGCGCATCCCAGTTCCCAGGCACGCCAGCGACTCCAATCTCGGAGAATGAAATGCACGGTAGCAACTTTCCAAAGAGACTGATAGAAGACAAACGCGCTTTTTTGTTCTCCTCTTTATCTGAACCTCTGCCAGCACGTCACTTCAAAAAGGAACATTGTGTGGCCATCGAGGCTGCCGAGCCCGGCTCTGTCAATCAGTCCGATCTATCCACGCCCGAACGTGAGCTTCTTGGGGCTGTGTAACGTCCCAAGATATTGCTGTATACAATAGCTGTTATGCATCTGACTCGATGGTTACCCCCAGGGCCCAGATTCTGATCTCGAATGTTACCCTTGGAAGTAGATTGTCAGTATGGTAGAATGCTAAAAAGAAATTTGTGGTCGGCATGAACTCCACGAACTTGCGGTAGATACTTTGTACTTTCTCAAGTTCTGTTGTATACCTAGGTAGTTTTCTGGGCAAGGCTATGAGTATTCCAATGCAACACTTGAAGGTTGCGACGCATCTGATGGAGAGTGCATCCCTGGATTCAATCATGTTGGAAAATGGTAGATTTGAATTATGATTCCATCTTTGGAGAAGTTTGGCGCTCCAAATTGGAAATAAATGTGCCCAGGTCGCGATCAAAGCCCCAGTGTTTCTGTTAGAATATACAACCAGGTGAGGGGTGCAGGAAAGAGGAAAGCGATGTCTGAACGGCGCCAAGTCTACTAATGGAACTGTGACTCAACGGAGAAGGACAGTGCAATAAGAGAGAAATGAATACGCGCCTTTAGGGCTTGACCTGAATTTATCTCGGTATCTTTGCATGTAGTAGTCCGTCGTACCTAGGTAAGTCCCAATGTGACCTTCTATAATTACCTTTTAAATGCAGTATTTCCCCTCATCTGACCACTGCATTCATTCAATTAGTCTGCATTTCGCCTGCATCGAGTCGGACTGATGGCCAAGTTTGGCCGAGTTCTGTGGCATTTCACTGCAAAGGGCCGCTAATCGTGGCTAAAGATAGTAGCCCGGCGCCTACGCTCGGCCAATCATCCCCGCCTTCACACCACCACGCTCCTCCGCGCAGGTTCGTCACACCGTCGACGAACCTCATTCGCTCGCCAGTCCATTTTGGACGGTTTTGACTCGACGCTGGCTGGAATTTCGGACTTGGCTGTTCGCTCGACCGTGAAACCCCTGGGGCACAGCGACGCGCCCACGTCCCAACTGCCAATGAAATCCATGCTCACTGCCGTGCCGACCAGGTTGATTGGCTTAATTGTGCCTAATGCTGCAGTAGTCTCTGCACCGAAGTCACCCTGCCGTGAACAGGGATCGGCTGGTCATGGCACTGACGTCGAACGCGCCCAATCGACTATAAACCCTTTCCAACGGCCACAATTCCATGTCTAGCGTTCTTTACTTCGTTGACTTCATTCTCTTGTGGCGCACGTAGCTCTGGTAGCTTCTGTGCTGGTTTTCCTTTTTTGTCTTTTCCTATTGTCCACAAGCATTCCCTCGACCCCGTTGACCGGCGTCTACGTCCTTTCCTACTCGAGATACCCTTAGATACCCGACGAATCACAAATCCAACATCCAACAGTTGATCATGGCTGATGTACTTCGATCTTCGACTGCAAGATGTCCGCCCCTCCGGCAGGCCCGAGGGACGGTACTTAATACTATAATGGAGGATACACGCGAATCTCACTTCGCTCAGAGCCCCAAAGTCTCCCCTCCGCCCAAACGGACCACATTCAGCCCTCAGCTGAAGCTCAAGACCAGCGGGCTATCAGTACCAACGCATGCCCGTCTCGCCCGTCTAATGTCTCCGCTATCCGCCGGTACGACTTCATCATGTTCAGATACAGAATGGCAATCCCAGCTGCAAGGATACCCGGGATACGACGATATGTACGATGCCACCGATGACGACAGTATTGATGACAATGAGACCGAAATAAGCGATTCGTGCTTTTCCCCCGATACGCGGCCGTCAAGCCTGGTGACACCAATCACTAGGAACTCGGTGACGTCGACTGGAAGCCGGAAGCAATATCTGACACTGGAGATTCCCTCGCCCACGACATGGCCGTCGATGACAGGAACTCACAAGAGCTCACCAGTGCCCCCGACGCCTCCGCCTAAGATTCCAGTCTCCCCAGCAGCGTTGTCGATGCTCAGCCGCGCTGTACCGGCTTCATATGCACCCCCTTCCCTTGACGGAAGCATTTCGTCCGATCAAGAATCAATCATCAGTGCTCTGGCTACGCCGGACTCTCACTCTCTTCCCGACACCAACTGGGATGCGCATGACATTCATGTCCGCGCCAACCTGGACGGGAATGACAGTGATCTCGACAATGTGGATACCAGCTCTGATATCCAAACTGTGCCCATAGCCATCGAGAGCACAGAGCAGGACTGGCGCCATGTGCTGGGGAGTTTCCCTCAAATCCCCACAGCTGCACGACCTTACTCCCCCTCGCCCGAGCCCTCACTCCATCTCAGTGATGAGCCAATCCATGAGTATGATGATTTATACGATGCTCCGGAGCCCGTAGATCGAGGCGTCTATCTGCCTGACTCGGCTCTGGCCATGTTGCATCATATTCAACTGGATGGAACCCCCGACTCGTGGTCGGAGACCTCGGAGGGAAATGGCGAGATGTGGCAGCTTCAAGCGCCCCCAAGTCGCCCAAAGAGTGCTGACGGTGTGACTCCTGCTTCGGAGCTGTCTGGTTACAGCTTCAGTGACCTCAGCATTCCATCGCCTGGTGGCTTCTTTGCCTCGCTTGCTCCCCGTACTCGCCACACCTGGTCCATCCCCAACGCGAATCACCCACCATCATCCGCAGCCGCAGAGGGTTTCTACAACCTGCCATGGCGCCGCGATGAAGGAGAGATCGTCGAGCAGGTGGTTGAATGGCCCCAGCGCCCAGTTGATGAGGACCCGGTTACAGCTGTCCGCGACGAAGAAGGCCCTCTTACCGCCATTCGTCTGTGCGAGACCCCAACTCGTCGGTCAATCTATCAAGACAGCCCGATGAGCGCTGCATTTGATGCTGTTCAGGTACAGGAGATCCCCCGTTCTGGAAACGGTTACGAGTACGACGAGTGCTACGATCAAGAGCTACAACACCGGGCCGTCGCAAGCCATGACCGCACCAGTGTCTGGCTCGCTGCGCAAGCTTCTTACCTCTCTGCGCTCAATGAAACCAACCCGGTGAATGACGTCGAGCCTATTGAGACATCTGAGCCAGAGGTGACCGAGCCCGAGCCTCAAGATGCTACAGAGACTTCCAAAAAGGTGGTCCGGTTCGCTGAAGGCATCCCCGAAGCTGCCAGTCCTCTGCCGCCCATCCTTGCTAGCATGGATTCAATTTACTGGCAGGGCTTCCAGTCTCTTCGGGAGCGCTCTAGCAAGACCGACGGGTTCATGCACCGTAACATGCGGTATGACGCGGTCCAATCCATGCGCCTTGGTATGAGCAACCTTCACATAAACTGTCTGCTTGGCAAGTATGAGCTTGTTCGTCCAGAGCGTCCTGCATACAAGGGCCCATTTGCCAAAGCTCCTCGCAACTCCGTGATCACATTGGAACTGGCCGAAAAGGCTCAATTTGCCAAGCTAGAGAAAGAGCAGCTGGTCCTCGCTCAACTCTGCCAGCCTATGTGGGCCATGGATGCCCTCCGATCGCTCAATGGCGGCAAGCTACTTACCAGTCCCGCCCAGCGAATCCTTGCTCGCACAACCCGCAAGCCCAGCCTGACCCAAGGACCCCACAAGCGCAGCTTCCGGGTCTTGGATCTCGGTGGTCACACCTCATGTGACTGGGCATGGCAAGTGGCCCATGAGTTCCCGAATGTCAAGGTTTACACCGTTGCTCTTAAGGGCCAGGTCGTCAACAGTGCCATCAAGGGCCCGCCCAATCATCGCCAAGTGACCGTCGACTCCCTCTGGGAACTGCCTTTCGGCAAGAACCAATTCGACGTCATTTCAGCGCGCTCGTTGCACGCCCTCCTCAAGACTGAGCGTCCTATTGGCCGGGATCGCGATGAGTACGACCTGGTTCTGAAGGAATGCATGCGTTGCCTGAAGCCCGGTGGCTATCTTGAATTCCAAGTCCTCGACGCGGAGATCTCCCGCGGAGGACCATCCGCCACTGCCACCTCTGTCGAGTTTGCCTTTAGCCTGCGCACTCGCGGCTATGATCCTGTCGCCTCGAAGAGCTTCCTCACTCGTCTCCGCCACGCTGGCTTTGGCGAGACACAACGGGGCTGGATGTTCCTTCCCATGGGCACAGAGCCCGTTGAGCAAGAGCCGCCTCGCGAGACTCCAGCTCCGCGGGTGCAGAGCCAGATTGAGGATTACGAGGCTGTCCACGGGCCGGTTGGTAGCACTGCGGACATTGCCAGCATGACTGGTCTGATTGGTGGGTGGATGTGGGAGCAGTGGTTGCTGAAGCTGAGGATGGAGATGGGGCGCGAGAGGCCCATGTTGCTGGAGGGAGTTGGTGCGTTGTTTGACGAGGGGAGGAAGAGTGGGGCGGGCTGGACCTGTTTGTCTGGATGGGCTATGAAGCCGAAGCGTCACAGTGTTCGTTCTTCGGCTTCCCTCTAAGACTATCTTACTATATTTTAGGGCCCTGGTGGCTGTCAATTAATGTAATACTCGGTTCGATCATCTTTCGAAAAACAGCAAAGAAAAAGGGAAAAAAAAAACAGAAAAAAGAAAAAGAAATCACCTGTTCATGCAGGCTCAATGAGATTATTTTGCTGGACGTAGTCATAGAATCTTAGTGTAAGGGGAGTACCTAGGTATTCTCCGGGGCTACCTACCTACCTATGTATGTAGGTAGGTAGTAAGGTGAGTTCAGTCACAGCCAACATCGGAACAGCCAGGGCTAACCCACATCTCGAAATGCTAGCCGGGGTACATCAATTGACGCATGGAGTATGGGTTGCACATTACCCAATTCAGACTTCGCCCGCATGCCAGTGGAAAACTCGGAGAGTATTCTCGGGCTTGGTAATGACCAGTGCCGATCTGCAAGCTTTCTTCCTTTTTGCACCTCACTCTCGGTAAACACCCGAGTCTCACGGCCAACACGGCGTGCACAAGTCCCGAAAGAACCTTGGAATGAGCAGGGCCTCTGCTCAACGGCATTTGGCTGAGAATTCTCGCTGTCCCACCAGTGGCGCCACCGGTAGGCGATCATTGCCAGGTTCAGGCCACGGCCTCGGGGTTTTCTATCCTTGGCCGACTGACGGGAAATGGCCGAGATGTGGGATGCCGGTGTATCAACATCGTCATTGAAAGCGTGGGGTTCCCCGTGGAGTCCCGGATATGAGGGGATTACGGGGGTTTAGCCGATGTTATGCCGGCACAGGGTTCCACTGGAAACGTCAGGGGAAATACAGCAAGGAAGATGAATGCGAATGCAGAACAGAACTCAATAGCAGTTACTGTTACTGCTGCTCGGCATACCGATGTTGAGCTCCCGAGACGGTGAATATCACAACGATGGGAATGTCCACTGATCCGGGTTCCGTCTCGCAATGCCGATGCTCTCCGAGAAACTCTAGTCGCTCCACTTAGGCTGAAGCATCTCGAGACGAGCCTTGATTCATTCCCAACGAGTGGACCCCTTGCATTGACCAAAGCGTCTCCTAGTCCCCAGAGTTGCATCCGGGGTGAACCAAGCAGTGACCAGGGAGGGTTTTAAAGTCGAATATATAAGAAGCAGGGGTTCTCGGAGTGTTGGTGTAGAAAATCGGCATCTTTTTCTTGCTTTGTTTGGTCTTAGAGCTTTTCCAGAGACCCGCCATGTTGTCACAAGCTTTCTTGGGAGCTTGGCTACTCTTGGCTGCTCCATCACTGGCTACGGATACCTGCAAGGCCCCCATCAACCATCCCGGGGAGCCCTTTAGCTATGTCCAGCCTCGGAATACTACAATCCTCACTCCTTACGGCGACTCGCCGGCCGTTCTTCCTTCACGTAAGTGGCTTCCCACGACTCATGAGCTTTTGAATCTGACATAACTTAGCGAACATCACCGGCAATGGTGGCTGGGAGGACGCACTGAAAAAGGCAAAGAAGTTTGTGAATCAACTGACCCTGGAAGAGAAGTCATGGATGGCTACAGGCCAACCCGGCCCCTGTGTCGGCAACGTACTTCCCATCCCTCGTCTCAACTTCACTGGTCTCTGTCTCCAGAATGGACCCCAGTGTGTGCAGCAGGGAGACTATTCCAGTGTGTTCATCAGCAGTGTCTCTGCTGCGGCAAGCTGGGATCGTCAATTGCTGTACGATCGAGCACATGCAATGGCCGAAGAACACAAAGCAAAGGGTACCCATGTCATCTTGGGTCCCATCGGAGGACCTCTGGGCCGCAGTCCCTATGATGGTCGTACCTGGGAGGGTTTTGCTGCTGATCCCTATCTGACCGGTGTCTGTATGGAGGAGACTATCAACGGTATGCAAGATGCCGGTGTTCAGGCGAATGCAAAGCACTTCATTGCCAACGAGCAGGAGACTCAGCGCAACCCAACCTATGCGCCGGATGCGAACGCGACCACATATATCCAGGACTCTGTCTCTGCGAACATCAACGATCGCACACTGCATGAGATTTATATGTGGCCCTTTGCAAATGCCGTCCGTGCTAATGTGGCTAGTGCCATGTGCTCATACAACCGTCTGAATGGCTCGCACTCGTGCCAGAACTCCTACCTTTTGAACCACCTTCTCAAGGGTGAGCTTGGCTTCCAGGGCTATGTCATGTCGGATTGGGGTGCCACTCACAGTGGTGTTTCGTCGGTCGAAAGTGGTATGGATATGACTATGCCTGGAGGTTTCACCTTGTACGGCGAGCTTTGGACCGAGGGTTCATACCTCGGAAAGAACCTGACCAGAGCCGTGAAGAATGGTACCGTTGAGATGACCCGCCTCGATGATATGATCGCACGTATCATGACGCCCTACTTCTGGCTCGGTCAGGAGAAGAACTACCCTAGTGTCGATGCTTCTGTTGGCCCGCTCAACGTGGACTCGGCACCTGACACTTGGCTCTACGATTGGCAATTCACCGGCGAGACGAGCCGTGATGTCCGGGCCAACCATAGTGCCATGATCCGTGAGCATGGAGCTTCCTCTACCGTGCTATTGAAGAACGAGCGTAATGCACTGCCACTTCGCAAGCCTCGCAACATCGTGATTGCTGGTAATGACGCTGGACCTCTGACTCAGGGTCCCAATCTCCAGGCAGACTTCGAATATGGTCATTTGGCGGGTTCTTCCGGTTCTGGCTCCTGCAGATTCTCCTTCTTGTCGACGCCTCTCGACGCCATCAATGCCCGGGCTCGCAAGGATGGCTCCCTTGTTCAGTCATACTTGAACAACACCTTGCTCACTACTTCTGCTCTCACTTCGCCTCTGTGGATTCCTCAGCAGCCTGACGTCTGTCTTGTCTTCTTGAAGTCCTTCGCAGCGGAAGGTGAAGACCGAACTTCTCTGGACCTGGATTGGAATGGCAATGCTGTTGTTGAGGCTGTTGCTAGCCACTGTAACAACACCGTGGTCATCACCAACTCCGGTGGTGTGAATGTGATGCCATTTGCGGATCACCCCAATGTCACAGCAATCCTGGCTCAGCATTACGCTGGAGAGGAGTCTGGCAATGCCATCGCTGATGTTCTCTATGGTGACGTTAACCCATCAGGCAAGCTGCCTTACGTGATTGCATACAATGAGTCCGATTACAACGCACCTTTGACGACTGGTGTAGAGACCAATGGTACTTTTGATTGGCAGAGTTGGTTCGATGAGGAACTGGAAGTCGGCTACCGGTACTTCGATGCCCACAACATCTCTGTTCGGTATGAGTTTGGCTTCGGTCTGAGCTACACGACCTACGGTCTCAAAGATCTCAAGGCAAAGAGCTCTGCTCCATCCAATTTGACCGCTCTTCCGGCGAAACGGGCAACCCAACCCGGTGGCAACCCTGCCCTCTGGGAGACTGTGTACACTCTGGAGGCGGAGGTTTCCAACACAGGGGACATCGATGGATATGCAGTCCCCCAGTTGTACCTGGAGTTCCCCACTTCTACCCCGGCTGGCACTCCCCCAAGCCAACTCCGTGGGTTTGACAAGATCTGGCTCACCGCTGGAGAAAAGCAAACCGTGACTTTTGACTTGATGCGCCGAGATGTCAGCTACTGGGATGTTGTTGCCCAGGACTGGCGTATTCCTTCTGGTTCTTTCACCTTCAAAGCCGGGTTCAGCAGCCGCGATTTCCATGCGAATGCTACCGCGACGCTGATCAAGGCATGATGGGCTCTTCCACAGTTGCCACGAGTATTTAGTTTGCGATGTCGAGACGATCTGTAAATAGAATAAATGAAATGAACATGGTTTTATGCAATGAAGAAACTCCAGGTAGACCCGTGGACTTGAGTAGAGACGATTTCCATCCTCGAAACCTTGAAGGTTTAATGGGTGTAGTTGAGAAAAATAAGATATATATCCACAGCATTAGAGGACTGCTTCCATGTGGATCGGGGATGAGGAGTTAGATTTGAGGTGAAAAGCCAGGATCAGGTGGAATCGGGATGTCCAAAGAATGGGAACGGGTGTTTTCCCGTCGAACTTCGATCCCTGTTTCTTTTCTGATCTCCAAGTATCTGGTAGAAACGCAGTCTACATCGACGAGACAGTAGACCTGGATTCACGTGACTCCTCACCTCCGGCTTCTTCTGCGCATCACTATCGCTCCCCCTCCAAGCTCAAGCTCTCCCATCCAACGCAACCATGCTTTTCTTCAGGTGTGCTATTGTACCGGAAATCAGGACATACACAAGCTAACTCTCTGGCAGTTTCTTCAAGACCTTGACCAACCAGACGGTCACCATTGAGCTTAAGAACGATATTCGCATTCGAGGCACCCTCAAGTCTGTCGATCAATACCTCAACATTAAGCTCGATGACATCGAAGTGCTGGACCTCGTCAAATACCCTCACTTGTCGTCAGTGAAGAACATGTTCATCCGTGGCAGCGTAGTGCGGTATGTCATGCTGCCGCGGTCGGAAGTGGATGTTGGCTTGCTGGAAGATGCCACACGGCGAGGTGAGTTGCGCATTATGTCTCTCCCCTGACAAGTCATACTCCGAGCATGACTCTACCACCTTGAACAATCCTGTCAATTTCCGACCGTACAGTTGACCAGGTCACTAATCCGTTTTCTTGACACAGAGGCTGCCAACCAGGCTGGCAAGGCCCGGTAAACGAATCATACTTCGAATTTACGAAATACCACGCATTGAGCTCTTCATTACTGCTGATTCCACTGGGTTATCCCAGAAAATATGAAATGATATGACCGAGAGCATCGGGCTTTAATGCGGACTCCCCGCGGTGGTCTCATCCAAAGCCGGAGGGGAATGCTATTATGCCGAGGGCAATTGTCACCCTCTCAATGCCACCGGAGTATGATAATACTACGACGGCCATCTGGAGTGGCCAGCCAGTCCTGCCTGTCGCTCATACATTAAAGCGAATGGTTATCACCTTTGGCTCGGGCACTTCGAACCCGTTGATGACGCCAATACCTTAGACCCCGTCCTTTGCAATAATGACTAGAATCAGCCTTTTTTTTTCATCCACTACATGGCCAGCATAACTGGGAGTTTCATGTAACGACTCGGGCGTCAAATGTAGTAATAGTAGCACGTGACTTCGTGTCGCGCCGGTTTTCGCGCCTCTCGACATTTTAGACATCTCAGACTCCACATGTTGTACATTTTGTTTCAATTCGTTTCGGCGAGGCTATACATATTTTGATCATTCGCCTGTCCTATTTCAATCCAAGCCCCTTAGCGAGACGAACCAGACCCATCGATCCCGATCTTCCAGATTCGCCTGTCATGGCAGGACCGGCTGCGAAAAAGGCGACTACACCAGCTAAAATGTCATCGGGGACGAAGAATTCGTCTACCAAGAAAAACACAAGCATCTTGAGCTTCTTTCAAAAGACAGACACGCCACCAGGTGCCAGTTCTCGCCAGCCTCGGATCACTCATTTTGGAAATCCCGCTTCACGATCGCCGAGCAGTGGCAGAGGTACGCCAATAACCAAACGAGGAATTGCATCGGCAAATGATGCGAGTGGAGATCTGTTTCTCGAGGATAAAAAGGGCCTGGCGAAGCTCCACGCAGCGACAGAAGGGAGAACAAAATCCCGATCACCAACGCCTGACATTTGGGGCGATGACGAAGAACTTGTGAAGGCAGAAGATGATAGAGGAACTGGGAGCGGATCAGCGGCCAAGCGACGAAAGGTTGACACCCAAAGTACCACAACCGTTGAAGACGAGAAACCAGGCACCGAACCAGTCAGCAGCAAACCGCTTGCGCCAGCGAAGGCACAGAAACGAAGTGGACCTTTCATCGACGATTCCGACAGTGAAGATGATATGGAAGGCTTCCAGGATAATCAAGAGACCGCACCCGCCACAAACCCGCTTGCATCCACGAAGGCACGGAAACAAAGTGGGCCTTTCATCGACGAGTCAGACGGTGATGACGATATGGAAGCTTTCCAGGGCATCGAAGAGACCGCGCCTACTACAACCAACGTTACTGCCGACGAGTCTTCACCATCAGACGACACCGTGGGCGCAAAGAACCCTCCCGAGTCTATACCTCCGCCATTGGTAAGAGCCGCCACAAGTAATGCCGATATTGAAGAATACGCGAATTTTGACGATCTAGAAGAAGAAGACGAGCTTATAGCGGAGGAACTTCGAAACCGGCCGTGGGAGGCCGAAGAGCAAGATCAATATATCGACATGGATATAGATCCAGATAACGATGGCAACGACTGTTCGGGGGTAGAGGACCCTGTTGGGGAGGAAGTGAGCACATGTCCGATTTGCCAAAGAGCATTGAAGGGTCTAAACGAAACCGTGAGTCTCCAGTACGACTTGACTGCCTGCTTGAATGCTTACGTTCAACCCAGGAGATTGCTGTCCACGTCAATGACTGTTTGGATGGAAAGGTCAGCACGGCCACGACCACACCAACACCAGCGTCCAACCCAACCACGACGACCATTTCGATGCCCGAAGATACTAATAAGGGGCTTACACGCGCCGACAGAGCTGCCATTGCTCGACCTGCGCAACGGGATCCATACGCGCAACCCAAGCCCAATGGAAAATCTGCATTTTCCCAAATGATGGCAGGGAATGCAGAAGATACGGCCTGGAATACCGCAGCAGCTAACGAAGTTTCTTCGCGCGGGAAACAAGCGTACCAAAGGACATGCCCATTCTACAAGATTCTCCCTGGATTTTCAATCTGTGTCGATGCCTTTCGCTATGGGGCCGTGGAAGGATGCAACGCCTATTTCCTCAGCCATTTCCATAGTGATCACTACATCGGGCTAAGCAAATCCTGGCGCCATGGGCCTATTTACTGCAGTCGGCCCACCGCCAATCTGGTCCGCCAGCAGCTTCGGGTTGATCCTAAATGGGTGGTCGATCTCGATTTTGAGTCGACCTGCGAGGTCCCAGGGACAGGGGGTGTGCAGGTCACAATGCTTCACGCAAATCATTGCCCTGGGAGCTCCCTCTTTCTTTTCGAGAAGAGCTTTGGGTCTGGGCCCAATGCTCGCCAGCAGCGGGTCCTCCATTGTGGTGACTTCCGTGCGTCTCCTGCTCAGGTGCAACATCCACTTCTGCGTCCCGACGTGACAAATCCTGTTACTGGCAAGCCGAGGCAACAGCATATCAACACGTGTTACCTTGACACTACCTATCTGAATCCTAAGTACGGATTTCCATACCAAGAGGACGTGATCGCAGCGAGCGCAGAGCTCTGTGTACGCCTGAACCAGGAAGCTGGCATCGGGATTGATACCAAGAATGGCGGGGGTGGTTTGATGAGCAAATTCCTTTCTACGAAAACACCAGAAAGCAAACCGCCAGGCGATGCTCCGCAGATTGGCGGTCGACTGCTCGTTGTGATTGGCACATACAGCATTGGTAAAGAGCGCATCTGTATGGGGATTGCGCGAGCCCTTGGATCGAAGATTTTCGCGACCCCACCCAAGCAGCGAATCTGTGCCTGTTTGGAGGATCCAGAACTCACTGCGATGCTCACCACGAACCCGCATGAAGCGCAGGTCCATATGCAAACGCTCTTTGAGATCCGCGCTGACACCCTGGCCGAGTATCTCGATGGCCTCAAGCCGCACTTTTCCAGAGTCGTCGGATTCCGCCCGACGGGCTGGACGTACCGACCGCCCACGGGACGGGTCTTACAAAATCCTCCCGTGTCCACCGTGCTACATGGCGACAATTGGAAAAGCCCATTCACAGTCCACGACCTTACCCCACAGCGCGGGAGCACCAAGGAGAGTGCCTGTTACGGTGTGCCCTACAGTGAGCACAGTTCATTCCGCGAACTGACCATGTTTTGCTGTGCCTTGCGGATTGGGCGGGTCATTCCGACCGTCAATGTTGGGTCCCAGAAGAGCCGAGACCAGATGAAGGTTTGGATGGAGCGGTGGGAGGTGGAAAAGAAGAAGAATGGCCTGTTTCCCGTCACCGGGGATCGATGGCGATGATTTGTATACTCCGTACTGGTACGATTTTTACGTATGATTCCGACTTTGGCATTTGAAATCCAGCGATCGCATCCTTCTCAGGGGCGTTAATTTCGGGGTCTGTGGTGTGAATGTTCGCTCTCGCTTTTCCACACTGTTACTCCTCCCTCTTGCATACTGACAAATTTCCTGGGGATCTGTTTGGCCTAGGACCGTTTCAGGCACAGACTTAACCTCACTGCTAGCCGACAATCTTGTAGATCGTTGGGAATTTTTCCAAAAAATCCCAGCCTAATCGGTGTCGCACGCTAACAATGTACTTGTCAGGGGTCGGCTGTCTCACCGAACAATGACTTGTGTCTCATCCGATTCCAAATTGCCGAGCCACGAGGTGTTTCACGCCAAACTAGACGTCTCCGTTCTCCCTCACCTTATACCACATTATTGTATAGGCCCTCCCTACCTCTCTATACTAGTACTACTGTACTGTCGCATTTCGGTGCGTATTCAAAATCCGGATCCCGTGTGCGATGGATTCTTATTTTTAGGGCTCTGGCGAAGTGGAGCAGGATGATCATAGATCGTGACTGATCATTCGTGCAGGTTATATTCTGATCGACAGTATGCAGTAGTTAAACCAGGAACCTTGGATTGCAAGGACTGCATAACCTTAGATCCATGCACGATGCACGGCCATTCGTTCGTCCCTGAGATGTTGATATTGAGATCATCTACTCCGTCAGTATGCACGTCCTGAACATTGTACTGGACCGTGAGCACCTGGGCATGTTCTTCGGACTCCTCCCGTCCCATTCCAACTTCCAAGCGGATCACTCGGGAGGTTAGTCCCGGAGGGGAATTGGGCGTGCGCTATCGATCGATGCATTAGCCTGACTCCACTACGCTTGTTGTGAACCTTGACAAATACCACATCAGGCTGATTTTTATGGAGGCTCGGAAGGCTATTGATATATAAAGTTCATTCCCAAGGGCCCATGCTGAGTGCGGAGATCCAGATCACTTCACAATGCATACTTCGACAATCGGCCTTTGGGCCTTGGCTGCCGGCATCGTGTCGGCTAAGAGCTGCTTCAATGCCACCGTGGAGGTCGATATCTCAGCCCGCAATGGTGTCTTCGACAAGATCAAGACCCCCGAGACCAACTTGGATGCGACTACCTTCGCCCTCGCGTCCGCCAAGACTGGTGGTAACATCACCGAGGAGGCTTTGTCGGGCTATGCTACCGTTGGCGGGCGTTACAACATCTCCACTCAGTACTGCATGCCAAAGAACTCCGAGAGCGGCAGCCATACGCTTCAGATCCTGACCCATGGAATGGGCTTCGACAAGTCGTGAGTTTGGCGAGATGCGGTTGGTTATTCAGGGACTAACGGTCGATAGATACTGGGATTTGCCCTACAACAACTTCAACTACTCCTACGTGGACTACGTCTTGTCCCGGGGATACCACACCTTCTCGTACGACCGACTTGGAATTGGCAAGTCCACCCACGGCGATGCGAAGAACGAAATCCAGTCCTTCCTTGAGATCGAGGCTCTGGCCGAGTTGACCCGCAAGGTGCGCGAGGGCAGTTTGGAGGGCGTCAAGAAGCCCTCCAAGGTTGTCCACGTCGGACACTCCTTCGGCTCTGCCCAAACTGTCGCCATGTCCGCCATGTACCCTGACCTTTCGGATGCACTTGTCCTCACTGGGTTCTCCGCCAGCATTGCCTCCATGCCCGTCTTCCTTGCCGGTGCCAACTTCCAGCAGGCCAATCTCAACCACCCCCCTGGATGCCCCTCTACTCCTCGCCCCAGCTACAGCAGTGGATACCTGGTTAACTCGGACATTGGCACCAACAAGTTCCTCTTCTTCTGCCCCGGCAACTTCGACGAAGGCATCTTGTCCTACGCCGAGCAGAACAAGCAGCCAATGACCGTTGGTGAACTCATGACCATGACCGGACTGCCGACGTCCAGTGCCTTCACAGGTGCCGTGTACGTGATCGATGGCGAGAATGATATCGCATTCTGTGGTGGCGCCTGTTCCTACACCACCGACTCCTCGGCTTCCATTCCTGCCGGCGTCAAGGCCGTCTTCCCCAAGGCCAGTGCTTTCTCGGCCTACGTCCACCCCGACACTGGACACGGCATCAACCTGCACTACAACTCCACCGCTGCCTACAAGCAAATTAACGACTTCCTGGGTGCCCAGGGATTGATCAGCGAGAGCCATGAGCACGAGGCTCGTCACCACCACGACTTCTAAAGAACCCCCACCTGGGCAGGGACGTGAAGATTATGAAGCGCAAGTTAGGATTTCATGTACATTTTCTAGAATTATTCCCTACATCATTTAATTGATTGCCGATATGACATAATCATGGACACCTCGTAGATTAGGCAGCTATATGACGACACACACGTGCATCTGATGCCTGAACTTACAGGCATCAATTGAAACCTAAGGAATCAGGCCACTGCGCGTGACACGACCCCTCGCCAGGCGCCGGATGCGTAGGTAAGTTCATCTCCCCACACTGTGGAAGCAAATCAAGCATCGAGGATTGACGAACGGCATTCGGTATGGATAATTCAGAGATGCTGATTTGCTCTTAGAGGAATAACCGAAAGCCGGGGGGCTCGGAGCATTGAGACGGCACTCTCCACGGATCCACGCCGCCAACGTCTCTGCTCCACACTACCGAAACTGCTTCCCGGCTGTCTACCCTTTGCCTCGGGGTTCATTCTCACCGGTCAGGTCGAGTGCTTCATAAAGATCCAGGCAACTCGTTTTTCGGACTTGAATGTGAATCATTTTGCTTACTTGCATGCCCTTGCATTTGGTTTGAATTCTCCGAACAGGACCGTCACTGAGTCTGATCGACCTGTCACTTTTATATACGGCTAGCTGCCGCTCCTCGAGGATCTTCTTTACATATCATATTCCCTATAGCTCGCCACCATGCTTCTCACCCTGGAGAACTTGCCTTTCCTGCTGCTCGGTCTGACCGCAGCCTACTTCCTCGTGCCCTATCTGCAACGGTCGCATCTGCGGGACATTCCTACCCCCAGTTTCGCCGCGTTCACCAATCTCTGGCTTCTCCTCCAGTGCCGCTGGGGTGTCAAATATGTTTCAGTCGACGAAGCTCACAAGAAATACGGAAAGTTGGTCCGTATTTCGCCCAACCAGGTCTCTATTGCCGACGATGCCGCTATCCAGAGCATCTATGGACACGGCAACGGTTTCTTGAAGGCGTAAGTCTCCGCCTCTCGCGTCGGTGCATTAAGCTTCGTGGCTAACCTTATCTCAGTGACTTCTACGATGCCTTCGTCTCGATTCGCCGTGGCTTGTTCAACACCCGTGACCGTGCCGAGCACTCCCGCAAGCGCAAGACCGTCTCCCATACCTTCAGCGCCAAGTCCATTGGCCAATTCGAGCAGTACATTCACGGCAATGTCGAAGAGTTCGTCCAGCAGTGGCAGAAGATGTCCGACCTGCAGGGTAACCCCAAGACTGGCTATGTTAGCCTCGACGCTCTCAACTGGTTCAACTACCTGGCCTTCGATATCATTGGTGATCTTGCTTTCGGTGCTCCATTCGGTATGCTCGTGAAGGGCCAGGATATCGCCGAGATGCGCAAGGACCCCAAGGACCCCCCCAAGTATGTCGCTGCCGTCGAGGTTCTCAACCGCCGTGGCGAGGTCTCCGCTACCCTCGGCTGCATGCCGTCTCTCATCCCCTTCGCCAAGTACATCCCCGACCGCTTCTTCTACGAAGGTATGCAAGCCGTTGAGAACCTGGCTGGTATCGCCATCGCTCGTGTCAACGAGCGTGTCAAGCCCGAGGTCATGGCCAACAACACCCGTGTCGATTTGCTCGCCCGTCTGATGGAAGGCAAGGATGGCAACGGCAATCAACTGGAACGTGCCGAATTGACCGCCGAGGCTCTCACCCAGCTCATCGCTGGTTCTGACACTACTTCCAACACTGCCTGCGCTATCCTGTACTGGTGCATGCGTACCCCTCACGTTCTTCCCAAGCTGCACAAGGTGCTTGATGAGTCCATCCCCAAGGACATTGAAGTTCCCACCCACGCTATGGTCAAGGAAATTCCCTAGTACGTTCCCCGTCACTCCCTTCCGAAGGATCTCACTAACCTCTACCAGCCTTCAATGGGTCATCTGGGAAACCATGCGTATCCACAGCACCTCCGCCATGGGTCTTCCCCGTGAAATCCCCGCCGGCGCCGCCCCTGTCGAGATCTGCGGCCACATCTTCAAGCCTGGCGATGTCCTCTCCGTCCCCAGCTACACCATCCACCGCTCCAAGGAAATCTGGGGTGCCGACGCCGAGGAATTCGTCCCCGAGCGCTGGGATCCCGAGCGCATCACCGCTCGCCAGAAGGCTGCCTTCATCCCCTTCAGCCACGGCCCCCGTGCCTGTGTCGGTCGCAACGTCGCCGAGATGGAGCTCCTCGTCATGGCCGCCACTGTCTTCCGTCTCTTCGAATTCGAAATGCACCAGGAGGGTCCTATGGAGACCCGTGAAGGTTTCCTGCGCAAGCCCCTCGGTTTGCAAGTCGGCATGCGCCGTCGTCGCGTTTGAATTTCTTTTTGAACTTTCTTTTGGAAAATTGGGAATATGGTGGACCTAGGGTGGATGGAACTATATTGAGCCCTTTGGGCTGCATGTTGAATCTATATGCGCCGTCATGATTCGATGAGATTGATCGTGGTATCCAGATCACCGGGTGTGACTCGATACTCCGGCCATTGATGAATTTCTTTTTTGTCTTGTCACATTATACTTGATATAGTCTTCGCATCGTCGACTATCAGCAACTCCGTGGGCGTCTGTATTATTTAGATACTTGCATTGCAATGAATTACTATTTAACAGTGTCTTGCCTGCGACTATATGGTCTTTTGTATAGGGTATCCGATCAGGTAAAGTTGGAAGATCCACCTGCATCGCACGCATCACCTTCCAAGTTGGAACGAAAAGCCTGGAGATCTTGAAATGCCTAGGAAATCCATCGATCGGATCATTGTATTTCTATCCGCGTAGGCTTGCAAGCCTCCCGAGGTCCCGAAGTCGTACATGAATTGTGTTACTAGGTACTAGGATTCAGCTTGAGTGTTTGAATACTTGAACAGGAGCTCATTGATATTATGTTATTACGATGATCGTGACGGTTCATGACTGGCGTAAACTAAACGATTATCCATAGAACAAGTCCTTGCTGATCCATTGACATGGAGTACGACACTGAAACAGATGACCGATGAATCTGCAACTCATATCCGTGAAGGTAAGACAGACTACCACTTGGCAGGGCCAAAGGTTTCACCCTCAGCGACAGGGTTCCGAATGGCTGTGTCCAGGGTGTCCATAGTACCGGATGCAATATCCGTGCCCCACCAAGATGGGAAATCAGTGCTGGTCAAGTTGAGAGTCAAGAAGATCAAGATAGTACAAAGGGCGAGACCGACGTCCAGACCAGCTGAAACGATGTAGTTGTACTGCATCCACCAGCCGCGGAAGCGATCCCGGATCCACTTGTTGAAGATGAACCCGACAATGCACCAGGAGAGATAGTTGAGGGGGGTAGCAGGCGGGATTAGACCGGCTCCTCCGAAGATGATGGGGGCGCTGAGATACTTGATTGAGCTCTTGGGCCAGGTGCGCGCAGCGAACCAGATTATAACGGGGAGGATGGCACCAGCTAGGAAGAACCATAGGAGAGGGGAGTACAGCTGGCCGGGAGAGAACATACGTCCTGGACCAATGACACCCCAGATGACGGAGGCGTTGAAGAAGACACGACCGTTCGGGCAACTGTAGTGGTTGGGCTGGTACTGATCGCACACGTCCTTGATGGCTCCGAGAGCCCAGTTCATTGTGGCGATTTGTACGAGAGATGACCAGAGACAAGCGACCATCTGCGCGGTGAAGGTCACACGAGGGGGAACCTTCATGTAGTGGCCTGGAATGGTCAATGAGATGCGTGGAGTGGGGAGATGGGAACGACTTACCGATTTTCAAATCCTGGGAGAAGTACATGCCTTGGTACATGGTGATGTATCCGAAGGTCTTGAACAGCATCATGGCCATGGGGCGACCAGGTTGCATGTATCCAATAATGAACTCGGTGATGACATTGAGACCAATATCAATGTTGGTGGACGCCTTGACGATTCCAATGGGAACGAACCACACGACTGCGATCAGCAGCGCAATGATGAATGACCACCAGGTCATGTGTGTGGGCCAGCCCAGAATGACACCAAAGCCAATGCCGATCATGATCAGAGTGACCACCGCGTACCACCAGACGGGAACGCTCTTGTACTTGGCCATGAGCCGACCGTGGACATCCTCTTCTTCTCTACCGACCCGGCGGAAACGGGCCCAGATATCGGCACCGTTGAAGAGACCGGTCTGGACAAGCACAGCGATGATACTAGCGAAAGAAAGACCATACGAGATCATGAAAGTACTCGACAAAAACAGAGGAGAGTACTCCGCGTATTTCGCGGCATCGAAAGTGAATTCGGGAGTGAGAATCTTGGAGACGTCGTACTTGACACCGGTGTTGTCGTAACTGTTCGAATCACTCATAGGCAGGAATTGCGAGTAGAACAAGTTGGAGTAGTGGATGCCGGGAACCACAATCCAGAAGAAGATGACCATGCCGATGAGAGTGTTGGAGATTGCATACCAAGGAGCAATCAAAGGACTGAAATTGAAACCAGCAATTTGAGTCCAGTCAAAAGTCATTGGAATCAGCGAGAGGCCTGTGGCGCCTCCAAAGAGCTGGTTGATGATAACGTTGTTCGGCTTGATCCACGTAACCCAGGCGAAGATGCTCAGGAATGGCGCGATGAATCCTGGAATCCAATACCAACAGAAGGCGCCAATCATGACATACAGGAACATGCGGTACCTGCCAATGGTCCAGCCAGAGACCGTTTTTGGATCTGGCAGCGACCGATCGTGGAGGGCAGTGAAGAGGGCCGTGTTGATCAGCGTCGAGGGCCAGATCATGGCAGCGGGCTGAACCATGAAGCGAGTGAAGAAACCCGCAATACCGAAACCCAGCATCTGGGTTGATATACACATGAGGATCTCGAATCCCCAGCCAAAGCTTTGATGGTAGAATGCCCGCTGGGCCAGAAGCACATCGGTAGCATAGGCGGCACCACCTCCAAAGGTGGCATTTGCCATGATAACCACGACGGCATGTTCCTTCTTGGTGAAGGGACCTGGATTCAGCTCAAACTCATAACCAAAAATACGGAATCTCTTGGCGGGCATCCATCTCTCCCAAGCCTTTCCAAATGGGTAAGCGACGACCTGGGCGATGTACGAGGGGATAACAATGTAGGGCTGGCGCATGGAGAACAACATGTTGAGAGATGAGCCGATTGTCGCGAAGAGCAACCCAATGACCCAGGCGCGAAGGGTGTTGACCGATCCTCCTTCATCGACATTAGAAACGGCGGATCGGACTTCGGGGTAAGGGGAGTTGTCCAGCAACTCGTGAGCGATGACGTCCTGGGTCTTCTGGTCAGAGGTGTGCAAAGCTTCATCGAGCTCTTCGACCACATCCTCAGGCAAATTGGGGTCCCAATGGTGATGCTCCTTCAGGTTGCGCAGCTGCTTCAGCGTCTCATCCGGCGCGGTCTCGTCGACCATAGCGCCGGTCGTGACGGCGATAGACTCGTCTTTCTCCATGCCGATTGGAACACGCAGATTTAAGACTAAGGCTTAAAAGGGAGTTGAAGCATGCAGAGAAGAAAGGGGAGGAAGTCAAGAAAGAGGGGATATCGAGTCAATTAAGTCTGACGGTCAAGACGAAGCCGACGGAGGTCCGCCTTATCGGACAGGCTCGAACTGAAGTCAAAGTGAAATGTAACCCCATCAAGATGCACCTGCAAGCAGTGATTTGACGGAATCAAGGTGGAGCAACAGCCACAAATGAGACGGATATTGAGGCGTCTTCCATGCGTGCGTGAATGTAGACAAGCAATCACGCCAATACGTGCGCTTTGTTCTCCCAGCATTTCAGGTCTCCCCATTCTACGTGGCGTTTCTTGGGTTACCTTTGGACAGCTCAGATCCGACATTTACCAGGGTCGTGTGCAACGCCCGTATCAAATGGCGGCCAATTCCGAGAGCCCTAGATGGGGAGGCAAATTCGGGTAAATGAGTGCTTGTCCATGATAAGCCGGGTTAAGCGGTCTTGGGGGTCTTGGGCCAAACTCAGGATTCCGCCATTTCGCCTTGGCGCCTCGAATCGTTAGGTTCGCAACTAACCTCCCCGGGGCATTGAGATATAGTCCGCTGTCGACGAATCAGATTTCGGCATTGCACTGCGATAAGGCGCCCGATTGGACCATCTCCGGCGCCAAAGCACTGTGGTGCCCAGAATGGGGTTTCCCCCCCGATTGTTTCAAGACGTTCGATGCAATTGTCCTGCATTCTGTTAGGGGTGTGTCATAGGAATGACCAAGAACACTCGGATTCGCCGAGGGAAGAACAGTGTTTCCCAAAGGCCTCGTGAAATGCGGGGAAAGTCACTAGTGGCATGCCAGATACCGTAGCGAGTTGATATCACCCGAAGCAGTCCTAGTGGCAAAGACTCGTGTCTCAGACCGGAGCCCCTACGGACTTGCAGGGGTTAGGAGACGCTAATGAGAATTTTCCACGGATCCTCATGTGATCCTGGCCTCGCGTGATATGGCGATTTGGGGAATTGGGCATCGAGATTTCCCCGGGAAATTGCCGAGAATGAAGGTTAGCCCCTCGACTCAAAGATGGTCGGATAATGGTGTTGGTCAGGCCCAGAACAAGCCGACTACCCGGGGCGGGAAGGACTGGGCTTTGAACGGGGTGGGGGCTGGAAATCCCTTGCTTCGACATTCCATGTCAAGCTTAGGGCTATCTCCGAGGCTGAAGGGCGGATTCCGGAAGATATACATGCCAAGCCTTCAAAATGCTTAGTGTAGGTATAGAACGTGAACCATAGGCGTTGAGCTTCACCCACAATTTTACAAATGCTAGTATCGAACTATCCATGCGAGCAGTACTAGGGTGCCACATAAAGCGGTTTAAGTGTATCTGGGTCGTCCATTGGCCGGGAGAGAATTCCCTAGTTGTATGCGGGAAAAAGCTCATAGGTCACTCATGCCTTATCAGACCGGAAAGGCGCAGATACTAGTCAAACCCAGGAGTCAATCAACCGGCAGTGATCCCGCGAGCCGCGCGTCCAACGGCATTTGCATGCACCGGATCTCAATGTTCGCAAGCAGCGTGGAGGACGCCTCGGATTTGCCGGTGAGAACTTTGTTTTAACATCTCCACGCGATATCTAAACACGTTGCAACGTGGGGTGATTGACGTGCAGAGCGCTTTTGCCGAGATCAACATCGGCAAATCGCTAGACTGGGGTAGCCGTGGAGCTCCCCACCGGCGTCGAAGCTAGCGGGGCATGTGATTGTCAAATCCCTGGGGAATTCCTCAACAGTCGCACCCGTCAGCTCATGCCAAAGTACCGCAAGGTCGGGCTGTGACTCTAAAGCTTCTTGAATGTCAATCATGTTATGTTGTTGCTTGATCCCCAGTCTGCAGGGAAAGCGCCTAACGAAAGAAACTCTTCCTCGCTTATTGCCCATTCAAATTTAGCAAAGAAATCTTCATCCATCGTGAATTCTTCCTGTGGAGGTAGGCCCATGCCGGAGAAGATACCGCCTAAGGGCTCTCTGGTTGGATCGGTTGATCCGATGGGATGTCCGGTGTTTCCACCCGCAAGGGGGTTAGTCTTTGGCATGCCAACGTCTGCAGTTTCGTTGCCTCGGACTATGGCACGAGTGTGAGGGTCAAACTCATCCCGCCACCACCAGACACTGTCCAGGATTTGACTCAGGATTAAGCGACTCCGGATCCGGAGAGCGGTGTATTCAGAGCCATCGGCCTTGCGGAATGCTCTGCTGCTATTCCAGAGTTGATTGAGCAGTGTGATTGTCCTGGCTGCGGTATCTGTCCTGTCGGTAGACACCTGTTTAGCCAGATTGATCGCCGTAAAGAACGAGGCTCGGGCGCGGTTGACATCTAGGCCGATTGTATCAACATTGCTTTTGAGTATGCGCAACAAGGTCATAGAGGCAAGGAGAATACCGAAGCCCACTTGAACGGGTGCCATAGAGAGAAAACCCATCTTGTCTCCTAGGGCCTGGATAAAATCGACTAGGTTGCAAGCCGTTGTAATAAGACGCGGCAGACATCCACTGGAAATCGTCGTTCGCGTTTTGTAGAAATGGAAGCCCTGTATTGCCATCTTACAAAGGAGAAGATGATACCTCTCATCATCTACGTGAGGTGAGAGCATGAGTTAGCAATTTGAGACTTTCTGGGGGCTGAAGATCATGTTTTGAAGACTAACCAGCAATTGCCTGCAACCCAACTTCGTCCACTTTGTTTTCATATACTCGCAGCAGTCCATCTAAGGAGACCTCTTGGTCCAAGGACATGGCTCGTACCCCATTCTGAAGGACAGCCTCGCTGCAGCTTCCGACAAGCTCTTGGCATCGAAGCTTCTGGGCTAGGTCTGGAGCAATCATATCGTACAACACCTGGCGTTGAATGGGGTCCTGTGCTAAACTGATAAGGTTGCGAGGAGATTGACCCTTGAAAAAACAAGACCTATTTCATCCATTAGAGTGGTTGGACGTTGATGACGTTGATTGAGACACTCACCGCTGATATACTAGGACACAGTGAGCCCAAAGTTCTGACCGACGGATCATGTCCTGTTCTGATGGCGCTGGAATTTTCACCCTAGAGAATTCGTGGCTCGACATCGGGATGTGAAATCCGTTTTGCATCGCAATGTGCAGCAACATGCCACTCAAAAGGAAAGTAACATCAGGTCGATTCTCCTTCGGGAATGGCCATGTGAGCAAAAGCAACAGACCTTGAATCATATACCAAGGTGCACAGGTCGACAGAACCGACAGGAACGCCATTTCAGTAACTTCCTGGGCCAATGCCGTCTGCAGAGTCGGGTTGCGGGGGTACGATCGACTGCACACACCGACGACAGCCCAGAAAAGAAATGGCGACTGTGCATAGTACGCGTCTGGTTTGATCTGAGCATCGAGAATCGGGAGGAATGGGGCATAGTGGCGGAAGAATCTGAAGACAGTTAGAAGACGATGGGAAGTTTACCCGGTAATACCCACATTTCAAACAACTCATCGATCTCCTCTCCGGTAACTGTGACCCCTTTGAGGGAGCGTGGCTTTGTGGAACCATTTCCATGCGTAATTGCACTGGATGAGGAATCCGCAAGCGCTATGTGCTGATTTGAATGAGGGCCCAAACTTTGCAAAGCATCAGACTCGGCACTGGCGTTTGGACCTGTCGGTACTCCTAGTCTCGCCGCTGGCGAGATTGGAGTGATAGCGGGGTGGTCTGGAGGCCTATGCCGAGAGATCTGTAATTGTTGGCGCAATTGCTCTTTCTCTCTTTCCAGCTCATTCAGTCGTCTGTTCACGGGGATTAATAAGATAGTACAATTTTAGTCGGAAAGACTTGGAAAGACTTACCGACGTTTGTGTTCTCTTGTGAAGGCATCATCGATGGTGCATTCATAGCCATGCTTCTTGCACCGGGAACAGGGTATTGTCTCATCTCTCCAGACGTCGCATTTGGACTACTTCATGGTCAGCCGCAGGCCTTCAGTGTGTGATGGCGTGAATGACCTTTTGCTGACGACATTGAGTACATGCCTTTTTCCCTTTCTTGGGAAGTATCCTGTATCTCATATTAGCAAGCATTCGGCCTTGGAAGCGGGAGGATGGTGGGGTCCATACGGTGTGCTACCGGGGGGTTTGGGCTGATGTTGCGACTCCATCTGGGCCAAGCGAGACCGGTAGATCCTTACTCCTTGTCACCCACAGCCATCGACTGGAGGTAAGGGAGATGCTGTGAGCCTCGATGCCGGTAACGGGATGCTGACGGGCGTTTGATTGGCCGAACGGAAGGGTCACGTGGGGAGCCATCTGGGACTACACCGCCTCTGATACTGCCGTATGTGCTTACCTCAGCGCCAAGCCTGGCACTTGCCCACCCACGTCGGCCCGGGCGATCGGCTTGGCTTCTACAGCGTCACGAAGGGAAGAGCTCTGAAGATGGGCAAACCCTCAGGTTTGATTCGTATCTGGCCAAACGTGGAAGCAGGACTGCATTGTATAGGCAGACTATTTTCAACTTGAGTCAGTATTCCTAGCGATCATCTGCTCGACAACCCTAGAGTACGATTTCAACGGCGCTTGGTCATCAAGTCTCATATCAAGGGGTCTACCATACGCTATTGACCATTTCACCCGATGTTGCACACTAGAATGACCCTGTGACTGCAGGGCCAAATGCGAAAGACGGCCCCAGACACATACTTGGACGCAGCCTAGCCTGACGAACAAAACTTACCACTTGTTCAGGGTGACAATACGCACCGTCAAACAAAGCACGCCTTCGGTAGCGGTGACTTTGGGACATCGCACAGAGAGTTGGGGTGGGGATCTCAAAGACCCTGAATGGAGAAACAGTCATCTAAAGGATACCTTGGGGTGACTTGAGCGTGGAGCCATGGGTTCACCTCCCCGGGCAACATATCCATGCCCAGGTGGAGTTGACGACGTGCCTGCGCATGACAGATCAATGCCGTGCAAGGTCACGCAACGTGGCATAACTCAGGCCTCCAGGTGGATGGCATTCTGTTGGGGTTCAGCTCAAGGGTGGTGGCAAGGCGGCAAAGAAGGAGGTTGGGTCGGCCGTGCTATTGGATGTTATGGTGTTCTTTTGGCGGGCCTGCGGTGGTACTGGCAGGGGCAATCTGCGACGAGTCACCCATGGAACCAAATGCAGAGAATGGTCTTGTATTTGGAAATCTTCCGAAATAAGGATGGTGTAGTGGCTTGAGTAACTTGTAACTTGCGCTTGGCTAGCAGACAGATGGTACACCAGATTCGCTCAACATGGCTATGGCTTTGTTCCACGACAATGTCAGGGCTTAGGGAGTGCGAGGGGGGTTGAGTGGCCATATCGAATTTGGGGGTATCGAGCATCCCCCGCAAAAGTGGACAAGTCGAACATTCCATTTCGTCTGGAGAGAGTCGACGCCACCACCACCGTTGTGAAGGCGTGATGAGATGCCCTCACCGTGACATCACTGCCCTGGGCGAAGTATATAGAAACAACAGAAGAGGAGAGATGCAGGGCAACATAGCTTGACTTATTGCATCATGAGTTTTGATATTCCTACCGTCGCCGAGATTCAACTGGCTGCTGAAAGTGGGCAGCGTATCACCCAAGATGATGTTTCAGCCATCTCGCAGGCTGAGAGTGCCTTGACCGGACACGGTCCTGCACGAGGCGGACCAGCAGGTAAGCACTGGCGATGTATTTTGGAATCCCATCTGACCGTCCCCAGCCACAGCACAGAGCCTTTCCATGCGACAGATGAATTTTGAGGACAAAGTTGATGAGATAGCCCGGAAGCCATCAACTTCGATCTCGCTTGCCGATGCAGATGAAATTCAAGCTACCGAGGTCAGTGAGCTGCAAAGTCGATCATCGCAGTATTAACCAAAATCCTCCCTAGGGTCGCGCGTTTAATCAACCGCCTGGGGTTGGCTACGTATCCGCCCAGGTTCGGTCCATCGCCGAAAACAACGAGGCCCTCGGGCTCACGGTGGCTACCGATGTGCCTGGCTTCATCACCAAGGATGATGCTCGGGGGGCCCAACACGCCGAAGCCGTGGCGTACGGGGGCCAAAACCCTCGCGGAGGCACTGCAGCCCAGATGCAGGTAAGTCCAGATCGCTGCGCTTGAGGGAGGATTACCAACCATTGCAGAGTGCCGCGGACAGAATCGATAATGCGCGACGAGGTAGCTACGGCAGCTTTTAGTGTGTAAATTAGCCATGAATGAGCGTATTCCCAAGCATAGCCCCAAATGGTCAGACAGTAGGATGCGGTGAGACACTATTCTGCCTGGGACGTGCGCCAAGGGGATCGGCCTCACGTTAAAAAGGCTAATGAGAAGGGAATTCCCAGACAGCGTGTACAGTATTTACAATGCAGAGGCAGAGCGAACTCTCTAGTCTGACACTCCTCCCTGGCTCTGTCTCGGAGGAGACCATCATTGCCCGACTCCACGACCACTGCTCCATGATCGAGCAGAACCCCCTGGTGATCCACTACGAGCGGTGCCCCGCGCCCGCCGACGCCCCGGATGAATCCCTGTGGTTTACCCTGACCGACCGCATCCAGTATCTCCCGGGTATCCAGGGGCAAATCCACTATCGCGCCAGCTTTCACGACACGCCGCGGGGTCTGCGAACCCATATCCAGGCTCCCTTGGGGGTGGATATTTGGAATGAATGGACGGTGTGCTCTCATCCGTCGGAAGTTGACTCCGAACTCCAAGATAAGCCGCCGGGGTTGTACCTCCGGGAAAAAGTCGAGCTGCGATGCCCATTGGGCATGGCGTTCTTTGTGCGGCGCAACATTGAGAAATCTCACTCGACGCTGGTGGAGCGTCTGAGTGCGGCGGGGCACAGCTCTGGCGGGGCCAGTATTTGTCACTGACGATTTGGAATCTTCTCAGAGGGGAATGTGGGTGAGAGAAGTTATGACGCAGGTGTAGACGAATCAAAAACTATTGACTTGTCGTTGTAGTCTTGTAGTCCCAGGTTAAATAGCTGGATTCCCCTCAGGTCCTCACTTTTCCTTCTCAAGTACCTTGTGAGAATCATTTACATATTACTACTCCACCATGCCTCTTTCCGGACACTGTCTCTGCAAGGCTGTCACGTACACCGTGGACATTGAACAGCCTTTGGTCACTGCCTATGACCACTGCGATGACTGCCAGCGCCAGAGTGGCTCAACCTACTGTAAGTGTCTTCAACAAGATGCGACAGCAGAACTAACCCGAATAGCCCTGGTTGCGGTCGTCCCCAAGGACAAGTTGACCATCAACGGCCCCACCAAGAGCTGGGCTGGCAAGGGCTCCTCCGGCCACGCGGTCCACCGCATCTTCTGCTCCGAGTGTGGCTCGCCGATCGCCCACGACCCCGATGCCGCGCCCGAGATCATCGCCCTCAAGGCCGGTACCCTGGACACGGAGATTAAGAAGACTCTGAAGCCCGTAAGTCGCTGTGACATTTTGAAAAAGGACGATGACTGATATCACATAGAACACTGAGATCTGGACTGTCAGCAAACTGCCCTTCTGCCAGGAGCAGCTCGAACACCCCTTCGAGCACATGCCGGGTCCTTAGAATAGCAGACGTTTTGAAAATTAATGAGCGGTTACGAACATAGTCCAATATGAGTTGAGATACATTCTCCCCATCGCCTGCATCTTTGTACCACCAAACCTATGCTTGCTCGTCCTGGACGAAATTAAACTTGCCTTCTATATACCCCGCAGTCCTGGTATAGTATACCTAGATTTTGAAGATTCACAATGTCGGGCACGCTCTTCATCCGAGACTCGCGCACCAACTTGAACTATGAGATCCCCATCCAGCAAAACTCGATTCGAGCAACCGATCTGCAGCGCATCAAACCGAATCCGACCGAATGCGATCGTGCAGATCAACCCCACCATGGACTCCGTGTGCATGATCCGGGCTTGCAAAACACGGCCGTGACCCATTCGGCCATCAGCTTCTCGTGTGTATCGAACGCAGCGAATAAGGGGCTTGAGTTGACAATTGTCCAGGGACCATGAGCGAGGACAACTTTTATATCGTGGGTACACTCTCGAGCAGTTGTGGGGTGCTGACTTCGAGCAAATGCTTCATCTGCTGCTATGGGCGCAGTATCCTACCGAGGTGCAGCGCGAGGAACTCCGCCAGCGACTGGCGCAGTACATGCAAGAAGTGCCCGAGACAGTGCACCGGGTCATTGGGAATTTCCCGTAAGGCGATGCTGCGAGCCATTTCCTTTTATTCAATTTTGATGTCTCTCGAGCCGGATGTTCTGAGCAGCCAATTCACCTAGGCGAACTAGCAGTCCACTGCCAATGCTCCTGGCGGGCTTGTCTGCTTACCTGGCATTTTTACCCGATGTCATTCCCGCCAATACCAATGCGACGATGTACCAAACCGATCCGATACACGCTGACAGAGTGATCCTTCAAACTGTGGCCGCTTACGCCGTGATCTTTGGAGCTGTTCGCTGCCACCGACTCGGGATTGCTTGGAGGGCCCCATCCCTCGATCAATCTTACTATGAGAATGTGTTCACGATGGCGGGTCTCGTAGACCCAGCGAGTGGTATCCCCGATCCGGTTCGAGTTTCTTGCTTCCGTCGATTTGGAAATCTCAATGCTGAGCATGGGATGGCCCTCAGTGTTTTCACGGCCTTGGTGACGGCGTCTTCTCTCACAGACCCTGTGTCTGGTCTGATAGCTGCCGTAGCTGCAGCCCACGGACCCTTGCATTTCGGCGCCACTGAATCTGCTCAGCGAACCCTGCGCGCCATTGGCGATGCAACGAATGTTCCAGCCTTTATGGAAAAGGTGAGAGCAGGAAATGAGAAGTTATTTGGCTACGGCCATCGCACTTACAAGGGAATGGATCCGCGGGTGAATCCCATCCGAAGTATCTTGAGTGACCTGCGAGACGTAAACCAGCCACTCTTGCAGATTGCCGAAGCAATCGAGACTGCCGCAGAGAAGGATGAATATTTCCACAAGCGGGGATTGTATCCCAATGCTGACTTCTATGGCAATTTCGTGTTCACTGGCATGTAAGCAGCTCCATTTCGACCTCTATACCGAGCAGAACACATTGATGCGCAATAGTGGATTCGAGCCGGACATTATTCCAGGTGCTATGCTTGTCCATCGCATTATCGGGACCATGGCGCATTGGAGAGAATACACTGGTATGAAACAGATCACTTCCCGTGCATTTAAGGTCGGTGCCCTTGCAGCTTACAAGATGCAGTCAATCGAGGCAAACTATTCAGGCCCACCCATCTCTATACAGGGTCTGTGGAGCCGATAAACCCCATGGCCAAGATATAGCTACACCCATTTGTTCAGGTTATTCGTCATCACGAATCAGGACCGGATAGCAGTAGATTCAATTGACATAGTGTGTGATGTACTTCTCGTTCTGAATGGCGAATGGGGGAATATGAGAGGGCCAATCTCATCTGTCAGATCACTTACTCTTCTCTTTTCCCTGTCTTCACCCAATGTCATAGGTCTCTCAGATTCAAGATATCGCATTTAGTATGTCCTCGCAAGAGTCTCAGTCAACGCTGCCCCAAGACAGTACGGTCGATGAGTCGACGCCCTTGCTGGCTGATTCCACCCCTAACCAGCCCTACTCCGTTTTCACGCCTTCGCAGAAACGGCTCATTATCTTAACTGCAGCCCTGGCCTCCAGCTTCTCGCCTCTATCAGCGAACATCTACTACCCTGCCCTAAACTCGATCGCCGCCGATTTACACGTCAGTACCTCCAAAATCAATCTCACAATTACGACCTATATGGTGCGCATATCCCATCCCGGTACACGCGAAGACTTAAGGATAACACCCATATAGATATGTCAAGGTCTCGCCCCGATGCTGACAGGCTCGTTTGCAGATCGAGCAGGTCGGCGACCGGCATACATCGTTTGCTTTGCAATATACATACTCGGCAACGTTGCACTCGGGATACAACATAGCTTCCCGGCACTTCTCATCTTGCGCGCCGTTCAAAGCTGTGGCAGTAGTGGCACTGTGGCCCTTGCATCTGCGGTTGCCGCCGATGTTGTCACCTCTGTCGAAAGAGGTTTGTATATGGGGTTTTCGTCATTGGGAAACATACTCGCCCCATCTCTAGGTCCAGTCCTTGGAGGCATTCTGAGCAAATATTTTGGATGGCATGCGATCTTCTGGTTTCTCGCAATTGCAGCTGGGACATTCTTTGTGCCCTTGCTGTGTTTCTTTCCTGAAACCTGTCGTGGCGTTGTGGGCAATGGCTCAGTCTCTCCAGTCGGATGGAATCGTTCGCTCCGAAATTACTTGCAGGAATCGGCGCCATGTTCCCCGCCGTCCAATATGAGGCGCGTGCAAATCCCCAATCCATGCGCAACTTTGCGTTTGCTTTCCCACCGACCGGTGGGACTGGTACTTTTGGCCAACGGCGTTTTGTTCAGCAGCTACTATGCAGTGACAACTGCAATACCCCCACTATTCAAGCATACCTACGGTTTGGACGACATGGAGATTGGTCTTTGCTTTCTTCCTGCAGGCTTGGGCTCACTTGTCAGTGCGACTATTAACGGAGTATTAGTTGACTGGAACTATCGGCGGGTTTGGCGCACCACTGGTCAAACGATACACAAGAACCAGAAACTGGACATCGTTGGAATTCCCATCGAGCAAGCAAGGTTGCAGATTGGGTTGCCAATGGCTGTATGCTCCTTCTGCTGATCTGTCTGGGGCTCAGCGGAGCTGACGGTCTACTCGATTTAGATACTTGCCTCGGTGTCAATCTGCATCTACGGGGTACTGATACCCAAGCACCCACCTCTTCCTCTGGCATTGTTCATGGTGTTCATCATCTGCTTTTGTATAACAGCGGCTTACAATGTGATGAACATCCTCGTGGTTGATCTTTACTACAATACGCCAGCCACTGCAATGGCGGCGAACAACTTGGTCCGATGCTTCTTGGGTGCTGGTTCCGCAGCTGCAGTGGGCCCTTTAATCAAGAGAGCCGGTATAAAGTGGGCATACATCCTGGTGGCTGGTGAATTGGCTGTCGTAGGTCCACTTTTGGTTATCGTTTACTCCAAGGGGTGGGAATGGCGCAAAGCGCAAGACAACCCTGAGACGGGACATCAGCCACATGAGCCGTGATGATCCATGATATGGACAGAAGGCAATATATAGCTCACCCTATCACCTCCAGGGTTCCATCTAGTCCAAGTTCAAGATTTCAAGGTTAGTTTGAATCCAAGTATCTTCCTTGTCAGTTTAGTTCCTTCAAGACACTCGAATCAAGAACCTTCTCAACATACCACTATGGTGCTGTTTGTGTTTCTCTTCTACCTTTTCCTCACAGCCGTTGCCCACGGACCCTTTTGGCCTCACCTATTCGGTAACCAACTCGATGTACGATACGCTGGAACTACATGGATGGTTCCTGGAATGTCCCTGGATATCCAAGGTATCTTGAGACCTCGGGGCAGCTATGGTGACTGTGATTGAATTTACTTACAACCATCTAGACACCACCTTGGCTCCTGAAATTGGTACCACTGGGCTGCAATGTGACAAGAAATACATCCTGATTTTCATCGATCTCGATGCCATCCTGCCTGGCACGAAAGTACAGTCCATCATTCTGCATTGGTATCAATCACATCTTCTAGTGGATTGCACAAACCCTCACCATCCATCATTGATCGTTCCTGGCAAGAGCCACGAGGACAGGGGTCCCCTTGCAGCCTCGTACATTGCACCTCGCGCACCTCCTCATACCCGCCATCGCTATGTGTTCCTTTTATTTGCGCAACCCTCCGAATACCTCTTTCCTGATTGCTTCGCACACGTGTTTCCGGAGACCCCCAGCGCCCGATCTGGCTTTGATATCAGGAGGTTTACGCAGGCTGCAGGCCTGGATATGCCCCTTGCCATGAACTTTTTCATTGGCTGTCATGAACCCACCGATGGTGGGCCTACTACTGTTGTCCGCGCTACGACAACTTCCTTCCGTTCTGTCAATTGTCCCACAAGTGCAACGAGGCCTTTGTATGAAGCGAACCACACATGGTGATGGGAATGATGGCATGCATCTTCTGTTTCTGTGGTGACCTCCGTAGTCGTTGGGATGAAGTCGATTCTTCGTGAAGTTACACATGTCATCTTACTAGGTAGTTTCTGCAGGCAACTGAACTTTGATGAATACATATTGTCAAAGGAAGAAATTATCAGTAACCCATCCCGAGTTCTGTCATGGCTCAAGTAACCTCATTATTTCGACAGTTACTAGGTATACATCATATATTTTCATACATATCTCGGGTCAACCTGAGAACCATCAAACTTCCAAGGTTGAAAGTTGATGACCATCCCCCCTGCCACTTATTCACCATGTGTTTCTTTGGCATACTCTTGTACATGCTTTTCGCAGTGACCTCCTGGGACGTCCTGTATGATCTACTGCTTGATGTCTTTTAATATCGCTGGGATTGGGACTCTCCTTGAGCACAATATCTCCATAAATTTTAACATGCAAGTAGACTTGGTTTGCCTCAGTAGCGACCTGACAAGAAACCGCTGAAGCAAACTGGGTCTTTCAAGGTTGGAGATGTGAGGGCTCTTGTTGCTTTTAAGGCTACAATGAAGAGTTATCAGGTAATTGCACAGTCTCACCTGCATTGGCTTCGGGTATTGGTGGCTAATGGTCACGAGAGACAGATGCCCTCGGTGGATAGGAATGGCGAATTGTATTATGTGTTTACCTAGTAGATAGCTTCTTCAGACCGAGGTCGTTTCCATACCTACCTCGTATTCCTATCAACACAAGACAAGATCGCCTATCCCAGATTACTGAACCATCACGCTGTAGGAACATATGGTAAACATTGAAATAGCAGATAAAAGGAATTAAAGTTACGTTCAAAGGAATCTTGATCTGAATTGTGTTCATCAAAGCCAAGATCAGGCTTGTAAGCTATTTTCATTCGCTTAATTTGATTTTCGGGATCAATATAGCATTTTATCGAGCGAAGAGAGAAGGCAGTAGCTCACAGCTCTTGTATGTCTGCGCAATGTCACTCTGCGGAGATCGCTGGATACTGGGTTTCCCCTTCCCATTTCCTTTCTCGGCCCTGACCGGCAATTCATCATTATATCCTATGAGATTGGATGTTAGTTCTGAGCTATAGCAAATTGAAGAAAGACAGAAATTACCATGACTTCGATTGTCACCTCCTGCGTCATATCTCATTGAAATCAAAATACTGTCCGACAAAGAGACTTGGGTCTCTCAGTATCCGATACAAACGTCTTCAAGTCGCACAGCTGAAGGAACCGAGGCTAGCATCAGATGATAAGGTTCCTAATCCCTGACGGCACGACGGCCAGCCCAAAGCAAGAAGTACGGTACCTGCACGCAAGTATCAAAGGGAGGGTAGGACAAGAAAGATTTGTCAAAGAGTTCGTGTCTCTGGATGTAACGCTTCGTTTTTGGCAAATGCTCGAGAGAATCTCCTTCGAAATCTGGATAGAGAACATCGTCCTTTGGACCTAGAGTAGGAGTGCAATCAAAGGTGGTGCGATACGTTGTTGGACAGTGTGGGTTTCTGCGGTTGGGAGGGAACTCACCTTAACTCACAAGGGAATACAAAAGCTGCCATGAATCCGGGGCTTGGACTAGATCAATCTCAAGCTAAAGAAGTTCATATCGACTGAACTTCGCCCAGTCGTACGTATTCATACGAATTCACAGCCCAGAAGCCCATGATCAGGGCTTCAACTGGGCTCATTTCCCCACAACTGAATGGTCTACTTCCTAACCAGAAGGTCCGTACAACCTGTAACGCCTGCCAACAAGCGAAGATACGATGCAGTCACACTCACCCATGCGATCGTTGCGTGAGTCATGGGTTTGAGTGCGTCTACTCGATCTCGCAGCCGTTGGGTCGTCCGGCCAAGAAGAAAGGGAGCCGGTCGACTCTAGGGTTACAGGCGGGTAGGACCGAGGGGGAAGGAGGCCGTTCGTTGAGGAGGGGTGCATTTGGGGGTGCACCAAGGTCGGCGACAGGGAGAAGACAGAGACTCCCCACACAACGGGTCGAGTCCGAGTCGAATCCCTCCCGGGAGTCGCATCGGGGCGACTCTGGCACAGAGGTCACAGATTGCGAAACAGACCTCGGAGTGCCAGCGAGTACACGGACCGTTTCAAAGGCTCAAGGTAAGCAGAATCCTTGGCCTAACGGCTCAATACTCGGTAGATTGACGACCCTTAAAATGAGTAGAGTCACCTTCATTCAGGGATCGGGTCCAAGACCAGACTGTCAGCGCGGAGGCCAACAACGCCTCAGGGACCAGGGACCAAGTTCAAGAACCGGACGTCCCATTCGAAACGCTGCAGGACTGGGAAGGAGGATACGATTCCCTGGAGTATCCCCATCTGTTGCAACGGAATTTTAACTCATTCACAGTGCCAAATACTCCCCTGGTCGGTCTGATGATCGACGACGCCCCCACGCTCCAACTCCTGGATCGAGAACGGAGTTCTCTTGAAGTAGCGCCAGGCTTTATGCAAGGCCTCGTCCTCGCAAGTGATGCATCTTATCATTTTTGCCTTGCGCCGAATGCAAGACAGATCTCGGGAATGATCCACCACCCGTGGCGCATCATGGAATTGCCCTCCACTGATGAGCGCCATGGCCAGCCGGATTCTTGTTCCAGTCATTCTCTTTCCCCGGAAAGAATTGACCTGGAGTATCTGTCTGCAGATTCCTTTTCCACTCGCTGTAGTTGCTGCCAATGAAAAACCAGCGAGTGGCTCACGCAAGTACAAATATGAAAATGGTAAAATGCTCTAGCTTGTAGGGGCGCGCCAGGCACGAAGCCTTTCCGCTCCGAAGTCCTCGAGTGTTCGAATCAACAGAGCGACTGTGATGATGGTGGGCATGCCACCAACCACGACAATGAGGACCGTTCTCATCACTGTCTTCACAGGGGGTCTCATTCACCATGGGGGAGTGGGCGACGTCAAACGATTGCTCCCAGATCTGTCTCCATTGTCAGCTCTCCATCACCGATAACTCTGAGCCTCATCCTCACATTGGCTCTTGGTGATGGTCCACGAGATAGATCGAGGGCCGCAATCGACTGTTCCAACTGCCGAGCAGCTACCGTCCGCCTGTTCACTGTGTAATTAGAGTTAGAAGCCTTTGCGCAAATGAAGATACCTTTGAGTCGTTGAAATGTTCCGCTGCTCCTTCGGACTGGAAGCTTGGTGCCGCAGATATATGGTTGATGGTTGATCAATGTCGAAAAAAAGCGTCAGCTATATAGCCAGACGGTGAGAATAAATCGCCGATATGATGTATTACAGCAGAAACATGCCGAAAGTCCAGAGTCATCAGAGGCTATCAACCCGTGTGACCCTCAGTTCACACCATATGCCTCGCACAGTGGCCAGTCTCCCCGAATCTGCTGTCACACCCAAGGTGACATGCCAGCTGAACTCTTACATGTACCGGAAGTCCCGGCTGGGCAGGTTGGGTCTGTTTATTTGTCATGAAAAGGCAATTTCATATGATGTTGAGCTCGAAGAGATATTGGTGAGGGCAGGCCAATCCACTTGTAACCCACAAGTGTGAAACTTTTGCTTCGGGGCATTTTTCATCATCTCCTTGGTGGGCAGCGTAACCATCGACAGCGTAGTTGGAAATGATTCTGTGTAGTATGTTCGTTAAGACCTGACCCAACTACCACCTGGGCACCGGCATGGTATGATTGATTGATGATGTGGGCCTGGATGATGGGAGAGTCGTATTTCGTCCTGAGGGTGTAATACTGCGCACCAGATTTATCCCCACATACTTTTTTTTTCGTGATCATTTCCCGGACTGTATTGGAAGTTTTATCTCCAAGGTTGCTCTGGGGTATGTCCAATTCCAGTAAGCGAGCCAAGAGAGTGAGAGATACATCCAAGCTCAATTGAACACATCCGACGACAAATAGCCTACTAGTACCCACCTGAACCTGTACGCCGTGTAAGCTGTTGGCCCAGAGAATGAGCAAAATCTCTTTGACAAATCACCGTACTATGAAACACGACGCGGCGTGTTTTGAACTAAACTGAGTCTTGAAGCGGCCTGCTGACACCCCAACACACCCGTGCTGAAGCCAAAATAATCTATGCGAGAAGCTTCGCATAGTCCAATTGCTTGGAGAGGGGAGAACACATGAGATTCACACAAGATATCGAGCTGGGCAGGTTTCAAGATTTTGCGCTTTTGTGTAGATCGCCGAGCTGTCAAGACTCAAAACCATACACGCCAAATGTCAAATGCCAAATGAAGGACCCTATCGAGGCCAAGGCTTCTCAAAGACCCCCGTCCATTGAGCCCAGCCAATGACCTTGCCCTCCATTGCCCGTTTGATGTCCTCCTTGCTAGCTGTTTCCGGGGCTGGAAACTTCAACGACTCGCTGAGCGCGATGATCGTGAAGACGTATCGATGTTTTCCATGTCCAAGTGGAGCGCCAGCACCAACGTAGGGCGTTCCTCGCACATTAGGAACAAACCGCCAGCCAGCCACGGTCTGGCGAGATAGCTTGGCATGTTCTCCTGGTGCGATATCCTTCGGCCCGGCCTTGGTTGTTGAGGCGGGTATGGCCCATAAAAGACCATGGTGGAAGACGATGAATGGGATAGGGGGGTCAAGGTCTTCGCATAATAGTACGTATTCCTGCACCTCTTCGCGGGAGTTGGGTGCCGTCCAGCGTAGCTCGGGAAGCACCCCTCGTCCATCGTCTGCTTTGCAGGTACAATTGAGAGGAAGCTTGGAGCCAGAAGGGCCTATTTCTGGAGCCGTGAGAGTCATGTTCGATCGGGGGAGGTCTTTGAAAGCCGGGCAATGAAGGATTTGACAAGAATCATGGCCACGAATGGGGTAGAGTAGCCGACCCAGGAGAAATTCGAGATAATGTAAAACTCCCATCGTCTCAGAGTAAAAGGGATGTAGTCGTTTGTAAAAGAGAGAAATGAACAGAGAATAAGACATTTCGCAGTTGAAGTCAACACTCCAGGCCGATTGGGAAATTGCCCTGGACCGGGCCGCAATCGGGACGCGCAGAGGAGATGGAAGCATTCAGCGGATTCTCTTTGCTTCGTTGGAACTCAGGATGTTCGATACCTTGAGGTAGCTAAACTCTAAAATCATGCTAGCAACTTTTGTAGCACCTGGGTGATGGTGATCAAAGGTCCCTGTGCATTCCGATCTCTCGGTTCCCGGATCTCCCGCTTGACTCTTGTACGATGCCAATGGTGGCTTGTCCTTCGACGGCGATCATGCTGTAGCTGTGTTCTTCGTTGACGAAGTAGGCTAGTTGCTCGTTCCTTTCATGACTTCGTCATACTTAATTTGTTGCGATCAACTCTTTTGGCTACAAACGGGACATGATCCTAAAGAACCAAAAGGGCCGGCTTGAGTTCCATGCCCAACATCATCAAGGCATGGGTGATTTACATCACGACGCAACAACGCTAGCATAACCATTGAAATCCCCTTTCTCTTCAAGGATGATCGGGATCTCGTCCTCCACCAGAGATGCGAAAGTGTCCTTCTCCAGAGGCGCCCAACCCAACTGTCGCAGCCGGCTAGCCCTGTTCTTCGCATTGGAGCCAACCACAACCTCAGAGAATCCGCCAAACAGATCGCCATAATTTGCTTCCGGAATGGTCTTGGGTGCGCATTGGCCGATCTTTCCTGCGCCTTTCAAGATTCGGCCAATCTCGGCAGCGCATTTGCCCCATGAAAGCTGCTGGCCGTTCTCGCAGAAGAAGTAGGGATTCTTTGCAACATCCTCCACCGGTGCACCTTCCATCCAGTGTAGTAAAACCATGTATCCCCGTGCCAAATCTTTCACGTGGATGTGATTCCAAACCGAAAGACCCTTACCGATCTGACCTGCGTATCCGTGCTTGATCGAGTACCGGACAAGGGTGGGCAGCTGGATCGAGAGACGCTTTTGTCGAGTGGGCACACCGTAGATGACAGGTGGGATCATAATGGCCATTTTGGCGTGGGTGGCCAGCTCTCGCTGTGCGCGGACAATGGCGAGATCAATCAGCCGATGGGGCGCAGAATCCGGCAGAGCATCGATTTGAGAGGGGGTTTGATCGTCGAAGACCGTGTCACTCTCGTATTCTCCTGCAGATGGGTCCGCAATCAGACTTGTTCCGCTGTTGTGGAGGTAGATGGTTTGTCGACCCATCTGCGTCCGCTGTCTCACGCCCTCGAGAATGGCTTCGACAGAGGGCAGGTGGTCTGCAGTTGCAGTGTGGAATACAATGTCGCTGATTAGCACTTGATTTTTGATCAGTGATGCATCATCCAGCGTTCCCACGACGGCCTTGACGCCTATCTGGGCGAATTCCGCCACGGCTGATTCCTGTCGTACCAGGGTGGTGACATTATATTTGGATGTGAGGAGCAGATCGATGATCTCGCCGCCGATGAAACCGGGTCCAAGGAGGAATACAGACCGCGACATTCCGATGTGTTGGCTTGGATGTTCACAAGTTCGCGAGGTCCATATTTATACTCGAATGACTGAAGGTTGACGTCCGGATGAGTCAGTTCAGAGGATTTCGAATCAACTCGGGAATATGTCGCCGAGTATGGCAGGTCTCATGTCCAGGCAAGTATCGGACACATTACGGGCAGATGCAAGCTCCGAAGCAATTGACGAGACGTGCTTAGCAAGCAAGTGGATGTGAGCTCTGGATGTCAGAATGTAGGAAGGTCGAAGCGGTGAAAGCGGAGTCACGGGCTTTGCAGCGATTCGGCTTTACGACATGGCGCCTTCACTCCAATACTAAAACTACAGCCTCCCAGCCTCCCAGCCTCTCAGCCTCTGCCGAAACCCTGGAGTCTAGGCACTATTAATCTATGGAGATCGCGAGATAAAGCTGAGCCCAAACGGGTGTCGATCCCGCCGATCGTGACATCAGCCTCGCTGCCCAGTGGGCACTTCCGCCCGCATCCGTGCGAATTCCTGTTCCTGGATTCCCCAATTGGGTCTCTCCCTTGGGGGCACTTTGCACTTCACACCATGTTGTCTTTCGTCTCGGCTGCGTTCTCGCCAGCTCCAGAAGGTGCACCACAGCGGCCTCCTCGGTATCTCGGGGAGGACACTACACCGACGAGTCGCCGAGAGATCCTGGGCTGGTATTCGTATGGGATTGCGGCGGAGGTTTTTGCCGTCTGCGGCGTAGGTTCGTGGACCTGGCCAAAGTCAAACTCAACCCGTGGAACTAGTACTAATCTTTTTCTCGGGCAGGCTCGTTTCTACCGTTGACGCTGGAACAATTGGCTCGTGAACGCGGCACCCTCCAAAAGAGCCACCTCCCATGCACCGGTCCCGCGGCGGGCAACAGCACGGATGGCGCTGACGGGCAGTGTGTGGTTCCGGTCTTCGGTCTTGAAATCAACACGGCGAGCTTCGCTATGTATACTTTCTCGCTGGCAGTGCTTATTCAGGCCTTGACGTTGATCTCGTTCAGCGCGCTGGCAGACTACGGTATGGTTGCAGAAAACACGGGCTGAAACACAGCGAAGAAGGGCAATGTTAACGACAGGGTCTCCCCGATCGCGATTGCAGAAAACAATCGCAAAACCTTACTGATGGCCTTTGGGTTTGCCGGCTCCCTGGCCAGTATGCTCTTTGTGTTCATTGCGCCGCCCGTTTTTATCCTCGGTTCTATCCTCGTGGTCGTCGGTGTGACCTGTCTCGGATCCTCATTCGTCGTTCTCAATTCATTCCTCCCCGTACTGGTCGCCAATGACGCTTCGCTCCAGGACAGCAAGGCGCATGAAGGGGCGGAGTTATCGAATCTGGACCCGGACGACGGTTCAGAGTGGAACGCCTGGAGAGACGACGATAACGATAGCTTGGATGGACTGCAGGCATCACATCAGCCTGCTCGCTCGCCGGAGGAGGGCCAGGGGACTGGAACTTCCCCATCCTCCTCGCCGGAGCTGCAGCTATCCACGAAGATCTCGTCTCGGGGTATCGGTCTGGGGTACTGCGCCGCGCTATTTGTGCAGATCATTAGCATCATCATGCTCCTCACGCTGTCCAAAACATCTCTCGTCAATATATCGGCTACGCTTCCCATGCGCTTCGTCTTGCTTCTGGTCGGCATCTGGTGGGGCGCATTCACGCTGGTCACCCGGAATCTCTTGAAGACCCGACCGGGTCCTCCGCTCGACAGTGTGTCGACCCAAGGTGCCGCGCGCTGGCGAGCCTGGCTCCGGTTGGTGGGCTTTGCCTGGAAGTCTCTATGGCAGACCGTCAAAGTTGCGATGCAGCTGCGGGAGATTCTCATCTTCCTCGTGGCGTGGTTTCTGCTCTCAGACGCCATCGCCACTGTCTCTGGCACGGCGATTCTGTTCGCGCGCACCGAGCTCAAGCTGAGCACGCCCCTCGTGGGCCTTCTTTCCATCACGGCGACCGTCTCCGGGATGGCGGGCGCGTTCCTGTGGCCGCGGGTGTCGCGACACTTCGGTCTGCAGTCGAATCACACCATCATCGTCTGCATTGTCTTGTTCGAAATCGTCCCGCTCTATGGGTTGCTGGCCTACGTCCCTTTCATCAAAAACTGGGGGGTCATTGGATTGCAGCAGCCCTGGGAAATCTTCCCGCTTGCCATCGTGCACGGCGTGGTGTCGGGGGGGTTGGCGTCCTATTGCCGATCCTTCTTTGGTCTGTTGATCCCGCCCGGGAACGAGGCCGCTTTTTACGCCCTCTACGCCGCGACTGACAAAGGGAGCTCGTTCATTGGTCCCGCAATTGTGGGCGTTCTGGTGGACGCGACCGGTCAAGTCCGGAGCGGGTTTTTCTTTATTGCCATCCTGATCCTTCTGCCCATTCCCCTTGTCTGGCTTGTTAACGCGGACAAGGGTCGCCGCGAAGGCTTGGCTATGGCTGAGACCCTGAAGTCACATGGTGCGGAAGATGAGGAGGCGGAGGGCCTGTTGGGCCGTCGATGATATAAAATAGATATGACATATATGAATACCCTGTAGCTACGCGAAATGAAGCCAACGGCCGCATTCAGACTTATTCCCCCCATCGCCCAGTCGAATACTACTATATAGTAGTACTAAAATTCTGTAGAGTGGCCAAACTAGTCAACTCGAAAATAGATTAGAGATTGTTAAGCCTTTCTAGCCGGTAGGCAACGTGCAAATGGACCCTGAAAAGTACTTCGCAGTGGAGAAAATAGAACATGTCTCATCGCGACGCCCGATATCCTGACACTTGGCCAATCCCCGGCCGGCGACACTCTCGAATGGGGGCAGTGGACCCCCCGCGAACCCTGAAATGGCCTTGGCTTCTTTTTAGCTGCGCATTAGTTCGAATCAGGGTCTTTGCTTGGTACGTGGGAGCCTAACAGTATGGGCAATTTTTGCCTTCTGTGTGGCTTCATGAATTCTATCGTATAAGAATCCTCTGCCCCCGGAAGCTTCACTCCAAACTCTGCCCGTCTGCCCGTCTGCTCTGATGTTGCTCACAATTCTCTCTTCTCTGCTGTTGCTGGTGAATGCTCAGCCCCATGGGCGAGGGCTCTCGGTGGAACCTGTGGAAGACTGCTCTCTTCTCCCCGCCTACAATGAAGAGACGAGGATAGCCGGTCCCTGGACCGTCCACGTCGACTCCTGTTATAATGGCACGGCCACGGATGGGAGATGTACGATCGAGGGCTTTGGATCTAGTTCGGATGTGACCCGCCAACGGGGCGACCCGGTGGATTTGATTAAGCATGGATTTGTATGACAACACTCAGGAACTCATGAAAGACCATGCTAACAGACCCCTTCTAGATCACCATCGTCAGCAGCAGCGAGAATGTCAAAACACAACTCCGCTGCAATGGCACCCTCAACCGGATCGAGGCCTATGTCCCCGCGGGCCCCGACGCCTATGAATGGCAAGCCCTCGGCATCAACCATCATCCCAGCACGGGCCGACTGGTCTGGGGCAGAGACTTCGAGCCGGTGCAGGCATATCGACACTATCGCCGAGGTCAGACCGTGGATGGGATCTTCCTTGGGGCGAACAAGCAAACCAACTGGGCGGTTCACTCGTCCGGGAGGGATGTCAGCATTGAGGACTTCAAGCCGTACTGGGTGATGCGATTGATGATTCCGGAGACTACGTTCCGCAAGAATGAGTTCCACACCCTCATTCGCATTGATGGCAGTTGACTCGACGCGGTCCCGATTTGGTTCGGTGACTGTTGCTCGTTCTCTTATACCCTGTCGCTTTGCATGTTGATTCTTAGTATTTCAAGCGTCTCTTTCGTAATTCAGCGCCTCGTTTTCTTACTTTATGCTCTATGGTCTATGGTCTATGCTCTACACTCTATGCTCTGGTAGATTTCCGACGTGGATCGATCTCTGCGGTCCCGCCCTTTATATGCTTCGATACAGGTGGGTTATTGCTGCTCTCCATAGCTGTTCGCAATACTTCCCCGGGCAATCATTAAGTCACTCACCGTAATGCAAGCACTACGGAGTACAAAGGGACTAAGAAGAAGGAAAAAACGAAACAGAAAAAAGAAAAAGACAGGGTTCTCCTCTGTGGATCGAAGCAGATCTACAGAGTACAGCACCGACACCTGAGCGTTGGCAAGATTCGGACTCAATTTCGTGTTTTTCTTTGTTTAATTTTCTCCTTGTTTCCTGATTCTTCGCTGCTCCGACCGGAGCATATTGGGGACACCCGTCGACCAAGTGATCCCCTGTCTCGCCTCGAAACTGCGTCGGTTCAACACTGAAGATTCAAGTGTGGATGTGTACCAGCACTACCTTGACAGCAATATTTGAAGCCTTTTTAGCCCCAAAGGGTTCAATGCGGCCACTCGCTCCTTAAAGCCATGCGAGGGCAAAGTGTACATTGGAAAAGCACCACACAACCTTAAAATACGGAGTATAGCCCAGTCACAATGATTACAACCTTGAATGATTAGGCTGTGGAATTCCCGATAAATTCAAGTAACCTCGTTGAGAAAACTATGGAAAAGACATTCTCCCGGAGGTCCGTTTCACGAAGGGAATAGTCTCATTCCAAGGCCCAATCAGCCCACTCCCTCGCTTACCCCAGCCTTCCCCAGACATGAACTCGTTAAGCGGGGAGGAAATCAGGTGCACATCCTAGTCTTGCTCTCATCCCTGTCTACCTCTGATAGGTGCAAAATCTTACATGGCCAACTCTGCCTTTCCCGCACTCGGTCTAGACAGGTGATTGAATAGTCAATATCTTGGCCATTGCCAGTTCTCTTAGGACTTGGCTCCGTCCGTCGTGTTCAATTAGCCTGAATGCCTCGTGGGCTGATGCTGATCGGGAATGAATCCCAATGGCTCTGGATCTCATCTACGCGATGCCATGCGAGCTAATGCATGTGGATCAATGTGTCGGTATGCAAAGTATATAGAGGCGATCATGCCCCCCTGCGATGGACGAAAGCGAGGTGACATCTCTTGAAAGGACTATTCGGCAGGCCGACTTCTTTTTGGACCTTGAACAATGGCGTCCGCTGCCGATACCGCCATTGCGCTGGAGAAGACGGCCGCACACCATGTGGAGGATACTTTGGGCCAGGGCGCGATCCTGGAGGCCAAGCAGGCCACTGACGATGAACATTCTCAGACTTTGATGCAGTGCCTGCGGGAGAATCGCAAGGCAGTGATGTGGTCTGTTCTGGTCTCTGTGTCCATCGTCATGGAAGGATACGACACCATCCTCATGGGCAACTTCTTCGCCTACCCGGAGTTTCAGAAGAAATATGGACAGGACTATGGCGGCGATATTGGATGGCAGGTCTCGGCTCCATGGCAGACGGGCCTGAACATGGCCAGCACTGTGGGATGCATTTTTGGTATGCGGATGTCCTTGTCTCGCATCGATGCGCAACTAACTCGTTTCCAGGGGGTATTCTGAACGGGTACTGCGCGTCCAAGTATGGGTATCGGATTGTGATGGTGATTGCGCTGGGATTCCTAATTTGTTTCATCTTCATCACCGTGTTCGCCAACTCGGCGGCGGTCCTCCTGGTCGGACAGGTCTTGTGCGGATTATCATGGGGAGTCTTTGCGACCATCGGCCCTGCATATGCTTCTGAAGTCTGCCCCACGAATCTGCGCGGATATCTCACCATCTACGTCAACATGTGCTGGGCCATTGGTCAACTGATCGCCTCGGGCGTGCTGTACGGGCTGGTTGGTCGAACGGACCAATGGTCATACCGCATCCCTTTCGCTCTGCAGTGGATTTGGCCAGTGCCCCTCATCGCCATCTGCTGGCTGGCCCCGGAGAGTCCCTGGTGGCTCGTTCGTAAGGATCGCCTCGAGGATGCGAAGCGCAGTATCCGTCGATTGGGCGGCTCTAAGACAGAAGAGCAGATCAACGGCCAGCTCGCGATGATGGTGCACACCATCAAGATCGAGGCGGAGATCGAAGCAGGCACCACCTACTACGATTGCTTCAAGGGTGTCGACCTGCGCCGCACTGAAGTCTGCTGCGTGGCGTTCGTGGGCCAGATCTTGTCCGGGAGCACATTCGCCTACTCGCCCACTTACTTCTTCACCCAGGCCGGCATGGACACTAGCCGCTCTTTCCAGCTGGGCGTGGGCTGCACGGGTGTGGCCTTCGTCGGCACCGTGTTGTCTTGGTTCTTGATCACCGGCTTTGGTCGTCGCACCCTCTATGTCTGGGGTCAGGCCATTCTGTGCACGACCTTGTTCCTCATCGGCATCCTCAACGCCGCATCCGACACCAACGGCGCGATGTGGGGACAGGCGGCGCTTTGTTTCTTCTGGCTCTTCACCTATTCCTTGACTGTGGGACCCATCACTTATGCCATTGTCTCTGAGATGTCTTCTGTGCGCCTGCGCCCGCTGACCGTCTGCCTGGCGCGCACCTCCTACCAGATCATCAACGTGGTCTCGCAAGTTCTGCAACCCTACTTCATGAACCCGACCGCCTGGAATGCGTCCGGTAAGACGGGCTTCTTCTGGGGTGCCACCGCACTGGTCGCGTTCTTGTGGGCATTCTTCCGTCTCCCGGAGCCCAAGGACCGTACCTATGCGGAGCTGGACATCCTCTTTGCGACCAAGGTGCCTGCTCGCAAATTTGCGTCGACTGTGGTGGATGCCTATGCGGTGGCCCCTTCTGTGTCGCAGGAAGGTTTGGTGCGCGAGGTTACGGAGACGAAACACTGAGAGTGTTTCCAGCCCCTGTAGTTGCATTTAGCCAGTTTCACAATCTGCATCAAAATCTGCCATTCAACTCCGTATCTTGTGTCGCATCTGTTTCAAGAGGCAACGTCTCTGAAAATTGGTTTGGGTTGTTCAAATCCCGCGATTAATGGTCATAGTGCTCAGTACATCTGCACTAAAAGCAAGATCTACGTATACAGTACGGAGTATTACTCCGTACTACTAGTACTCTACTGTCCAAACCAGTCTGCGGAATCCGTTCAGATGTGGACATCTCGCTTAAGGGGCCCAAAGATCGCCAGTTGATCGAAATCAGCAGCAATAGCGCCAAGTAGCGCGCGTTTCAAGCCTCAATTATACATTTAATTTTCATTATTGATACATTAAAAAAATCATGAATTACGCACAGACACGCGGACAGACCTCTCGACTTTCCAGCCTGGGGATTCAGCGCCCGCCCGGGACGGATTCAGATCCTCTTCGGAACTAGTGGGCGCCTTTTGTCGGCTGCCCATGATAGTCGTGGTGATCCCGTGGTAATCATCGCTCTCTCGGCCAGTCCAGAGTTGGTCATCGCGCGACTCGCGCTTGGACCGCGCCGAACGATGCCCGGCGACATTGCTGGCGAGAGGGTAGGAGGGGGGCGTGCGACTAGGGCCGGCGGAGGAGCCCTCACGGAGGAATCGGACGAGGGGGCGCAGGGTGGTCAGACACCCGGCTGTAATGCCAAGGCCGGCTTCGACGTTGGACCAGATGGAGATTTGGTAGGTATTATCTGGTGATGTTAGTTATTCGTTGGTATTGCAGGGAGAACAAGGGACATACATAAGAACTCGCGGTCTTTGTAGTGGTGAGCGAAAGGAATGCGGATAATGACTGCGGCACTGGCACTGCGGGGGGTTAGCGTTGCCGATAGATGAAAAGATAAAGTGCCGAGGATTCACGAACATGCAACCAACGCCCAAAATCCCGATAATGGCACACTTGTTGCGCGTGTTCATGCGCAGATTCCAGATCAGCGCCACCGGGAGCAGTCCAATGGTCAAATCGGTGATGGCCGCGCCAACACTGTACAGGTAGGCGATGTCGATCAGAACGTCGTTACTGACACACTTGCCCGAGGCGCCCGGTTGCGCCCGGTTCCAGAAGAAGTCGACGGGGGCGCATTGGAAGATGGTGAAGAAGAAAAAGATGGCGCCCACGACCGAGGCCAGGATCATGGCGGCGTAAAGAATGTAGGCGTGGATGCGGTCCACGGTGATGCGGAGTAGGGCGATGATGATCGAGACCTTGGCGGCGACACATGTCAAGACGTAGAAGAGTTGTCCAATCCACCAGCACTGGGCGTCTGTGAGTATGCGATTTTGCGAGTTTCATTCCTGGGGCGCAACCTACCAGCAATGCGCGGTGGAAATCTTCCTGGTTGCCCGGGATGGCGAAGTAGGCCAATGTCCTCCCTAAGCCAAATTTGCATGCGATGATCCCGCTGACGGCGAAGGCCATGTTCAGACCCTGTCTGGCATTAGCCTGGCCCTATTCCCCGAGCGGTGCGACTTACCATCGCCAACAGCATGACCCCATCATCCCACCCGAATGCGCGCACGATGCGAGTGCGCACGACACATCGCAGGATGACGCTCAGGAGAGAGATGCCGAGAAAGACGGAGGTCACGATGAGGATGGCCTTGCTTCGGCTGTCATCGAGATTGATGCCAGATAGTTGGGTCTCCATGGTGAGCATGGGAATCCCATCCGCCGGAGAAAACTGAGGGACCGGGCTGGTTTTATTCGAGATCCCCGGCTATTTACCCTGCTTCAGTGGGCCAAGGCCACAAAAAGGAGCATTACACTACCTGGTGGGGGACTCTGGATCTTAGTGCGGAGTCTATCATCCGATCGGCACGAGACAATTATATATGTACAGTAGCTCGGCAGTTTCATATCAGATCCCAGTACATACATATCTACCTACTATAGATATTACTGTACAGTACTACTATGCAGTACTATAGTACTGCCTAGAGACTGGCTGTTGGCATTCTATAGAATAGCAAGGCTGTACGGAGTACTGATACTGAAAATTAGAACGTGCAGGTCGGACATCTGCCGAGGTGCCCTTGCATATGTACAATCGATACTGTACGGTATTGCGCAGTACCTGCGCAGGTACTCCGTACATACGCAGGGACAGTTCTTCAGACTTTTCCCAACGGCGCCTCAGTACCAAAATATGCCTAAAAGTCTAAAGAACGGCGAAGATGATTGGCGCATTTTTTGGATTTATGGATGTTTCCCAAGGTTTCCTGTTTCGGTAGATCTCCACCCGTTCGGGGCTGGATCGTCTCGTTCGACTAGTGCAGGTCTATACGATCAACTCGGACGTGAGATTTCGACTTTGAAACGCCTGCATGAAACGCAGTTTCATGCGCATATCCATGCTGGCAATCCTACTACCTACCTAGGTACCTAGGTATACCAGTACATACATGCGAGGTAAAAATGCACCTTCCAGATCGGGTCTAGACCAATCCCGCTACCAGAGATCTGCTGGAATGCAAGAATACAAATAATACAAAAATACTGTACGATGACTGTACCGACACCCGCGAAGGGACCGTGGAAACTACTATTGCTCCCATGGATGAGTTTCGAGGCGCGGGGAACCATCGCGCCTATTCACTAGTGCTGATGCCTCGTGTTTCGCGTCTACTCGGGATGTGCACGTATCACCCCCGATCGGGAACTACTACTTCGCACTAGCAGAGCCCGGGCTTTTATTTAGGATCGCCGCGGATCATGATTATCCTATGGGTCCAGAGATACGAGAAGCTAGGTTCGAGGCAATCTCTCACAGGGCAAGTAACTCAGACAGCAATCTCTCATAGGGATGACAAGTGGTCTATGCTTAACAGATGATCAGATTGGTACAATTTTTGGGATGGTCATTTTTCTGGTCGACCATATTTCAAGGTGCTGAGGTGCCATGACGCCAACCTAAGGCTTAAGCTTCCAGTTCACCGGGTGGGGCCAACCGCCAACCTTGTGGGCGGAAATCTCGCCTAAAGGGGCTCAGGGAACTCTATGTTTGTACTATAGGATCGCTCTCGTTCATGCAGAGGCACTAGGGCCCGCGCCAGACATGGTACCACTGGGAGCGGAACCACTAGGGGCACCACCACCACCACCACCACCTCCGGCAAAGGTGCTATCCTCATTTTGATGGCCACCGTCCGCATCGTGGTACGCGGCGATGCTGTAGTAGGAGTTGTCTGTGAAATCAGCGGTGGCGTTGATTCCAATCTGAATCCATGCAAACAGGCCATCGTCGAGGTCATCGCCAAGGTAAAGGTACTCCGGGAAGGGGTCGTAGGCACTGTCGGCCTGTTCGATACTCCACATGTCCTCCGCGTTGGAGGTGACATTTTGCGTGTTGGTGTTGTACGGGTAGGTGTCCTCTACCGCGGAACGGAGCACCTCGTTCCAGAACAGCTGGCCAATGTGCGCGACGCTACCGGTGCCAACCTCGAGGGTCTTGTTGGGAAGAAGGGTGGCATTCAGGTGCGTGAGCAGGTGAGTATGTGTCGCACGCCCCTCGTAGTGGCCCGGGAAGATGCTCTCGAAGGTGGCCACACCGTCACGATCCGTTTGTTGAATGCCACGCAGGTAGGTAGAGTCCCAGCCGTCGGCAGCATAGTTGCCGGACTCGGAGATTCCACTGTTGATGGCATCGTCAGACGGAACTCAAGAAATCACGATGCATCGGGAACAGTCGATCACATACCTGTATACACCAGTGGCATTGGCCTGCCAGATATCAACCAGCGCTCCTGGGACGGGTTTGCAGGTGTTGATATCGATGTATTGCACCTCAAGGAAAACATCCACACCATCGGAGTACAAGTCTTCCTTCACGTTTTGGCGCACGACTTCGCCCCAGACATAGTACGGGCCGTCGGTGACCGTGGGCGACAGGATGCAGCTTGTGTTGGCGGCAAAAATGACCGACTCGGGCGTGGCGGAGCTGTAGTCCAGGACTCCGGTGCGGTTGTGGTCAATTGCCTCCCACTTCTCGAGCGCGGCGAGGTTACGACGCTGCTTTGGGGGAGCTGGATTCAGGTCAGCCAGGATCTCGGGGGGCTCGGAGATGTCGTACCAGTGATGCCGCGCTTCTGGCGAAGCTGTTGGACGGTGCGTGAGCGACGAGCGATGCTGCGCCGATTGAGCTCTCGCGCGTGGAGGGTGCTTTCACATCCACCAAGGGAGCGCTTGGCGTGAGAGGCCATGGCATCACGGGTATGGATCTCCCGCTTGAGAACATGGGGGTCATGTTTTTCGCCTGGGTGAGCAATGGCGGGAGCCGCCAAGCATGCTGCTGCAATGGCAATGTATTTTGAAAGCTGGACCATCGTGGATCTCAAAGTTGTCAGGCTGGAGCTGTCTGGATTCCAGGACTATCACGGCAGCCTGTATTTATACATGATCGCGGTCTCTCACACCTGTTACTGGCCGCGTGTCGTCCTGGGAGCACCCGAAATTTCTGGACTGGGGCAATTGTGTAGTCTCCGTCAATGCCTCAGACTCGAAGGCTAGCACTAGAGGCGGCACGATGCTTGGCGCCGCGTCAACCTTTGGTGAAAGCCAGGCGTTGACAAACCTAGCTCCACGAGGTTAATCAATTCAAGCAAAGATCACCCATCCCCAACGAATCACCATCAGCCCATTGGAAACTTCCGAGGCAGTCCAACTGCGACGACTGCGCACAGTCGGGGCGACGCGGTGGCTGATTAAGCGGGAATCGAAGCCCGGGGGTCCACCGCAGCCAGCAACATCGCAGCTCATTGGGAGGCGCCCCTTAAGCCCAGTCTTTGATGAGGTTACGAGAATGCGGTGGCTGATTCAGCGCTGAAGAAGTATACCCCCGGATAGTGTTTGGCTGCGAGAAGTGGTCTCCGCTCGAGGATACACTAGATGCCCAGCTCCAGTTTCAGGCCTTTGAATTGACCTATTCTTAGGGTTGTGCTGTAGCCTGAGAGGTATCGTGTCGGCATGGAGCTCACAGACTTTTGTCCACGCGTAAATGTTCTTTGACGAGACCTGTCAGGTCTGCATGCTCAATCTCAAACGTTGAGAGCCTGGCGGGAGGGATCCGTGAAGAAGGGCCCGCTTCTCCCTGTGCGGAAATCTGGACGCTTCGAATCCGGTATTGGCCCTAGTGTTGACGCGTTTGCCAATCAATTGAGACTCATTGGTCTGGCTCTTCTCCTTTATGCGTAGATCCATTGGGTTCGGAAGGCTCGATGTCTGAGGAGTCAGCGCCCTTGGGTTCCAAGGTTATACGATGAAAATGGGACGTTAAGACAAAGGAAGTAGGAACATTGAAGAAACCTTGGAAGTAGGATGTGCCAACTTCCAGGCTCATCTCCAGCGTTCGTGTGCTCTCAGCAACATGCGCCCGTCGGGTTGACGTTCCGACGGCGCTGTCTTAGTTCTCGTAAAGCCTGCATGTGCTCGGGTGGGTCAATTCCGGGGTGTTTCATACATCGACTGTAAACCTGGAAGACCTTGGGAGCTCGAGCGTACTATGCCACTTCGGGGCCCTCAGCATTCTTGATTGAGAGCAGCGGGCTCAGGTGTGATGTCCGCGGGATGTCAACCTCGGAAGATATATAGTGGAGAAACTTCCGCCCAGATCATCATGAAGAACCACTCAATGTGCCACTTGGGAGCATACTGGACTCCCCAGAGTCAAACGAAAGTAGTCCAAGTGAAGACATACTGCCAGAGAGATGTTCACCGGGAGCACCTGGGCAAGGAAAAGCCTAACTGGCACTGGGCACCTCCAAGGTTGCCGTGGCCTGACCGAACTTGAACATCTACCCTCCAGCATTTGAGAGACCTCCAGGTTGTTCAACAATTCGTCGCAGATATATACTAGGTACTCTTTCTTAGAATGACCTCGGTTCATTACTTCCAGCTTAGATGACGAATCTTGTGCAAAACCTCTGGTGACCTTGCAACGATTGGCAAGGACCGATGAAAGAAATGATCTGATTCGATTTGAAGGAAAATAAATTACAAGCGAAACTATTTTGATTCTACAAATGCCAGGCCTGATAACCTATACACCCCCGCGGGAGTGGCCGAGCGAAGGGAAGCCCAACAAGGGGCAGCACTACAAGGAAACCCAGCATACACTGATGCCGGAACCCAAGCCTGGAAGAGACAACCGCCTCCCAAAGTGGAAAGGGTTGGGAAACTCCCCGGGATGGCTTTAGACCCAAAGCCCATACAAAAACGGATGTTTCAGACTTCCGTCTTCTCCGACGCTTGATCCTTCTCCGCGTCATCGCCCGGTTCGAACATCGACTCGCGCATGAATGGACTCCGACGGCGAATCTCGGGCCCTTTGAGTACAAGCACCACAGGCACTACCGACAGAGCAATTCCAACAAATCCAAGCAAAGAGCCCGCCCAGCCATATCCCAGCGTATCGAACAATTCAAACGACGCGAGAGGAAGGAAGGCACCAAAGGTATTGCGACCCAGCGAGGCTGCAGACAATGCGGACGCGGCATATTTTTCATAAGCGTCCGTTAGATAATTGACCACTGCCATGTAGATGGAGTAGATCCCCACTCCAGTACAGCCAATTCCCAGCGTCGGGACAATCCAGTGGACTGATCCGTTCCCGACACTTCCCCAACCATACCAGAAAAGCCCTGCGGCAAACAAGAGACTTCCTGGGATGGAGGTGTATAAGCGGGCTTCTGGAATCGCCTTCCCGGGACGTTCGCGGTTTCTCCGCGCGGAGTTGAGGTAGATCCAGTCTTGGATGGGGTTGAAGATAGTCCCAATGACTGCGCCCACGGAGATCGCCAATTGCACCAAGCCGGTCTGGAATGTGCCCCAGCCATAATTGGCACTGAAGGTCTGCGCTACACTCGAGAAGAAAAGGAATAGAATTCCCCAGGCGAAGCTCACCCACAATGTGAAGAAAATGACTACAGGCTCAGTCACTAACATGCGTGTGGGGCGCTCGAAGGAGACCTGCATCAGTTTCCAGACGCTCGTTGTGTTCAAATCGGCTTCTGCGTAGATCTCACGACCGGTTTCCTTTCGGAGTTTCTTGGCGCGCTTTTTCAGGATCACATCGGCGCGAGTCTCGCGAAGGATCAGCCAGAAGACCGGGATCAAGGCTGCATTATAGATAATTTGAATATAGAAGATCCTGGCCCATTAGCAAACTGGTTGATTGATATACTTGCAACAAGCTTACCATCTCCATGGACTGTCCTTGTGGATCTGCTGAATGGCCGCTCCGATGAAGGGACCCAGCGCGATTCCAACCACACTAGTGAATCCAAACAGCGACATGGGTAAGCTGCGGGCTTTGTCGCCATACCAAACATCACTGATACTCCCACCGACAATGTTGATCGACACCGAGGAGGCCCCGCCGCCGAAGAATCGGGTCACCACCAGCGTGGCAAAGTTCTGCGCAAAAGCGGAAGGGAACAAGGAGACCACCAGAATGAAATAAGCCACGAAGTAGCCGGGCATTCGCCCCGAAGACTCGGTCAGGGGCACAAAGATCAGCGGCCAAAAGGCAGCGCCCATGTTCCACGAGGTTGTGGCCCAGGCGAGATTGGGAAACGGCTCGTTCTGTACGTGGAACAGCTTTGCCATGTAGTCGTTCCCTGCGCCATAGGACCCAGCCGGTAGACCCGTCAGGATGGAGCTACATATTGTCAATGTCGATTCAAGGGCGCGGACAGGTGCATGGTGTAAGAGGCAACCATGGGAAAGATTTCGAACTTACATGAAGCAGACGGTCAGGGTCAAGACCCATTTGTATGTTTTGCTCCAATTGAATCTGCATTGATCAGCATGTGCCCACTGGTCGATTGATCTCTCAACTGACGGATTATCCGGGTCGTCGGGTCCTGACCAGGTATGGATCTCGATGTCTTGGCTCCCACGCAGCGGATGTTGACTGACATGACCGATATGACTGTCTCGACGGAAGAAGGATCGTAGTCTGTAGTTTCATCAGCTGCTGGACCCCCATTTACGGACCCATTCCAATTCTACCTTGATCTGAATGAATCATCAAATTCGTTATGGTGGAGGGTACTCGCAGTGGAGGATCGCTGGATAGGCGGGCCGCCTTCACGGACTGGCTGCGTGGCAGGGATCTCTGTATGCTCCATGCTGCAAGAATGCCCAGATGTAGGGACCAAGAGCCATCTTCATTGTGAGTGCGTTTTTGTTCAAGTGCTGAGTCAACGACTTGGAATTCAAAATCTTGGATGGACAATTAGCTTCCATTGACTACTCTGTACCATGGACGAAGCTGGATTCTATAGCAAAGGGCAGAGCTCGGTTCTACCGTTGACAGTACTCCGCTGTATAGAGTTGGCCGTGATGTGTTGGTGTACCCCACTTCCGCCAACGCATCACGGCATGCGACATGCGCGACAGGCCCCCTCATTGTGAGTCCAACATACGATGCCGGAGCAAAGCCTGCTAATTGTTATCTTAATCAACGCCGGTGAGCTGAGTGAGTCAAGTCGAGTATGGGTCAAGTCATGATGTCACTGCCCGGTAGTCTCGAACATCCCCACTTGAAGTCATCGCCAAGATGTGCCTGGAACATCTTGGAAGTCAACCTGATTCAGCCGGGCGCAGGAGGTCCCTGCCCGGATATAGAGTTGTCTGATGTCAGCGCTAAGCTCGGAGTTCATGAAGTCATTGGTGGGGGAATGTGTATATAAAGGATCGAGAATCCATGGGTATAAACAATCATAACAACCTTCTATACCTTTTCACTACACATCTCTCAACATGCCTATCCCCGTCCCCAAAGCCAACCGTCTCCTCGACCTCCTTAGCCTCAAGGGCAAGGTCGTTGTCATCACCGGCGCATCCGGCGCCCGCGGCATGGGCATTGAAGCCGCTCGTGGCTGCGCCGAGATGGGTGCCGATTTGGCCATCACCTATGCCTCTCGCCCCGAAGGTGGCGAGAAGAACGCCAAAGAACTCGCCGCCGAGTACGGCGTGAAGGTCAAGGCCTACAAGTGTGATGTCGGCTCCTGGGACAGCGTCTCGGGCTTCGTCAACGACGTGATCAAGGACTTCGGCAAGATCGATGCCTTCATTGCCAACGCCGGTCGCACGGCCGACAGCGGCATTCTCGATGGCTCCGTGGAGGCGTGGCAAGAGGTGATCCAGACCGATTTGACCGGAGTGTTCCACTGCGCCAAGGCTGTCGGCCACCACTTCAAGGAACGCGGCACCGGCAGTTTCGTCATCACCGCCTCCATGTCTGGCCACATCGCCAACTTCCCCCAGGAACAAACCTCCTACAACGTCGCCAAGGCGGGCACCATCCACATGGCCCGGTCGCTGGCCAACGAATGGCGCGACTTTGCTCGCGTGAACAGCATCTCCCCCGGTTACATCGACACTGGTCTGTCCGACTTCGTGGCCCAGGATGTGCAAGATCTGTGGAACTCGATGATCCCTATGGGTCGCAACGGCGATGCCAAGGAGCTGAAGGGTGCTTACGTCTACCTGGTCAGCGATGCCAGTACCTACATGACCGGCACTGACATGCTCATTGACGGCGGTTACACCGTGCGGTAAAGGATTTTGTACAATTAAACGACCTTGAACGATTTAGCTGATATCATACCTCAATTCACTCTGAACTTCCTGTTTCTTTCTTGTTTCTTTCTTGTTTCTTTCTTGTTTCTTTCTTGTTTCTTTCTTGTTTCTTTCTTGTTTCTTTCTTGTTTCGTATGACCTCACTGTGTTTGATATGTTTACACTGTTTACACTGTTTGCCCTGTTTGACAGGTGACGTAACTTCACGGGCCCGCAATGGCAGCCGTGATCGGCGCCTTCTCAACGAAGATTCCAGACCAAAACCAATCCTCTGCAGCCGAATCCGAGCCACCGTTATCCAGTCGCAACTCCCCAATGTGCCAGTCCGCCGAGTTCGTCGAAGTTGAGGCGCTGATCCCAGAGACCACCTGCGTCAGGGGGTGAGATCCGTTGGAGGTCCAAAGGCCCACCGTCTGCGCGTCAAAGTCGATGTCGTAGGCAAAGTTGTACCAGGTGCCAGCTTCCAACTCGGTCGCCCAGTGCGAGGTTCCGTCAACATACCACCGAAGGTGATGGTCTTCGCTGCCAGACGCTCCGCTGAGGAGACCGTACTTCAACTCGGTGAAATGGCTCTACAGGAGGGATACCAGTCAGCTGTGCGCGGGGACATCAGGGGTCGAAACATCTCATACCTCGAAGAAGGCGATCTGGTGCTCAAAGGCCGGGTTGGGGGCGTTCTTCTCTTCTGTACTCAGCGAGAAATGATAGAACAGGTGCCCGCTGCCTAGATCGGCCTTGGTTTGGGGGATGATCTCAGATCGCTCCATGGTTTGGCCATTCCAGAATGACGTTCCATCCTACCGGCGGTCAGCTCTTGGGACTGTCATTCGGGGCCTCCTTAGCTCACGATTGTGATGCGGATACCCTGTGCGTCGGTCGTGTCGGCTGGGTTCTTGTTACCCGGAGCAAGCCCCAGATACTTCTCGGTGGATGCACTGCCATGGATATACCACTGCCAATCACCAACCTGGTTGGACCATGACCCTGGCAAGTCAGAATCGATTCACTTTAGCTCTCATGCTCAACGTACAGTTATCAAAGTCAGCCACAGTCGCGTTTTCATTGAAGAACCCGCTCCAGAGTACTTCACCCGCTTCGGCCACCATCGGCAGCGAGATCAACCAGGCGAGAGATCGCATATTGACTAATATGATGGATAGTGATTTGGGACTCACGAAAACCATCGATTCCATGGAGTGTTATATACTCACATCCTGCCAGGGAGTGGCGCTGGATCCAGAACGGAGCCCATGAAACTTGAAATTGTTTGATATAAACAGTCAGGAGTATGCGATCATATAGCCCGATGGGTCGTGGTCATATCTAGTAGACCCCAAGCCGCAATTGGCAGATTTGGGCTTTTTGCACAAGAGTCAGAAGCTCGGGACACACTATTGCTTCAATCCTCCCGTTTACCTCCATGCACTAGATAATGACACTCGAGACCTGTGACTGATCAACAGGGAAGCTTTCCAAATGAGGCATGAGGCTTGGAAGGTGAAGATTGCAGGGTCTGCAGGATGAAACCACGCAGCGCGACATGAAACAATGCCAAGTCCTATACTCCGTGCATGACAGGTGGGATCGCTTCTCGGCGCGAAGTCGATCTGATATACTTTGCCATTGCTGTATTGGGGTATATTTGACACAACCTAGGTCCGTGACAGTTCGATGTGGCCCCGACCAATCTACCCCCAATGCATCCTCAAGATTTCACGCTGAATTTGCTCCAAGAGCGGATCTTTGGGCCGTATACGAAGAAGGCAATGGGGACGGGGAACAGAAGGGCAGTCAGGCAACCCAACAGAGTCATTGTCAGCCTGGCTCGCGAAGTTGGCGAACTGCAGAGGCGACGCATACTATAGCCGAGGCAAATAATGGAAAACCAGCTCCAAGCAGAGAGCGAAATAAAGAATTCGCTGCTATTACGGAATTGGCAAACATGGGATATACGTCAAGGATATAGTTGAGCTCCTGGGTAGCGATGTTCCTCCTATCACATTTGATGCGTCTCTTGGTGCACTGGCGGCAGTCTGGAATCTTGAGATACAGATACCGCATAGACGGGGGTGAGGAAACAGCTTATCTTTGATCGCAACGTGGCGATCTGACGACAGGGATTCAGCGCGGACATTCAGCATGACGGTGGTTGTGGAAGTGATCTGGGGGAGACCTAAGTTGCTGCCGGGTGCCATCACCCAGCTCATCTCCCCGAAAATATTGAGTACCTTTGTTCTCAGGGTGATATCGTCTCTAATTCCCTCCGCGTTGATTCTTTGGATAGGGTACAAGTTGGTATGAAAGGTGAAAATGATAGCCTTAGACTCTTAACGTGACCATGGGGATCCCGTGATGGTGGTAGCTCTCAGTTGTGTTTCAGTCTTGCTAGCTAGCTTTCCTTTCCTTCTCTCCCCCAGGAAAAGTTCACTCAATCCGCTCCCTCTCTCTTTGCCCGGATAAGCTCTGTAGCTCTCCCCTCAAATCTGGCAGACGATGTAAAGTCTGTCGCTCACAGCGCACAAACTTCTGATCGAAGTGTGAGATATTGAATGAAAGATACAACTTAAGACGCCCGTGGATATACCTTCTGCAGATCCGGATCTTCCAGAGCGAGTTTGTCCCCCTTTGTTTTGAATGTAGTACCGCCTTTGTCAATGTTGGAGTACTACTGTACAGTTCTTCATCCACCGTCAAAGTCCAATTGACTCGCTTGACTAGACGCCCTACCTCCAAGATACTAGGCCAAAAAGCATAACTGATCTATGGGGACACGATATTCCGTTATTCCTGGACCACTACTAGGTATATGACTATACCACATCATGCTACCTAGGTACATTACGTCGTGACACTTTGAAAATGAGTATATGATCCATTTCGCAATCCTATCCTCCATTTGTAAATAGATCACAAGTTGCAATGTTGTTACAATGTCTCATACAAGAACCTTGGAAGAGAGGCTCACTTATATCTAAGCCCGCAAATACCCAGGCGCCCGGGGCCCGTGGACTGAAATCGCGCACCATCAGGCGAAATCATTGCAGAATGAGACTTTCAAGACCCCGGCAGTCATCGGCCCGAATTCGACGACTCGATTAGAATGAGTTGCACGAGGCAGCTGAAGGGGTTTGCTCAATAAGCTCCAAGTTCACCAAGGATTTGGCCTTTGGCTCCAAGTTGCAGGAACCGTCATTCTTCAAGATCGTGAACTTGGTTTCGTAGCTGCGATCCTTGTTAGGCTGGCTTCGACAATCAAGTTGAGTATTTTAGAGATGAACAAACCTTTCAACTTCACATGTTGAGTTCTTGTAGTGTGCCTTGGTCAGGCCGTACAGGTGGAACTTCTTTTCAATGGGGTAATCACCATCGATGGAGACAGTGGTAGGGAAGTGCTACATTTCACCAAAGTCAATCGTTTCTGGGACTCGACTGTCTCCGAAATGCTGGGATTGACGTACCTCTCTAACGATCATTCCATCTTTTACGTCTTGCGATGGGTCCCAGCCTGCCAGCTCGATTGTTGAATGAGCGTCGAAGAAAGCACTGTATCCAGCCGCAGTGGTGTTGCTAGCTTCAGCTGCCTGGTAGAATCTGCAATAGATCAGTTCAGGATGAGAATTGAGCAGCATTTGGCTGGGTTGACTTACGACCCAATCCAGTTTGCGAAGGCGGGATCAACGCTAGCCTCTGGGGCATAGTAAGTCAGATTCACAGCTTCTGCGCTTTTGGCGAAAAGACCCAGGAATGCCACGGCCCAAGATGTGATCTGCGTAGAGTGAGAAAGCATGTTGAACTAATTTAGGGAAGATTTGCAAAAGACTTTTGATCAAGTAATAGAGATTTTCATACAGTCCCGAGGCCTTCGCCGTCTTAGCGACGTGCTTATATACCCCTACTGAGAAGGGTACAGCAAACACTTTGATCTGCCGCACAAGTCCACTATAACTTATCTGAGACCCGGTATTCGGCTGATCAAAGCACCGGTTTAGATCAACTGGGAATCTTCGTCCGAGGTGGGCATCCGATGTTTAGCCGTTGTCAACACTAACGGTGGTAAATTTTCTTCTCCGAGATATTTATTGGAGAAGAATCAAAGCCGTGGAGTAACCTGGCAACTTTGGAACATTAATCACTCTTTTGCAATTCAATTTCTGCCTTCGGATATTGGAACCCCTGTATGATACTATGTACGGCCTCCCCACACAAATCCGACAGGGTCCACCTAAATCCGAACCCTTTCTCTAAAGGCAAGATTTGCATAGCCCCACTATTCGTCAGACCTATACTCTACGTAAAGCTCCAATACTCGGACATAAACACCGTTCCGAGCTCTGAACCTATTTGATAGGCACCGAAGAAAGACATACTCATATATAGAACCTGATGCTGCCTTCGTGGAGTGGTTATCAACTCAGTCGCTCGTTCATCATTTGACTTTTAACCTCTGTCTGTATCTCAAAGGATCGTTACATCTACATCTATCGCCATGCCACCTGTGGCATCGCTCCTCCATGCTTTGATTCTCGGTGCATCGGCCGCCCATGCTCAAATCTGGGACCAAGTGATCGACACTACCGGGGGACCTGTCCAGGGTTTCAAGTACTTCAGCACCGAAACACTCGAGAACTTCTTCAATGTTTCCGAATCCAACGTGACTGCGTTCCTGGGTATTCCATATGCCGCTGATACTGGTTATCAAAATCGTTGGAAGGCCCCACAACCGCGTCAAGTTTGGAACAAAACACTCAACGCCACCGAATTTGGCTCGCCGTGTCCGACCAAGTTCACCTCTGGCTACAGCGAGGACTGTCTGAGTCTGAACATTTGGACGAATGCGGATTCAGCTCACGCAGGACTCCCTGTGATGGTCTGGAATCAAGGATCAGATCTGCCCAGTGATATTCCGTACTGGTATGGTGGCGGAATGGCAATGAAAGATGTCATTCTGGTTTCCTTCAACCGCCGTGACGATGCACTGGGATATCTTGCCCACCCGGAACTAAACCAAGAGGGTCTTGAAGCTTTCGGCCATGAGACATCAGGAAATTATGGTGTTTTGGACTTTTTGGAAGTTCTGAAGTGGATCAAGGCGAACATCGCTGGCTTTGGTGGTAATCCAAATCGTGTTGTGATTGCTGGCCAGTCATTTGGCTCGTCACAGGTCTACCATGCGGTGAATAGCCCGCTTTTCTCGGGCTTGTTTCATGGTGCCATCTCACAATCCGGTATCCGCTTCCCTTACGATCCTATGTTGGCAGGCCTTGCGACTTCGTATAATAATATGTCCGCCGCTCTCTCACATGGTTTGAACTATACGACTTTCCACAATGCCTCCAACATTGCACAACTACGATCTCTACCATTATCTGATCTTATGGTTGGTTCTGGCGACAGTGTCAATAGCACTTGGATCAACGCGATCACGGCTCTTTCCGCGGGTTATCCCGACATCTTCAAACCAGTCTTGGACAATTATGTTCTCCCTTCAACTTATCTGGAGACACTAAAGGATGGTCCAGCAAATGATGTGCCGCTGATTGCGGGGAATACTTTGGATGAATCTGGCGCATCGCCAACAACAAACTACACCCTTGCGCAATACAGACATTACAACTTCTTTCGATATGGCAATTTGTCCGAACGTTACTTCAGGCTGTATCCTGCCACCGACAAGAAAGGCCAAAGCATAGCAAATGCTAGTTGGAACGATGCTGCCCGTGACCAAGGCAAGGTTGGTGCGTGGGCCTACGCTACTGATTGGTATCGCTCTGCTTCCTCCAATTTCTACACGTATTTCTGGACCCACGCGCCCCCAGGCCAAACCCAAGGAGCCTTCCATATGTCCGAGATCATGTACGCATTGAATGCACTCTACTCGTGCAACAGCACTTATCCATTCACGTCCGAAGACTACGCCATTGCGGAGAGGATGTCTGCTTATTGGGCAAACTTCGCCAAAACCCTGGATCCGAACAATGGTGGCTCTTACACCGGCTCTGGTCATTTGCCTCGTTGGGATCCCAACTCGCCTAAGGGTGATCAGGCTGTCATGGAACTGGGAGATTCATTCTCCGCAGTCGAGATCACTAGTCAAGAGAAAGTCGACTTTGTCATGGACTTTTTCCATCAGCAGCGTCCCTACTAGAGAAAGACCCGACAAACTGTTTTGGTCTGCTTGATTGCTTTTCGGAGTCAAATGTCTTTGCTTGGGGCATGGGCGGCAGTTCCCTCCTTCCATCATGGTCGCTCGGCGCTGATCTTTGTGTGTATTGGTTGCTGGACCACTGTATATCATTTCCTTCTCTTCTTAACGCTAGTCACTACGTTCCTCTTCTATTTTACAATTAAGTTAAAATGTTTATTTCTTGATCTTTTTATGATTACTGCCGGAGTCGGAAAAAGAAGAGTTGCTTCATTTTCCTACTGCTAGAGTCCACTTTTCGTGCAATCCACATCATGTTTCTCTTAGGATCCTACAATAGTAGGCAGGAGGAAATCTCTTGAACTTGGTCAAATTGGGATGAAGAGAGGAAAGGGAGAAGAGAAAACTAAGCTAAGCTACATGACTGGGAAGGGGAAACTCAGTCTCCAAATAGTTTCATCCTGCCCAGTGCGTCCCAAGGGCTGCTACCGGTAGTAGATAAACTTTTCTGTAGGATAGAAGTTTTTAACGCTTGACCCGAGGAAGAACCAATCTTCCATGAGAGAAGATAACATTCTCGCCCTCAAACCTCTCGTGCACCCTGTCCCCGCCTTCATGACGCATGGGTGGGATGGTACTCTGAGTGTTCACGGAGCCAATCTCCAAAGTCAACATCTGTCCTTGATCCAAGAGGTATGCAGTAGGGTAGAGAGGAATGAGAACAGTGTAGGGTGTTCCAGGCACAACTGGCGCTTTGGGAACAGACGGTTGAGCGAGAACTCTCGACTCATTGAAGTCTTTTGCCACTTCTTCGCGATGCGAGAGTCGAAAGAATCCTCTCACAAAATTGTCCATGGGTTCACCATGATTACCACGGAGGACGATAGGTTCCCCTTTGTTGTCAAGGGCCCGGAGATAGACAAAAAGATCCATGTCTTTGGCTTGAGTCATGACTTCGATCTCCAGATATGGCGATCCCAGAATCTCAAATGATGTCTGAAATGGAGAGTCAAGTGAAAAATTAATGTTCTCCTTGAATCCACGGTAAGAGAATGCGCACTTTTCATCCGTAGGCTTCAAGAGTGACATTTGTTTGTCCGGAGTGAGGTAGAAACTGACATCCTCTGCATCATGGGGAGGATAGGCGAGTTCGTTCTCGCGGTAGAAAGTGTCGGTCCCACGATGCTGTAGTAGCCTGATCTGGGGTACATCAAGCATTCCATTGTCTTTGTTGAAGAGGTAAAAGTCCAGGAATTTCCTTTGTAACTCAATATGCTCTGGCTCATAGAAGGCGCCTAGGTGGTTTCCTGTGTGCATCTCTAGCCACTTTTCTTTGGATGAAATGCCGTTGAAAGCGCGAATGTTGCCCGGCAAATGAAGCTCGGGGTCTGTCCAGTTACCAGAGATATAGAACGGGACCTCGATGTCGGAAAGCTTTCGGACTTTATCGAAAATAGCCCAGACACCCTCAGTTGGATATTCGGTTGTAGCACAGAGATTAGGGTAGTCGACTCTGCTAGCGACAAGTTCTTTTTCTGTGAGCAATCCATCTTTGTTTCCACCTTGAGATGGAACGACGATGTTATTGTACCAGTGAGATTGGAAGTTGTTGCTGTAGACGCCACCACGTCGAACAGCTTGATACATGGAGCAAGCTGACTCGTATGAAATGACACAAGTCAAGTGAGGTGGCTTTTGCATGGCAGCCCAGTACCCCACCATCCCGAAGTAACTGATGCCGGAGAATGCAACTTTGGCATTTGACCATGGCTGCGCAGCTGCCCATTCTACCACGTCGTAGAGGTCTTTCGATGTTGATTCTTATTAGCTTCGATGTCACATCATTGTTTTCTGAATAGGCTGTTGATTCTTACCTTGACCCTCAGCGTCTTCCTGTATCTGGAGAGACCTTTCTAGACCAAAGGGGTCGAGTCTTCCTTGGCTGCCGCCAATACCGCGAGTATCAACTCGAAGGAGAGCGTAACCAAAATCTCTGCACTTTTTGGTAAAAGAAGTCAGCACTAACCACTAGGAAAACATCATTCAACACCACATACCCAGATAGTAGGCTCGCATAACTCGAAACAGGCATCGGGACCCAGAGGCTTGATGTTCTTGTACATCTCCGCATAAATGGGAGTTTGGGGCAATCCAAACACAGATGCGTGGATATCCTTGCCATAGGGGCCCATGCTGCAGATTACAGGGACATTTTCGCCATTCTTGGACGCAGAAAATGGAAGGAAAAGATCCGCACAGAGTTCAATTCCATCACGCATGGGGATATAGGTATGCTTGATTCGGGTGTACCCTTCAATATCGGCTTCTGAAGCCTTGTATTTGGGGCGAAGCGATACCATGGTGAATCAAGTTTGCAGAAAGTGGCTTTTGGTGAGGGAGAAGGAAGCGTGAAGCAGTAAAAACGTATCGTTCCCAACTTGGAAGAATCACCCTTTATACCTTTTTGTTGTTCGGGTCTGCCTACAGAAAGGTGGACATCCGACGGTTCCCAAGGTACAAAGAGCGACATGTATCGATCTCGTGAGTCTACGTATGCTTGATCCACAATCAAATGAATCTCAGTGACCCCCTACCCCCAATTCCACTCTGGGCCTGCGCCCCGGGGGTCCACGGGTGGGACTTCCGCTTAGTCAACAGCATACCGGGCGCCCAAGCGTCTCCCGGGCTGTGCCGGGGGACTCCCCGGAGCACTGGAGGCATTCCATGATTATTCAACACCACAAGTCCTCATCCCATCACATTTAGTATTGATCCCCGGGATGAACCACTTTTCGAAGGAAATATCGCGCATTCCGCTTACTAAATTCGGAGTCAATTCATGTCCACATCGGATATTCACTTTCGGGATAACCTATAAAACAGGAATGGCTGACAACATTCGTTCGAAACGGGAACTTTCTGGCTCTACAACTACTTCATTGTTTTCTCAAATCATGCCCGGCATCAAGCAGCTCATTGTGCTGAGACGCAAGGCTGGGTTGACGTGTCAAGAATTCTTCGACTATCATTATCAAGTACACGGGGCCATCAGCACGGCACCAAATCCTGGTGAAACCCCACAGTATGTAGAGAGCCCTAAGAAGAAGGCCAACCCTCGATTCGTTGGTCACACACTGACACCACCATAGAAAATATTTTCAAACCCACTTCAATGACTCTGCCTACCATCCTCAAGGCCCGAAGTTTGACCTCAACTCTCACCCTCCCTGGGCATTTGGCGACGACATAACCGAGCTATATTTTGAGTCTGCTGAACATCTCCAGCGAGTCTTTCAATCATCTTGGGTACAAGAGAAAGTTGGACCGGATGGTGCAAACTTCTCGGATTTCAGCTCGGTGATGCCGATGTTCGTAGAAGAAAGGACTCTTTCCCAATTTGATCGTCAATCTTCCCATGAGGTCGACCAAGAAAGTCCCTCGCGTGTTGCAACCTATTTTGTTTCAACGAATGACAGCCCCTCGACGCTAGAGGATCTTGTTCACGCCTTTGCTGAAAGTCTGCGCCGCCATGCACCCCATAGCGTGAAGGCAGTGCTTGTCAATACCCCAGCAGAGGTATCTTTCGACATTGGAAAGTACTTTGGCGGAGCTCAGTCTCCCCATTTCGATCTCGTTTTTATGGTGCAGCTACAGGGTTCCATGCCGCAGCCTGATATCAGATCTGCGCAGGCTGAGTTCGAAAGTGAATTTGCATCTTGCATCAACCTAGAGATGTGCTGGATAGCCTTCGGCGAGCGCGCTGTGGTTCTAGATCAACTTGCAGGAATAACAGTATGTTTGTTCCTTTCGAAGATCTAATTTAATACTCCCGACCTAGTCTCATCTCAAGCAGTTTAATCCCGCTCGTCAACCGTTTTCTCGCCAACACAGCCGAAAGACCCTCAAGTCTGATTCTCACGCTTTCGAAAATATATAATACAACCTTGGGAATTTCACTGGCGAGGGAAGATAGTTACCTAGTACATCATAGGAAAAATCAGACAGTTGCCGCTTTTTCTTCTCCAAACGCGGAGTTCAAGGCCCTCAGCAGTGAAGTTCAATCGCATTGGTCATAACATAATAGTGTTCAAGACTTGGTCCACACTGCTTGGGAAATTATCGAGGGGAATCTGCAACATCAGTGGTTAACGATGCAAATATGCCTCCCGCGTCGAAGTCTGCCGCCGTGGAAAACTGAATCTCATCCTGTTCCTGCCAAAGTGATTGGATCAAAATTTCAGACTCATCGGAAACATGTACTTGTGAGAGATCTAAGGACGAAGTTTTGACTGGGGTCTTCTCAGCTGGCCTGAAGTATCCGTTTGCAAAAAGCTTGTTGATAGTGGCCTCTGCAAGCTTCTCAAACAAGTCCAGAAACGGCGCAGCCGCCCTCCATCTCTCGGCCATGACGGACAGTACTGTTGAGCATGCCATACATGTGCTACTGACCTCTCCCTGTCTAGTCAACTGCTGGACTCGCGGCGACTTTGACAGACAGTATAGATAGGTCAAGCTCGCAAGAAAAAGGATGTGAAGGCTCCCCCACGTAAATTGTACCCCATACTCGCGATGAAGCTTTCGATAGAGGAGACAGATCTCGCGAGAACGTACAGAACATTCTTCATAAGCCCTTTCAATAGCCAATGACTCGTCGATATCCTGGCGCCCCTCGCCAATGAAAAACGCCGTATTTTCTCGACCAGCATCTGCGCCGCTGATCATATATGGGCGATATAGCAGGAGGATGGAGTGATCGTATGCCAGCTGAAACCATTCAGCGCTGACGAATACGGACAAGGGTTGGTAGTTAGCGGTAGGGTACGGGTCTGGAGTACTAAGTCGCCATTGGTCCAGATCGTGTCGGAGAGTGTTCAGTCTCGTAGCTCTCGTAGACGAATCAAGCCCTCTTTTCGAGTAGAGTTCTTGGTCAAATCTCACCCAAAGTTTTCGAAGGCGGATGACGTGAATTGCACCAGTTATCGTCGTTGGTGTTTCGCTACTAGACTGTGCTAGGTGACAAGAATAACCGGAAGCGGTGATATATTCATCATCAACATTCGCAGGGAGCTCCATTCTACTATCAGCAAATCAGAAGATACGTGTCATCCCGAAATGAGTCATTGCTTACCTCGACGTCGATGCACTCTTCTGGTATGCCCAAGGGTCTTCCAAGGGTGAATGCCGCAGTTCGGTCGAGATCATATGCAACCCAAAAGCATCGTTTGATCATTTCCTTTGCTAATGTATCGAGGTTCCGGTGGAATTTATCCGTGCTCCGGTGATATCCAAGCTCAATACAATGGCGAATAGCCATGCCGGAAGTTTTCCTATCAAGGCATTTTTGTTGACACAGGAGTGGTAACGTGATGTTATGATGAATTTGAGTTCGACGTACCATAAGTTTACACCAAATGGAGATCGGATTGAGTATACCGCAAGACACAAAAGGGCTTGTAGATGTTCCAAGCTGTTGGTGGCTAGAGCCGGCTCAATATAATCCATGGCGATGCGATAGTACTCCTAAAAGCGTACCGCACTTTAGTTTCGTTAAAGGAACCAACAGTTGGCTGTCAACGTGATTACAACGAGCGGGAAAAAGGGTTATGTTCGTTCATCTGTGCTTCTGATTCTCTCTCACCCTTAGGTCACGCAAGCAAGGGCCACGAGGAGGTTCACTATCACATTGCGGCATAAAATGGGAAAGACATGGGGACTTACTTCCGCTTCCCAGGATCCATTCCGCCCGAGGGTAATTGAACCAATGGAGCATATCTAAGCGCGTAAGTCTCAAGCGAGCGAGCGACCCGGTTGCCAGAAACACTTTACCATTGATACAAAGAATGCAGAGATGCTTCGTTGCTTAGGTGTTTGGACAGAAATTTCCAAGCTCCGCTCCCATCGATCAAAGGTGGGACGGTGTAAGAAGGGATATTGAGGGTGGACATTGTCAAAGTAAATCTTGATTAATTTAGCCCTGACAGGAGAGGAAGGAAAGTTAGCAAGAAAACTTTCATCTTCGGTCCTGCTTGCATGCGCATCGAAGCTTGATTCCTCGTAGGATTTGGGTTGCTCGGTGACTTGTTGCAGCCCAATCGCTGCACCAATGATGCGGGAGAGAGAGAAAGCCGATGATGGCCCAAAGAACTGTGGCTCTCTTCCGGTCGCATTCAAGCAAAGGACCGCAACCTCGGAGGATAGAGATGTGATCTGGGAGTCCTTGTTTGAGGTCTGTGGGGTGTTCAGAGAGCAATCGGTTGTATCCCTGTCTCGAGGTGGTGACAGTCTGTCACAATCGTTCAACGGAGAATCTGGGCTGTGATAAAAAGAAGAGATCGTGTGATCTGCAGCCACAGTATGTCGTGACTCTTGCAACAATGTCTCCAAATGCGCGATGCGTGCTTCTAGGGACTGAAGGTAGTTGCGCGGGCGATAAAGACCAGTCACTGGATCTTCCACGAGACATTCTAATCACACCATGGACAAGAGTAAGTGATCCTCCCCTGCGGTTGGACTGAGAGGAGTCGCACCTTGCTTGGATTTCAGACAATTTTCGCACTTGGGGGTTTCTGCGTCACACTGTGACCGACATTCGGCATTAGCATTGGAGCCCCATGTCATCCGGGTGAGCATAACCGCATCAAATGACGAGTCAAACCTTGAGTTTCCTTTGTTTGCAATTTCCGCACGCTAATGTAGTTCGGTTCTTTCGAGCGCGTTTTGGCGAGTTCTCGAAGGCCTTGGAGTGTGGGCGTTCCTGATTAACCCGCGTTGACATGTCTACGGGTTATTGTCTTGGTCGAATAGCTAAGGGTTCCGTTAGTCAAACACAAAACAGTATTGGGGGGAAATGGTACATCTTCAAGTTTGAAGGATTGAGATTGAGCAGAGAGACAGAGAGATGGAGAGAAGACTAAGAGATAGACTTGTTGAGACTGGGGTCAGCCGTGGGTGTTGGAACATCATGTGATGTGATCCTGTTGAGGCTAATCGGACCAAGGGAAAAGAGGGAGACTTGATTGACTAGACTAGGAGAGAGGAAAGCAAGACTACTGAAGGGCAACTGAGCGCTAGAAACAACGGGGTCATGTGCCCAGCGGCCCAGCCCTAAGGCCATGACTCACGACAGATCCTTCCTGTGTACATAGATCTTAGTTTTTGCTTTCCTTTTCTCTTCTCTCTTCCTTCAATCTAACCCTTGGCTTTTGTGCCAATTCATTTCTTGCTTGCCCTTAGTTCTATGGGTGGGGGCAGCTACTAATCCGATTCACTGCCAGTTCACCGGGTGTTGTATCATCGAGGACTTCGGGCCCCCATCGGGCAAATCATGGCAGGTCAAGGCCCCTGGAGATTTATCGGGTTAGATCCATCCCTCAAATCATCCCGGTCTTTCATTACGTACCTGTTCGGACCTCGGAAATGGGTGGGGTCTCGTGGAGCCACTGGCGGGTGAAGCCGAAATAGCGAGTTCACAAGGTGAAAGTCTTCGAGACCGAGAGTCACCCTTGTTAATCATTTATTTATTCCATCTTCAGGCACCATAGACGTCGATTTTCTTACGCTTTCCTGGCCCTTACCTAGGTACTTCCCGCAGGTGTTCTCGTTTTGAACAATGTCCACTCCAAAGCCTCGAATTGTTGCCTTGGGTCAGCCCAAATATATCGATGCAGAGTACCTCGATCAGTTCAAAGAAGACTTCGATTTCTCGGTTCTCGAAGCGTATGACCGCCAGACTACTCTGAAGCTGCTACCAAGATATATCGCTCAACATGGACCGATTGATGGTTTCATCATTAGGATGGGAACTCCGCCCTATGAGCCATTTGACAGAGAGCTCTTGGCTTTTTTGGCTCCAGGATGCAAAATCATTGCCTCGGCAAGTGCTGGGTACGATGAGTTTGATGTCGATTGGATGACCCAGCAAGGAATACACTTCTGCAACACCATTGACGCAGTTGCTGAGAGTACCGCTGACATGGCCATCCATCTGATACTGAGTGTCCTTCGGAACACGAGCAATGCGGAAAATAATGTCCGGAACGGATTCTGGCGCGCAGGTCTAGTGCCTTGTGCCGATCCCTCTGGAAAGAATCTTGGAATCGTTGGACTGGGCAGTATTGGAAAGGTAGGCCGACATTATACAGCCGGGCAACACTAGCTAACCAGGCACCATCATTGAATAGTATCTCGCCAAGAAGGCCGCAGTGTTCAATATGCGTGTCTCGTATTATAATCGCAACAGGCTACCGGCGCACGAGGAGGCTGCATACAATGTTACATATTGCGAAAGTCTGCATCGATTGCTAGAGCAGTCTGACATCATCTCAATCAACTGTCCTTTGAATTCCAACACAGTATCAATGATTGGAAAAGATGAATTCACTGTCATGAAAGATGGGGTATTTCTTGTGAACACCGCTCGGGGACCGATCGTGCACGAGGAGAGTCTGATCGAGGCTCTCAAATCAGGCAAGGTTACTCGAGCTGGATTGGATGTGTTTGACAAGGAGCCCCATATCAATGCCTACTTCAAATCCAGTGACAAGGTCATTGTGATGCCTCATCTGGGTGGCTTGACTGATGTTGCATTTGGTCGCGCTGAGCGTGAATGCTTCGAGAATATTAAAGCACTCTTCAAACATGGAAAGCCGAATTCGCCGATTAACCAGGTATCTTAGAATAGCTATCAAGTCATAACGTGCCTACCAAGTTAATGATTATAACTTTGAGTTTTAATCGCCGAAGTTTTGGTCTTCTCGCTTCCCTTCACTTCCAAGGTTTTGATAGCAATGGGTGGACGCCGACTAATATGTCCACGGCTCCTAGCCGGAGAGCTCCCAGCTCCATCTACTGGATATAGAACCTCTCTTCCAAGGTTATGCTATCGATAATGATTTACTAGGTAGCTTTACTTACACGCCTTGCGACAAGTTCATTTTAAGAAGATATGAGATACACATTGACCACAACCTTTAGTACAGACAGCAATTAAACCAACAATCAGCCCCTGAGTAAAATGGGCGCTTACAATCCCCAAACTCATCCCGAGAATTCCTCGATTATCGCCCGCATACCACCGCGTAAAGATGGTAAAATCCGACCAATCACGGAAGAAAGCGAGTCCAGGTCGAGAATTCGGGGCTTACCGACTCCCACTGTGCCGGAGTACTACTTCGGACTTACACCTATTTTCCCATCTTGCTTTTCTTCCCATTTAGAATCTCTCCACCTTGGATGAGCTCCTGATCGATGTAATCTACGCCGATATCGGCAAACTATGAAAGCCGTGGTGCATTCATCAATCGTGATCTCGATATTTTGCATTGCCATATATTTTCATTTCTGTTACACTTTTTTCTTATATCAAGTGAGGTTCTTACTGTGTGAACATATCTACTCGAGCACACCGGGGTAGACAGACCTGTTCTATGATGAGTACTCACTTTGAGGGTCCACTTTCAGTGCACAATGTGAAGCGCTGGAGAGAATTATGCCAGGATCTCCCAACGGGTGTTTCCCCTGCCACCAGTAGCAGAGATTTCAAAACGCCGGTGAGGATATCTGAACCTTATCAAGAGAGACTTTGAGCTCACTCGTACACCAAAGGGATGTGCGGCCAAACCCAAAGCCAAGGAATTTAGCCGTAAGTCAGCCAAGGGAGACCGATGACAATACACTGAGCCTGGTGTTCGTACTAGATTTCATTTCCCCCGAATCAGCTAGCCGAACGGTATGAAAAACTCGAAGAGCTCTATTGGATCAAACACACCTCAGCAGAAGAAGGCATTTTGACGGTCTCTTGTGTCATAGGGTTCTACATTGAAAGTTGCCGCCAAATACCTGAAAACCCCAGGTAAAAACAAGAAAGTTTTGCATTGTGTCCCGGGTTAACAGTTTACTCAAGGAATAATCTCTCTGGGGGGTGGATTGCCTTCCCCGGACTTCTTTCCTTTCGAAAGAATTCGAATCGATGTTTCTCAGCCCATGCAACATCACGGCCACTCCGACTCTGCCATCACGCTGGATGCCAAAAGGGGGGACGTACGGGAGGGCAAATCCTTTTATGGTAAACAAGACGATGCCACCGAAGATTCACCAGGGCGACCTTTCAGGCTGACGTGAGCAAAGACCTTGAGGTAGCGCTCAACTATGGTCAAGCTGTAGGATCCGCCCAACTCCTCAGATTTGTGACTGAACATACCGAAGTATTTGCCCTCCTCGCATGGTCTTTTGTATCGATTATTTGTCTAACGGTTCATTCTCTTAGATTGTTCACAACCCTCCTTACTCAGATTGGCAATGCTGCTTGACCTCTGGAACAACATATTCATGGGACTCAACCTTGCGTATGTTAGCTCAGCGGGGCGACTATATTCTCATGGAGGAATACACTTTTTCTAGCGCACAGGAAACAGCCCTTCCACTGGGGTTGAACATCGTCCCTGTTCCAATGGACAATCAAGGATTGATACCAGACAGTCTGGATGAGATCTTGAGCTGCTGGGACCTGCAAGCTCGAGGGGCAGCTAAGCCACACGTTTTGTACATGATTCCAACAGGCCACAATCCCACCGGATATACACAACCCGCTTCCCGAAGACAGGCTATATACAAGGTGGCCCAAAGGCATGATCTTTGCGTTGTGGAAGATGAACCTTACTTTTTTCTTCAATCGCCCACGATGACCAGCGAAGGCCAAGCTGAAGCCATCGATGACCAAAGGGTCAGTCACGAACAGTTCATTCGAAACCTGATTCCATCTTACTTGAGCATGGACGTGGATGGAAGGGTTTTGCGTCTTGATTCATTTTCTAAAGTCCTTGCCCCTGGGCTGCGGGTTGGTTGGATTGTGGGCCCGGAGCAGCTTGTTGAGAGATTCACACGCGGATGCGAAACTTCCAATCAAAACCCCTCTGGCGTTTCTCAGCTCATGATATACAAGCTGTTGGACGAGCACTGGGGTCACTCTGGATATCTGCGCAGGCTGATGGAGTTGCAGAAGTCTTACGCAGTACGCCGAAGAGACATGATCCGCGCTTGCGAGATATACCTACCTCGCGAGGCTGTGAGCTGGGAAGTGCCCATCGCTGGGATGTTTGTGAGTGTGGTATCAGCTGTTTGGCGTCAGTCATTGACTAACAGAATGCAGCACTGGATTGGCGTTGACTGGAGAAAGCACCCTCGCGCTCGAAGCGGGCTTTCTCCCGAAGATATAGAAGAAAGTGTGTTCCAAGCTGCGGTCCAGGCAGGGGTTCTACTCTGTCGCGGGAGTTGGTTTAGAGCTGGCGGGAAGGCCATTGAGGGATCTCTTTACTTTCGCACCACTTATGCTGCTGCTGAGTCCCATGAGATTTTTGAAGCAGTCAACAGACTTGGAAAGGCATTGAAACTGGAGTTTAAGATTACAGAATGACGATAGGTCAGGCTGGCGGGCGGAAGTTGGATGCAGCAGTTAACGATTAGCGAATCATTTCGCAGAAAGCGCACTCGGGGACAGTTTCATGTCTCAGTGCACCTTGTCGTGAGTCACGCCCTAGGGCACATGACCCCGGGTTTCTGTAGCTCTCAGTTCTGCCTCAAATAGTTTCCTTTCTCTCTCTCCCCAGAGTAGTGAATCAAGTCAGTTCTCTCTCTCTCTTTGTCTTGGATAGTAGCCTATCCCAACACACCTCAAGTTCGGAAAAGAAACCTCCTTGTTGTTTCCCAAAAGGCAGAAACGGCAAATGAACTTGAGTGACAGGGCCCCTTAGCTCCTTGGTGTAGAGCGCCATAGCAATTGTGGATGGCTTCAAGTATGAATCTGATGAGCTGTTACCTAGGTAGATATGCCCACTATTCCTTGAAAATGTCGTAGATAAGATGCATTATATCTTCAAATGGCATCGAGGTTGGCTGCGCTTGCCAAGCAGGTGGCATTGTTGTGCTTGAATCATCTGGATCTGATGTTGGCACAGCGGTCAAGATGGCCGAATCTTGCGTAGGTAACTGTGACACAAAGTCTTGACGGAGTTCAGGTCCAGGAACTGGGCATGTTTCTGTCGTCGGATTCATTGCGCTAAGCAACCTTTTAACGCTGTGGATCCGCCCAGCGACAATGGTTTTACAAGCCATCATGGACAGAACAGTCAGGCCCCTTTCGACCAGGAAAATGGTGTCTCTTAGCTCGTATCCCCAAATTGAATTGAGAAACAAGGTGAAGCAGGCGGTCTCAATCATCACCGCATTTGGGGGTAGGTCCTGGTTGATTGAGGGCCATTGTCAGCACAATCGTGGTCTATGAATTGTCTTTGGATAAATACCAACCTTGACTGCTGATCCAACGGCAAACTGTTGCTCTACCATTTTGATAAGGTTCTCAGCAGCCTTAATCGCATAGCGACGAGCCTCTGTCAGAGCTCCTGGGGAGATATCGGAGATTTCTCCCTGCAATGGATCACTCTGATGTTGTCTCTTCCTGTCTTGTAAATACAAAACACAAAATGGCTGGTATATTATGATAATGGAATGATGGTAGACTGGTAAGGAAAAAGAAATTAGTTGACTACGAAGCAACGACCTCGACGGATATGCATACTCATCTCCAGCAGAAATTGAACATTGCGTTGCTCGTGCGGATTGCCGTTGAGAATGCTTTGACAAGATTCGCAGCTCTTGGTGAGATATTGATCAAGGTCGCGGTGAAGCTGCTGTGAGCTTTCCCACAGTGTGTCAAACTCCGCAGTATCCAAGTGGTGTGTCTCTTGGATGTCACGGATGCAATAGCCAAGCTTCCTTATTGTGCTTGGAAAGTGCAGACTGGCTGTCTCCGGAATGCTGATGTCCACCGGAAAAGAAGATGACTTTCCTAGGAGGAAGGAAATCCACCTGTGTCAAAGGTCAGCTGTTGATCCAGACTGAAGAAGGGTGATGACCGTGGGGCCCATGTTGGACATACCGCTCAAATGTGAACACCGAAATTATGGTATTGAGAAGGTTCGGCTCGACCGCGGTCTGCCAGTCTGGTTGAGCGACAAGCAAGTGGAGACCCGCATTGAGTAATTTGCGACTGGTGAGACTCAGCTGGAGATGCGCTTTTTCATACTGGCCAACATGGGACAGATACTGGGCGTAACTAGATCAGATCAGTCAGTCACCTGCCAGTCGAGGGGCAGGAAGAACATATCATAAGCAAGCCATGTTGAATCGTTGAGACTGTGGTGATATCTGCATATTTAGAGCCGAGATGATGGGACTTTTTGAAAAGAAAGTCCCCGATCTCATAGCATGCGGTGGTCGTGGCCCCGATGGCCAAAATTGCCAGTGAATTGGCGCGATCTATAGCAGAAATTTCCATCATCACTGGCATGCCGTATAGGTTACAAAGTGACATGTTGAGGAATTCAGATGTCAGAAATGGAAGTACATGCGATAGACTTTCCGTGTAATTGGCTAAAAATTGTTGACATAGTGGCGGAGGAACGGATGATAGATCGCATGGTGCTGACATCGGCAGGTGCGACATGCAAGGTCCCTGACGTGGGAGAACTATGTCACGGCATTCGAAGAATTCGATGGCTTTGTTTGCATTGAAACTGGGGGCTCCGCTCACATCGGACTCCGTGTCATGATCCAAAGCGCAATACAGGTGATATATTGCTGCCACGTTGGAAGTGGGGCCGAAAAGCATCGACATCTCCCCCAACGGAGTCGCACGCGTTGCTCGAATGGGCTTCAGAACTTCTCTCATGTTGATTGATGTAGATACCAGGTCTGTCAGAGAGCTAGAAGTGACCGGGCTGCTTGGAGACCATGATAGGGCCTGTCCTGGAGCAGGCACTAACTGCGCGGGTGGCCGACGTCGTAATCCCGTACGGAAGAGACACCTTTCATTGTGTTTTGAACATTGTTGACATGGTAATTGGCCATCACATCTCACCTTTCGGGCACGACACCGTTGACATGCTTTTGAGATTTTCGTGACCCGACTCAGTGACCCTACAAAGCGATGAGATTCACTTGGCAACCTCGGGTAGACGGAGGCAACTTACCTTTCTTGGTCTCCGGTTGCATGATCCGATAGAGGTACTGCACCCTCAATCATGAGATGGCAAAGGCGAATGGTTGCAAGGAAAGAAAACAAAGTTACTGCACCTGGGGTAAGTTGAAGACCAGACCTCGGGACAACCCTTCAATCAGCCCATATATTCAGGGACTCGGACCGATGTTGGTGATCAATTGAAGCATCAACAGATCGGGGCAGGAGAGAGAATGCCCACATGGGGTCCGAAGTAGGAGCATAAGGGGTAATAAGGGTCCAATATTGTGACCGTTCTGTAATTCTCAGGTTTCTGTATGTTTAGTCACGTGTCAGAGGTCGGTCTGACATGTTCTTGAATGTAGACCGTTTCCTGACCCACTGAACGATATTCTGTCGGTTTGTGTCATCGTATCACGCTGTCCCTGTATGGATCCCGTTTGAGATTCCATTTCATCGATTCAATGTCTCGCCACATCGGGGTTCGCTAACCTGGGCTCGGCTCAAACTTCCTGTTTAGTGCTCGGCCAAAGCCGAAACAATCTCGGTCAAATCGTTCTAGGAAAGGAAAAACCTTCCGAAACGTGAGAAAAGTCGCAATTTGAACATTGGACTCTCAAATCATGGCTATCGCGCACATCGGTCACTACTGAGAGCTCTTCTAAAGGTTCAATGGAACGTTTAATGGAAAGGGAATTTCGACGCGTCGTGTCCCCACTGACACTGGCTCGGCTCTACGCAAGTTATGGCACAAGCTACGTCAGATTACTCAATTTCGTCAGTTCAAAGTACCATGTGCATTCGATCAAGATATTCTGGGAATTTGTGTTGCCTCGGAGTCCCTACTCAATTGCCTGCTTCATGCGGGGCTGCAATTCACGCTTGGGATCAAAGGACCGAAAGGAGATGGGAAGGAATCACCCTTACCACGAAGGCCAACGCTAGGGCCATGGTAACCACAGTTGTGAAAGCACCGAAAAGACCCAGGCGAGTCAAACTTTCAATCCCAGGTCATTCAAACTTTGTAATTCTCCTATTTCCAAAGCGAGTGGTCCACGGCGGTCGATAGGCGCAAGTAGCTCAATTGAAGTCCTGCCCATGGTGAAGGTATCCCGCCCTGGCCACAGCGAAACACACCGCCTTCGTGGGTATAGTATTTTTTCCAACCCAATAGCAACCCTGAAGTTACACAGCCCGCTACATAGCCCCAAGCAATTAGGGGAGGGATGATATCGGAATAGAACGTTCTAGTCAATCATAGGTCCAAAAATGATATTTGCGAATCTTCGGTGTCTAGCTCCGAATACATTTTTGTGCGGTCTGGAAAGCACCTGAACACGAAAATACGCAAACATACGATAAAAACAAACAGTCCAAACTTTTGTGGGTCATCCTTCATGGTTGTCGACAAATGATACAAGATTTATATACACCTACAACGGTGTTTTTGATTCTACCTTGATAGCACAAATCAAATAAATGATGCTGAAAAAGAAAACAGTCAGTGATATTTCAAGGTTCATCTGCGCTGTTACATGCGGGCTAACTGGAAGAAAGATACACTTTGAATGACAGTAGTTTTCTTGGTTTGGAAAACCAACGTATGATCCTAGTTGTTGAAGCATCCTGTGATTGCTTCCTTCTATAGTTCTGAGATCTCGCTTTCTTTTTTCCGTTCTCCTTCTCACCACTCTCAATGTCATTGCATTCTTGCATGATCTCTTCCGTTCTGAGTAGTCCCTCAGTCTATGACTAGTAACATAAAGTCCCGATAATGGCAGAATGGAGCCGGGCATTCCATGAATTGTTGTTTGAGTGGCCAGTAGGGGTGCTAGTGATCGTTGTTTGCACACGACCAGGCTGCTGAGCCCCCTGACTGCCTATAAGAATCGCTGATGCTCTTGATTGAGCTATATGTCCCACCGATTGTGAATAAAAACCCGGTACAAATGACAAGCACCGACCATGCGACCATAAGAATCCAACGAATCGACTTGCCCTGCTTCCCAGTCGTCCAATTATCATATAGCCACATGCAACCCATGGGTTGGAAGCAAAGGGGCGTGGCAAGAAGTGCACCAACGAGCGATACCAGATCACTGAATACAGGGATACTGCTTGCAACAATGTACGCAATAGAAACTATTGTGAAAGTAGATCCAAGCCATGTGACCCAGTGAATCACTGTCTGTCCCGTCAGATGCTGCGTGCCTCGAAGTATACGAATGAAGACATGTTTGGCGGGAAGCTTGCAAGCAGTCAGCACCATGAAAACTAGGATGATTCTTGATAGACATGGAACTCACATGGAGAAGTAAAATGGCGGAGACACACAACCCCGGGAGAGCGAATCCGTAGCTCACCTTTTTCAGTAAAGGGCCGGCTGAACCGAGGGCCGGCGATGCGACATAAGATCCGCAGTAATAATATACCACGGTCCCAACAACAATGTAGATGATAGTCACAGCTAACTGACATATCCACAATGCCCGATTGTAGTATCGAGGGTCGCGCATTTCAGATATGATGTTAAAACAGGCAGGTGTGCCCGCGTAGGTTAAACAGATCGTCGATATCGCCGTCATGGCTTCAGTGAAAGTCGGATCTCCGAGGAGCCTGTAGTTAGACACTGGAACAACTCCGTCTATACGGGGTGGGTGTCCTTGAACCCCAACAGCAATAGTGATAATGAAAACTAGTTTTGGTGGTGTCAGTGACCGTGTAACTCTGGTGTGTGACGTGGGACAACACACCCGCAATGACAATACATGCTGCGCCTATCCAAGCCAGCCAGCTTATACGGGCGAGAGTTTGAATACTGGAGAACATGAGTGCAATAATGGCGGCGACTGCCACGAAGACAGCTGTGCAAGTGGCATGGTCACTGAGAGCGTTCAACGAGATCGAAATGCTTAAAAGGGCAGATCCACCGCTAAAAATCCAATCTTTGATCAGTTAGATAATGCTTTGGTGGTTTAAGAGATCATGCACTCACACAACGTATAAGCTGCCCCAAAAAGCTCAAATCCAATTTTCCCAAACAACATTCTTCCGACATCATCGATGCCGTAGACGCTAGGATGATTCTTTTTGAAGACACCAACCATCCAGTTCGACCATGTTGTCATTCCAGCAATGGCTATGAGGAGAATGATCCCTGGGATAATTCCAAGTGTATCAAAGACCTTAGGCATTGAAAGAACGCCAAGGCCAATCTGGGTCTTGATCAAAAGAGCGGTCGTTCCTACCCAGCCCACCTAGTAAAAATAAGTATCCTGAGATGATGCGGGAAGTTGAAATGTCGAACTAACATTGCGATAGTTTGTGTCACCTGCCTGTATATCCCCAAAGACGGCATCTTCTTGAACTGTTGTATCTTTAAATCCTTCTTCAATCCCTGACTGCATAGGCTCAAGTCTGTCCGACTCGAGATTAGACTTGAGTTTTTTCTTCATTCTCAGGTCGGATGACTGTATAAACAGGAAAATCGCCAATTATGTCAAAAAAAAAAAAAAAAAAAAAAAAAGAGATAATGAGTAAAACTCTTGACAGCCCTGGAATGAATCACCGTTTATCTAGAGCATTGACACATTTTCCTACCCCCTACCATATATAGTCTAGAATAGGGGACACTGTGGGGAAGAAAGTGCGGGGGAGCGGATAAGGAAGACAGGAGGAAGTCTTTCCGTATATCACACCGCGCTCTCCAATCACGTCTCCCTTCATAACTATCTCGCATGCTGCACCCAGGGTTCAGGAAGGGTCTAGGCAACGATCTGCGGGACAACACCATGGCAATCCTCCGAGGGTTTCAAGTCGTCCCGAGATTGTCAAGTACTACCCTGAAGTGGTTCGTCATACCCGACATCTTCATTTCAATCTACTCAGAATTTTGTGTCTATGTATAATCTGATGAGAACCTGATCGTTCTTTTATCATAATGTTCCACGAGCTCGAGGGCTTAAAGGGTTGGTAATCTCATCTAGTACTGGGCTGGCGTCAGTGCCTTCGTTTAATCATGCCCTAGGTATTCCTCTGACTGGTGCAGACCTGAAAGGCAAGTGTTTCCATGGTCTTCATATCACCCCGTTTGTACTTTGGTCCACGGGTCCGTAGGGATGGCATTGTCCGGTACTAGTTCCACATTGTGCCTACAGTAACTAATTGCCACTCCGGGGCCCATGGATCAATTCAAGATTTATTTTCTACATCAAGAACTACTGGGCAGAAGATTGAGCCTCTTGGAAAATTGCACATTTACAAATTCGGAAGTTGATATCAACTACTCATGCCCAGGTGACTGGAATACAACGCCGAGGAACTGTTCGGAAACACCTCCGAAGGTCCATTTCCCACCGTCGGTGGACGAACCGGAAACACGAACAGGACACCGGAACCGAACGAAGCGCGATTTGCTAGATAAGATCCAGCGGAGCATGAATCTCTCACACAGACGTTGTGACGCAAGGAGACACGAGGAAATGGGGTGGGGGATAACTCATTTTATTCAAAAGAATAGAAAGATCTCTCCATATCTCTGCTCCTGGCTACTCCTTACCTAATAATCTTTTCTCCCTATTCGGGTAGGCGCAAACGCAATGCCGATGTACTTACAGAGTCCTGTGAAGGTGCTGGAGGCCTGGAAGTTTGCACTGCTCGCAAGTGTTTCGCTAGTCTAGATCATGTGCTGATCGCACCGTGCAAAGCTACACCTAGATTTAGTAATATAATGCAGACTTTTACACTTCAGACCTTGTTGAGAAATCACTGATTGGCCCCAAATCACTGTTTTCTACATACATAACCACTGGTCCCTCCATTGCTGAGGTCTTACGGTGTGATGGCGGATTGCTCAAGTCTCCATTGATCTCAAAACTTCGAAACCGTGAGTCTGAGCCAATCAGGCAATATCTCAAGAATATGCAAAAGTCCGATCCTTTCGTATGTACATGGGCGTGATCTACACTGACCGAGTACAAGCAGTGCAAAATTTAAGCTCCATGTCCTTGACAATCCCCAATCTCCATTCTCCAACCCAAAATCCCCATCTCCCCTCTTCACGCGCGTATCTGCTTCCCTTGTCGACTCTTAGATACATCAAAGGTGATTCTGTACTACAGCCGACTTCTGCTGGCTTTCCTATCTTGGACAACTGCGTCGATGAGTTCTCGCACCTTCATAGCCACCCCATAGCTGAAGATATATCCCAAACCAGCAAATCCATAGGCGTGGACGGTCTGGCCTTCAGGTTCTAATCGATACCCTCCTTTTCTGCCAGGTCGGAACGCAACAATGTCTTTCTGTATGTCCTTCGGATCGATTTGCCCGATTTCACCGTTTGTTAGAGCTTGCACACGTCGAATGATATCAGATCGCGTCGGCGGGTCAACCTTGCGGTCGAGGCTACCTGGCTGGCTCACACCACCGATGATCGCGCCATTTGTGAACATTCGCGGGATCACATAGGTGTAATGCGAGCCCTGATGCATTTTCAACTCCTCAAAGTCAGTTGTGATAAACATCGTCTGCCCACGAACAGCCTCCACGTTCTTGTCATCTGCAAGAGTCAAGGCGCCGAGGCCAGATGCGTTTACAATGAGCTTTGAATTCAGAATGTTCCGGGCTTCATCGATAGAATCCAGCGTCCTTCGGATGAACCTGACCCCACGAGCTTCCAGTTGTTTCTGAATCCAAGGCAGGAGGAAGTGTGGGTTGATTGTCATAGATGTGTATGTGAACCCAATTTTTGCACCGTCGGGGAGTTTTTCTTTCGCGATCCGGCGATAACGGGGAACCATTGTTTTGTACCAGATGGATGAATCGTCATCTCGGTCGTCGTAGTACTCGGTTGCTTTAACAACCTGGCGGCAAGGTCAGCAAGGGTAGCAATTCAAAATTGGCAGTCAGTTTGGCCCTGCTTACCTGGACACCACTAGTTGGGTCTCGGTGGGCAAGAGCCCAGAAATATTTGAAGTTCTCCGTCTGAAGATCATGACCACCGACGTCTGGATGTGGGTAGATTGAGACCCCGGCCCTACACGCAGGTCAGCTTTGTGGGAAAGATAGGTATACTTGGGGGATTTACCAGGGACTTGCCCAGTCCTGAGATTCATCTCCCGGCAGGTCTCTTGCAACGATGCTCACTCTGTATCCAGCATCGGTGAGGGTCAAAGCTGACAACAGCCCAATGATTCCGGAGCCAATAATGCCGACCTCCATGTTCTGAATTGATTGACATCAATATTGAAGGTGGTTTGCTCTGTTATTTACGTCGAACGGGGTGAAATGTAGGTCGGAGGGTCTTGCCGCTGTCCGGAACGACTTCCCCATTTTCCCGCAAACCAACTGGTTCCCCTATCTCGTCGATTAAAGACGTCTACTACTACCAAAACCCATCAAAGCCGACACAGCGCTCTCGGATTCCCTTACAAGTGCCCATAATCGCCCCGATCGGTCTGTTCTCAACAATATGAATACAGGGTTCCCCGACTCTGGCAGAGTGTCTACCTTTAGCAAGTCTTTCCGCATGTCCCACCTACTCAAGTGTTCTTTATGAGGCAATCACTGTTCTTCGATTTGAGAATTCATTTCTACGGCCATCCCAGCTATATTTGGCACTCTCAATTCGCCTGGAAAGAAACAAGGAGGGAAGGAAATGCATTCTCGACGGAACATATCGCTTGTGAGCGCCCATTGCGAGGGAGAGGCGGGAGACGTGATCATAGGTGGTGTACTGGACCTCCCAGCCAACACTATGCACGAGAAGCTGGTCCGATATACGAATGAGCAAGATGATCTTCGTCGGCTGTTGTTGCATGAGCCGCGAGGTCGGCCGGAGATGAGTGTCATGCTTGTGGTCCCCCCATGCGACCCTCGAGCAGATGCCGGGTTTCTGATAATGGCCCCTGGGGATTGGGTCGCAATGTCCGGATCAAACACGATTTGTACCACCACTGTTCTCCTTGAGATGGGTATGATTCCAATGGAAGAGCCTTCCACGCTGGTCAAGCTTGATACCGCCGCTGGACTCATCACAGCCAACGCCGAGTGCGTGAGCGGAAAATGCAAGTCTGTCTCTTTTGACAATGTTCCGGCATTCGTCTTTGCCATCGACAAGGAAATTGACATTCCGGGCCTTGGAACAATTGCCGTGGACATTGCATATGGTGGCCAGTGGTACGTGATCGCTCAAGCACAGGATTTGCATGTCGAGGTGAGAACCTCATTTGGTCCTCAGCTCATCGAGCTAGGCAAACGACTCAAAGAAGCGGTATTAGCCCAATGCTTGCCTAAACACCCAGAGAACCCGGCCATTTGCGGCATCAACAACATCATCATCAGCGAGCCTCTTGCCAATCAGAACGGAGTGAAGTCAGTGAAGCATGCGGTGATTGTTACTCCAGGAAGACTGGATAGGAGTCCTTGTGGCACCGGTAGCTCGGCTCGACTTGCGGTGCTTCATGCGCGAGGTCAGCTAGGAGTTGGAGAATTAGCAACTTTCCGAAGTGTCATTGATACGGAGTTTATAGGCCGCATTCGGGGTCTGACCAAAGTTGCGGGCACAGCCGCGGTGCTTCCCACCATCAAAGGCAGGGCATGGATAACTGGGGAACGGCAAATTCGGCTTGACCCGAGTGACCCATTCCCTGTGGGGTTCTTGGTCTAATGCTATCGGCACCGCGTTCATGTATAAGCTTAAAGCTCAAGAGGTGCTCTGAGACTTCGCGTTACCATCTATCCAATCTTGAAGCAGATCTATGTAGGGAGTGATGCTTTAATCAACCTCTCCAAGAGTCTCTCACCTAGCCTTTTCTGCCTTTATCTAGCTATTTCCCTATCTTTAGGTGCGTAAACCTTTCCCTCATGGTCCTCTTTTGGCTCAACTTGGCGAAGCTACGTATTAGTTCGGCCCTGATGTTGTTTCCCCATACCTAGGGGACTAGTGCAAATAGCTACTTTGATTATCAATATATGACTCCAGGGCTACTCACATTACATGCTTCCCGTTCATTTCCATCTGAGCGCATAGTAGTGATAGAACAGAAGGTTCACCGATAACATCCGAAAAGGTATTGAATCTGATCCAATCAAACTACCTAGGTAGTCTTTCGGCACGTCCTTGTTCGGAGAGTGGTCTCCCCCTCCCAGTCATCTAGTTAGCTTAGTTTTCTCTTCTCCCTTTCTTTCTCTTCTTCACCCAACCAACCAATACAGACCCCGTGGAAGAGATCCTTTTTCTTAGATCCAAAGAGTCCTGAAATATAATAACGGTATCTAATAATATAAATTTATAATCAACAGTTGGAATTAAACTTATAATATATTGAATATTACTAAGATTAAGAAGGAAAAACTGTAGTTTTATTTCTATTTTATATATAAAAAGTATCAAGGCTGCCAAATCCATCAACACTAGAGTGCATATATTCGAAAATATCAAATATAGAGAAGGAAGAAAAAGAAAAAGAGACTACTTTAATAACTATCACGATCGTACCGGCCTGCCTAGATGTGAGGGCTTCTCGATCAGCTTCCTACAGAAGGGAGAAGAGTCAGGGTATAGCATTCTGGAAGGTACAGTATTTCTGATTTTGCTATGTCTGTGACAAAAAAGGCGGGTCCTTCAATAGGGAAAACTTGGTTTGACCTCTCACTCATTGTAGTTGATTCCCAGAAAATACATTTGGACAGAAGTGTTGTGATTGGGCGTAATTATGCCTCTTGCTTTGCTTCGACAATTTTCTGGACTGGATAGCATGGGCATCAACTTTCCTGGTAGACTTCTTGTATCGCGCGGTTATTTCGTTCTTTATCTGCATTCGTTGAGATGGACCCTTTCTCATATGCGGCGAGCCCTGGAGCGTTTTAGCGGTTATCTAAGCGGCGGGCGCCGTTACAAACATTGCGCAGATTATATTAAACAAGTCAAGAGAGCCCAAAAAGACATCAACGACCTATATTCTGGAAGGACAGGAGGCGAACCCATGCAGCTCGCCCGACAACAAATCACCAGTCACCATAAATAGGAGGTTTTGAGAACGCAATATAGTCTAAATTACCCAGTGAATCTATTAAAACAGTCTAAATCTTGGCGCAAGTGCGCAATTCTATGATCTAGAAATCGAATCTCTCGAGGTCCTTTGTGCAGCTTCAATGCCAGACCTGAAGCCAACACGTACGCGCTCAACTTCGCACTACATCTTTACTCTTCCTTGAGTAGAGTTTCTTGGCTGTTTTTCGCTCTTCAGCAAACACCAAGCGTCTACGCAGACGCCCTCTTTGTTGCCTTGGTTCGCAACTTCATCATCAGGAACACCAGAGCGTAGAACACTCCAGCCCACAATACAACCAGCCCCGCATCCCTCCAGCCGTAATACCCTTCGTTCAAGTTGAGTGTCTTCAAGTAGTCTCGTCCAGTAGTGTATCGGCACACCTCGCAGTTCTCCCTAGCGCCTGGGTTCAGAAGGTTCGTGCCACGTCCCATGCCTTGCTGATAGGTGGAGAGAAAGTCGCCACATGTCTCATTCGCAGGAGGATTGAAGACCGCAAGCTCGTCACGTTCGCAAGTGATATTGACAGAGAAGGTGGTGAAGGTGAGGAAAGCGCCGAACAGATAGTTGAATGGATCGAGGTAGTATATCCTAAAATGTGATGTTAGCATTGATCTCGTGGATGTTTATAGTCTTATGAGGCTTACCAGTATCTCCAGAATGTCGTGATCTGGGAGTAAGGAACAAAGACACCGCAGAATGATACGAGGGTGGTAATGACCAGCGGGTTGACGAGAGATGCAAAGGTTGCGTTAGGAGCGTACGCGGCGATCGATTGTCCAATACCGGTGTACAGCATCTCGTAGATCATCTAGACGGATTGTTGGTTTGAAGCGAGGAGTCAACCAAAGAAGAGAGGACTTACTGCGACGAAGAATGTGCTGCCTGCCCACTTGGTATCATTTGGCAACCCAGCAGTCCAGTACCAACATAAAAAGTACAACACACTGCAGATGAGCAGGTAGGGCAGCTCGGAAACGATTAAGCCAGTGACGAATGGAACCCAGTGGTAGGTCTTACTCTTCTTCTCACGCGTCTCATACACGTTGCGACGATCGATGAAGATAGGCTGAAGCTGGGAGATGAGCCCAGGGGCAACAAACAGAAAACTAAAGACCGTGAAGAGGCGTTGCTGGAGATCGTTGACGCTATTACCAATCGACCAGAACGAAAACCCGTTGTAAAGAGACAGAAGTATATGCAAGATGAGCTTGTTGTTGATGTACTCGGTGTTGCGGAACAAGGAGATGTTCATGCGGTGCGTGACAAGCTTTACCTGCTCCCAAATGGGTGCTGCGAATTGGTGGCCATCATCGACAGTTCCGGGCGCTTTGGCGGCAGCAACGGCAACAAGAGTGTCAAGCTCTTGAGTAATCTTCTCGTGTTCTGGCGAGTTGAGCCAAACCTGGCTCCAGTCCTTGTCCTTAGAAAGGCTTCCTGATACGACTTCAATCATATGCTCAGCAGGGTTAGCATCTCGGGGGCACGGTACACCATGATCAGCGAAGTATTTCTTGACGGTCCTTGCATGATGGCCGATATCGCCAGCGTATACGGTCTTGCCACCTTTAGCCAGTAGGAGGAGGGTGTCGAATTGGGCAAAGAGGTCGGCCGATGGCTGATGAATCGTCACGAGGATGGCTTGTCCGACTTCCGCGAGTTTCCGTAAGAAGCGTACTGTGTTGTTTGCAGCTTGACCATCGAGACCAGACGTAGGTTCGTCGAGGAAGATCAATATACTGGGTTTAGCTACGAGCTCAACACCAATTGTGAGGCCTGATAAGTTGTTAGTGTCCGTCTCGACTCTGTTTGACGGATTCAGACTTACGCTTGCGCTGTTCGACAGAAAGACCGGCACCAGGGCGACCGATGAGGGTGTGCTCGAGATCTTCCAACTGTAGAAGTTTGACGATCGTGTCCACATAGCGCAGCTTCTCCTCTCGGGGGATCCCACGATTCTGACGAAGAAGAGCAGAGAATTCCAGAGCCTCGCGTACCGTGGACAATGACTCGTGGACATCCATCTGTTCGACGTAGCCAGCAGATCGTTGGAAGGACACGGAGAGCGGGCGACCATCGACTAGAACGGAGCCATGAATGGTACCATCAGTCTTGCGTTGAGCTAGGACGTCAAGCAGTGTAGTCTTTCCGGCCTGAGTGAAGATATTAGCGAATATCCATCTGTCAATTGCATTACTGGTGCACTTACACCCGAAGATCCCATAAGAGCACCGAGCGTACCAGGCTTGACAAATCCTTGAACATTATCGAGAAGAATCCGATCGCCATGAGGCGTCTTAACGGTGTAAGTTAGATTCTTCCAGGTAAAGACCGATGTATTGTGGACGAGCTGGTTGTCGATGGTTGCATGAGACTCCTCGGAATCGGAGCCGGGGTTCTCGGATCGCTTCTCGACAGCCTGGGATTCCTCATCCGCAACCACGTCCTTAAGCACCTTCTTCTGCTTCTCACGGGGGATGAGGAGGCCGCGACCACCTTCACCCATCTGCTTCCACTTGGAAGTGAAGAAGACAGTCATTGCCACGAAGAAGACGTACCAGGCGCAGAGAATGCCAAAGTTGCGCCAAACATTACTGTGGCTGAAGGACATGGAAGACAGGTATTGGTCACCAGTAAGACTGGTTGCTCCAGGAGGCGCACCACGGACGCCGGTACATGCTTGTCCGCCTCCTGTTTCGGAGCTGTATCCTTCGCCATTTGGAACTAGGAATGGGCCCACACAAGGAATCACCTGGTCGTGGAACTCGTTCGCAAGCAATGCTTCGAACGCGTAGGCCATAGGGTCGATCCAGAAGAACCAAACAAACCAAGGATGCATGTCGGGCTTGGGGATCATGTATCCTGCATATGTGAAGGCAGCGACGATGGTGAATCCAGAAGCTTTAGTTGCTGCGTCGAAATTCGGGAAAGCTGCACCAATGAACCTGAACAGCTGTGTCATAGCCAGGGCCGAGATCAAGTTGATGAGCCAGTAGATAAAGAAAGCCTGGGCGGTGTACTGGAATCCAGTCATGAAGTACAATACGATTCCAAAGTGCGAGATTTGGAAGAGCATGATGGGAATGTCGGTAATGACCTGGGCGAAGACAAAGGCAGATGGATGGTGGAGAGCAAAATCTCTGTGTTTGGCTAAGACGGGTCGGCCGAAGAACGAATCTGTAACCTCGGCGAGAGCGATGAAGGTAGGATATAGTAGAGAGAAGAAGAGTGAGCCTCCTTTGATAAACAAGCCCGCCGTGTTATCCGGAGCATTGTAGAACAGTGAGCCACCAATCAGCGCTTGAACAATAGTTGAGGCTTGCTTGATGAACAGAGTTTGCTTATCGCCCCAGAGGACCTGAAGTTGGCGTATGGTAGCCGTCTGCACCTGATAGATATATCCTGCGGACTCCGCAGCTGTCTTTGGGAGGTTCTTGTGCTTGTCTTGAGCCTCCTGTTCCTTGAAATCTGCCGTATTCTGCCGAGCTTCAGGGCTATTTGGGTACTCGAGCTCGGCCACCATCCTTTGTTTGATGAGCGAGTTGTTATAAGCAATTAGCAACTCCTCTGTTGATCGAGGAAATCGATTCTCGAAGCCTGGGGCAATTGCGCGCACAGAAGGCGCCGATACACTCGTGAGGAAATCTGACTTATTGGCTGCAGGGTCGCACAGGAAGCCAAGATCCTCCATATAGGACACAGCTTCGTCTCGAGGTCCGTAGAAGATCTGCTTGCCGTTGTCGAGAATCAGAATCTTGTCGAACTGCTCATAGATTCCATTACCAGCTTGATACAGACTGGCAATTGTAGTGAGACCAAGAATATCTGTCATGGCGCGCATGGCTTTTGTCCAATCTAGCGCAGTGCTCGCGTCGAGACCGCGAGTGGAATTATCCCAGGAGAAGACGCTGCCCCTAGTCGCAAGGCATTCGAGAATGGAGACTCGCTTTCGCTCGCCACCCGAAACGCCGCGAATGAACTCATCTCCGACCTTGGTATCCTTTGTGTGTGTGATACCGAGAGACTTCAAGAGGAATTCCTTGTATGTTTGGGCATACTCTTCCTCATTCTCGATGTCCGGTGGCAGGTGGAAGGGCACCTTCAAACGTGTGGCGAAGTCGATGGTGTCACCGACTGAAAGAGCTGGAAAGAAGATCTCCTCTTCTGTGTTCATGATGATCTGACCACGATATTGTTTGGCTTCTTGACCGGTCATGGACCCGAACGAGACGTCGCCAGTGATTTCTGCGAAGCCATTTCTGTGGTTTGATAGAACGCTAAGCAGTGTTGTGCAACCGGCTCCTGGATTTCCCAGAACGAGCAACATCTCACCGGGTTTGACACACCCAGAAGAGTTGTCGATAATAGTCTTCAGGGGTGTGCTCTTACTGCCCTTCCCGAATGGGTTGAATTGAGAAAGAACATTTTCGTTGTAAAGCGCATCACTGCTGATGCCCTTTACTGTGAGGTTCTGCCATGTCACACCCAGCTTCTTCGATTTCCCACAGTTATTGTCGGTACGTTTTCGTAGTTGTTGTATATCTGAAGTGATGGGCCATTGTGAGATGTCACTTGGGCCGGCCTTTTGGCCGGGCTCGTCGTCTGACTGCTCCGTGCTGGGGTTGACCTCCATGTTGTCGCTTTTCGGATTTGTTAATTTGCCAATGACAGTAGAAGGACTTCAATGAAATAAAATGCTAGAGAATAGACGGGTGGAGTTGCCGGTGGGAGAGTAACAATATTATACACAAGATATAATAACAGATTTTGCTCAGTTACTGAACAGATCACCTCCTTTCGGCGTGATGACATATTCAACTGTCTCGCCTGGATTATGAGGTATGTCCGATCGGAGTGATTATTGAACATTCCAGGCTCAGTAAAGTTGAAATAGGATTACTATTAGTGCGGCTCGATTGATGGACCCATGGAATTGGGTGGGACCTCGTAACCTTCAGCCCAAAGTACGTTTCTATACTGGAAGGGGGATATCGGATAACTGACGCAGCAAATCTACCGTACCACCATTCTGGGAAATGAGTACATGATCAAGCAAACTTCTTGCGCTAATGATAGTTAGGTGATGACAGTGATGGGTGTGTTCAATCTATTGCGTCGTGATTAAATGCAAATCGTTACTTGGTTCTTATCATTAAAGACAACTACCTACCTAGGTAGCTCTCTTTGCTCAGTTATCACCCGACACGTGTATGATTAGGGAAATTACTTCGATAGCAAAAGCAACTATCGTTTCAAGCCTTCTCACCGAGAAGGGTGACTCTTCTACAGTAACTATGGGGGCTTCGGCAGCCGGTCTATTGCTAACTTTCGTTCGCTATGCAAGAACTTCTTGCCCTACACTTCCCACTGGCTACCTCCGATTTACATTTATATTATCCAGAATGTCTGAAAATTCAAAATGTAGGATTTAGATGACGTGTAGCAGGGAAGGAAAAGAAAGCAACTCTGGATCTGAAGCCCGACTGCGCGTTCTATTAGCAAGAAATGGCAGTCATTACGCATAAGTTTCTGCGCTGAGTTCCTGAAGTCGCGCAGCCCCGTTCGTCATGCCGATGAACCAGCGCACGAACTGATATACCAGAGACTCTCAGTAGTTCTACAATACGGCTAGCCACTCCTCCAACTTGGCCTGCGGCGCCAGTCACCTGCACAGGCGCTATATGTTCTGGCATGATAGCAGGTTATAGAATGAATATGCAAAAGTCTACAGACCTGGTGAAGCTCTTCGTGTCGAAATAAACAAATAAAGGCGACCAGCAAGTTCTCTAAATTCAACTAAGATCACAAGGGGACGTAATATCTTAGCGTAGCTACTACTGGAACAACATCAACTGGTGTATTTGTGTGTTTATTCATCAGGCCGATTGGTTGATTATTCATCCTACTCCGGTGAAAAGCCATCAGGGAGAATTGAATTAACACTACCTTCTATTATTGAATTGAGTGATTAAATGAAGAGAAACATGATATGAAAGCGCTCATGGAGGGTGAAATACCCATAAGATTACAGTATAATGAGGATTCTCGGATGTTATAAATCTGGGATGCCTGATAGCAACAGATTTGTGTTGTGCAGACCTACTTTATCGTTATCTCATGTATGTAGGTAGTTGCCATACTGCAGACTGTATGTTGAGATACGAGCGCCAACCCATTTGGATTTATTCGGAACCTCCCAGTAGTCTAGCTAGTTTTAGTTTTCTCTTCTCTCCCTTTTTCTCTTCTTCTCCTCAACTAATGAACCTCAGTTGAAGAGAACTCCCTTCCTTCCGATCCCTAGATCAAAGAGGATTGACACATTATCATCTTCACTAATTTGGAGGAACCAAGCACCGATACAACCAGGCCGCAATGAGGGTCGATGGTTATCAATGCAGTGATTTGCATCTCAAATAATTGGTCCAATCAATGTGTACTACAACAACACTTGAATGTTTTGGGACTACCAAACCTTGAAGGGCCATGGAGAGAGCGAAGACTCGATTCAGCTATCTCGGAAGAGAGAGAGAGAAAGCAACTACTGAGGAAAAACTGAAGAGCTAGAAACACTGGGGGTCATATGCCCTAAAGCCATGACTCACAACAGAATGAACCAGGATAGCGAAGACATGCATACAGCTGATGTGCTAACAAGCTAGGCCGTAAGGTAAGGTCCCCAAGGCGATGGCTTGTTGTCGCGGAACCATCTCTGCTCGTCTTCCGAGCCTGTAGGTGGAATCCTGAGACCGTTGATATGCACAAATTCGCGCTCAAGCTCCTCGCCGTTGACCTCCCAGTCGTACCCTTTGTCTAGAAGATACGGCTTCACGGTTTCGTGGACCCAATTCATGAACTTCGTCCTCTCAGGGCTCTCGCCCGGAGGAAAGTGCCTGGCGATGTGGCTGAATGTGAGCCGGATAAATGGCTTCACCCCTTTCGCATGCTGTTCAATTACAAGTGATCAGCAAACCAACTATTACCTACTAGGTAGTACTTGGTCCTCCTAAACTTACGCATGATACTCCGCCTCGGTACAGGGTGCCGGGAGGCATCTCAATGAAAATGACTACCACATAGAATGCCGGCAGCCCAACTCGGGTATATATCGAGGTAATCGCCTCAACCAGTTTGTCTTTCTGCTCGGGATCCGTGAAGGTCCCCGTGGGATGATAAATTCTCCAGTCCGGCATGTTGTGGAATATTTGCGTGAATAACGAGATGGTGACTCCAGGGAAATGCTGGAGCTGTTTCTGATATGTAGGTGCTTTGACTCATCACCGAGAGGGATTCCATTGCAATATAAGTCTCTTTGTGAGAGAGGATGGGAAATAACATTTGTTTCCGGTTGCCGATGATCAATAATCGTTTCCGACCTCCCGAGGTCGGGAACCTTCTCCAGGGCTGTACTCCGGGTTCCAGCTCATGGGGTCCAGAAGTTATGTGATCGTCATGTGATATTATCCGGTCGGAATAATGAAAGTTGAACCCCCCGTTTCCGATCTATTCTCCATGACTCTTTCAACTATGACAACCTGTATGTAATCTGATTTTACTACATTCTTTACAATTTAAATAAAGCAGACTTACCTAGTAGTTTAGAAGATCCATATTTTATTAATTTCAACTTAAAATAAGGAGAAAGACTAAATTCGGAAACTTTCAAAATTATATTCTGTGTACGGTTTTCAAGATATATATTCGGTGAAGGTATCTCCAATTCAAATTCCACTAAATTTTTTTCACTCGATTTTTACATTATTCTAAGGTCAAAAAAAGCTAAAATCATCTAGAAATATTCTAAGACTCCATAATTACCTAACAGTGTGTATTTCTAGATGTAAAATAAAATAAATCTTAATAAAAAAAGCCTAAGAATTATACTCTTTTAATCGAATAAAATTAGTTGGGGTTTCGACCAGCAGAAAAACTAGGAAAAGGTAAGCGGTCGCTGGAGTTCAGATAAGCGGTCAGTGGTTAGATGGTGAATCATGTGATTAGAATAGAATTAAATACCAGAGGCCTGGCAAATTAATATGAAATATTGAATTGAAAATACAGGTTATATAGTATGAATTCCTGGACCCCAAGAGCTCATGGGGACTAGAAATTATGTAAGATTTTTTTTCTGGTCCCCATGAGGTCGTTTCTGGACCCCATGAGCTGTGACCCCGAAACCACGCAGCGCGACATGAAACAATACTAAGTCCTATACTCCGTACATAACAGGTGAGATCGCTTCTCGGCCCGAAGTCGATCTGATATACTTTCCTATTACTGTATTAAAATTGAAGATATATTTGACATAACGCAGGTCTATAGCTAATCAATAAAGTGCTAACTAATCTACTCCCTATATATCCTTAAGATTTCACACTGAACTTACTCCAAGAGCGGATCTTTGGTCCGTATATAAAAAAAGCAATGGGCACGGGGAATAGAAGGGCAGTCAGACAACCTAACAAAGTCATTGCCCAATTTACACCAAGGTTGTGAAACTAACAAGATCTCCAAGTCAGCTTGGCTCGCGAAGTTGGCGAACTGCAGAGGCGACGCATACCATAGCCGAGGCAAATAATGGAAAGCCAGCTCCAAGCAGAGAGCGAAATAACGAATTCGCTGCTATTGCGGAATTGGCATACATGGGATATACATCAACAATATAGTTGAGCCCCTGGGTGGCGATGTTAGGAGTTGGCAAACTCGCAGGTCATGGAGTCATGGATCGATCCCTCCTGCAAAGGGTTCTTGGATATCCAGGTCGGGGAGCATACCTGTAAGAATATCAACAAAACTCCAGCCCCCAAAAAGCTTCCTGAGATGACTTGGGCAACCCATGAGATGTGCGGGCTTGACGTCCATCCAAACCAAAACATTCCTATAGGTAAGAACACACCTCCTATGGCCATTGGGATCAGGCGTTCTTCAGGATTCACACTCCCTGTGCGGGAATGATGTCTCGATGGCGGGTTAGGGAAAAGACGATGATGATCAAGCACCCGACGAATACGCCACAGATCACGGCGATGAATGGCAGGGCACCAACTCCGTCGTCCCATCCACGTTCTTCCTGGAACGAAATCGGATAGGCCACGAAGCAAGTGTACAGAAATCCATAGATGAACCCGATGTACAGCGTGACCAGAAGCAGAATAGGCTCCTGAGCTAGCATCTGGAATGGCCGTAAGATGTACCGCGTCATGATGTCTTGAACGCTGACGACTTTCTCTTCGGCTCTGGCATGCAGAGCCCAATTACCGGTTTCCACTCGTCGTCTTTTGGCACGTTCTGACAGTATAGCCCCCTCAAACGTCTCGGGTATTATGAAAAAGCCGATAACGCAGAAGGCAAAGGCCCATATGGCCGTGATGTACTCAGTCCAACGCCAACCAAGATAAGAGATCACGATGAATCCACCCACAATAGGCCCAGCTACGGGGCCCACGAAGGTAGCGCCTGCGAAAACGGACATTGCAATGCCACGCTCCACAGGCTCAAACATATCCCCCAACACACCTGACACCTATCAACGAGAAGGGTCAACCTTTCCGCAGCAATGGACGGGCTCGAACAGTTGACTCACAATGGCTAGAGGGGCACTCGCGAAGACTCCTCCAAAGAATCGACAAATAAAGATGGTCTGGAGATTCTGTGCAACCACGACGGGGATTTGGAAGATGGCAAAGACGAACATGCCCACGAACATGGGTTTTTTCCGGCCATGCAACTCGGACAAAGGGCCGAATATTATAGGACCGAACGCAAAGCCCAGGACAAAAAGGCTGACGGCGAGGACCATAACTTCAGATGAGGCGCGGAACTTTCTGGCTGTCACTTTTGTCGCCGTGCTGAATACCGAGGAGGCGAATGTCGAACAGATGGTCATAAGCCCGAGGGTAATTGTGATTGTCCACTTTCTCCATTTGGGGAAATTCTGGGGATTTTCCTGCTCTTTTGTGTCAACGTGAGAATATCAGAGCACTGCAACAAAGGGAGACGAGCCTCATACCGGATCATTGGGGCCGTTCCAGCCTACAATAACTCCGTCCTTGTCATTGGCATGGCATTCATTTGCCTTCGTTGCAGCTGAGGTCTCATAGATCTGTCCCTCCCCGAACAAAGTTGTTACGCTTGCCGAATCACCGGCTAGTTCACCGTCGGTCGCCGAAAATGAGGTTTGAGTCCCCTTATCCGCCATGGCTGTTAAAGACATGTTTGTATGAGTATCAGAAATCCCGATCCCATCAATACCGGACTCAAAGTCAGCTCCAATATAATGGAAGCAGGAATTAATTTCGCGGTGTTGAAAAATGATTCCCCAACGCGTCATGGGTACATCCACGGTCCCGATGTCCATGTCCTTCATCTCCAGTCCAACGACATGATTACGTACCTTTTGGTCTAACAAAGCCCTTCGATTCGTGGAAATTGTCGCCAGAAGGGACACAACTATGGTCGATTTTCGAGAAAAGAGCTGTTTGCTTCAAGCACAACTGGTTCTGCAGTGATACGAAACTCCGATTATTGGGCTATGGAAGAAATTTGAGAGCGTGTTCAAGCTTTCAGGAATCCAGCATCAGACCCAAGCTCCGACGATCAAAGCTATGATGTACCTGGCATGCAACACGATCTCAATGGCCGCCAAAAAAGGATCATTAGACAAGGCTCTTGAAACGTTTGGAATCTATCCAACTCTGACCCCACAAGTAAAACTTGAGCCTCTCTTATCGTCGTGGATGGCCTTTCCAGAGACCCAGAGGCCCATGCCACACTCCCCGATAGTCAGTACGAATCACCCAACCAAAGAGCTCATGGGGCATACCAAACAAGCACCTATTGCTATGATCCCAAGACTGACCGCAGTTAAAGCCATCTTCCGCCAGGAGGTTCCATATAGTTTCCAATTGAGGAACAACCAAAATATACCACTTATGCCATCTGATCAACCCGTCAGTCTGTTTCTTCAGAGACACACTCAATGGATTTGGAGCGATGAATTGCAGCGCAATTGAATGACTCACAAGTAAACCAACTCGCAAAGAGAGATGTCTATCAGTAGGCCCAAGTCAGCGATCTAGCGCGTGGTTCTCTGAGCTTGACTCACGATCAGACTTAGAAGATTGTTAAACACCGGGATTGCTTCGGATATGATCCACGCAATAAACCATAGAATGAGGGTTATCCCTGTCCATGATCCCACCGAAAGGAATGTCCGCCGTTGCATGTGGTCTGTACCCCGAAATAGGCGGACGTACACATACTTCGCCGCAACATGTCCATTGATTACCCCAGCGACTACGATCTGCGCTGTTGATCAGACATTTTCTTTTCTTGGCTCTCGATCAGGAGCTACTCACTGTCGGAATAGCAATTCCATAGGCAACCTTGGCGGTTATAGGCTTGGTGGAACTCAATGCCGGGGAGTGCACCCCTTTTCCGCCGTAGATGTAGATGACGACTGCAGCCACCACATATAAACTTGTGTCAGTGATTTGGAGCAAGTACAGCGTCTTCGGATAATCAGTGGGAGTCTCCATCTCCGATATAAATCCGAAGAAGGCGACATGTCCCGCTGTCGGGATGATCAGCGAACTGCTCTACTGGGGACCATCCGAGGACACACCATAGGCAAACACAATGTTGGTCACCGCCAAAAATCCCTTGTCGAGACTGACTGTTGTCGTTGCCTCAACCTTACCGTCGCCAGGGCGCTGAACCGCGAGGACGATCATCGTGATCAGGAGGGCGGAGACAATACTTATGAAAGCTGGGCAGTCAGCACCAATTTCCTAGTATAGCAGACGTTGGGTAGTTTGTTACATGCGATTGAAAACCATGATACCTTACGGAGAGTGCGAGGCAGGGTCAATGTAAAGGAGAGGATCAGGCCGACGATTCCAAACACAATGGAACAGGTGCCATGATCTGTTAGGGTATCCATCATCACCGTGAAAGTGAGGAGATGGCTCCCCATAACGAATATCAAAAACAGCAGCTGGGCTGTTCCCAGGAACTCACGGCCGAATTTGCCCCAGCCAATGGGCCCAAAAAGGACCTCTCCAGCATCTGCCATGCTATGCACTTGGGGATATCGAAGTTTGAACTGACCAATCACGTAGCCAGTCCAAGTTGCGACAACGCCAAGTCCCACGATGAGGATTGTTGCTCTGGGATGCCATCAGCGTGATATTTCCATAATCGGGCTGTGGGCAGTGAGCACTCACGGCGCCAGACCCAACACTGCAACGGCAGATGGCAGCGATAGAATCCCGAGCGAAACGGTTTCTGCAATCATGATCATGCCGCACTGCCACCATTTCATAGTCCGATATCTGATTTCGCCGTTCTGCTCATCTCCAAAGGGATCCTCATCGTGAGTTTCCCCATTTCGAGACCAATGCTTCTTATCTTCTTGTTGGGAAAGGTCTCTACAATCACCGTCGGGGCTCTGTGGTGAAGAATGAGAGCCTGTCATTCTCGTTTTATATCTCGATTTGGTCGTATGCCGCGGTTCGGAGGGTCTTCCAGGTATCAACGTAGTTTGGCGCGCTATGACCATATATTCGCTTGCTGGACGTGATTTCGAACGGCTATCTCGTTTCTTTTCTGTCCCACCTGAGTGGCAAGGTAAGGTCACGTCGCGGAGGAAAGAAGCGAGCGGATTCGGGGTCCGAGATGGGGCAAATCACCGTACAGCCGAGGAAAAGTACTATCCTGAATGTTTGCACATCGGTAGCCATAGTCAATGATGCCAATTCTCCCAGTTCGTGGAGAGATTAAGTGGTCAATGTAATGCGCTGGAGGGTTCGAGCTACCTGACTCAGTACCTAGATCGGGTTGCAGAGACAAACCATTGGAACATTCGGCCGGCATCTGTTCCTTAAAAGATGGCAGTGTCAGAAAAAGAAGAAATATCTGCCGGAAAGATAATTTAGCTGCAACTGTCCGGCACCAACCACCTTCGCGGTTGTCACCATTACCCTCTCTCCCTCTCAATGTGGATTCTTCGTCGGCTCAACTTAGTATCTCTCCTTCTTCTCGCGGTCCTTCCGTTCCTTTTAGAGGTGCAAACGTACCCCGGATCCAAAGGTCGTCTCGCCGGAGATGCCACATTCGACTTTGTTGTCGTCGGAGCGGGCACCGCAGGCCTCACTATTGCAGCAAGACTAGCCGAACAGCAATACAAAGTGGCAGTGGTGGAGGCAGGCGGCTACTATGAGTATATGTACCCACTAGCCCGGGTACCAGCAGCTTGCAGCCTTGGAGCCGGCGCGGATGTTCGAACCACGACACCTATCGACTGGGGCTTCGTGGCGCATGGGGTCCCCGGTGCAGACTTTCGAGATATTCATTACCCGAGAGGCAAGTGCCTGGGTGGTTCGTAAGTTACAGATGAGTCTTGATGTGTAATGTTCTAACACTCGTCAGATCTGCGTCCAACTTCATGATATATCAAAGGTGAAGTATCATTCCGGGTCGCGTCTAGCACCGTACGCTGATGACTGGCTTGAACAGACCTACTGCGCAGTCAATGTCGCGCTGGGCGCAGCTTGTCAATGATTCAAGTTATCTCTTCGAGAATGTGCTGCCTTACTTCAAGAAGACGGTCTCGTTCTCGGAGCCCACGGGAAGTCGCTTCGCAAACGCCACGCCTCTCTTCAATGCTTCAGCCTTCAGCCCCGGTGGAGGGCCAGTACATGTTTCGTATCCAAAATATGCGACCCCGTTTTCTACATGGGCGAAACGAGGGATGATCGAGCTCGGAATCCCAGAGATGCAAGATTTCAATAGTGGCAGTCTCATAGGTCATCAATATTGTGCCATGACAATCCGACAAGGAGATGCATCGAGAAGCAGCTCTGAGTCCGCGTTCCTCGAGACAGGAGTTCAATCTGGCTCATGGACAGTGTATCAATTCGCCATGGCCAAAAAGATCGTTTTCGATACCAATCGAAGGGCAACTGGTGTGATTGTTCAGCAAGGAAACCAATTCGTCCTCCACTCAACCAGGGAGGTCATTATCACTGCAGGCGCATTCCAATCACCACAGCTCTTGATGGTCTCCGGCCTTGGTCCGGCTCAACTCCTTCACAACCATGATATTGGCCTAGTCGCTGATCTGCCAGGGGTGGGTGAAAATATGTGGGATCATGTCTTCTTTGGGACCTCATACCAAGTGAATGTACCTACTTTGGGCATTTTGGATGGAAATGTGCCATCAATTCTTACTCAGGCAGAGTTGTGGCTCCGTGAAGGGGATGGGATTCTCGCAAATCCATCGACGGACTATCTCGCTTTTGAAAAGCTTCCCAGAGCGTCGCGTTCATCTTTTACGCAACAAAACGAACAGGATTTAGCATGGTTTCCGAGCGATTGGCCAGAAGTCGAGGTAAGAAACAATTTCTCCAGGGTTAGTGACTTGCAACATAAAGAGCTTATCGCGAGGCATACCTAGTACATCGCAGCGTCGGCCTTCGAGGGGAACTTCTCTGATCCATACGCGCAACAGCCTCGGAAGGGCCAGTACGCCTCCCTAGCTGGCGCTTTGGTGGCTCCCACCTCGCGGGGAAGCATCACCATCCGTTCAGCTGACATGGCAGACCCGCCAGTGATCAACCCCAACTGGTTAGCCACCGAGACTGACCAAAAAGTTGCAGTTGCAGCTTTTAGACGCGCTCGGAGTATTTTTATGACCCAGTCGATGGCGCCAGTAATAATAGGCCAGGAGTACTTTCCTGGCTATGGATATCAAACCGATTCTGAAATATTGGCTCTCATCAAAAGCACTCTGATGACAATATATCATGCGGCATGCACATGCAAGATGGGTGTTTCGAGCGATGTCATGGCAGTTGTCGACAGTCAGGCTAGAGTCTTCAATGTCACGGGGCTGAGGGTTGTCGACGCGAGCTCGTTTCCAATCCTACCTCCAGGCCATCCTCAGTCAACAGTTTGTAAGTGACCCTCCCCTGGTCCATTGGGGATCCCTAATGCTAATAAGCATCAAGATATGCTAGCGGAGAAGATCGCAGCCGATATTATTTCCGGGGGCCACAAAGGCTGATTGTGCTCAACCTTGGAATGATCAAATTTCTAGTGTCAGAAAGGTTTCCTCTTGGGAAGAAGTAAAAGTGCGGAAGTTCGTTATATTGTTATTATCACCACAGAATTTCGGAATACATCTGATTGAGAGTGTCATACATGGTGTAATCACTCGGCAGAGAATCAGCAGAAAATGCAAATCCTAGATTATTGACAAAGAGCTCGCTGTGGTTAGGAATGGCCGCTGACCCGTCGATATTGCTCACTGGGGCTTCGTAAAAGTTTCTCGGGGTTGAGGCGTCAAGCCAGTCGAAATTGGCTGTTGGGGGAGGCTGCCAGACATCTTGAGCTTGAGGGTAATTTGGATCAAGATGATGGAGGTTTGGGTCGCATTGTGGAGTGGGATACCCTGCACAAACGTTGAGGTCGGTAGGCTGGGATAGATTGGCACATGGAATTTGGCATTCCAACGAAGGGGCAGCTGGCATATGATCGACATCGCAGTCCAGTTGCCGGCAATACAATTTCTCTAGATTGCGTCCTATCCGCTTTGCAATATCCCAAGACGTGGAAAGCTCTCGTAAAACTTGAAGGCAAAGTCCCACTGCAGTCTGTGGTGAAGGGCCTACAGAGGTTTGGATCCCTGTGCCATTCTTCTTGTTCGGGTCAGAATGGCATTTCTCAATGATGATCAACGCAGCCGAGAGAATGCAGTGTGTTGGGGTGATCGGACTGAGCCTGAAGGTGCCAAACTTCTGTCTGTATTTCTGCGCCACGATACATACTCCCCGTGCTGAGTTGTGGCAAATCGTCAATGCTTTCCGCCCGCAGCTACTCTGTGGAGCGTTGTGGCCTGTGGCTTCTTGTGTGCATGGATCAGTAGCGAATCCCTTTTGCGCATTGTACCTGTTTCCCAGAAAGGGCACGCAAAGCAACATACACACAGTGTGGTAAACCATGCAGAGAGCGTACGTGTGGGGGAAGTTGGAAGGTCCTGATGGACGGTCAATTTTCAACTCAGGAGCGAGGTCATAGTACCAAGTTCGGAGTTCAAGCACGCAAGATTCAAAGAATGCAGATCGTTGTTTAGCTTGTAGAAGTGGCTTGGGGGACCAACTGGTTGCTCGTGTCAGTCAGTGACCACAAAAAGATGCCGCGAATGATCGTCTGTACATACAGTGAGACCAGAACCTTCTCGAATATGCGACAGAGGTCAATCATCGCCCTGTGCAGCTTCACTACATCCCTGGGTGAGGCCGCTCGCAATTTGCCATTGCCGCTCGCAGAAGGGAGACGTTCATTTGAGGCACATGGGGGATATGGTTTGTGAACAACCCCTTGGGATTCCTGTTCGACGATTCAGTGAAAGTCACGGGAGAAATACATGCTTTTTGTTCAACATACCAGTACAGTGCACACCCTCCCGGTGTAACTAGCGGACAATTTGTCGTGGCAATAGAGGGCCCAGTAGATTTGCCTGCGCAACTCGATCTCAATTAGGGGAAGTGCTACTGCCCCCGAGAGCACTGAAGGATCCATATTGAGTCCCATATCGAGAGCAAGTCGGTTAGCTGTGCCTTGATGGAGCCATCCAGCAGCATCAGAGCCTATCGCCTGTGGGATATCAGTATCTTGAATCATTGGACTGACCTAGCATGACAAGACTTACGATGTAAGCCATTCCCATGATCGCCAGTGACTGGATCGTGGTGATGTTGGGCCATCTGAGCTCATTCTGGATGAGACTTTCCCCTCGTTCGAGAAATATCTTGCCGGCCGTGTTTGGGTCACTTGGATCCGCCCTCACCTCGAGACGATCGGAATATCGCGATCCCACCGCGAGAATGGAGTTGAGTAAAAGCTTGCTGAAGTATCGCCCTCCATTCTTCATAGATTCCCGAAACAGTGTTTCGTTTACTACTTGGAACCAAGGCTGCTCCCACTCAAAGTACAAGTCGATTAAGTGGGATCTGAGTTCCTCCGATACCAAGCTGTCTTCCGGCAACTCGGTCGGTACAGGGGCCTGCATACTACAGGATCCAGTAGGTAACCTGTCTGACTGATACAAGTCATTGTTTGATGGGCCTGTTTGTTATCAGCGAGAAGTTTACGTGCGTAACTGTATCACATACCTTGCAATGAGGATTGAAACAGCAAACGCCCACTTGTTGGTCCGAAATATCGCACCTCACCATCCTGGTCAAAGTTCAACGACTCGTCCAGCGTCAGTGCACCGTCAAAGGTGGCACACAGCTCATCGACCTTGGAAGTGGGTGGACTCCATTCTTCCTCGGATTTGGTGTCAGGTTCATCGTTTGCAGTGATGGCCTGGATAGCCACATCTGGGTCTATCCCGTGGGAATGCAGCACACGCTCCAACATGTCAATCCGGGTCCGCAGCATGACCACATAAGATTTGGGAGCTGGTTGCCGTCCATCCTCTGCCGTCGAATACTGGCACTGCACGCCACGATCTCGACAGCGGGCGCACGATGGCCGAGCTCCATCACACTAGGCTTAAGTCAGACGATCCCGCGACCACGGGCATATGCACATTACCTTGGCCCTCCGCTGGCGACAAGCCTCACACGCTCTGGATGTATACTTTCTACCTGGTCGCTTTCGCCTTGCTGGCTCATCTTCCGGTCCCGTCATGACTTGAAGTTGTCGGGATTCTATGCAATATCACTCTTGTATCTAGACGGAACGATCATCCTGTGAAGTATCCCAAAGACTCAAGTCGAACATTACAAAGCAATGTGGATTGACACCTTGAGGCCTGGGGGCCTGGAGGCCTGAATATGGCAGCCTTGAATATGAGGCATCAAAGTCGCATCGAGTCTCCGCACCTCAGGGAGTACGGAGTATACACCTGGGCACTCTACCTGCCTACCTAGGTATGTAGGTATGATCCTCACTACGATACGCCGTGAACTCACCGACTTCTTGAGATGGAGAACTTCCACGGTCAGTTCATGACCAAGTCAGATATTGTCGTTCGATATCCAAGGGTAACCAGGATCCATGAATCATACTACATAACGTCATGCGTTGCCGAAGCGGTCGTACGTAATGAGGTCGAATGCAGAATGCATTTGAACCTTACTCCGTACGCAAAGTGTCGGCAGCTGCAGAGTGGGAAGACGATCCCGGCGAAGAGCCAATCCGGCTCTCAAAGAGAAGTTATCCCATCAGCTGATACCCCGCAGATCCGGGGAAGATGTGTGGCCGGGCATTCCACGATTTTGAGACTGGACGGAGTACCTCATCCGTACTGGAGAGTTCACCTGGGACACCGATTCGTCCTGCACGGAGGTATCGAGTACAGGTTGGTACATCTCATATGCGCGGTCCCAATGTGCAAATGGGGAATTGGGGACAGCATCCGGGGTCCAATCAGCGAGTTTGCTGGGGAATGAAGGGGGATTTCCGTAGCCGTTCAGAGCATAATCGCAGGATAAAATTGAGGTGCTTCCCATGGATGCAGATGGTCCATTGGGTAGAAGCAATATCTGCACCCGCAGATCAAGACATAGTAGAGAGGAAAAAGCCAGGAGAGTCGAAATAATAAGAAAAAGATAGCAACACCGCCAACTACCTAAGTAGTAAAACCAACAAAAAAAAAGAGAGAGAACAGCAGCCCAAAGGCGTGGAAGTACGTGCAGGAAAACACAGTTCTCACCAATCACCGCCCTCGACTCCTCTTCCCCTCCCCCCATCAACCTCGTCTTTTTCTCTTTCTCTCTTTTTTTTTTTCAAACTCATTCTACTGTGCATTTTCCCTCGATTCGAGTTGCTGGGTCAGTCTCATCAGGGGGTTGACGTTGTCCCAAATTCCAGCGCGTCGTCGCGATTCCCCCGCAGACGGCTCCCGTTATCCTCCGCCTAAACGGGGCCCAGAAAGTGGTCTCGAGACGTGAAGCCACAGCGACAGATTGGCTGACCGCGACCTCGAAACATTGACGTGCTCCCAAGTAGTCGCAACCGCGCGATGGCCAGTTGATGCTACGGATGAATCAATAACCTCGATCAAGGGCACCCGCGCCCCAGCAGACGGCCCTACCTAAACGATATTCTGATTTTACCATTGACTCCTTTCCTCCAATACGCGACCGCTGTACCCGCCCGCTCGTGCCCAGCTCGGTCGCCCGAGTGAGCGTCAATATGGCCAGCAATGCCTCCCCCAACCCACAATTCCTCGCGCCTCCGGCCGTGACAGCATTGCGGCAGGAGGCTCGGAACATCCACCCGAAGATGGCCCGAACCTTGAGTGACGATATGCGAGAGGAACGGGAGGACCTGAAGGAGGCGGCCGAACAGACGTTGAATATTATTGTGGACATGGATCTCGAGGGTCGCATCAAATGGGTCAGCCCGTCGTGGAGGCAGGTGGTCGGTTCGTCCCCGCGGTCGGTCGAGGGCCATATGGTCTCCGATATTCTGCTCGGAAACCGTGATGTGTTTCGGGATGCAATCGAGTCGATGCGGCAGGACGATTCGCGAAGTCGCTTCATTCGACTAGCTGTACAGATGGGACCGGACTCGGTCTTACGATACTCGCCCGAACCCTCGCCAGCGGCGATGAAGGGCGAACCTGGCAGCGAAATGGAAGAAGAAATGACTCGGGGGCAAGACAGCAACAACGTGCTGAACATGGAGGGTCAGGGAATCATGGTCTATGATCGGACCGATGATGAAACAGGCCATGTGGGTTCCCCAACGAGTTCTTGAATGAAAACGAAAGGCAGTTTGATGATTAAGTCGCTAATCCTCGAATTCTAGACGATGTGGATGTTACGGCCACTGACGGAGCCGAGAGAAGTAACAATTGACCTACCACCCCTACTGGTGGAATCCCTCGGCGTGGGAGCGGAAGTTCTCGCCAACTACTTGACTGAACTGGCCGAGGCTGCCGCCACGGAGCCCGATCCTTCCAAGCATCCGGCCCCGACTCCCGTTCTTTGTCGCATCTGTGAGCGCCAGATTACCCCGTGGTGGTTCGAGAAGCACTCCGACCTGTGTCTACAGGAACACCGCGCGGAAATGGACGTTCAGCTGGCTCAGGAGAATCTCAATGAGCACCGGCATGCCATCGTCAAGGTACTGGATACACTGGAGGCCCGACAAGGCAGACCCCTCGTTGGGACGGACGGAAACTCAGCACCCGCTGCCCAGGCGGAGTACAAAGGACTTGCAATTGGGCCCTCCCCGGCGGGATCTGCCCCGTCCTCCGGGCCAGTCTCAGGAAGCAACTCTGCACCAGGTACGCCACCTCGATCGCGAGAACACTCCGCGTCCGGTGCCATCCCGACTCGACCTCGCTCATTCACCGTTCGGAGACCGTTGGCGAGAATCGTGGAACTTGTTCTTGACCTGTGCGACACCTCTCTGGAGATCAGTATGCCCGTGATTAAGGAAACATCTCGCGCAGACGCAGAGGACTTCCGAACATTGTCACCACAGTCCGAGTCTCGCATCTCTCAGGTGCTCCAGTGGCAGTCTCCTAGCGCTAACACTCTGGAGCAAGAACAAGGCCTAGCTGCATTGTCAGCCGACACTGAAAAGGTTGCCAAGGCCAAAGTGGACGCCGTGGTCCGTCACCGCAAGATTGTCGAGTATGCAGAACGGATTCGAATTGAGTACACGGTACTCGTCGAGGAGTGCATAGGCGCCGCCCTTAGCAAAGCGGAACGCATAGCTGCAGGCCAGCTCAGTGATTCCTCATGTTCCTCCGACGAAGAAATAGCACCAGACACCCTCGATCACCAGACTACCCTGGACGACACAGGCAGCAATACTGCCGAGGAGGACTCTGGCTCATCGGGACTGACCGATGAAATCCATTCAAAGCCACAGCCAATGGCGCCCTCCCCGCGAAGACTGACATCTACACTGACCATGTCCATGCGAAACTCTCCTGATCGATCATTACTGTCCCAATCAGAACGCCGGCCGTCGTCGGCGGCGATTTCCACCGGCTCGAACAGCCCCATGGAGTGCCCTACTCCGCGATCTCACAAGAGCGCTGCGGGGCTTTTAGGCACATCGCAGCCCTCGAGACTGGGCCTTACCCTGGCGGAAATTGAGGCTGCGGAAAGCAGTGATAGCAGTCTGCCTTCATCCGCGTTCCCCGGTGGCATCAGAACTGATTCGCCCTCGTCCGAAAGAAGCTTTGATCGAAAACGCCGGAGCCTGGTGCTCCCAGGGCTCTCAAGCTCTCCTCGCCGGCAGCATTCGCCTGCCCGAGTTTCCGGTCCGCATTCCCCACTGCGCATGCCGAAGCCTCGGTTGTCCAGCGGTGGTGATAGCTTACCATCCCCAATAGTTTCTCCGTCTACCTACGCGAGCGAATTGGCCCACCATTGCAAACACCACCGGAGACAGTCCTCAGCCACATCCTCAGATGTTGCCAAACCCCCTCCATCCCCACGCCTACCCTCAGTAAGCCAGCAACAACCTCGACCCGCTCCGTTGTCCATCAGGGATTTTGAGATCATCAAGCCTATCAGCAAGGGTGCATTCGGCAGTGTGTACTTGGTCAAGAAGAAAGCCACGGGTGAGTATTACGCCATGAAGGTCCTCAAAAAGGCCGATATGATTGCCAAAAACCAGGTCACCAACGTCAAGGCTGAGCGTGCCATCATGATGTGGCAAGGGGAGAGCGACTTTGTCGCCAAGCTCTACTGGACTTTCTCTAGTAAAGAGTATCTCTATCTTGTCATGGAATACCTCAATGGAGGGGATTGTTCATCGCTTGTCAAGGTTCTAGGGGGCCTCCCCGAAGATTGGACCAAGAAGTATACCGCGGAGGTTATTCTTGGTGTTGAACATCTGCACAACCGAGGAATTGTACACCGTGACTTGAAGCCTGACAACCTTCTCATTGATCAGTCAGGCCACCTGAAATTGACAGACTTTGGACTCTCTCGGATGGGATTGGTCGGCCGCCAGAAACGCGTGCTGAAAAACCCGGACGAATCTGCCCCGGATCTTCTGAAGCAAGGCTCATTCCCTCGCGCAATCTCTATCGCGTCCTCTCGCTCTGCTTCATTCGATTTCCAGGCCAGCTCCTCCCCTGGCTCGACCCCACTCATCACACCGGATGTGTCTGCGAACGCCGTCCAGCCATCTTACTTCAGTCTCAACCAGAGTGGGCTCAGTCGGCAAAGCTCTCGTCGGGCTTCAGGGTATCGCAGTGATAGCCTGGGGAGCGATGGTCTCAACGGGATGTTCAGGACATTTTCCCTCAACGACAGTGCCCATGACCCACCTGTCTCGTCACCCAGCATATTCTCGACGAGCATGGTCGAGGAAGAGGGGGAGAGTGAAGCTGGCGAATCACCTCGCCTTCAGCCGCTGCAACCCACATTCAGCAACCCTCTTGCCCAGAACACTCCTCCTCAGCAAAGCATGATGCCCCCGGTGATGGCGTTGTTCGATCCAGAAGATCATGACCGCCGATTCGTGGGAACTCCGGATTATCTGGCTCCGGAGACTATCAATGGCATTGGCCAGGATGAGATCAGTGACTGGTGGTCCTTGGGATGTATCATGTTCGAATTTGTCTTCGGGTACCCGCCGTTCAACGCCGAGACGCCAGATGAAGTTTTTGAAAACATTCTTCATCGCCGCATCAATTGGCCCGATGACCCTGAGGAGTTCACCTCCGCAGAATCCCTAGATCTCATGAACAAACTCATGACTCTCGACCCCCGCGAAAGAATCGGAGCCAATGTCGATGAGAAATATCCCAACGGTGGTGCAGAGATTTGCAGCCACCCGTGGTTTTCCGATATTAACTGGAGTACGTTACTGGAGGACAAAGCCGAGTTTGTTCCCAATCTTGAGAATCCGGAAGACACGGAGTATTTTGACTCCCGTGGTGCCACTCTCCAGTCCTTCGCAGAGGAGTTGGAAGACGAAAATTCACCGCAACCCACATCCACGGTCGGCCCTGATCGCCCTCATGATGCACTTTTCAAGGTCCGATCTCAGGTGAACTCGTCGAAACGGCCCTTGATGCCCCTGCATATCCCTCCTCATGTTCGTGACGCTCGAGATTCACGTAGTCGCAGACTTAGTGAACCGGCCCTGGCAGATGATTTTGGAAGTTTCAACTTCAAGAATCTGCCGATGTTGGAGAAGGCAAACAAAGATGTCATTCAGAAGATGCGGCAGGAGGCCATGCAAGCACAGCATCGACAGTCAAATTCTTCGTCAACCGTTCAAACACCTGTCAGCTCGACACAGCCATCCTTGGAAGGCAGTCCACTTCCAATGCCGCTCCAGCGGACCCTATCGCAAAACAAGGGTAACAATCGGCCTTCTTCTCCATCGGGCCTCAGCCAAACAAACTCTTCTCCCAGCAGGCCGTCCCAACCATCTTCACCCCTTCTAGTCCAATTCAGCACAGGGACCAACCAGGAGCGGCGCAAGACATCTGGCTCCTCGTCGGCGTCTCACCAATCCAGCGGCACCTTCCAGCCTTCTTCTGCCGATCAAGGTCGTATGCCAAACCTCAGACTTGGTTCAGTCGCATCGTCTCCCGTGAAGCCAAACCGAATCCCAGCCCACTCCCCCGAGAAGGCATCCCACAGCCAGCGGCAGGGAAGTGTACCAGCAAGCCGCGCCCGCTCTCACACGATCGGCTCACAAGATGGGGACAATTCGTCTTTCTCTAAAGAGCCATTTGTGCCTCATCATCACAAACGAAGGAGTCAGCTCTTCGACATCTCGCCTTCCTCATCCGATAACGAGGATCCACGCACCAAAGCACTGTTGAAGGTTCAGCGCCGTCGCCAGAGCTCCCGGAGGCTGTCGCAAATCAACATCATGGAGGGACCTTACTTCCGCCCACTGGATGTTCTCATTTGCGAGGATCATCCTGTCTCGCGGCTAGTGATGGAACGCCTGTTTGAAAAGCTTAGGTGCCGCACCATCACAGTTACAAACGGTGCTGAGGCTGTTCGATTCGCTCTCAGTGAGGTTAAGTTTGATATCATCATGACTGAATATCGCTTGCCCCAGGTGAATGGTGTTGATTTTGCTCGGATGGTGCGAGAGACGCGCAGTGCCAACCGGCACACTCCTATCATCGCAGTGACGGGTTACTTGAAAGATTTACCGGAGAACCACAATTTTGATTCCCTGATCCAAAAGCCTCCGACTTTACCCAAATTGACGGATGCGCTGTCCAAATTCTGCATGTGGAAGGCCCCTTCATCAGACTACAACCCCCCTCCGCCTGTGCCCGTCCCTGGCTTCACCGGTCAGTCCAATGCCCCGACTACCGAGGACAGCCCGAGCTCTGCATCTTCCGGATTTGTTCTCAACCCACCTAGCTCGTACCGCGGTTCCAGTCGGGACGATTCGCTGAGTAGCAGTGTGTTCGGTGAGATGGAAGCCTTCAAACCCGAGGAGGTTCCAGTGATCATCAATCGTGGCTCCGATGAGTGGGATCATCAGCAGGGTGGACTGGGGATCTCAGAAGAAGCTGCTGCTTATCCTAGTAGTCCTGATCCCAAGGCTCCTCCCGTGCCTCACCTCCTTCATACCACCTCCGCACCCGCGGCCATGGACCCCACTGGCGGACTTACGCCCCGCAAGCAACGCTCAAGCGAAGGGATCCGTGCTAAACGAGAGTCCCTCGAAAAAAAACGCTACGAGGGTGCCGAATCTGGCGACGATGAAGACGAAGAGCTGGGCAACTCTCAGGCACGCCGCAGCCCCCCGTCGCGAAACCGTCGCCCGGGCTCCAAACTGGGTATTGAAATGATGCGAACCAACAGCCGCGGTAGTGTCGTCAGTGGTAGTGAAGAGCTCTTGAAGAAAGAGAGAGAAGCTATGAGGGGCTTGAGCACACCATCGGTCGACAACGAAGACAGCGATGGCTCCTTGGGTTCCCCGGCAAGCACCAGCCTTGAGGATCGGTTTGAGGCTCTTAGTATCCCCGAAGAACCAGAGGCCGAAGAATCACTTGACCCTCGGGAGTCTCCTAGGTTTGGTGATACATTTGACCCCCACCGACCGTCTCTGGTGCATCAAGACACCTCAATCTACTCGAAGACTCCCGAGCATCGCCCGGCTCAAGCTACCTCGACGACTTCCAGCCACGGCCAAGTTACACCTCCTTGGGACCAGGCCCAAAGCACCACCCCTCATCTCCCCGTGCCCATCACCCCCGAACTCAAAATCTCGGGCACTTCCATGACCTCCGATGGTGATTCTGGCGATTCTGGCGGTGATGCCGACTGCAGTCCCACCCCAGACTCCGAGGCCACGCCGCGACCTCTCCATCCTTCGCCCGATCCAGAGCAGACTCCTCGTCCCTCGGAACGTCATCGATCAGACTTGAGCTATGCGTTTAAACGATAGCCGTTCGGGTGGATGTTGTCCATGCGGCACCACCCGAGGTTTGACTTCTCCTGTGTGATATTTGCCCCCATATTCTTGTCTCCATATTGATGAGCTCTTTCTTTCCCCTGTACACTTTGTGTTCCCCTGCATTCCCTGTGGACTTTCTCCCGTATCCGCTCTCTCACGTCTCTTATGTCTGAATGTTTTGTCTGGTTTTCCTGGAGCAAGGCGTCTCGGTTTCTTTTCTCTGCCAATCCTTTGTTCCTTCTTGTTACCATCTACGTTATCTGGCCATAGCAGTCTACACATCCCCTTTCCCATGTGACTGGAATCAAAAACACAGCTTGACGCTGCTTTCTCTTTGCTCATTTGACCCGACCAATGTCAATTCCCGTCGTACAGTACTAGTATGTTGAGTGACGCGTAGACAGAACATGACTTGCGGGAGTTCGCGGCCTCTGGACCGGATCGCATCTGACCGATTTGAAAGATTCGGAGGGGCCATTGGCCAGAAAAGTGGTGCATGGTGATCTTAGCCACGCAGAGACTTGGGTAAAGGCCGTGCTGTCAAATGGGGATGGAATGGGGATCGACAGCTGCGCCCACTTGGATTATGCATACGCTCGCGACAGTCACGTCCTGTTCGGTCAGGCGGTTTGTCGAGTGCATGAGTGCATTAGTGCAGCGATCGGCGAGGCAAATGCCCTCGATCTCTTAGATCTGAAGTGGTGAAATGAATGAAGTCCCCTGTCTCGGGCTATATATAGAGGGATCTAGACCGTTTGAAATAGAAGACGGGTGTTATAGTACTGCGTAAAGTGAACCTTGAAGTATACTATTTACTATACTATGTGTTGGCTCATACTACTGACTAGTAGTACCTATCCCAGTACTTTTATTCGAAGCCCTTGGAGACGCAGGGGCGTGTGGCGTCTGTAGAATCTCACGAATAATACAGAATATGAACAGAATCATCATAATTCGCATAATTCGACTCGCCACCAAGTGGATCGTCCCCCCTTAGCGGGCCGTGCTGGGCCTGTCACAGTGGCCGACGAGCTTTCGAGGCTTTTGCCAAGAGGGCCGATTCTGTTCGTGATGTAAGTGTTCTATTCTGCTGTATATATAGTCTGCTCGTCTACGGAGTATACGGAGTATATCTATAGAGTGCAACTGCCACATACCATATAGATCTTAAGATCTACTAGTACTGTATAGTATAGTACAATCGCATACTAAACTACTAAATACTAGTAGACAGTCCTCGATTCACTAATTAAATTCACCGAAACCGCCAATCGTCACGGTCCAGACTTGCTCCACGGGCTCCACCAGGTTTCAATGCGCATTTTCGATTTCTCTCACTGGTCTCTGCTTCCTGTCTCTGTCTCTGTCTGTGTCCCTGTCCCTGTCTCTCTCTCTCTGTCTCTGTCTCTACCTCACTCTCGCTATTGCATCGATTTTTCCTTCTAACCCGCCTTCTCTCGAGAGCATTCCTGGTATCGCCCCACATTCTTCGGCCTGGTGCCATGTCGTCCCCCGTGGAGGAACGCAAAACCTATATAGATCAGGACAAACGAAAGGACGCCGATGTCTCCCCAACCTCCGATGACGGGACCTATGTGACCGAGCCCGCCGATCGGGAGCGCGGAGGAGGGCTCCGCGTCGACACCACCCGCGCTCCCGGCGACGAGGAGCCCTCCATGCGCACCCCATCCGCGCGGCGGGAGCAGGCCACTCGCCTCGAGGATGATCTGATGCTGCTGCAGGCCGAGCGCATGACCACTCGCTCCACTCAACAACCCGACGACGAGCACGACCGCAATTCCATCAATCGGGCCCGGTCGCGTCGGTCGGAGCAGGTGGACGAGTTCGACGAGGCTACCAACCCGCTGCACGAGAAAGCCGCCATCTACAAGCCCCCGGAGAAGCCCAATACCCAGATTGCGGTGTTCGTTAAGAAGCTGCATCAGTCCAGCTTCCTCGTGCGCTACATCACCTATATCTCGCCTGTCGTCCTCCTTCTCCTGATTCCGTTGCTGGTCGGCGCTCTGGAGTATCCCAATGCCAGTGTGGGCGGCGTGCAATTGATGTGGTTTTCGATCTGGCTCGAGATCGTCTGGTTGACTCTGTGGGCAGGACGGGTAAGTGACAATGTTCCCTGCGGACTGGTCTCTCGCTAATCGCCAAAACAGCTCGTGAGTAAGTGTCTGCCTCCGATCATTGGGGTCCTGGCCAGTATTTTCACCAACAACGCCAAGAAATGGCGCGACCTGGCCAAGCAGCTCGAGATCCATGCGGCCCTCTTCTTTTGGTGGCTCGGAGTCGAGATCTCCTTCTTGCCCACCATGAAGAACCACCATGTGGACGGGGACAAGAACACCCGAAGCTGGGAGAACACCCTCAACAAGATCATCATCGTCATCTTTGTCTGGACGATTCTGAACTTTGTCGAAAAGATTCTCATCCAGCTGATCGCCATCAGTTTCCACCTGCGCACCTATGCCGACCGTATCGAAATCAACAAGTTCCAGATCGGCAGCTTGACCAAGCTGTATGAGTTCTCTCGGACCACGTTGGAGGACAAGGACGATACGTTCGAGGAGAAGGACACCCGGGAGACCCCGACGGGCGTCAAGACACCCCTGCACTATGCGGGCGTGGCCCAGCGAAAAGCCAAGGGAGCCCTGAACAAAGTCGGTAACCGTGTGGGCGACGTCGCTGGAGCCGTGGTGGCCGATGTCACCGGTCGCACCACCACCCGTAGCACCGATGCATACCAGGTCATCCTGACTCTGCTGCGCACCACCGGTGGCTGTCAGGTTCTGGCCCGTCGCTTGTATCGCACTTTCGTGCGGGACGGCTTTGACACGGTCTTTGGCGGCGACCTGAAGGCCGCCTTTGACGACAGCGAAGAAGCGGAGGCCGCGTTTACCATGTTCGACCGTGATATGAACGGTGACATCTCGATGGAAGAGCTCGAGGCGGTCTGTGTTGACATTGGACGTGAGCGCAAATCCATCACCGCTTCCCTGAAGGATCTGGACTCGGTCGTGTCCAAGTTGGATGATGTGTTTATGTTCTTTGTCTTCGTGGTTGTCTTGATCGTGTTCCTGTCGCTCATCTCCACCTCCGCCGCCGGTGTTCTCACCTCCGCCGGCTCTGCTATCCTGGCGCTGTCGTGGTTGTTCTCTGCTACTGCCCAGGAATTCCTCCAGTCAGTCATCTTCGTGTTTGTCAAGCACCCCTTCGATGTCGGTGACCGCGTCACCATCTACGGTAACGCTGGTGACGCCGGTCTCGGTGATGACTACTTCGTCAAGGAGATTACCCTGTTGTATACCGAGTTCAAGAAGATGCAGGGCCACGTAGTGCAGGCCCCCAACAGCTACCTGAACGGACTCTTCATCCTGAACCAGCGTCGCTCCGGTGCTCTCGCCGAGGCCGTGCCCATCATCATCAAATACGGTACCACCATCGACCAACTGGATGCCCTGCGCCAGCGACTTCTGGAGTTTGTGCGCAGCGAAAAGCGCGACTTCCAGAGCAACATTCTGACCGAGCTGCGCGCGGTGACCGAGAACTTCTCCCTGACCCTCAACGTGGTATTCTTCTACAAGTCCAACTGGCAGAACGAGGGCCTTCGTCTCCAACGCCGCAACAAGTTCATCTGCATGCTCATGGTTGCCCTCCAGGAGATCGGCATCGAGGGCCCACGCATGAACCTCCAGGGTGCCAAGTTCGACATTCCCTTCCATGTCAACTATGGCAACGAGCGTTCTGCTCGCGGTGGCCGCGAGGAACCCATCGAGGCGGAAGAAATCCCCCTGTCGGAGGAGTCTCACCACCTGCCCGAGAACACTGCCAGCAGCAGCAGCAGCGCTGTCCGTCATCCCTCCATTCTCCGCAAGGGGATGAACACTGCTGCCGCACGAGCCCGTGGTCCGTCCATCTCCCAGCGCAAGCATGTCGACTTCTCCTTGGGTATGTCCAACATGGCTTCCAACGATGTCATGGGAGACGTCTTTGAGGATCGTGGTATTCGTATCAACGATGTCGTTCGGTCCGCCAACCGCGACGCCGCAGAGCGTCGCATCCAGGAGGAGACCGAAGAGGAAGAGGAGCGCCGGAGTCGGACCTCCTCATCTCGACACCGCCGTCCCTCCAACCTCAGCGCCCCGAGCAACAAAGGCGAAGGTCGCCGGTCGACCGACGCCGCCAGCTTCCGTAGTGGCCAGTCCTCCCTCGGTCGGAACAGATTCTTCCACCACCGAAGCAGTGTCACCCAGGATCGTGATGATCTGATGGAACAGGGACGCTCTGCCTCGCCCACCCAGCCCCCTCCGGCTGCTGCTCCCGCCTTCAAGGAGCATCCTAATTGATTCAAACGCATCTTTTTGATTTGATCTCATTCTTTGTTCACAACCCTCACTACACCTTTCACGGTGTCCTTTCATTTTCCTTTTCCCTTTCAAAACTGCACATCGATCGGAACACCGAGTCCCGATGAAAGCCATAATCTGCCATTCTATCATACATATATCCCCATATCGGTCTTTAAACTTTCATTTACTGGCGGCCTTGTCATTACACACAGCATTTGGGTTGAGTTCGATTCAAATACAGTCACATTTCAATATATCTGTATCACTGCGGCTCTGACCGATCTTCCTCGCATCATGTACTAGGTACTCTCGATCTTGAACCAGCCATCCACTGCTACTTGCAGAATCATTATCTGACGAACCTGTCCGTGGGTGCGCTTCGTTCTCATGTTTTTGCCCAGAAGCAGTAGATTCGTTCATCCATGCCTCGCTATACATGCCAGTCACTGGAGTCGTTGTTGCACAACGTCTCTGCAGGAGCACAGGGACTTGATGCAGATATAACTCTGGGGACCGCCGGGAGTTGGGTTTGCACGGAATTCCTAGAAGTGGAGACTTTGGGCTGGGAGATATAGTTCGATCTATACACCATCTTGTAGATGCCTTTCGTTGGAACTCGCCGTAGCGAAATCAGTAAAAGAGGACAAAAGAGTTGAAAGTGCTTGAATACTTTGCTCTATCACACTGTGTCTGACTGAGATGTAGTGACAGGAGGGAACACTCCAGAGCTCCACAGGTGTTGATGCCTTTGTTTCTCGCGTTGCACTCTTCCTTCTCTCTCCACCCTTCTTTCCTCTCCTTCGCCCTACAGTTTCTTGTCAACATCCACAGATATTCCACCGTTATCATGCGAGGCGAGGTTAGTGTGCTACTGTCGATATGATGATCGTGGTGGCATACACTCTTACTGACTTCCACCTAGATCTGCCACATCCATCTTGGCCAAGCGGGCACCCAGCTGGGCAACGCCGCCTGGGAACTGTATGATATCTGACACCCTGAAATTGTCCACTGATCTGAATGGAAAAACAGGTATCTCCTCGAGCATGGGCTGAAGCCTGACGGCTACATCGACCCTGGAGTGACCGACGAGACCGCAAAGACTGGGTCATACGAGACGTTCTTCACTGAAACGTCTAATGGCAAATACGTGCCTCGCTCTATCTTTGTGGATCTTGACCCTTCGGTATGTAACAGACTTCGAACGCGAATACATCGACTATAGCTGATTTGGGACAGCCCATTGATGAAATCCGCACGGGGACCTACCGCCACCTTTTCCACCCCGGACAACTGATAAGTGGGAAGGAAGACGCTGCGAACAACTGTATGATTCCTGTCAGGATCTTGACACGGTGCTAACAGGTGGCAGATGCGCGTGGTCACTACACCGTTGGGCGGGAAATCCTGGGCGCTACGGCCGATAGTATTCGCCGTGTGGTTGGTATGTTTTCCCAGCGGGAATCAAGTCATTCAGCTAAACTTTCGTTAGAGAACTGCGACTCCATGCAAGGATTCCTGATCTTCCACTCGTTTGGGGGAGGTACTGGGTCCGGGTTTGGATCGCTGCTGCTGGAGCACATCACCAAGATGTATGGCCGCAAGTCGAAGCTCGAGTTCTCGATCTACCCATCAAAGGAAACTTCAACCTCGGTCGTGGAGCCTTACAACTCCGTCCTGTCGACTCACAGCACAATCGAGAATTCTGACTGCACCTTTCTGGTCGACAACCAAGCCGTGTACGACATCTGCCGCCGCCACCTGGATATCCCACGCCCGGGCTTTGAGCACTTGAATCGCCTGATAGCTCAGGTGGTGAGCTCAATCACCTCAAGCTTGCGTTTTGACGGTGCTTTGAACGTGGACCTTGCCGAATTCCAAACGAACCTCGTGCCATACCCTCGCATCCATTACCCCCTGATCTCCTACGCCCCGGTAATCAGTAGTGAGCGTAGCTCTCATGAAAGCTTCAAGGTGCAGGATCTCACGTTCGAGTGTATGTATACCTCCGGTTGAAGAAGGTGTGTGGAGGCTAACTCGCTCCCAGGTTTCAAGCCTAACAACCAAATGGTCGCCTGCGACCCTCGACAGGGCAAGTACATGGCAATTGCACTCCTTTACAAAGGGGATGTTGTACCTCATGAATGTACCCAGGCTGTCCATGCACTGAAGACCCGAGGTACGTTCAGCTTGGTTGAATGGTGTCCAACTGGATTTAAGTTGGGCATCAACTACCAAAAGCCGGTCCGTCGCCCCAACGACGAACTTGCAAGTGTCGACCGCTCGGTGAGTATGTTGTCGAACACGACCGCTATCGCGCAGGCGTGGAGTCACCTCGACCACAAGTTTGATCTCATGTATTCGAAGCGTGCCTTTGTGCATTGGTATGTCGGTGAGGGCATGGAGGAGGGAGAGTTTTCTGAGGCCAGAGAGGATCTTGCAGCCCTGGAAAAAGACTACGACGAGGTGGCTGCGGAGGGCAACCAGGGGGATGAAGGAGCTGAGCATTGATTTTGAAACCTTTGTCCTACCTCTACGAAGTGAGTATGCTTTTGGCTACGACGATCCAGTGCGGGTCCGACTTCCAATCTAGCAAGCTACTCCCGGCAATGGCCATTCGGTGATCAATATGTTGTCAACGCGGAAAATTAGCCATGGTATGATAGGCAAGAAAAGTCAGTTGAAATGAACCAAAGTTTGAATGCTTCCGTAGCTCGGTATTGTATATGTACAGCTATGTTAACGAAAACGCCCTTGAATGCTCCATGCAAATGTGTATGAGTGGTGTTACAGATTCAGCACCTCCCTCAGCGATCTGCTGCGATATTGTGCTCTTGAAGAACTTTCAGTGCGCGCTCGTAGGTCCACATCGTCACAGCACTGGCTGGTGCGGCCTTGATCAGACTGACCGTCAAGCCGCGATAGAGGCCGCGGATGCCTTGAGTGCGAACGATCACCGCCATACTCTGGAGGACCCCGGTGTATTCTGGGATGTTGCGATGAACGTAGCGCGTTCGCGTTGGCCCCTGAACCTGCAATCGCTTGCGAACCAGGTCCAATGGGAAGACTCCCGTTTTGGCCAATACACTTGCCACGACACCAGCGGCAGCATCCCCGGTTCCCATGGGCAATGAGTCCCAGATTGACATTGCTGGCCGAAGGGATTCATATGTGGTGAAGAAGAGACCCATGTATGGGACAATTTGCGCAACGGCAGCTGAGCAGCCTCGGAAGTATCCTGGGATTCCCTCATGGCGCGCGATCTCCACCACGGATGCTCGCAGGGAGTGATAAACACGATCTGGACCTTGGGCGGCGAATCGAGTACGAAGTAAGTCGAGTGGATAGGTCATTCCCGTGGCACAGGCACCCGCTACAGCACCAGAGAGGAAAGATTCGACGGACGGGGGAGGTCGATAGGGGCCGAGTTGAGCGAGCGCTTGGGTTGTGCCACGATATGCCGTAAATTGGGCTGCGCCATAACAGACGTACATCATCTCCGCGGGGATGTTTCCTTTCCAAAGACCCTGTATGTCCCATGGTCAGTTTTATTTCGTTCATGTTCGCAAAGCCTGCACCTACCGTGATGCCCTCGTGCCTCACGATAGCCCGCATTGTGGAGAGTGTCCCCTTATAAACAGGCCCATTGGTGATTTGATGCGCAAAGGGGTCTGATAAAGAATGGATTTGCAATTGCAGCCGGATCTTGACAACATCGAGAGGCGCAATGCAGAAGCGCGAGATCAGTCCGGCAATCCCACCGGCCAACACGACTTGTCGCTTGGTGCCCTCATCCTTGAGATGCTCACCCCCAGCCGACATGAGGGAATCCTTGCAGTCTGTGTTGCAAATCAATTGGAGAACTGAAAGCGCATCTTGGACCGAGAAGCCTGGAATGAGGAATTTACGTAAGTCCGGCCATTCCTGGAAATTCGCGGAGTTGCGATCTTGATGCCTGAGGTGTCATGAATGCCATTTAAATGAGGTGTCAATTGAGGCCTTGGTGATCAGGTGTCACCTTCCAAGCCGAGGTAGTCGTGTCTTGGCTCCCCCGGATCATCTTCTGCTCAAAGTGGTGAAGTGATTCTCCTTTGCTCTTGACTTCGCGAACAACCAAAAGCAGACACCATGTATCGCCTTGGCTCTGCTCCGCTCCGGCAAATCCCTCCATCATACCGGACTCTGCCTCATTACGTTGGACGCCGTTGCTTCATAGCGTCGTCCAGACAGGCCGACAAACCTCGGCTGAGATCACGTTCTCTGGAGTTCAAGGGACAGACCAAAAAGCCTCGTTATAACCAGGTTCCCTCCCCAAGCTCGTATGAGATCAACCTCGAATCATCGAGTCCAGTTTGGGTTGAGCGAGATGAGTTGTACTTGCTTTCCCAACAGCGCACGCTGAAGTTGCCATTTGCGTATTTGCGGGACACGTGTCTGTGCTCGGCCTGTAAAGACCAACACTCCAAGCAACGCTCGTTTCGAACGGGGGACATCCCTCGCAACATCCGCCCAAGATCAATCAAATGGGACGGAAGCCAGTTGTCAATCAAGTGGGTCAACGATATTCCCGGGTATGCATCTGATCATACGTCTACCTGGAGCGTCGAGTTTCTGCACAAGCCCATTGCGGATACCCACGAGAAACGTTATCTAAATGCACCGCTGAAATGGTCAAAGAAGATGATGGACCAACGCCAACACTGGATTTCATTCGATGACTACATCAACGAAGACTCCAAATTCGCCGCGGCAATGCAAAGTTTGAGGCGAACGGGCCTTGTCTTCGTCGACAATGTCCCAGAGTCGCGCGATATGGTCGAGAAAGTTGCTACACGCATGGGCCCCCTTCGCAACACGTTCTATGGATCAACCTTCGACGTGCGCACTGTCCCAGAGGCGAAGAATGTGGCCTACACCAACCAATTCCTTGGGTTTCATATGGACCTGATGTATATGAACGAGCCACCCGGGTACCAACTCCTGCACTGCTTGGAGAATTCCTGCTCGGGGGGTGAATCTCTATTTGCAGATACATTCCGAGTGGCCAACTACATGAAGAAACGGTACCCAGAGCAGTACCGGCTACTTTGTGAACAGCGCTTGGGGTATGAGTATAGGCATGAGGATCATATTTACCACAACAAGAGGCCTATTTTTGAAATCGACCCCAAAACGAGAGAACTATTGCATGTCAACTACTCACCTCCCTTCCAATCCGCCATTCCATCGCCAGACGGAAAAGATCACGACGCCCAGTCAGTGGGACGGTTCATAGCGGCCATCGATCTGTTTACCAAGCTGCTCAATTCGAAAAATGGCATGTTTGAGTTCAAACTCAAGCCGGGAGTGTGTGTCATTTTTGACAATCGACGCCTTGTTCATGCTCGCCGCCAGTTCAATGCAAGTGAGGGCTCGCGGTGGCTGGCTGGTGCGTATGTCGACACTGATGCTCTACTGTCTTGCTTTGCCGTCTCTCAGCGAAATCACCCACAGACTTGGCTGAGAAACAATCAGGAATTGATCTCCCGGAAACCCAAGATCACACAGGCAAGCCATACCATTGATCCTCAGGAAGAAAGTGGGACCAAGAGCGATTGAAGAAACGGCATTTTGTGCACGGTGGAGCCTTGAGCCTTGGATGATAGACGGCACCGTCAGACCTGGTGGCAACTCATGAGTGCTAGTATAGGTAACAACTGGGCATGTCTGGATGTTGAACAGAGCTTAATGCATTCCAGGGTTGCACGGATTGGCGAAGCATGTCGTGGATCCTGATTCTTCTACAGGGGCAATTTCGTTTGGTGGACCGTCTTGAATAACCCGCCAACATGCGGGCGGAGCGTTTCCACAGAATTCAGAAATAGTTTCCCGAGACGGTTTGATGAGGCTCATGCCATCTCGTTCCAGGGTTTAATCTGCACTTGATCTTTCCTGGCGGGTTCCTCGTTCTGGTCAGGTTGGATTTTGCTTGCCTTTCATGAGATGCCATGTGTTTGATCTTGTAAAATAAGTGCTGATTGAAGCATTTCGAGCATAAAATTAAAACAATAACCTTAGATACAAAAAAGGCTTGGGAATATAAAAAGAAAACAAAAACATACAACAGTGAGGATTCGCTGGTGGTCACCCACCCAACTACTAACTCACCGGCGTGTGGCTTAAGTACGGCTGAGCGGACGGGAAGCCCTGTTTTCCACACCCTGTGGTCGTATGTGCTTGTAATGTAGTTAAGACAAATCTTGTAGGCATTACTTTCTCACCACATGAAGTAAACCAAGCTTCAGGGCTACAATTCCGGCGGCGACTTTCTTCATTTTGTACGATGACAGACTGGCAATGTCAATCCCAACCCTCGGATGGATCTATGCCCACCTGGGCAGGTGGTATTCCAGGCGTGACCCTTGAACTCGGAAAGTCATGGCACCATCGATACATGGATGCCTCCTAATCTTTCCAAGATTGGTATCCGACCTGGGGATGATATAAAGACATAGGCTCCACCGTGGACCTCGGCGGTTGGTGGTACAAATCGTTCCAACCTTGAAGGTTCCAAGGTTGCGGTAACTTGATACACCTAGAGAGGGGTTTGCAGTTCATTTTACCATGACGCGAGATCTACGACGGGCTTCATCAGGACAAGATGTTCATCATTACCTAGGGATGTTTGATTTTTGGCATCTAGCCCCAACTATGATGGGGTTCATGGGTATCGTGCAAACACTAGCCGGCGCTTCAAGCACTCGCAGCTGGCTTGTTGACGGAGAATTGATTGAGGAACTCGGGATCAGCGTTGATTTCCTCACGCACCTGCGCACGGATGTTAGCAATTGAAAATCGACCAGAAAGGAGACACATACAATATCCAAGCCACCCACTAGTTCACCGCTTACCCATAATTGAGGGAATGTTGGCCACTCAGCATATTCCTTCAGACCCTGGCGCACATCTTCATCGGCCAAGATGTTGAAGAAGCCGTACTTCACACTCCGCTCTCGCAGGATACCAACGAGCTGCCGACTGAATCCACATTGCGGGCTGCTGGGTGTTCCTTTCATGAAGAGCATCACGGAAGCGGCCTTGACAAGCTGCTCGAGGCGAGCAAAGAGCGCTTCACGAGATTGCTCCGGTGTCAGGGCCGGGGCGGATGCGACAGCAGTCGCATTGGCCGCCTCGGCGGGAGGGGCGTGAGATGCAGTGACAGGAGCCTGCGTAGCAGTGATAGGACCATCCTCACGCGGCACGGTAGACAGTGGTGGGGGGATATGAGCCCTCACACCGTCCATTGGATCCCCGCCGGCGCTACTGCCAAGACCTGCATGGCGCTCGACAGCATCACGCACCTTGATGGCATCGCTTCCACTGATGGAGTCCAAAATCTGGCCACTGCGCAGACACACAACAAAAGGAACGGCAGACACATCATATTCCTCCGAGATATCAGGGAGCTCCTCAGCATTGATGCTGACAAATGAGATGGTTGGCGGGGCAGTGGCGGGGTACTGTGACGCGAGGGCCGCGAGGACAGCACCCATCTGTGCACAGGGTGCGGCCCATGGGGTGTGGAAGTACAGAACGACCAGTGCGGATGGTGACAGAGAGGAAAGGTGCGACGAGAATTCCGCCTCGGATGTGATTTCGGTGAGTGCCGACATCGTGGAGGTCGAAGGCTGGTGAGCAAAGAGAATGGCCGGAACCGGCGAGGTGTGAAGAAGGTGATCAGACAAGGATCTGAATGGAGTATCCAAAACAGTGAAGGTGTCTAGGTGATAGCGTGATGAGTTTCCACAAAAATACAGGCTCCCCTCATGCACGGCGATCCCAGATTTCCAATCCTCCGGTTATCAGATCGTTCAGCGCCTGTGGTGCTCCCGCGCCGCCGGAGTCATCACGGGTGTCACATGACAGATCCATCCCAATCCTTATCGCTTATCAGCACGTGCCCTGGATTTTCGCGCGTGGATTTCGTTGAGTCCAGCAGTGCAGAACTCTCATCCAGAGCAAGACCATGGGCAGCGACAAGAAGAGAAAGCTCAGCGCAGACCCTGCAGTCAACCAGGAGACTGGCGCTTTGAAAGCAGACCGGGGCGAGGCCCCAGCCACTGTTCAGGACAGCCCAATGGATGGCACGAACAGTCATGCGTCAAAGAAGCGCAAGAGGGTAGACGGCGAGAAAGTGAAATACCCGGACCTAACCTATGCAGATGGAAAGCTCCAATCACCGATTCGCATTGCCGATCTCCAGGGTTTGCTCCTCTACTGCTTTGCGGATGGCATTGCGCCCCAATGGATATCTTTGAAACATTCTGGGCATGTCCGCAAGGTGGTTGTGCTGATGGTGCCAGGTCTTGAGACCAGCATGTTCGACGGGACAATTTCTCTGGGCGAGGCTTCAGCCAGCGGGGATCATTCACCGGACGCGAAGCCAAGCTCTGATGATGCGGATAAATTGCCTGAAGACGAAAGGGCTGCTGACTATGACCGATGGAAAAAAGGCCTCCCTCTGCCAGACCGTTCCCACCGATTCAATCCCCGAGAACTCGTCCGCGACACCCTTCCGCAATGCCTCCAACCGATGGCCGACATGTTCCCCCACATTTGGCCGGTCAAGGCCCCGGGCGACAACAAGTACAACAAGGTTCATTCGCCATTGCAAGCCATCCTGATGTCTACGCCCCCCAAGACCAAGAATGATGACTCCCGCACGAAGGGTGCACGTCCTGCCAAGGTCGAAAAGGGCTTTGTCCCTAAACGAACCCCCATCTCAACCTACGTCACCTCACGAGATGATCTCCGAGAGAACGACTACATCTTGCACCCAGTCTACCTTACCTCAGACGAGGAAAAGACGACCCAGATGGGAGCTCGCCAACGAAACGGCCAGTCAGCGGCCGACGGCTGGGTGGACACCCATGTTTCTTCCTTGGAGTCTGCGCAGCCGCCCGATGCCGAAATCGAACAGGGAAGCATGACTGCTGGACGGGACGTGTTTGCCCTCGATTGTGAGATGTGTATCACCGAGGGAGGCCAGTCTGAGCTCACCCGCATCAGTATTGTTGGATGGGATGGCGAGGTAGTAATGGATGAGCTGGTCAAGCCTCCACGGCCAGTGATCAATTATCTAACACGATATTCGGGGATCACCCCGGAAATGCTCGAGCCGGTTACTACAACCCTCGTCGATATCCAGCAACGACTCCTTACCCTTCTCACGCCGCGTGCCGTCCTGGTCGGCCACTCCTTGAACTCCGATCTCACCGCGCTGAAGCTGGTTCATCCTTTCATTGTTGATACAAGTATAATCTACCCACACCCACGGGGCCCGCCGCTGAAGTGCAGTCTGAAATGGCTCACTCAGAAGTACCTTGGCAAGCAGATCCAAAACGGAATGGAGGGCCACGACTCGATCGAGGATGCCCGCGCCGTCCTTGAACTCGTGAAGATGAAGTGCGAGAAGGGAGAGCGCTGGGGAACAAGCGAGGTTTCCAACGAAAGCATCTTCCGTCGCCTGGCCCGGTCCGTTCGGCCCAGCCATGTGCCGTGCCCTGGCGAAGCCCGAACTGGCGCTGTGGTCGATTGGGGGAATCCCGAACGCGGCTTTGGCGCACAGGCGACCGTGTCCATCGGATGTCAAGATGACGAGGCGGTTGTCAACGGGGTCTCCGCCGCGGTCAAAGGTGACGAGGCGAACCATTCCATCCCCGCTGGTGGCGTGGATTTCACCTGGGCTCGGCTCCGCAGCCTCGAATATCTTCGCGGATGGTGCAATCGGCTCCCTGATCCGAATAATGCCAACGAATCGAGCTCTGTTGCCCCCGCGGATCAAGTCCTGCCCACCCCTGACCCGACCGGCGAGGCCGCCGATCCTTCGCCATCTGATGTCTTAGTAAAGACAGTCTCTCAGACCGTGTCTCATATCTCGCGCATCTACGAGTCCCTCCCGGCTTGCACCCTCTTCGTGGTTTATTCTGGAACGGGCGATCCCCGAGAAGTCAGTCGTCTCCAATCCGTCCACAAGAAACATCGCGAGGAGTTCCACTCTGGCAAGCCCTGGGATGAACTGACCTACAAATGGACCGATGTTGAAGAGCAAAATCTGAAGAAGGCCTGCGAACGCGCTCGCGATGGGTGTGGGTTCATGTGCATCAAATGAGACCCCTATTCAACAATGTACATAATTCAAATGTTTATTGGCATAACCTCCAATCATAAGATATCTAGACCATCAGTCATAAAAATTCCCCCACTGTCCATTGTAGAATATGCCCAGCTGTAGTACTCCGGAGCGTCGCGACATTCTCTGCGAACGGGAGAGGTCGGTGCCGACGATGTGGGGCGGACATGAAAGACTTCCTCCGACAACACACTCGCCGAAGCAATGAATCCATTCAGAAGATCCACGGCCGCCTGGCACTCGGTTGGTCTCGCCTCTGACCTGCCTGACCTCGACGAGGATGGCCAGCGGGTCGCTCCAAAATGCAAAGCCTTCACCATCCCCACCAACGGGGCAGTGGAACGTGTGGAAGACATTGACCTCCCGGGCGAACTGAAGGATCAAGTCTTGGTCTTCCGGTACAAAGGGAAATACCACGCCATCGATCATGTAAGTCTTGCCCCGGCTGCCCCCGGTAGTTGTGGAAGGGACTCACGCTTTGTAGCAATGCCCGCACTCGTCCTACCCTCTGTCGCAGGGACGTCTCTTTGACATCGAGGACTTTGGAGTCGTGCTCAGTGCGGGGATTACGTGCCCCAAGCATGATTGGTCTTTTGACATCTTCTCCGGCCAAGCAGATCGGGGTAAATATAAGTTGAAGGTGTGGGAGGTCGACTTACGTCCCTCGACCACCCCCGGGGTGGCTGATCAGGAGGTCTGGGTAAGGCGCAAGCAAAGGATCGGCTGATCGACGCGGTTGGATGTATTCTTCACAGCCAAGTTGATCGAATTCCCAGGGCCGGCCCAAAGCGGATGCTGTCTCGCAATCCAAGTCCCGATGTCAGTGTGACAGCGGAATCGAGTCGAAGGTTCAAGATGGTGGACTTGAATGCTATCTACTGCGCCTGTCACTTCCTCGGTCTAGCTTCAAAAGAACAAGCATTTAGAGCCACCGGTCAGCTCGCACTTGGACACGTTGCAGGAGAACGCTGTCCAGCAACGATGATTGGTTCTGTACTTTGAAGGGAGTGTGAGAAAGGGATCTGGGGATGAAGTTTGACAGGAAAGATGCCAAAATTGGACAACTCAGAGGGTTCCAAGCCCTGACATTGATTTGCAAGATGGCATCATGGCTGTACATAGCCCCGGAAATCCATTTGTTGATTTTTTTTTCTCCTCTCTTCAGCCCAGAACATTCTGGGGGCATTACATACTTTGGGTGACTCAAGCCGACAAACCACACTGAGTCTACTTGGCCAGATCAACCCGCCTACAATGGGTGATGTTTGTATCACATTCCAAAGGATCCAAGATGGCCTCTTCGAAACCCGTGCCTTGTAGTGATGCACCAGCTTCACGCGCAAGGTCCGGCATTGCACTCGTCTGCGACACAGAGAATTGGGCAGTGGTCATGGAGCGAGACTTCAAGACTAAGCACTCACCATGGCAAGGGTGCTCGAGTACTGAGCATTCAACTCCACGAGTACCGTCACCTCGATCAAGGGATAGAAGCAAGGTGTTGAGACCATGTGGGACTTGTTATTGCACGGAGCCATACGTGCGTTTGACAGGTGCGCGTAATTTCAAGTCTTGCGAGCTGCCGCCTACTGGTTGTAGACTTGCCCGCCTCATGGCTGTGCTGTCACTGTCCTACCCGCTGTCTCATTTGTTACCCAGGACAAGGCCCGGTCTTGATCCCTGCGCACGACGGCCTGCGATCTGCCATGGCCAACTGGCCACAGCTGAAAACTTGATTTAACTTTGACGGAATATGTAGGGGTGACACCAGGTTGGACTTTGACGACTCCAGCATTCCACCATCGACATACCAGGCAACCCTGACGGGATCTGAGCGGGTCGACTGAACACGAGATGGCAGCTTTGACGTTGTGTGCCTGGACTTGAGATCCCCCCGCTGATCACTTGGTAATTGCCCTGTTTGTCCTTTGCCAGGAAATCGCATCTTTGCATATCGAAGAAATGTTACTTCGAGTGATTGCCTGTGCTTTTATCTGGCTTTGCTCGGTAGATGCCAAAAGCCAAGATGGTACAGGTTCACGCTATGATTTCGTTATAGTCGGAGGAGGAACCAGCGGGTTGGTCGTTGCCAACCGACTCTCGGAGATGAGAGATGTCACTGTGGTGGTCATCGAGGCGGGCGACTCCGTTCTGAATAACTATAACGTCTCGACGACCACGGGATACGGCCTCAGCTTTGGAACATCGATTGACTGGGCGTACCAGACCGAAGACCAAATCTACGCAGGCGGGTCAAAGCAGACCATGCGTGCCGGGAAGGCCATCGGTGGCACCAGCACGATTAACGGTAAGTCTTGGGACATGTCGTCTTCAATCAATTCCTCTTCTGACTCTCGGCGTGAACAGGCATGTCTTATACGCGAGCGCAAAAGGCACAGATTGATGCTTGGGAGAAGGCCGGAAACAAAGGCTGGAACTGGAACAACCTCTTCCCTTACTATCTCAAATCAGAGCAATTCCAAGTTCCAACCGCCGAGCAGGCTGCGCGCGGTGCCGACTACTACAAAAGCTACCATGGCGACCACGGGCCTCTGAAAGTTGGTTGGCCGAAAGCAATGACCAACAGCAGTCTACTCCCCATTCTCGATGAAACCTTCCAGCACCTCGGGGTCTCCTACAACCGGGATGTCAATGGAGGTAGTATGGTAGGGCTCACCGTTCACCCTGACACACTCGACAGAGAGTCCAACGTCCGTCACGATGCTGCCAGGGCGTATTTTTGGCCCTACGAGAATCGCTCAAACCTCAAGATCATCTCCAACACCTATGCGAACCGGATTGTTTGGGGTGACGACTCGGACGGAGATGCGGTGGCCATCGGGGTGGAGGTGGCCGGAGTCAATGGGATTGAAATCATATATGCCACCAAGGAAGTCATCTTGTCGGCAGGCTCATTGAAGTCCCCTGTGCTTTTAGAGCTTTCAGGAATTGGGAATTCAGATCGCTTGAACCAGCATGACATTTCACTGAAGGTCAATATCTCTTCTGTCGGCGAGAATCTGCAGGACCAGGCGAATAACGGACTGTCCTATGAAGGCAAGGAATTTTGGCTTGGTCTTCCAACCTTCTCTGCTCTTCCATCAGCAGAACAGATATATGGGAACGAGTTATCGGACTTTGCATCCACGGTGTCTGAGAGTCTCGGCGACTATGCAAGGAATGTTTCCATTGCATCGAATGGGGCAGTCGAGGAGGCCAATGTACTGGATGCTCTCCAGATGCAGTACGACCTGATCTTTGAATCCCACGTCCCATTTGCGGAGATTGTCCTCCTTCCTATCGGGCATTCATTCTCTAGTGAATACTGGCAGCTATTGCCATTCTCCAGAGGCCGAATTCACATCCAGTCATCCGATGCGTCTCAGCCACCGGCGATCAACCCGAGTTATTTCATGTTTCAGCCAGACCTGAAGGCACAAGTCGATGTCGCGCAGTTCATCCGAAAGGCATTCTCGACAGCTCCGCTCAATCGCCTGGTTGGTGAGGAATTCGCACCGGGCGTTGAACACGTCCCAGAGGACGCACCAGATGCCGTGTGGGAAAGTTGGGTCAAGTCAAAGTGTGAGTATACTCGAGGGATTGATGATCCGGTCGCTAATTCAATATTCCAGATCGATCCAATTTTCATCCGGTTGGCACGGCGAGTATGCTTCCCCGGGACAAAGGTGGTGTTGTTGGCCCTGATCTGAGGGTATACGGCACAAAGAATGTACGAGTTGTCGACGCCTCCGTGGTGCCATTCCAACTCTGTGGTCACTTGACCAGTACTCTCTACGCTTTGGCAGAGAGAGCCTCCGATTTGATCAAGAGGAGATACATATTTTGAGTTCATTTGATCTGAGTGTACTGATACCTGGTGTGGTCAGAGTTATTTACGATTCCCCTTCATGAGTGCTTTTGGCGTTAATGAGTGGCCTTTCACGTTGATTTTGTTGACTATAATGTACTGCTTAGACATTTGACTTGTGCTCCAAACCATTTATCTCCGCCGGTGTATCCTAACACACCTACAGTCACGAGTTTAGGCGATCCTATGGACGTCGGGGCTCAACTGCACGCCCGATCTATGATAGAATCCCAGTCAGACCGACAGAAAATACTGATCAATTGTCTGCCCAGATTTTCAAAGTGATGGGAAATCGAGAACGAGCTGCATGCCTCTTCCATTGATCACCTCTTGGAGTGTAGAGTGCTGTGAGCGGACGAGGCCCATTCGAGCCCAGTCCTCTCTTCGCTTGGTTTGTTCCGGTATATACTCCCTGAGATCCAAAATGTATTTGCTGAATATGCCTCAAGTACTACCTACTCCCAATTAGTATAACTCTCTTCAGTAACTGGCAATCCATCGCTGCCTCCGATGAATTGATAACAAGTTGATTGAAATGGAGGGACGTTATGGTGAGCAAAAACACAGCGTCAGTCTTGTGTCTACAGTCAATTTTGATCGACATATCTCCCCATCGGTCAATCCGACACGGCCTTGATGCGAATGAACCGAGACGTGCCGTTGCAGACAGATGCATCCCGACGATCAAGAACATTCGATCCGGCTTTTCATGCCACAAGCACACACATCTGTGGCGAGCTGTTCCTGCTCCTGGACCGCAGCATGTAACTGGTTGTTTCGTTTCGCCGGGTAGATCTTCTCTCCAGCCGCCCTTTCCACGTCCCAATGCTCCTTCAACTGAGTCTGAACAAGATGTTTAAAGTACAGCACACCCCCCTCCCGCTGTGGGTGCAGAGGCCCGTGAACGTACACCCCGGAGTTCAGATTCTTCTGCACGCCGTTCATCAAGTCGTAGTCCTCCAATTCAATTCCCTCGAAGAACTCGCCAGCCCGGTTGAAGGCCTCTTCGGGAGAGTCCGGGTTCCGGTATACTTGATACTCCGTGGTCACCGTCGTTGGGCCAGTCGGAACAACTCGCATGATGAAAAAGTACGGGGTGGACAAATTAACCGATGTGTTGGGGAAATTGTAGGTGAATGCGCCGTTGCCGAAGTATTCAAAGTCCTCCGTTTTGATATCGTCGCGGTTCGGTGGGAAGTGCTCGAATCGCCCGGAATAAGGAGTCACCGAGTATTTATCCAAATTGGTGATCTTGGTGATTCCAGGGTGACTGGCCTTGCAATGATAGCACTGGGGGAGTCAGTCAACGTTGGGAAAATCCATGCGGCACAGCGACCTACCTCATTATAGTTGTCCCCGACCAGCTTCCAGTTGTATTGCCCATTGGTCGTCCAGGTGCGATGGTAAACATAATTATCCAGACTGAAGTCGTTCAGGCGAGGTTGCTCGTCCGTTCCACCGTTCATCTGCTCCCATGGCATGGGGGAGTCCGAGGCATCGAAGTTCACCCACACAAAACCGGTCCGGTCGACGTGGGTGTGGATCTTGAACAGGCTGTATGCACTCCCATCAAAATCCTTTGCCTCGTCAAACTTGGGAGCCTTGGTCAATTTGCCATCGAGGTTGTATGTCCAGCCTGTTTTTCTTAGCGGACGAAGAGCATCAAGACAGAGGTCGCTCACCATGATACCCACAAGACAGGATCGATTTCTTGCCTTGATCGGGGGCATCCTTGTCGATGAGAGGGTATGCCCGATGGCGGCAGACATTGTGAAATGCCTGAATGCTACCAGCTTTGTTCTTCACCAAGAGAAAATCAAAGCCAGCGATCTCAAACCGAAGATAACTTCCAGCCTCGGGCAGGCGGAGACGGTGTGTTGTGAGTAGCCAATGCTTCGAGAAAATTGCCCGACGCTCGAATTCGTAGAATTCGGGCTCCGTATACCAGGATGTTGGCAGGTTTCCCTCCAAAACGGCATCCGAGGCACTATGGCCGTGAATGGTGTCGCTGGGTCCTGGGCCGATGAAGTGGTCACAAAGTGCTCCCAACATGGTCAAGAATTGAATCAACTGGCAGCTTTGGTTTGTAAATGGATGTTTGGATGTTACCCAAGGCGCTTGACACTGAAGTGATACCTAGGTATCGACCTGCGAAATATGAAACTTGGAAGCCTCACACCTAGGAGATATATATACCCGGACACCAGTCAAATCGAGACCGACTCAAGATACCTAGCTATCAACCTTGAAAATCCTCGGAATCGGTACAAGGCCCCAAGACGTTTGTTAATCCCAGACAGAGGACAGGTCCATCGACTGCCCCAGCGCAGTTCACTCAAAACATGTCTGTTTTGGAACCTCATCGCTTCTTGGCTGCCCCTTTGGACTCTAGTGGCGCACGATCGACCCGCCGAGCAGCGCCTCAGCCAATCGAATCTTGTACGCCCACTTTTTCCCAGAAGGGCATGGCACAGGAGGATCCTATCGTGATGGCGGAGACCCCTCACAGCACTGCAACCTCCAAGATGGCACGGAGTACGGAGTACTGAGGGTGGTCGCCCAAACTCATGCTCGGGTATCTTCAACCTGGGAATTCGACCTGCATCGTATCCGACCTCTTTATCGCCGCCTATCACAGCATTGCGGCTGTCTCCAACCCCCACTGATCCGACCCAGCCCTCTTGTATGTATCAAATCACAAGCCTTTAGTTGGCTATCGCAGCTATCTGTGCATCGCTTTCAGGACCAAAATTGTGAGTGAGTCGGGGCCACACAGGGATTCAACCACATTGCTATGCTGGCCTGCTTCTAAGGTCCTAAGGCTGGACATCTGATCACTGCGATGCGGAATGTTGCCTGCACGAAAGGACCCCTGTTACCTAGCACTAATTTGTCTTTTCTTACATGTATCAGCCCAAATGATTGCGTTTATACTCGTGGACCTCGGTAAATTCATAACTTGGATGTACAACATTGAAGCGAATAATCATACAGCCCCGAAGTTTATCGGACGTGAATCTTTGACCAGCATGCGAATTTCCCTCCATGGACGTTGAACTTATTGGGTATCGACGTGTCATTGATTCATCCACGGATGGAGTGGACCTCATCCATCGGCGATGCGGACAAGACACCTGTGCGAGGACCCTGGAAATTCTTATATCCCCATATATAGTACCAGAGGATGGCAATTACAGTCAACCCGGCGAAAACTGCAAAGGCGTAGTTGATGGTCTGTGGCGCAACGGGGAGATACGAGGGCATGCAAAAGAGAGGGACTGCGAAGACCGACCAACCTAGAGCAATGTATGAGATCACGTACAACCCTGGAAAAAAGGAGCGACCAGACGGTCCGCAGGACATACACAGAGAAACGATGTTGCAAAACATGCCGAACCTCCCGAGCGAGAATTTCCCCTGCTTGACATCGGTTCGACCGCCGAAGAGAGATGCGGCGATTGGAATGGCATAACTCACCGTTAAAAAGATGACACCGGCCGAGGAGAACGCGTTGAATGCTGTTTCGGAACCAAAATAAATGCAGCCCAACGCGATCTGTGTTGCCATAGTCAGTCCCATGGCGTTCAGGGGGATTTTGAGATGTGGATGCACCGGCCCCCACCATTTCACACCGGGAATCCCACCATCGCGAGCAAATGCCCAGGTGCAGCGGGAGGCGGCGGTTGTGCACGCGATTCCACAAAAGAGGGCGAGGGCGATGAGTGGAATAAGGAGAAAGAATGTGCCGATGGTGTTGCCCACGGCAGACTTGATAATCACGGGCACAGGCTGCCCGGACGCCTCATTGATGAGCAGTACCACGTCGGGAAGCACTACAACCACTGGGATGAGAAACAACAGCCCCGCAACGGTGTTCAGTAGAATAGTACCGATCATAGCCCGGGGAACTTGTACTTGAGGATCGCGGACTTCGTCGCACATCCTGGAAAGAGGATAAGAACCCGTGAGTGGAGGATACTCTCAAGACAATTTTTCGGATTGAAGAGAAAACATACGAAATGATCATGCCGGTGGAGGACGTGGCATAGGCTGCCTGCAACAGACCAACACAGAAAGCCCACCCCGAAGGCCAACCCGACATGGGTGCGAATTCTCCAAAAACGTAGTCGGCAGAGTGACGCCCCCCCTTGGCTAAGAGCAACACAGATACCGATATTGCAATTAGACCTGCAAAGGTCCAGAAGATACTGAAGATCTGTGGGCGATCAATAAACTGAAGTGCCATCTCCGGAGGATAGTTGACCTACATCCAGGATAGGAAGCCATTGATTCCCCAGCGCCGATGTCAAGTTGCAGACGATTGTAATCGCAACGAAGATCAAGAACTGTTGATAGATCGAAGCTGGGAAGACTCCGAGCCCGGACTCGGATTCGAAAACGTTGATGGAGGCAACCAGAAACCCCGTGGATCCGAAATTGACGGCCAGAGTGATCAGAATGTTCCCAGCAAGATAGGTGAAACCACAAATCCATGAGATTGGTCTTTGCCATCTTCCGCCGAGGAGCATGAACGCTTGGTAGTAAACACCCCCTGCGGTAGGGTGTGCGCTAGTGATCTCGGCGAGGGAAACGGCAACACATAGTATGATACTGGATACGGCCAGCCAGCCATATATGATCGTTGCAGGTCCACCATTGATCAGTGGATAGAAGAAGCAGGTCGCCAAGCCATATGGAATCGAGGCTAGGACGAAGGACATGAAGCAAACATGTAGAGTTGATCGATTTCTCACCAGACCATCACGATCCAAGTCGGTGGTTGCAGCCACTTCGGCAATGATTTGGCCATGACTGACACCGATGAACTGCCCCTCCTCGCCAGAGAGGCAACCATTATCTACACTCTTTTTGCGGCCCAGGCTCCCATGTCTACTTGAGGGCTCGTTGGATAGCAAAGAAGGCATGAGATTTGATCAGCCTAAGGTTGAGGAACAATTGCTGAGATAAAATGAAACTTGCCTACGGAGGCTATTGTCACTGAATTTATGGTGACTGTGATCGTGGGCAGCTCCAGCCAAAGAGCACTATCTGTGCCTCTGAATCGAAAGGACCTCATGCCGCCCAAAGGCTTGATAGCGCATGACGTATAGAATTGGCCGAGTCAGTTGTATCACAGGACCATTGGAGATACGAATTGGCCCTGTAGCCAGCTGCTTGGGCCGAGTTGCGCGATGGATTGCCCATTTGAGACACAGACTCACCTCAACGCCCTGACTCGATCCAGCTCGCCATCACTATCCTGATCCTGACTAGTTCGATTATTCCAGCCAACTTGATTGGTGTCCTTTGTGTGTCACTAGTAGACTCCCTGCGGCCACCGTCGTTGAATCAGAGCATGCCAAATATTAAATGTGACGAGGTTCTTGCGATACCATTGAGCAAAGATCGTGTGCTAAGGGAATGAGATATTGCCGCATGGTTGTGGTCATGCAAGGTCGATACGTACCCCAGTTTGAATCTTGGATATAATTTATTGGAAGACCACCTAGCATGTGAACGCTAAACACCGGGCTCCAGGGCGCGATTTCGTTGAATCCACAAAAGAAGCAAGCTAGCCGATGATCGTGACAACACCCATAGCATCCATGGTATCCATCCAAAACACGTCAAGCCCAAGATCAAGACATCTGAAGATTCTCAGAACTACTGATTCGATTTGAGAAAGAGGCTCTGATAATTTCGAGGCGCTTACTTGCGAAAGTCGGTCCAAGACAAACCCTCTGGCGCGGAGAACTTCAGATGCATCGTCACCTTCTAGCTCCGGGACCACAGACAGGGAGCTAGAGCCGACCAACAACAGAAGTGCATGCACACAACAGGTCCCTGATGTACCCTGGATCTGCTCTAATCGTAGTATAACATTGCGACCGAGAAACCTGACCCAGAGCTCAGTGCTCCATGATGATCGTAAGAGGTTTGACCATGCCTTTGCTTGATCGTGAGCCCAGGAGCCCACGGGGTGTGATTCTTTCAGATAAATGTCCCTGAGTGACCTGGACCTTCGGCGCCAGAGATATGGGAAGGTATGATAGAGTTGATACATGGTAGCGAACATATAAGCCTCTGCCAGGAGCAAGTGGTGAATGGCCGGGGTGTTTTGATCTCCGGTGTTAGCTATCTCATGCAGCGCCGGCAGTCTTGAGCGCCAAATTTGATCTTCCAGCGTATCTAAAGCTTCCAGGAACTCCTCTGGGCAAATAATATCTGTTTTAGAGGTTGACCTTTGGCCATCACGCCCAAAAGATCGAGCCTGTCGAATACGGCGGGCAACCCGGGCAAACAAACCTTGAGGACCGGCCGCCACTCCAGCCCAAGGGTGCGGCATGATGAAAGGGCTGTCAGGGATTATGGCAAGGCTGTCATGGTGCGGAGTTAGGGCTGGTGCTGGTGATGGCGAACCGAGAGTCCGACTTTCGTGAATGACAATATCATCATTAACTGAACAAATGACCATTTCCCAGTACACGAGTGCTTCTTTGGCAAATTGGAGAATTTGGCCGTCACAGGTCTGCTGAAACGTTGATTCGGCAATTGCCTGCTGCATGGCCTTCAAATGCGTAATGCCCAGGTCCGTGACGACGTGCCAACTGGTGCTCAAACCAAGCATGAGCACAACAAACAAGAGTTCTTCATCCCAGCAAACAGCTTGGGACACGTCTGCATGGAGATGCGATATTGCCAAAGACTGATACGCCAGGGCGTGAGATTTCATAGTGGGCAGCTCGCGAGAAATCTTGGCCGCTGCCATGCTCGAAATTGCGTAGAACATGGTAGCCGAGTTTTGCCATCTTTCGCTCACGAAAGACCGAAACAGGTTGTGTTGGGAGTCGAATGTCGAGAATATAGGACAAACGATGTTGAAATAACAAACAATTAGCTCACTTTGGATATCAACAAGACTAGCATTCAAGGGGGGTCCGTTATCTCTAAAGGTCTGGCTGGGTGCCCGCGATGGTGTCGGGGTGTGTAGTAGGAATCGAGGGAATCCGGTGCCGTCTGCTGTTTGGTCCTCGGTCTCATGTTGCTGTTCCGGGTAAGGGGAGAGATCTCCAAGGCCGGCCGGATCGGGTTCTTCGATGTATGGCTGAAGCAAAGTTGGTGAGGAGTGTATGATCGGGGAGAGGGCGATTGGGTTGCCAGGTGTACACCCCATCGATACTGAGCCTCGTGCAGCACAGTCTTGGGTGGGTGATTTTACTGACAGTATCTGGTTTCCAGCTATAATGCCCAGCTCTTCCGTCAGCTCATGGCCCCCCCTATCAGGTCGCGCCTCCATGGCCTGGGTGTCTGTAAATTCATCTCCAGAACAATCGACATCCGTATCGGCGCCCAATCTTGGGGTCTGTGACGCAAAGAACGACTTCCAGGCGGCTTTGAGATTTCGATTAATCGCGTCATCTTCTTTCCTTGACACTGCGGCTGTCTGAGGATGGTAACTCTCGTGTTTCGACGACCACCGAATTTTGGGACCTGTCGCCACGCCGGAGCATTTGAGCCCCTTTTCGCGGCACCGGAGGCACGAGGGTTTTGTCTCGTCACATTTGATCTGTAAATATTGAGCTTCCCCTGCCGATGAATTGTTCAGATGGGCTCGACCTTTCGCGATTTGCATTCCACACAGCCCAATCTCGACTTGACCACTGGGCGGCGAGGTCGCTTCGGTACCAGAGAGAAACCGGATCGGTCCATTTGCTGAAACAGAATCGGCTGTGCAAAGGTGAGGATGCGATCCTCGGGATCCTCGAGGTCAGAGTCAACAGGTAAATGCGGGGGTTTCCATGGATCCCGTCGATATCCGCCAATCACAGCCTTGGTACCCTATCGGACGAATCCATGGATTTCTATGGCTTGAGCCCCGGGACGGCCGACGCCAATCTTGGTTCCTTGAAGGCAGGGGGGTCTGTCATTGGTCGATCTTGGTATCTCCGAACCTTTGCGGAACCTTGAACTACAGTGCGGTTCCACGTTTCCACAAGTCATCGTGTCTACTACATGTAGTCTCCTCAGATGCCTCGAAAGGTATTCCGTATGGTATTTCGAAGCAGTTTGGTATGGATACTACCTAGGTACCTAGAGTCCAGAACGCGCTCAAGTTAAAGTATAGCCACCGTCAACGGTGAATTCAGCACCTGTAACGAAAGAACTCGCGTCACTAGCCAAAAATGTGAAGACCCCTTTGAGTTCCTTCACATCCCCTGAGAAAATATCAGTCCCTGTAGATCATCTTGTGGGAATCCAGCGCATACCTTGTCGTCCCATGGCCGCCATTCGACACGCTTCATGAATGGATGCCGGGCAGCTGCTCATCGCCGTATTTATGTAACCGGGGGACACAATATTGACTCGGGCAAAACCTCGCCACTCGCGAGCGAGGCTCCGTCCAAGGTGTATGACAGCAGCCTTCGTCGTGTTGTATGTAGTATGGTCCACTGGCACGGTCACTACGCGCCCGCTGATACTCCCGGTGATGATAAAATTGCCAAATCCCTGTTCTTTGAAAATAGGCCCAATTGATTTGGCGCAATAGAAAACTCCGTGAACATTCACATTCATCTGTGTGTGGTACTCGTCAAGCGTTTGTTCCATGATGGGTTTTGGGATGGCAACTCCGGCATTTGCCACAAACCCATCGATCCGGCCAAACCGTTGGCGTATTCCAGTCAATAAGACCTGTATCTGAGTCATATCAGTCACATCGCACTGGGAGTTGACCACCGTGACTTGACATCGCTCGGCCAGTTTCGCGGCCCATTCGTTCCACTGCGGGCCCACCGAACGAGACGCGTTCACCACGTTGGCCCCTCCTTCGGCTAACCCCTCCGCAACAGCGCGTCCGATCCCCCCGCTGGCTCCAGTGATCACGTATAGCCTCCCCGAGAGTTGGAGCTGGTCCATAACGTGGTCTGCTAGCTTGGGCATCATTCGCAAGTCCCGCGGGGCGAGACACTCATCAAACGTCATCGACATGGTGGTTCAGGGGTATGTGATCCTTCGGTTGATGAGCAATGACACCTGGCTTTTTGGGGTCGAGATTTCCTAATCTTCAGTGACATCAGCATGGCTGCAAGGGAATCGTGAATTTATGGGAGTCGCAGTCAAGTATTGAACTCAGCAGGATCTACGAGCCCGGACAATGCGGATCTCCCATTTCTCCCAGCTCCGTCCCCGTGCCCGCCAATTCTCCCATTTTGGGCTGGGTAATCCCGACGGGCTCCCAGAACTGCTTTGGGGAATCGTGGGGTCATGGTGATGGAGTTCCAACCGGGAAGGCTGGGCCGCGGTCCAAGTTGAGCATGGATCCCCGCCGGGGTCAAGTCACGTCGAGACGAGCCAGAGAAGATGACCAAATGTGAGTTGCATTTACCAATCACAATGTAATCGGCATCGTTGCGCAGAAGCCGTAGGCGGAATCATTGTCCGATTTGGGAACGTCTGGCGAAGAAGAACTGATTGGACAGTGAGGTGCGAGATAGACACTGGCTAACCCATTTTGGAATTCCTGCAGCTGTCGAATTCTCCAAGGCTATGATTGTGGTGGACTCGCCTGGCTGGAAGTACTCGCATATTTATGTCGATGACCCGTGAAACAGATTACTTCTTCACCTGGCATTGCCAACAAAAAAGCCCAACCTCAACCCCACGAAGCCAACGGTCTACGCCCACTCTCTTTCCGTGAAACCCGTCGAATATCAGCCCTTTGCACGGTTATACCCTATATTTGCCCATTCTTGAATATGTCGGGATCTCCTGAAGGCATATACGAGCCAGGAATTGTGGATCCTAAAACACCTTTGTCCCAGTACACCTCCCCCTATTGGCACATATCACCACATAAACATGCCAACCATCAGTCACCCTGGCCCAAAGGCATTGTTGATATCGTCATAATCGGATCGGGCGTTGCCGGGATGACGTTGGCTCGTACGCTCACTGCAAAACGCCCTGACCTGGATGTCGTGCTCGTGGATTCGCGACAACTGTGCGCTGGTGCCACGGGCCGTAATGGCGGCCACATCAAGACAATGACTTTCGCCATGTGGGCAGAGCGCAAGAAGATCTTTGGTGTGGAGGAGGCCGTTCGAATCTCGCTTTTCGAGGACAGCCATCTGGAGGCGATGCACTCTGCAATGAAGGAAGACAACATTGATGCGGATCTTGTCCTCACAGAGGGAATCGAGGCATACTATGACCAGCCCACCTTCGACCGTGCTGTGGAAGCCCTTGAAGAAATGCGTTGGTATATTCCCAAGCTGGCCGCCAAGCATATCGTCTACACGGATTTGGACTACCTGCAAACAGAGATGAAGTTGTCCACACGCTGTGTGGGTGCTATTGGTCTCCCATCCGCCTCTGTCTGGCCATATAAATGGATTACAGGAGTTTTAGGTCGGCTCATTGATACAAACAAGCTCAATGTCCAGACAAACACGACGGTTTCCTCAATTCAGGATGATGACGGCTCTGAGTTCGCTATTGTACATACCGACCGTGGCGAGATTAAGGCGAGAAATGTGATTCACGCCCAGAATGCGTGGATTGGCCATCTGATCCCCGAGCTTCGACCCTTTGTGTCCCCCGTTCGAGTCAATGTGGTGCACTTTGGAGCACTGTCGAACGACGCGCACGCAGGCGTCCCCGGTAGGTCTCCCTTCAAGCTGGATAGTAGATATTCTCTTTGGCTTCGCTACGGTGAAAAAGATTATGACTACGTGATCCAGCGCAACGATGGCGGTTTAGTCGTCGGACGGGCATGCACTGGACGCACGACAACATCCGATGACAGCAAGACAGACATGTCACCCATGCAACACTTGCGTGGCTTCGCCGAGGAAGCTCTTACCTCTGCCCCCGCTGGCTCATCCTCTCATATCGACCGTCAGTGGTCCGGGATCGTGGCATTCACCCAAGATGGTGTCCCCTTCGCCGGTCGCCTGCCATTCGAGGGGCGTAAGCACCAGTGGGTGTGCGGGGCCTTTCATGCTACTGGTATGATCAAGGCTTTTCGAACCTCTCAGGGTGTGGCTGCAATGGTTCTTGGTGAGCGCCCAAGCGATGACTTTCCAAGCTCGATGTTAGTTACGGAAGAGCGGATTCGCAACCTTCAGAAATCCCTTCAGGCGGGAGGCTATCCGGTCCATGCACAAAAGTCAAAGCTTTGACGAGCTGGAAGAGTTGGCTCGACGGTGGGAATTTCTTGCAAGTTGAAGTCTGTTCTTCTTAGTCTGTCATTTCGACTCAATCGCTACAGTTGGCCCGTCGAGTTTCCCGGATGTCGAGTAAATCATGCCTTTTATTCCACAATCACGCCCAATTGGCTTATCAAACGGCATCGGCACACCTTTGCCATGAACAGTACTGATCAAAGACATCCTGGTGTTATTTCAATGTATACCAAGGTGGTACAAGTACGGAGTACGCGTCTTGGCTGCCTATTGTAACCAGCGGCCTGCGGACTGCTTAGCCGCCTCGTACGTCTTACCGACTGTGATTTTCCCCCTTCTTTTATATTCCAATGAGGCTTAATGAATACCGAAATGAGCTTTCTCAAGGTAGGTACCTAGGTAGTGAGCACACCGGTCAGGTGACTCTGGCTGTTCCCTAGATCTCACTCTCTCCCGAGGTCCTCTCTTCGCTTCCACTCCCTTCGCCCCCCTTCACCCCTGTTATTCCAAGGTTCTCTCTCTCAGAGATAGACAATCAATTCTTCTCCTCGGGCTCCTTGCTCCGAGTAGTCGTCAGATCAGCCTTCCACACATATATAGACATTGCGAAATTGTTGGAAAGCAAAGAGGTATGTATAGTTGAGAACAGAGTCGACAGCGATTGTCTTGTACTAAGAATCCCTCACTCAGCTCCACCGGTCAGTGATCAACAGAGGGGTCCTCAGTCACGCGAGACATCCACTGATTCTCCACCACACAACTATCTGGGGAATCTCAAATAAGCCTAGAGATGGGAGGTTGCCATTCCGCCAAATGTGAGTGTTTTGACAACCTGGAATTCGGAGATGCCATGCTTGGAGCCCTCCCGCCCAAAGCCACTCTCCTTGACTCCACCAACAGGGGAGGCGGGATCGGATATCATACCGGTATTGACACCAATCATTCCTACCTCCAGACGCTCAGCTACTCTAAAGATCCGATGAACATCACGCGAGAATATGTAACCCGCCAAGCCGACCTTCGACTGGCTCGCCAAGTGCACAACCTCGTCCTCCGAGTCAAACGGAAACAACGCAGCGACGGGCCCAAATGTCTCCTCCGATGAGAGTTTCATTTCAGATGTCATATCTCGAATGACGGTGGGCTGGAAGAAATTGGGGCCAAGTTCAAGAGCTCTCTTGCCCCCAATAACGACCTTGGCCCCGAGTGCCTCGGCATCGCGAATTTGAGCCTCGACTTTGGCAACGGCCCGGTCGTGAATGAGTGGGCCGTGTGTTGTGGACACGTCAAAGCCATTTCCGATCTTAAATTTTCGGACTCTCCCTACAAGCTCATCGAGAAACATCTGGTAGATGCTTCTCTGCACGTAGATGCGATTCGCGCAAATACAAGTCTGCCCGGACCCCCGAAACTTCGAAGCGACAATACCTTCAATCGCAGAATCCAGGTTGGCGTCCTCGAAAACCAAGAACGGTGCGTTCCCACCGAGCTCCAACGACAGTTGCTTGACCGTTCCTGAACTCTGTTTCATCAGGAGTTTCCCAATGGCGGTTGATCCTGTGAACGAAAGTTTCTTGATAACTGGGCTGGTTGTAAGTACCTCGCCCACGATTGCGGTATTATCCAGGGCAGTGATGATGTTGATACTTCCTCTTGGAAACCCACTCTGATGGGCCAACTCTGCGATAGCAAGAGATGTGAGAGGAGCTTCACCAGGTGCTTTGCACACGACCGTACAGCCTGCTGCCAAAGCAGGGGCAATCTTACGGGTGATCATAGCCGCGGGAAAGTTCCATCTAGGGCGTCAATGTCAGTCAGACCTACCAAGCGACTGACAGGGTTTGTTTCTCACGGCGTTATCAGTCCACAGACTCCAACGGGCTCATTCAATGTGACGATTCGATTTAATGGGTTGCTGCTCGGGATCACATCACCGTAAGATCGAGGCGCCTCTTCGCTGAACCACTCGACAAAGCTGGCTGCGTATTGCACTTCACCACGTGCCTCATTGATCGTCTTGCCGTTTTCCAGGGTGATCAAAATGGCCAAGTCTTCGGCGTGAGCAATTATGGCCTCGTACCATTTGCGCAGGAGCTTCGAGCGTTCCCGACCGGTGGTGGTTCGAAATGATTCAAATGATTTCGCTGCGGCTTCGATTGCAGCCTTGGTATCCAGGATGTCAAAGTCAGGACACTTAGCGATGATATTACCTGTGGCAGGGTCTGGAATTGATGTGAGTTCGAGCCTAGGGTGCATTACTCAATAGAGCGAGATACGAACCTGTTACTTCAAAAGTGGCGTTCATTGCTGCCGCGGTCCATTCACCGTTCACATAACAGACGCCTTCTTTCAGCAGGAGACCGTTAGTCAACTGGAGTTTTGAGGCTTGATTAGCACGACTGATAAACTCCGAGTGGAATCACTACTTGATGTACGCACGTACTTGGGAGGTCATGGCTTTCGGTAAAACCTTGGAAAATATCGAGTTCATCTGTCGAGGAGACAAAAGATTTCAGTGATTTAACAGGGTCATTCTTCAACGCCCAGCGAGTCGCCAAGTACTGCCCGTTGTAGATATGGGTTGCGAAGAACCTCTCTTATCGAGCTTCACTCTTGTAAACTAGGGCTGTGTCTTCTCCCAGATCACTAGCGGAACTTTTAGTGTAGCAAGCGTAGACTCGAAGAGGCAAATCCATCCGATTGGCCCCTAACCAAGGGTGTCAGCTCTACCCACCCCTGGGTACAACTTTTTACTATGGCGGGTAAAAGTGGGTCTAGCGTAGAATAGACCTGGGTAACGCTGATTTTCAGACCTGGGTACAGAAGATTTCCAGTGGTCGCATCCGGTTGAAACTTAGTAAAAGTCTATTCTAGATAGTTAACTATAGGTCTACAAATTCTCAGAAAGATCTATGAAGAATTGGGGTAGGCGGAGAATTTAGAAATTCAAGATATTAAAAAGTTCTTGATTTTCGCGCTAGTGTGGAAGGTTTGGTCTTATCTAATCTGGAATTCTGGCCTGATTTCTCGGGAATTCCATACTGACCAATCATAATGCCGGAACGATCCGTCCCACACACCTGGGTAACACACTTTTTCAGACCTGGGTACTAGCCTGTAATTCTGGTCCAATCCTCTTGAAATTTTGATAGTATCTAGGTATTTATCTGAACTAGATCTAGTATGAATCTCGAAGAATTCTACCAAGATTCGGACCTGGGTACAAGCGATAGAAGTTTAGACTAATAAGATTATAAGAATGCTTCCCGGGACCCACTATTTTCTGACCCTGGGTACTATCCCCAATTCGGGCCCGATTCTTTCGAGATTTTGATAGCATATAGATAGCTATCTAACCTAGATATGGTGTGAATTTCAAAGAATTCTACCAAGATTCGGACCTGGGTACAAGCGATAGAAGTTTAGACTAATAGGATCGCTAGAAATGCCCCACTATTTACTGATCCTGGGTACTATCCCTAATTTAGGCCTAATTCTTTTGAAAGTTTGATAGCATATAGATAGCTATCTAACCTAGATATAGTGAGAATTTCAAAGAATTCTACCAAGATTCGGACCTGGGTATAAGCAAATAAAGTTTAGACTAATAGGATTACTAGAAATACTCCACTATTTTTAAATCTGGGTACAACTACCCAATTTAGATCTAATTCTTTTAAAAATTTAATAGTATATAGATAGTTAGTATATCTAAATCTAGATAGAATTCCAAAAAGATTAAACTTATATTTAGATAGCAATTAGAAAAATAAATTTTAGAAAATTAACTAATTATAATAAAGATAAATATATCTACTTTACCCCAGAACCCCAGGATTTCCACTACTACTAATAAAACCAATTCTACTAGTAAAACCACTTATATTACCGGCATTACCAGCATTGCCAGCATTACCAGCATTGCCGGCATTGCTAATACCACTCGCAAGATTATCTACTGTGGGTAAAACCACTCATGTTGCCGGCATTGCCAGCATTGCCAGCATTGCCAGCATTGCCGGCATTGCCAATACCACTCGCAAGATTATCTACCGTGGGCAAAACCACTCA